AAGACCAACAACCCAGAAACCTTGGTTGCTCTAAGAAAGGCTGGTTTGAACATTGTCCGTATGAACTTCTCCCACGGTTCTTACGAATACCACAAGTCTGTCATTGACAATGCCAGAAAGTCCGAAGAGCTATACCCAGGTAGACCATTGGCTATCGCTTTGGACACCAAGGGTCCAGAAATCAGAACTGGTACCACCACTAACGAAGTCGACTACCCAATCCCACCAAACCACGAAATGATCTTCACCACCGATGACAAGTACGCTAAGGCTTGTGACGACAAGATCATGTACTTGGACTACAAGAACATCACCAAGGTCATCTCCGCTGGTAGAATCATCTACGTCGATGACGGTGTTTTGTCTTTCGAAGTCTTGCAAGTCGTTGACGACAAGACCTTGAAGGTCAAGTCCTTGAACGCTGGTAAGATCTGCTCCCACAAGGGTGTTAACTTGCCAGGTACCGATGTCGACTTGCCAGCTTTGTCTGAAAAGGACAAGGCTGACTTGAGATTCGGTGTTGAAAACGGTGTCCACATGATCTTCGCTTCTTTCATCAGAACCGCTCAAGATGTTTTGACCATCAGAGAAGTTTTGGGTGAAGACGGTAAGGACATCAAGATCGTCGTCAAGATTGAAAACCAACAAGGTGTTAACAACTTCGACGAAATCTTGAAGGTCACTGACGCTGTCATGGTTGCCAGAGGTGACTTGGGTATCGAAATCCCAGCCCCAGAAGTCTTGGCTGTCCAAAAGAAGTTGATCGCTAAGTCTAACTTGGCCGGTAAGCCAGTTATCTGTGCTACCCAAATGTTGGAATCTATGACCTACAACCCAAGACCAACCAGAGCTGAAGTTTCCGATGTCGGTAACGCTGTTTTGGACGGTGCTGACTGTGTCATGTTGTCCGGTGAAACCGCTAAGGGTAACTACCCAATTAACGCTGTTACCACTATGGCTGAAACTGCTTTGATCGCTGAACAAGCTATTGCTTACTTGCCAAACTACGATGACATCAGAAACTGCACTCCAAAGCCAACTTCTACCACTGAAACTGTTGCTGCTTCCGCCGTCGCTGCTGTCTTCGAACAAAAGGCTAAGGCTATCATCGTTTTGTCTACCTCTGGTACCACCGCTAGATTGGTTTCCAAGTACAGACCAAACTGCCCAATCATCTTGGTCACCAGAAACGCCAGAACTGCTAGATTCTCTCACTTGTACAGAGGTGTTTTCCCATTCGTTTACGAGAAGGAATCTGTCTCTGACTGGACTGAAGATGTTGAAGCTAGATTGAACTTCGGTATCGAACAAGCTATCGAATTCGGTATCTTGAAGAAGGGTGACACTTACGTTTCCATCCAAGGTTTCAAGGCTGGTGTCGGTCACTCCAACACTTTGCAAGTCTCCACTGCTTAAGAATATCGAGTTTTTTAAACAACTTTTTATTTCTTATTCATAACATCTTTGATAGACCTTGCAAAGGATTTGAGGGTCTCATTTTCTTATACATTAACGTGTATATGATTGAGCAATCTGTTCATGCTGATACATAAAATCATATAGAAAATTTAGTAACGATTATTTTATGTTTTTTTAAGATAACATTATTCATTCAAATAGAAAACAATCATGCATATTGTCAAACTAAAGTTAAGTTGATCGAGTGACTCGACTTAGTCCTGCTCTCCTAGTATAAATGCTAGTAATAATATACACTAGGTGAGGTAAAATATATTTAATCTTCATTATCAATTCAAGACTATTCATTATACTATCTCTAAGTTCTTATATCATACTTTAACATTACTAATGAATGCCACGGCAAAAAGAAAGAACTAAACAATTAATATGAAGAGGCATCAACAATGAAACGTCTTTTTTTACTATGAAAGTCTAATAATCTAAAGGCAATATATTAAAATTAGAATTAATAGACTTAAAAAATTTCCTACCAAACTATCTGACAAACTATCAGAGGCTGGCCAATAAATGATATTATTCTTTGTCATAGAAGTTCATGAAGCATTTAAATCTACTTGTACATATATAGCGATTTATTTTAGTTGATTACTCTTACGGTCTATTAGCTGCGGGAAAATCTGATAAATAAAACATTTTGTGCTTTTAGAATTAAAAATTAATTCCTTTCAATGTTTAATAGCACACTCTCTCTTACTATTGTCTTTTTTTTTCAAGCATTAGAGAAATGCCGTGCTATTGTCTGATTCAACAGTTTCGTTATACTTAATGACAAATTTAGTTCTAGTATTTTAAAAAATACAAAAATACTAATTACCGACTCTAAAATACCTTTCTTTTTAAATCATGTGTGATATAATTATTGACTGATATAAACAATCATTTTTAATTCAAACATTGAGAAAGACGTGATAATGTAAATAATGTACCATGTTGAAAATATACTGGATGGTAGGAATACCCAGCAAACGGCTGAAAAAAGTTTATCTAAATAAATACCGGTGATGCTAAAATTTGTATGGTAAACAAGGCGGAATGGAATTAAAGAATTCCGGCCATTTTTTTTATACTGCTCATACTCGCAGCACAGCAATTGCCGATTGATCTTAAATTATAAGCAGCATCTTCATCCACTATCTACTATTGTAAAAATTGTAGCAAGATTTTTATAAAAGAGAAAATGCTCAACAAAAAAATGAATCTGTTCGACAGTTACCGCTCTGGCGAGATTGTGTGAAAGCATACCAAACTACGCTAAGAAGGAGCTGATAATCTCAGTAGTAGCATTTGGTTCCTCTATTGAAAATAAAAGTGCTGTAAATAACACAGCAAAATAGTCTATAGTTTCATTGCCATTTTTCGTGGTAGTGAAAATTGCTTGTCGGTGTAGAATCATTTATTAAAGTGCAGTGAAATATGCCTTCATATTGAAGTGCACTTTCGTGGTTAACAGTATAAAACCCGGGAGCAAATTAACTTCCACAAAAAAAATATTATTTCCGTTTTGTATCAGTGTGCTAGTTTTTATTTATGTTTACTAACTAAGTTGGTTTTTCAGTAGCATAGGTAACTAATAAAACATGATGTTTTTCTTTTTTTCTTAACTTCAGATGAAACTGAAAGCAATTAGAGGACAGGAACACCAAGCTACTTTCACATGGAAAACATACAATAAAAGACCACTTACTTGCGAAATTAAAAGAAAAGTGAGAAGGATTAACAAAATCGGCAAAACTTTGTATTTTTAATCCTGTAACACTACGAGAGTTTGCTGAACTCTTTCTCAAATATCATTGTTTCAAAGCACCAGTAATGATTTGCACAAGCAACTCCTTTTCCTTTTGCGATAAACCCTCAAAGAAAACCTTTGAAGGACTTTCATACGAGTGGTAAGAACCGACTGACAAACTTTGTCTCAACAGTAAGGAGGCAGGAGGTAGAAAGCTGACCATCTGGCAGAAAGTTTTTAGCCAAGTCTCAATTCTATTCCGTTTGATATTAGTTTCCACACAGTATAGTGGGTGCGTATCAATGAGGAAGTGTGTACGCGATTGTACTTTAAAAGGCATGGAAGACACTGCAGAGGTTTGAGCGAGTTTTTTCTCATTACAGTTAATACCGTTCGAACGTTTAAGAGACTTTTTTTTCTCCCTTCGAATATCACCAGCTTAAAATATTGCCATTATTTCCAACAAGTTACAGACTAGGACTGGCCAACTCTATCAGACCGTGATTTTCCCACAGAACATGTAGTTCTGGACCAATTATCAGGTAAGAAAAGTCGTCAGTTTCTTTTCCAATACTTTTTGGCTAAGTAAGAGCTTAGTCATTAGGTGACTTTCTTGGAGGTGGGAGGTTGGAGTCGACGAACAACTGCATTGCTCGTATAACTCCAAGGATATAATCAAATTCCCCGTATTATAATTCGTTTTACCACCTTATTGTCCGATTAATTGAGCTGGGATCACATTGTGTACCGACCATACACTCACATGAGCAGAATGCCTAGCTTTCTTCCTCTTCACATCTCCCCCTCTCTGCCAGTTTTGTGACAAGATATGCTTTGTAGGTATCACGGAAGAAACTACCATAAATTTTGCTGCTTGCCCACCCGTCGAACTTACACAGGGAGCAATATTGTTGTCGGCTGGTATCTTGTGCCATACAAAATCTATTCCTCAGACAATTTCGATCACATAAGCATCTGAATTACAGTAACGGGAAAACTATCTTGTACGAGGGAATACTTACTAATCCCGTCGTCACTCTCCGCCATCTTCTGTGTGAAACACTAGTATTTTGCTTACGTATGCCTTCCTCATTTGAAAGAGGCACAGAACTCCCATTAAGCAATTCCGCGGGAGCACATAAAGTGGGCAAGCTTTTTAGGCAATTGAGGGGTAATGCTTTGAGATTGGGAATTCCGTTGTCGGGTGCGTTCTGTGTAGAAAAGGCAAGCATCTCATCAAAAAGGAGGCACTAAAAACGCAGCACATCATCTAGAAATAGGAAAACCGGTTCAAGAACTCTTTTTTTTGCCCACCAGCTTTTGTAAGCGATTAAAGTTAGATCCTGCAAAATCTCTGAGAAACTCTGGTACAATGATGCTACTGCTTCTCTCATGTATTTCTCTCTCTCTCTCTCTCTCTTTTTTTTTTACATTTTTATCGTGCGTGCTTTTTTAGGTCGAAAGAATCTACTCACAAAACTGAAAGTATGTTAGCCGTACAAATTCGTGTTACTGCCGAAACTGTGAGAATTGGTAGCATACTTACAGAAGTTTTTTGAATTCAGCCTAACCATTAGGCTCTACCACGGAGCTTTCTCTGTGGCTATAGAGCACTGGTATGGAAATACCGCACTTTTAACTTGTAACCGAGCTGCGGACCTACTGACGGGAAACAATTACGGGAGGGATTCTGCCAGGTCTGTACTGTGTAACACCAAGAGCGAATTTCCAACCGTAGTAATTGGACGAGAGCAAAAAACATTATAAATGATTTGCAAGTATCCTCAAGTGTCTATGACAACGCCGTAGCAGTTGGGCTTCTTTTCTTCTTTAAAATTTCCATAGTGAGTAATGATCTAGTGTTTGTCTCAGAATACCCAGCAGCTAAGAGTGATAAAGAAAATATACTGTGCGGGGCTCTCACTATCTCCAGCTCTTCCCCAAATGTTTCTAAGTACATGTTAGAGCCCACAATCGAAATTTGATTTTGCTGAGCTCTGCACTGATTCTCTATTAAAAAGGCAGTCAGAAATAGGGAGTTGCCAGCCCAGGAAAAAGAAGCCGCACAGCATTCACTGCGCAAAACACTATTAGAGAGCACATCTACCGTGGGCACTAAATATGCCATACAGAAATTCACTTGGAGAGGGGCAAGAGGAAAATCCTGATTATCTCCCCCCCCACAGTGTTTTCTGTGTGCAAGATACCGAAGCCCGAATTGCTAAATAGCCTTTTCCAGCTCTCCAACCTGAGTGCAAAATAGGGAAAGGGATTCTCTTCTCTGCAGCGTCATTTTGCACCGAGATTTGTGTTCTACAAGCACACAAGGAAAAGACTGCTGGCCCACCGTGCCAAGAACTGGGCCTGGTAAAGCAGGGGTCCTTGGAACGCGGAACGCGGAACTTGGCGTGAGGCGAAAGTGGCCCCGGTGTCTTTTATTTTTGCTTTCACTTTTGGGTGACGAGGATGGCCAGGGTCTAGATGCTTCTTTTTCCACTAGTGAAGCAAGACTCAGCATGCCAGTTTCTATTTTTCTAATGCGAGATGATGCCCTTACTTTTTTTTGGTGCTTCTTACATATGTCGTATCCGCAGCGGTTGATGGCATTCTATCTTTTCTACCAAGGCAAGATAGAGCTCTGGCCACAACTGGAAGTGGGCAACTCTGGCTCCTGATGAACACACTGCCAAATTTGAAAGACAGCGATAATATTGGTGTGCGACACTACGTGTCCAGTCCTGTGCTCCCACTTCATATTCAAAAGCAGAAATATGACAACAATGGATCGCACATATAGTAGTAATTCCACCATAATAATTAGTCGGCCATATCTTGCGTTTCTTTTTACAAGAAATGAGAAAACCCTCCTAGCTCGTCTCAAATAAGGGCCCCCCCACCCCTCTTTCTACATTTTTATAACTATTCAAATGGCTGACAGGAAAAAAACCACGTAGCTCATCAGGAAAGGAAGTGCTATTGGAGAAGAAACTTAGAAAATCCCTTAGATGGCAGCAAAATAGTTGCAATCAGCAAATCGAGTTGGTGAGAATTACGAAATAAACAGAAAAGACTGAAACTGAGATACTTTGATCTTGGATGTCTGTGAGAAAAGATATTACTACTTGAAGATTCACACTAAATTGTCGACTTTCAGTGGGGCTATGTCTGTGGTGGGCTGCTTATACCTGCTTTTTTCTTATTTCTTCAACGATGATCCCTGGGAATCTCTTAACTAGCAAGAAGGAGAAGAAAAGTGCTAATGTATCGCAAGCTAATGTAACGTAACAAAAAAGCATTGAACACCGCTGACAAATTAACAGCCTGGAACCAACCCATTTTAATAAGACAGTGGGCTACAAAACAGACATTTTTCTGCTAAAACCATCGTTAGAGGGAGATATCTCGAGGTATTAACAAACACGTCGTGTATTCGAAGCACAGAAGTTCTTGTACTGTTTCAAAAATTTACTTAGAATTTCATAATATGTAGGGAGAACCAAAGAAGAAAAAGAAAAAAATCTAACGCTAGAAAAAGTAGTAGGGAAGACTGTATAGTAAATATCATAACTCGAATTTCCTACTAAATTACGCTGTTCAGTCCAGATAAATTAGTTGAACACCAAATAATTGAAACAAAAAAATAATTACAATATTTCCAGCCTGACTACAGTACGGAATTTGGAATTAAGAGCCATAGATAACGCAAGGGCTAGAAAAAGCACTAAAATTTGAGCTATCCTTGCTCTGAAAGTACTTTTTTTTTCAATAATATCAATGATGAATTGATGTGCATTAACAACAGACCTTCTCTCTTTCTCTCTCTTTTTATTTTTTTTTTTTTTTTTTTTTAATTTTTATTCTTTTATTTTGATGGACTTAGGTAATTCCTTGTATATGGCATACCTGGCCTTAGCGACAAGACTTGCGTCATTGTTCTCATCCCTTGACTAGTAATGCCTTTGTTCTTCAATGCAGAAGTATCTTGAAAAAGGAATAAGTACAATATGATAATCATATATAGATGAAAGAATATGAATGTATATCTCAGGCATTACTAGTTATTTTCGATCTGTATGCATTGTGAATCCATCTTGCGCTCTCTATATTTCAATAAATTATAAATATTATATTTTCATTTAGTTGAGTCGCTATAACATTCCTTTAACTGCTGTATTCTATTATTTCGATTGAAAAGCTTTACCATAGTTTGTGTCTGTCCTTACCTTTGTTTGTTTTATATCAAGGATTTTGCATCATTTCAGTTAAGTGGGATTTTACCTAAAGTTAATAAAGACCTTCTTACAGCAAAAATAAAAAGAGAATATACGACTAATCCAGTAATAGATATAACTGAGCCCCATATTAAGGTACGCTATTCGGAAGAAAACGCTCATTGTTTATAAAAAGTCATAAACTGGGCATAGCTATTACTACTGAAAAGATATATCAAGCTTTTTAATTTACCTCATTCACTCAAGCACTGTTGGATTGCAGTTTAATTAGAAATTATTAGAGGAAGAGTTTGAAGTACAAGCTAACTTATAGCAATAATAAACACCAGTGTTTCTGCTTCTGTGTTCTAAAACATTAGCTAGCAGACGCCGTTATTATTTCTAGAATATATTAATGTTCCTTTGATTTGAAAATTTTGCCATTTATTTCCAATACACTTAAAGTGCTCCAATTCACTAAAATATTGGTTGCAAAGTTTGTTCCATCATTGACAATACAAGGCTATCTTAATCGGCTATAACCAATATATATTCTCGCGACTGCCATTGCATCAATTTTGAGTTAAATTATTACTCATCCAACTACTATCATCTCAGCTAACAGAAATTCACTTACAACTTTATGGTTGAACCTGTCACTTAATTGTAACACGAATTGTATTATATTAGAAGATCATTGGAATTATAACATCTATTGGTCATAACGTTATGGACTTGCCTAATCATCAGAACTTGAATGGCGATGGCATAGATGAAAACTATAATAGAAAAACCTCACAATTCAGACCCCTTCAAAAGTTTGAGTATCAGAACAGCCAAAGCCTTCCAGAATTGTTTGGAAGCGGAAATCGAGATATGAACTCCAACGCCAGATATATGAGACAGCAATATGGACACAATGAAAATGTACAATACGTTAATGGGGTCAATAAAGTATACCCCATGAACCCTATTATTCCTCCAAAATTAGGTGGAGGTCCTTATATGGTTAGGCCATATGAACGTATTGAAGGGACACAGTTGGTGAAGCCTCATATCTTCCAAACTGGCGAAAGTTATCAAGGAAATCAAGAGTATATTTTCCAGCCATCTACAAGTTCATCTTACAGTTCAGCTACTCTTGTAAATGAAGACACGAATATGCCAAATAACCATGTAATATTAGAAAATCATCCAATTGGGCTGGAGTATAAACTACCCAGCAACTACATTAATCATAGTATACCATTAATGCATCCTCAACAAAGAATGCCTGTTACACCACATTTGCCGCTCAAGAGCACCATACAGCCAGGTTCGGAAGATAGTAAATTCGATACACCCAAAAATAGCAAAAAAAAAATATCCAGAAAGAGATTAACTGATGTTCAGAAGCTAGCTCATAATAAAATTGAAAAGAAATACCGTATTAACATAAATTCAAAGATAGCTCAATTACAGAAAATGATACCGTGGGTTTCTGATGGTGAAACTGCGTTTGAAGTCAACTCTTCGCTTAAAACGGAACAGAGTGATGGAGACAGTACGTCAAACAGTAGTAAAACTAAATTCAACAAAAGTATAATTCTGCAGAAGGCTATCGACTATATTGTATATCTGCGAAATAATGAGCATCTTTACCAAACTGAAATAGATAGATTGCGACAAGAAGTTGAAACGCTTCGAAATAATCAAAAGAGCTGAGATAATCAAATTAGGTTGTTTAAACACACATTAGTACTCCAGTCATATATTCTGCATTCTGTTCTTTTTTCAAATCTGCTTGTTCCCCACAATGTTATATTAAGTTATCCTACTTATTATTTGTAATTTGTTCAATTAATTATAACACACCCGGTATAAGACAGCCACCAAATATTTTCATTCTTGCATTAGTACTACATTATTAGACGTTCTTGTTCTTCAATTTTAATTTTATTACTACAAGAAGCTTAGCTCTAAGATAGTCTTCACTTAAAGATTCTAGGTCTTGACTTAAGAAGGCATTATAATGCCGGATAACTTAGCAACTGATAGAATTTTGGCATCCGATAAAAATTCTTCATTTAGTGCTGCTGTAAATTTATAATTTGTTGTGAATTTAGCTATTCTCTTTATCTGGTAATGAATTTTTATCAATCAATTTGTATTAATGAATTTGATATTGTTGAAAATTTATATGGAGGAGGATATACATCATATACATTACATAAAAATCAACAATACATGACTATTTCTTCAAGATTGTAACAACATCCTCATCTTCCAAAATGTGATTCAAACCAACATATTGAGGCTGATGCTTGACACTGCTACCATAAACCAATGCATTTCTAAATTCATCTACCAGCGACTTGTGAATTTGGTTACAGAAATCCTTGACAGAGCAACGATCTGATCTCAAGACAACTGGATCATTAAAATCAGGTATTCTACCCTTTGGCTTAGTGTATATACGTACCAGGTTCAATCTATCCCACATGACCTGAAGCAGTTCGTCTAAATTCCATTCCTTTCCTGAAGAGATTGGAACAGCGTTAGGAATTCTATATAGCAATTCCAATTCTTCTAAAGATAGTGCATCAATTTTATTCAGCACATAAATAGCTGGCATGTATCTTCTAGTTGGGGCTTCTAGGACATCAATTAAGTCGTCGACAGTAGCATCACATCTGAAAGCAATTTCTGCACTATTGATTCTATATTCACTCATCACAGCTCTGATTTCGTCGTTACCCAAATGTGTAAGTGGAACAGTATTTGTTATAGATATACCACCTTTCTCCTTCTTCTTGATGACAATATTAGGAGGTTCTTTATTCAATCTAATACCGACACCTTCCAATTCTTTTTCAATGATCTGCTTGTGGTGCAATGGCTTGTTGACATCTAATACAATGAAAAGCAAGTTACACGTTCTTGCAACGGCAATAACTTGTTTACCACGACCTCTACCATCCTTGGCACCGTCAATGATACCCGGTAGATCCAGCATTTGAATTTTGGCACCTTTATAACGAATAACACCAGGAACAGTGACCAATGTGGTAAACTCATATTCTGCAGCTTCAGACTCAGTACCTGTCAACTTTGAAAGTAAAGTGGATTTACCAACAGAAGGGAACCCAACAAAACCAACACTAGCAACACCTGTTCTGGCAACATCGAAACCAACACCACCACCACCACCGGAGCTTGATGATGCACTAGTCAGCAGCTCACGTCTCAACTTGGCCAGCTTAGCTTTCAATTGACCCAAGTGGAAAGAGGTGGCCTTGTTCTTTTGGGTTCTGGCCATCTCATCCTCGATGGCCTTGATCTTTTCAACCGTGGTAGACATTCTCAGTTAGCTTGGCAATTACCTTGGATGACACTACTACTACTCAAACAGACAAAAAGCCCTGGCGCTAAAATAGTAAAGAAATATAAAGAACTTGTGTGCTCGCAACTTATTCACTATTACCAAGCTCATCGCAGAATTTTGATATTTTGGCCAAAATTTTTCACTCGCTACACACGACATACTTAAGAGGAAAAAGTTTTTCAAAAGATTTGGTTCTTCATAGCAGTGAAAAAAATAAATCGATGGCCACCAAGTAGTAAATGAAAATTATAGAACTTAAATAATATGGATTAGTTTGTGATCTTTGCTTGATCTGGTGATAGTTCTATAACGGCTACACTCTTTGAGTACTAAATAAGAGAGGTAACGAAAAAAATGGCGAAGAAAGGAAAGAAGAACCAGCAGAACTACTGGGATGAGGATTTCGAAGAAGATATGCCTCAAGGAGAGGAGATTGGCAGCCCTGCTCCCGAAGCTACTCCACAGGAAGGTGCTGAAGGCTCTGTAGAAGGTGAGGAAACCGCTGAACTAGACTTTATGGCCACTTTGAAGAAATCTAAGAAAAAGCAAGAAGAGGAAGTGAAGAAAGATGCTGATAAACCAGTGCTGAAGTCCAAGAAGGAAAAGGAGAAGGAAAAGAAGGAGAAGGAAAAGCAAAAGAAAAAAGAGCAAGCCGCCAAGAAGAAGGCTCAACAACAAGCTCAGAAGGAAAAGAACAAGCAACTGAATAAAGAAAATGCGGAAAAGATCGCTGCTGAAAAGAAAGAGAAAGAATCCTCCCAAGAACCTGAAGAAGGTTCCAAAAAGCCGGCCACCAAGAAACCTGCCAAGAAGGTTCCTGCTGGTCTTGCTGCTCTAAAGCGTCAATTAGAACTTAAGAAGCAATTGGAAGAACAAGAGCGTCTAGAAAGAGAAGAGGAGGAAAGACTGGAAAGAGAGGAACAAGAACGTCTTGAGCAAGAAGAAAAGCAAAAAGAGCTAGAAAGAGCAGCCAAAAAGGAGAAGGAGAAGGAGAAGCGTGAAAGATTAAAGGCTGAGGGTAAGCTTCTAACCAAGAAACAAAAAGAAGAAAAGAAGCTGCTTGAAAAGAGACGTCAAGCTCTCCTGGCAGCAGGTAACATCAAGGTCGCTGGTTTAAGTAAGTCTGGCGATGGTGAACAAACACAACGTCCTAAAAAGGTTGTGTACGGTAAAAAGAAGAAGAGAACTCCAGAAGAGCAAGCATCTGCTAAAGCCAAAGAGGAGAAGAAGTCTAGCGAAGCAACCAAAGATGCTCAAAAGGAAGAGGCAGAAGAGGTCTTGATCGATGATTGGGAGAATCTTGCCATGGACGATGATGAAAATGAACCAGCTGAAGAAAATAAAATCGAGGAAGCTGAAGAGGAAGCTGAAGAGGAAATTTCTACCCCAGCAGCTTCTGGAAATGCTCAAGAAGTTGTATACGCTAAGGAAGAGCCATCTAGTAAGATTGCTGCCAACAAGAAGGATTTGCGTTCTCCAATTTGTTGTATCTTGGGTCACGTCGATACTGGTAAGACCAAGCTTTTGGATAAGATTAGACAAACTAATGTTCAAGGTGGTGAAGCGGGTGGTATTACCCAACAAATTGGTGCAACATATTTCCCAATTGAAGCTATCAGAGACAAGACGAAAACTATGGCTAAATTTGAAAAGCAAACATTTGATGTTCCAGGTCTGTTAGTGATCGATACTCCAGGTCACGAATCTTTCTCCAACTTACGTTCCAGAGGTTCCTCCTTGTGTAACATCGCTATTTTGGTTATCGATATTATGCACGGTCTAGAACAACAAACTATTGAATCTATCAAGTTACTAAGAGACAGAAAGGCTCCATTTGTGGTTGCTTTGAATAAAATTGACAGATTATATGACTGGCAAAGCACTCCAAACAATTCCTTCAGAGATTCCTTTGAACAGCAATCTAAGGCAGTCAAGGATGAATTTGCTACTAGATTGAGCAATATTCAACTGGCTTTGTCTGAACAGGGTTTGAATTCTGAGTTATATTTCCAAAACAAGAACATCTCTAAGTATGTCTCCATTGTCCCTACATCTGCTGTCACTGGTGAAGGTATTCCAGATTTATTGTGGTTGCTGCTAGAATTGACTCAAAAGAGAATGTCTAAACAACTTATGTACTTATCTCATATTGAAGCTACCATTTTGGAAGTTAAGGTTGTTGAAGGTTTCGGTACTACTATTGATGTTATTCTATCAAATGGTTACTTGAGAGAAGGTGATAGAATAGTATTGTGTGGTATGAATGGTCCTATAGTGACAAATATCAGAGCTTTATTGACACCACAGCCGCTGCGTGAGTTGCGTTTGAAATCTGAATATGTTCACCACAAGGAAGTGAAGGCTGCATTGGGTGTTAAGATAGCCGCAAATGATTTGGAGAAGGCTGTTTCTGGTTCTCGTCTATTGGTTGTTGGTCCTGATGACGACGAAGAAGAAATGATGGATGAAGTCATGGAAGATCTGACTGGTCTATTGGATTCTGTAGACACTTCAGGTAAGGGTGTTGTTGTTCAAGCCTCTACTTTGGGTTCTTTGGAAGCTTTGTTAGATTTCTTAAAGGACATGAAGATTCCAGTTATGTCTATAGGTTTGGGTCCAGTTTACAAACGTGATGTTATGAAGGCATCTACAATGTTGGAAAAAGCCCCAGAATTTGCCGTTATGTTGTGTTTCGATGTCAAGGTTGACAAGGAAGCAGAACTATATGCTGAACAAGAAGGTATCAAGATTTTCAACGCAGACATTATTTACCATTTATTCGATGCTTTTACAGCATACCAAGAGAAATTATTGGAACAACGTCGTAAGGACTTTATGGGTGATGCCACATTCCCATGTGTGTTGAACACCATTCAAATCATTAACAAGCGTGGTCCAATGATCATCGGTGTTGATGTTATTGAAGGTACTCTGCGTGTCGGTACACCAATTTGTGCTGTCAAGATTGACCCTACAACAAAGGAAAAGCAAACTTTGCTTCTTGGTAGAGCAATGTCTCTTGAAATTAATCACGAACCTGTCACTGAGGTCAAGAAGGGTCAAACAGCTGCTGGTGTTGCCATGCGTCTGGAAGACCCATCTTCTCAACAACCAATCTGGGGTCGTCACGTCGATGAGAAGGATACTTTATATTCCTTGATCACAAGAAGATCCATTGACACATTGAAGGACAAGGCGTTCAGAGACCAAGTTCCAAAGTCAGACTGGATGTTGATCAAGAAGCTAAAACCAGTATTCGGAATTGAGTAATTTTGCATATTTTAACGCCCTACTTTTTTCTTCTACCTTCTAGTACTGTTTTTATTTCGCTTCTTTTCCCAACAGCCAAAAATTTCTACCTTTAATTTTACTTTTTTTTTACCACAACCATCTTTCTATTCGCCCCCCATATACATATCAAAGTCCAGTATATACAATGTATATTAGATACAGCCAAATTCATAAGTAATGACAGATTACTCACCAAGTATACCTCTCAATATTATTATTACCACTTTGAAGAGACATCATAAGGAACGCAGGAAGGATGTGTGTAGCATATTGTACGATATTTGACCATGGACTATATTTTTTTGGAATTTTATGTAAATTTGGAACCAGCAAATTCAAGACACACCTATAACTGCCAGTGTTTGACAGCAAGTGTCAGCTTTTTAACAGGTCCTGTTTTTTAGCAAAGTGTACATTTGGAACTGAAAACAATAGCTGATTTTTGACTATTGTCTGAGTATATTGGACGCCTTCTTGTTTTTCATAGCTGGCGATATTTGACTTCAATTCCAAACTGGAAATTAAACGAAATTCTAGGACAATACGTTCTATATTTCTACAAGAGAGATTTGAGACCCCATCTATAAAGTCTCTGTTAGTGATTAATTGACCTCATTATCAGGCAGAAGAAAAGGCCATCTCTAAACAGCATCAGCGAGCACTTAACAGGGCTGCTGATTTTTGTATACTTCAAAAAAGAGGGTTTATAATTTTCGCTTTGTTACACCCTATAGCTCTTATTACTTCATCTGGTTACACAATCTAGTAATTGAGCTTTTACTGGAATCTCTCTGGACTATAGCTCGGAAGAATTTTTTGGATACATTTTCTTTGATACAGTCTTTTTCAGCATTACTAGAGCCTAAGAAAGCAAATTAGTTCTTTAGTTTGTTTGTCCAAATTAAACCCCATCGAAACAACTATAACTTATTCAAAAACAGCACTTATAAATAGCATAGGAATGAATGAATCAGACATTGACCAACTCTATAAAGCACGAGAGTTGGCTTTGAACAAGTCGCCTGAAAAGACGCTTCCAAAAGTTTTAGAAACTGCTGAATCTTTATATTTAGCAGCCGACAGCAATGCTGACCAGGCAATAAAACACAGGTTATCAAAATTTCTTACCCATGTATTTTATGAAATATTGACTTCTGAACTTATACCGAAAAATGAAAAGCCCTTCATAGCATCCCAACATCTCCATACTATCATGCTAATATGTCGTGATTCCCAAATTGATCCTGTAACATATAAGTATGCTATCTTGTCATTAACATCCTCTTACTCATCACTTTTCGATCTTGTAGCCAAAACTTCAAATCAAGAGCTTTGGGATACGATGCAAGAATTGAAAAGCTTTATAATTACTAGATGGAGAACACCTTATCCAAAATCCAAAAGCAATGAACAGGTGGACGACAGCAGTATGTTGGCTCAGGAAAATGAAAATATCGGATGTAAACTTGCTACATTGAAGTTGATATCTGAAGTCATCATAGTACAAACACCGATAATAAGTTCTTCAACTATCAAAGATAAATCAGGTCACATGAATATGATAAGTCTGGCTTCGGTGCCTGATAATCATCCAGTTATATCTAAGAAGCAAGTTTATGAATCAGAAGCCAAAAAGTTACTTGACTCTCTATTGAATTATCTAGTTGAACAGCCTTTCATGATTAGTATGATATTTGTCGCAATAATCAACTGTCTGGCCATTGTTATGAAGCAAAGACCACAAACAACTATAAGAATACTTTCTGGATTATTGAGGTTTAACGTTGATGCTAAATTTCAAATGGATAATCAATCAACAGTAAATTATAGATTAGCGAAGAGATTTGTTGAAAGAGCATACAAGAATTTTGTTCAATTTGGTTTAAAAGGCCAATATATCAAAAATACAGGTACCACCTCAACTTTTTATACTAAACTTTCTAAGATTTCTCAAACTTTACATGTAATTGGAGAAGAAGCAAAAAGCAAGGGTATATTGAACTTTGATGCTAATGAAGTAGAGCATTATATGAACTCTGATGATAGAAACAAGGCAATTGCACAAATAAAACGTCTAAGATCCTCTATTGATGACTTAATTAAGGCTCAAATGCTAACCCATGATGGCAGCTCTCTTTCAAATAATGATAATAATACGTTTGATAATATGCAGTCTTCTAATATAGCAAATGGGAAAGCATCATCCTCAGAATCGATAGATGATATGCATTTCAATGAGAAAGCATTGCAACTATCTGAATTGCAGAAATATACCATGTCAAAAAACAATATGCAGAATTTTTTCAACAGTTCAACAGTGGCATTAGATAACAGCTACTCTTCAGTATATTCATTGATGAACAGCAAAAACTCAGATATAGACATGTCTAAGCTTCCAAGTGACTTGTTATTGAAACTATGCTCTGAAGCGGTTTTCAATACAGATACAAAGAAAATGCTAACCGGATTATCTATTGTTGCTTCCCGTTATTCAGATTTAATGAACAAGTACAAGACTAAGAAGCGCAGGATGGAAGATGATGAAATGGCTGAAAGATTAAACAAAAGGTTGCGTGGAGAAGAGGTTGATGAACCTATGACCAATGCTCCTAAAGTTGAGGAGAAACCTAAGGAGAAAGTGGAAGAGATGTCAGAGGCCAGTGCCATTAATAAATCCAATGATTCGACTTACACTATCGAACCAGAGAAACTAAATGAAAACGAGAAGGAAGAGCATTTCAAGAGAATCATCTCCAATATAATGGACATAAAGAAAATGGAAGAAACACCAGAGATTAGTTCCTTTGTAAACACCAAATTGAAGCCCTTGCAAAAGATTAAATTAATGCAATGGAACTCTAGCGAGTCGTGGTTACACATATTGACTAGATTGGCCACTCGTGGTGTAAATCATGATGAGAACATGAGTAACATCATTAGACAGACGTTGTACGACTACTTCTTGGACAATTTTAATGATAGGGCGAGTGTTGCCTTAGAGTGGTTAAATGAAGAATGGTACAATGAGACCATTAATAAATCGAAGAAAGAGAACGGAGAAGAGAGTTACAAGAACTACGACGAATGGTCCCTGAAATTGTTAGACGGGCTTGTTCCGTCCTTGGAGAACCAACATCGTCGTCTGTTTATCAGACTAATGAGTGAACTTCCAAGGGTAACCTATGAACATATCCTAAAACTAAGATCAGTATGTCTGGACCCAGCAAGAAGCTCTTTAGGCTTCCAAGTGCTTAAATTCCTGGTAATGTTCCGTCCACCCACGAAACCTTACATCAAGGAATTTCTCGAAAAACTGAAACAAGAAGATAGCACTATTGAAAAGCAATGTAACTCTATCCTTGATAAGTATTGTAAGTAGTGTGATATTTCTCCTTAGGTAAATATGCAAAAGAGAGCTTGTTGTTAAGTATTTGACTTTCGAAGTGTTAACTGGTTTGATATAACTATTTACTAGTACATAGTCGTTTGTGAAGTGCAAAAAATCATAGAAAACGTCATGACTTCTCTCTCTCTTTTTTTATTTATCTAGTAGGAATGGTAGACTAGTCTGACCCAACAAGAATGCATCGCAGCAGGCACTTTTGACTCTGCCCGTGAAGCTTCGGCTCAAGAGTCTGTTGATTCGCCAGCTCCTCTCGATCACAGAAGACAACACAGTTTGTTGGTTGAACCAAAATCAACCCAGCAGTACCTTTGAAGACCAATGGGCATTTCATTTGCACTGCCGTTATCTACTACGATTGGCAGTATCAAGCATTCTGCCAACTGATAAGATTAGACAAATACTGCACTGCCAGAATCAGATAGTTTGGCAAGAGAAAAACGATACCTAAGAATTCGCGATGTGAGAGAGTTCATGGTTGCGATGACAAGACTCTCTCCGGGATTCATAGATGGCAAGGAGCATTGTGACTTCTTAATTGTGACTCTCTTCAGGTTGGGGGACTTTTGTCATACTGAGTTTTACCTAACCAATTGTATTGAGCAATAGAGGTTGCGTCTCAAATGTAAAACAATTGTATATATATTCTGGTGTTTGTATTTATTTGTTGCGAGGACGTTTCTGTAACAATTCCTTTAGCAGCTATCAGATTAAGGACCATCACCACACACAGTAAGCAAATAAGATGTTCTCTAGAGTTGTTGTTAGATCAAGCAGGTTTGTAGCTTCTCCACTACGTTTGGCTCTCAGATGTCAATCCACAAACGCTTTAAACAAGAGCCAGTTGCCATTTACTCACTCTGGTGAAGGACCATTGGCCGTCAAGTACACTTCTCAACACGAATGGATCGCTGCACACAGTGACGGTACCGCATTCTTAGGTATAACGAAATATGCTGCCGATGCCCTAGGTGATGCCACTTACATTGAGATCCCAGAAGCTGACACTGAGGTCTCCGCCGGTGACTCTGTCTCATCTGTTGAGTCAGTCAAGTCTGCCTCCGAAGTATACACCCCATTGTCAGGTACGGTGGTGGAAGGTAACGCAGCTCTAGAAGAGTCTCCACAATTGATCAACACTGACCCACTGGGTGAAGGTTGGATCGCCAAGATAAAATTAGAGAACCCAGAAGAGATCAACACCACAGAAGGTCTACTGACTTTAGAACAATACGAGCAATCACTAGAGCACGATGAGCATTAAATTTCCACTTGTTACTATACCAAGAATTGTCCCATTTTCTCTTCCTATCATTTGTGATTAATTAGGTTTATATTATATATACAGAAATAAGTACCTTCACACATAGCCTAAGAATTAATAAATATTACTATGTAAAGCTATCACTCGTTGCTACGTTAGGACATATTTTATGTAAAAATAAATGCGCCCAAGCCTTAGTAAAGTCTATATACAGTTACTTGCCTTCTTCCATAAGTCCTGTGTTATTGGTTAATCGCCTTTACAGGTTTGAGCCTTGGAACTTTGCTGACTCTTTGCATACTCCTCTGGAGTCTTAGTGGTTAATTGTAAAGCATGCAATCCCATGTCGTCGAACTCCTCTTTAAGAAGACCATAGACTAATCTATGCCTCTTTGGCAGATTCAAGCCCTTAAAAGCCTCAGTGACTATTTCAAGTCTTATATGTGATTCAGTAGTGTTTTCGGCGGTCTCCATGGGTTCATGTCCCTTGTGTTTGTAAGAATCGTTGAACACCGCTAGGTGTTCCACATCAGGGAACTTCGCCTTGATCTTTGTTGTAATTGAAGTTATAACAGGTCCGTCTGTCCTCATATTTAATGGTGTCTCACTGCTCATCTTGGTAATATTCCGCTTAATCAGATTACTAATGCTGAAAACTGGTACTCTGCTCACTGACCGATACATAAATGTTATCAAATGAGGTGCTATATCGCAGGATATTGTTAGAGAACAATATGTTTGTGAGAATATTAGAGTGGAAAGTTCTGATCATATTAATGTAAGAAGGAGATCACCACTTAGCTAGTTAACCACCTTACTATCAACACTATCGTAGACTTTGGCACTGAGCGATGAGCGATCGAAGAGGGAAAGCTGGAGCTCTCCGAAGTAAAGTCATCGGTTTTGTCACTGAAATGGACAAAGTAGTGCTTGGATAACAATGTGTATAGCACTTCTATGACACTAGATTGTGTTTTTCTAGAGAGTATTCATTTACTGTATATTGCTCACACACAAAAGTATTCTCTAATTGTTAGTAAGGATAGCGCAACATGCTCGGACGATTAATTTCCCCATCGCTAGCTAGGCGTTCTGTTGTAAATGCCTATACCATTCGCCGGCCAGCGTTAGTTTTAAGCCTCAGAGCATATTCTTCTGGCACAGATGAAGAGAAGAGGATATATGAGAAGTTGTCCAAGGCATTCAACACCACTGATCTCAGGGTGCAGGATGTCTCTGGTGGATGTGGTTCAATGTATGCCATTGATGTTACTTCCGACAAGTTTAACACATTAACTACAATTAAACAACATCAGATGGTCAATGAGATCCTTAAGGAAGATATCCCAAAATGGCACGGTCTGCAACTGCGAACTAAGAAGAACAAAACCAAATAAGACTAAAAAGGTATACTTGGAGGCAATGGCAGCTGTTATGGCTGATCAATCAAGGCACATCACTGTAAATAGCAACTAGTTTAGCAGCCACTCGCAGAAATTATCTGATAATGGTTATTGTAGGCACAACATATTTTACAAATATATTTATTTAATTCTCCACTAGAGCGCACGTTTATAGTATCAAGACTAGATAGCGTGATCTAATAATAATGGATCTCATTACATATTCAAGTATCAATATATACATTGCACTTTTACTGGGATTAATATTCGCTGTATAACAAATATAAATAACTTAGGCTATGAAGAAAACAGATTACAATGCCAATTATTGTTTTGGTGATTCATTGGAAACTTAGTTGGATCAATTATCAGTAAAGGTAAACAAGTGAAAAAATGTCAGGGAACATAGCAATATAAGGTCTTAAAAACTGAGATATACTTAATTGCGATCCAATTGATTGTAAGTTATCTTAATTCAACAGGTCAGAGACTCCAATAGATCAGGAACTTAATGTACAGCGGTGATCAGAGTGCTGGGTCGCAGTTCGAGGATGAAAACTCACTGTCGATAAGGACAAATCAAAGTACGCCAATCAAAAGGGCTGACAATACTAGCAATAGGACATCACTTATATCAGATGATTACGGTTTACGCAAGATATCCAGCACTAGTGGTGTCCTCGATGAGAAGCAAAAGCTTCATAGGAGATACACATCAAGGATACGAAACATAAACAACAGCACAAAATCAACTTCCAGCATTGATAATTACGATGATATATCAGATCCAAGCTTTGGTAAGAAAAATACTGTACAGGAAGATGACAATGAATCAGAGTTGACTTATGAGTTGCCACCATTGAAGACTCCTTTGAAAATAAATAGACATTCTGTCGGTTCAACGTTTAAGAATCACAGATTCTCAGACGGAGATTGGAAATCAAAACCACGACCAACATCAACAACCTCATTCAACGATGCAGATGCTCTTAATGACATATTTGAGAATGAAGGTGTAAATAACAGTAGGTCTCCCAAGAATCCCGAGTACTATAAGGTTGATTTTTCTTCTCCACAACAAAACGTTGCTGTAGACCAACTCAATAAACAGATAGTATCATATAGATTGAAAATAAAATCACTATATGAGATAATAAGACAACTCAGTTCAAACAGTGAAAATGAAGATAGAAAAAGAAACTCCTATATGGAGTCAATACTTTCAAAACTCCCTCAAGATGATGAAGTTGAAGAGCTGAAGAGAACTAATATCAATCTTGAACACCAATTGAGTAAGAAAAATACTTTGCTTCATCAACTAGAGAACAGTTTACATACAGTTTCAGATGAACTGGAAAAAACAAAGAATGATCATGCTGAGACGCTGGAAATGACCAAAGAATATCTCGAACATACTGAAGAGTTGACAAAACAGATAGATAATATATTGGGTTTGTTATTGAATGAGCTAGAACTTAACGCGGATGAAAAAACCACACTTGAGAATGCACGCAAAATTGGCACAGCGTTTACAATTGTAAAAATGAAGGCTTTAGAATCGATAATACAGCAGCACATACTTGATAAAAAGAGTGGTTCACCAATTCCCAAGGATTCAAAAGATGGAAACAATGAGCTTTCAAAACAAGAGCATGCTAATGACAGCGAATATGCAATTGCCAACAGCACAGCAATACAAAATCACTTGGAAGAAGACTCTTATCAGAAAACAAAAGACGAAGACGAATTTGATGATAACTTGCTAAATTCTCAAATGGAGGAAGCAATAGAAGAACTACATAGAGAATATGACAGCTTTGTGAAAGGAATTAGGGAAAAGTTAGAAAAGTCTGAAAAACTAGAGGCTATCCTGCTTGATAAACTATCCCTACAGAAATCCAATCTAGTGAAACTTGCCGACTCAACTGCAAATGAGAACAACATGTCTAAAGATGTCATCGAGACTTCTGAGTTAGGCGATCAAAATAATAAAACGAATATGGATTTTTACAAGTCATACCAATATCATATTGACAATTTAACCTCACATATTGAGAGACTAAAACTCAATATATCTGAACGTGATGAGGCGGTGGATTATTTAAAAGAAGAAGAAGAACAGTTGAGAATAGAAATACAAAAACAAAAAGAGAGGTTCAACAGACAAATGGCAGACAAAAAAGAATTATATATGCAGAAAGAGTCAAACTGGAAAGAGCTTATTGGAAGTTATGAAGACCAGCTTGAAGAGGTTAACTTATCTAGGAAGCAGCTAAGCAAGACAGTATCGGATCTAAAAAATGAAATTCAGGAAATCTATCAGCAAAGTAGTGAAAATATGAAATTATTGGAACAAGATGTTGCTTCATTGCAAGAGAAATGCCAATCATATAATGATGAAGTCTTCCAATTATCCAAACAGAACTCCGCATTATCTGCAAAGCTTGAAGCATTTACGAAGAACTCTGAAAATCTTAAATTAATGTTTCAACAGCTTGAAAAATCTGCTAAAAATAATCAAAAGAGCTTAAATGAGACCAAACCATTTACAGATAGTTTACTGGATCACCTCAATCAAATATTCGATATTCTAGCCAAAGTTTTAGATGATCAATCGATAAGTCAGGCAAGAAGGAAACTTCGTTCTATAATAAAAATAAGCACCATAGAGGATCCTAAACTTCTTACGCACAAACTTATCACCTTATATGAATATATTGAGAGGGCAGCGGAAAGTATTGTGACAAATTACATTGAAGTCAACTCGGTGCTTCAATCCCAACCAGCCCAAACAAAAGACCAAAAACAGCTTTTATTGCGTATAGAAGATGTACAAAGGAAGTGGCTGTCTGAAAGAGAGAGAAGAAAACTAGAATCAGATATAGCACAATCAAAGATCAAGAAGCTTGAATTAGAAAATTTGCAATTGAGAGAACAGTTAAGGAAAGCACCTTAGAAATGGCATTCCAGATTTGATACTGTACACGTCATTATAGAGATATATACCCACTATAAATACAAACGAACATTTAATACCTACATTTGACCCAAAAAGGCACTCTCATTTCGAAACTATGCTCGATAATTCGTTATATAGGTTGCCTTTGTATTAACATGCGTTTTTAACGACTTATCACCTTGGCCTTTAAATTTGAAGCTCATCGAATTTGCTAACCGTGTTTTTAATGAGAGTGTACTAGTATAGGCAACAATTATCGGAAGCAAATTATTCAATTGCCTTGTATTTATCAATTAGAACCTCATCCATCCTCATAAAGTTTATCGTGTTTCCTCAAATTACTAGGAGGCTGTAACAGGATTATCAATGACAAAAGAAACCATCAGAGTCGTAATTTGTGGTGACGATGGCGTTGGCAAGACAAGTTTAATTGTATCATTAGTTAAGGGACAATTTATACCTAATTTACAAGCCGTTCTACCGCCTGTGACTATTCCTCGTGATTTTTCATCGAGCCCTTATTCACCTAAGAACACTGTGCTAATCGATACAGATAACAGCGATCCATTAGCTATCCAGAGGGAGCTTAAAAATGCGGATGTTATTTGGCTAGTATACTCTGATAAGGATTCTTACGAAAGAATATCACTATATTGGATGATAACTTTCAGGTCACTTGGACTCAACATCCCAGTAATATTATGCAAGAACAAATGTGATCAATACACAACAAACTCACCACTAGAGGATTTCTTAGATACTAAAATTGAGGATGAGGAATTTATTCCAATTCTTATGGCCTTCAAAGAGGTAGATACCTGTGTGAAAGCCAGTGCGAAGACCCATTTTGATGTTAATCAATCATTTTATCTGTGCCAGAGATCAATTTCATACCCAATCTCACCATTATTCGATGCCAAGGTAGGAGATTTGAAACCTTCAGCTGTTGCTGCCTTAAGTAGAATATTCTTCTTAAGCGACGAAGATCAGGATGGCTTTCTTAATGATAATGAAATTATGGACCTACAGCGGAAATGCTTTGGAAAGAGTATTGACTTGAATGAGCTAAACTTCATAAAACATACACTTTCAGACTTGACATCATCTGAAGAATATCCATCAGAAATACTTTATTGCCAAGGAAAAGGTCTAACAAAACAGGGCTTTATTGCTTTAAACAAGATATATACAGAGAAAGGAAGACATGAAACTACTTGGGGGATTCTAAGAGCGTTCAATTACACAGATTCATTATCAATTGATGATGCAGTGCTTTTCCCAAAAGTAAATGTTCCAGAACAAGCTAGTGTAGAACTCAGTTCCAAAGGCTATCGGTTTTTGGTTGACATTTTTATAAAATTCGATAGCGACAATGACGGTGCTTTGAATGACACTGAACTTCATACACTTTTTAGAAGCACCCCAGGACTACCGAATTTGTGGCTAGAAACAAACTTTCCGGCATCAACTGTGGTTAATGCAAAAGGCTTTGTTACACTGCAGGGCTGGCTTGCACAATGGACGATGACAACATATCTGGATTATAAAATTACGACTGCATACCTAGTTTATCTAGGTTTCCAGGAAGATGCAAAATTGGCTGTACAAATCACAAAATCTCGCCGTATGCGACGTCGTCAGGGCAGATTGTACAGGTCATATGTCACAGATCGTAAGGTTTTTAATTGTTTTGTTGTTGGTAAAAGAAATAGTGGAAAATCATCTCTGCTAGAATCATTTCTAGGAAGATTATTCAGTGAAGCCTATTCGCCAACAATTCGACCTCGAGTAGCTGTTAACAATGTGGAAGTGACTGGAGATAAACAATATTATCTGATTCTACAGGAATTCGGTGAGCAGGAAGAAGCAATTCTCCAAAATCCATCGAGGCTTGCTGAGTGCGATGTATTGTGTCTAACATATGATTCTAGTGATCCTGAGTCTTTTTCTTATCTATTGGAGTTACTGACTAATAATGAGATAATGAAAGATATACCTGTTGTATTTGTTGCCCTTAAAGCCGACCTAGATAAGCAGCAGCAGAGATGTAAGTTTCAACCTGACGAATTTACAGATACTTTATATCTTGACCACCCTTTACATGTTTCTTCCACTTGGTCAAGTTCTTTGAATCAGCTATTTAAAAAAATTATTCAAGCTTCATTGGAACCGGGAAAATTTACTCCAGGCTTCCCACCAGATATCAAGCCGACAAACATAGATTATAGTTCAGCTGTAATTTTAGGATCTTCTATAGGATTTCTGGCATTATTTTCATACACAATGATAAAATTACTAAAACCTACCCAACAGTGATAAACTTTTAATCAAGTTAAAATCTTGTTTAAAGACCCCCCCCCCCCCAGATCTACAAATAAACACATTCAGAGATTGGACATTAGTCACATAATTGCTGGCAACTTGTGCTGACCCTTCCATCAATGGTGTTTGTATTCATAACATTTTAAATATCTACAAAATTTCACTTATGTAAATATAAACAAGTAGTATCTTATTCTTGACCAAGATAAATATTAATTGAAGTCATTACCAAACAGAAAGTCATAGTCAAACAAGTCAAGTCCGCCAAAGAAAGCAGCATAATCTGGGTGAAGTGGATCTTTTCCTGCTTCTGACTCAGAGGAAGCTGCAGAATGACCTCCATTGGCATTCAACTTGGAGGTTTGTTCGGCCATTGGTGTAAATGTGTTGGGCGATAATAGATTTGTATCTCTCGGACCCGAGTGCCTTGGAACCATATTTTGGAAGTCCAGGTTTTGACTGAATGCCATTGCAGTGGACAGCTTTTCTAAATTATCCATACTTGGGTTCCAATTTTTGTATAGCGTATTTCCAGTACCAGGTTGTACTGAAGGTTCACGATTAAAGGCACCCTCATGTATATTACCCATGTGATCGTGAACAACCTGACTTAATGTATTAAGCTCATCAACACTGAATTCAACCATGTGATTATTTGATTTTAAGTCCTTTACCAAAGCATCTCGTTTATCAAGTTTGACACCCAATGTTAAGTTTAGCATTTTCACAATTTTAGAATGAATTTTCTCCATCCTGGAAACCTTAAAAATACCTAGTAATAGTTCTCCTTTACGCATATTCTGTATCACTACATCAAATAATGCAAGCATCTTGAAGATCGGGAAGTATGTAAATCTCAAGTGCTCAGATGCTGCATTGTAGGTACTTTCTAAAGCAATCTCCAAGTTTCTTTGTAAAACAGTGAGAACTTCCATCTTGCTATTGATTTCGGATAGATCAGTGTCCTCCTTTTCATTAATGATATCTTGTGATAAAGAATATAAGCTATGTGTCGCAAAACCCACCCTCATCAATGCACCCAATATACTAAACACTGTAGATGAAAAAGAGAGTTGTATCACTTTTAAAACATTGTAATTTGTTGAAGATGACAGACTATCACTATAATCCCCATTGAAGAATTTATTTATGTACCCCATCAAGACTAATGCATCAGTACAGCTTTTATTGAAGTACTTGAAGTAGTATTTCAGCATTGATTTGTCATTCGGGACAACAGATTCAAAATGGAGAAATAAAGCCATAGATGTTCTCAATAACAATAACCGACTAACAATTTGTGTATGTAATGATGTGGAATTAATCGCCAGCAAAACGCTATTATTAACTTTACTCTCACTATCAGCATTAAGCTTAACAATGGGAAAGTTATCGTCAGTATAGTTTTCGATCTTATCACGCAGGTTTTCCAAATCTGACAACAGAATACTATTTCTGTAAGTCATTGTCATGACATCTAGATCTGATAACAATAATACAAGTTTTACTCTTCTCAATGAATGAATATGAAGCTTCAGAACTTGTTCAGCATAGGGCGAGTCAACCAAATCATTCTTCACTCTATTAATATAAACGTCATCTGCGTTTGGATTTTTGATATCCAGAAACAATGCCATCATAGAAGCCGATGAAACAGAATGCCTACCCTTCAAACTTGATTCAAATGAGCAAACTGTAACGACACTGAGCCATAACAATCTTCTGTGATTTAATAGTCTACGATCAGGAATACTTGATTTTAGTTGTGGGAAATCAGATGGATCACGATGAAGTCCAATTGAAGTTGCTAACATCATAACCAAACTACTGATAACATCTGTAGGATGTTCTAAAAACAGATCACCTTCTTCAGGTGAAAAAACAAAAAATGCCCAAACATATAAGACACATGCAATTATATTTTCATTAGCACACGCACACCAATTTTCTGATGCAAGACATTTTTGTGCGAGCAATACAAAATTATTGGAAATTGGATATTGAGCGATAATGTTTGTATCAACATCCAATGCACTGTGCTGTACATTGTCTTCTGCAAAATTCAACGATATGTAGGATAATTTCAAAATTACCATTAAGATAGACAAGTTCTCCATTTTCATTCTCAAATGATTATTTCCTAATCTTAATTTAATCTTAGCTGGATTATTTTCATCTCTGAAAAGCACGTCACTTAATGTTTCTTCAAACATTTCCTTCTCTAAAAAGGGCAATGCAGGATAAATATACTGAAAGAAATGCTGCTTATAAACCTCAATAATCTCATATGGTGGTAACATTTCTTCGATTTCTGTAATAAAGCTCTTCAAGATATCCGAATACTCACCATTACTCTGGCAATGATCTTCCAAAAATTGGTGTCCCAAAGTGTTATATAACATCGAAAGAATCATCCCATTTTTCAAATTTTTAGAAGTATTGGTATTTTGTAAAATCCTCTCAGTAAATTCATCAACTCTTCTCCTCTGAGAGTCAGTATGACATTGGCGAAGTAATGTCTCCTTAAGCTTCAATGCACTAGACCTAACACTTGGTTGAGCCCTTGTCACATTAGCATTAGCAGTCAGAGCTGGAATCATTGTATTCTGAGAGGGATCCAAAAAGATCGAAGCTATTAACGATGTTAAAAATTTGTCTTGAATAAAGAGATAATTTTCTGATAAAGGCTTAACCTCCCTTTTCATTACTCTGCTAACAATCAGAGTCGGATGCGTCCTATACAGATTAATCTCAATTGAATCGTCATCGTTATTCTCTCCATTTATATTGTAAGAATCTAGCCTTGGTCTCTTATAGTCCGATTCTCTGCTTTCGCCATCCGACTCATAATCTGAATTCATATTTTCCAGACTACCACTAGATACATTGCTATCTTTATTGACTGGCATGCTCTCTTGCTCTTGCATCAACTTCATCGCCTTATTTTTCCAGTAGTCTACATCCCTACCAAGACGAGCTATAGTAGCATCTTTACTTGGTATTCGAGGGGCACTCTGTTTGGCCATATCATACACACATTCTAGTTTTAGTTTCTTGCACCTCGTACATATAGGTTTCTCCTTGTCACAACGTGTCTTTGATCTCCTACAGGCCTGGCAAACAAAGGAAATCCTGTTCCTCTTCCTGGTCCTAGCAGCATTACCTTCAGGGGAACTACCACTCCCCACAACAGACATCTTTAGTAGCTTACTTGAATAGGTTTGACTAATAAAGACACCTTACCTTTCTCGAATTGCAAACACCCAGTAAATTTCAATCGCTATCGTAATCCAACTTTGCAACAGAAAGCTAAGGGAAAGACCAAATATATACACTCAGACCGTCTAATAAAGTACAGTGATTAGACTAATAAATCTCAGCGATGAAAGTCTAAAGTAACTGTTCAATCAATATATTGTCAAGTCTGTTTCCCTTTATTAACGAAATGTCAAAGTTATTGTTGTTTGAGATTTTTTTTTGCGGAGATTCAAGGTGACATATATTGTAAGTCCTAAGAGAGTCTCAAATTAATGAAGACAAATGACTACTTTGCATACCCTAGGTGGGTGATAAACTGGCTAGTAGAAAATAAATAGACAAAATGGTTTCTTTCACAAAGACGTTCTTGTATTTAAGGCGGTGGTAATGCCGCCTTTGTATGGGTTCTATATACTATTATGTACAGATACTCCGATGTTTCCGGAAACAGTCATTCGATCTGCCTTAAATCGAAGACAAGTTTCTATCTTAGCTCTATATATTTCAAAAATTTTAACCATGAAAAGAATTGAATATTATATATACATTTCTTATTTGAAGATATCAATAAAATACACTTAGATAACATAAAAACAACCAATGCTCTCTACTGAAAGAAATAAAGGAGAATAATAGAAAATAAAAATGGGAAATGTTAAAACACAGGAAATGAATGCTACATTATTTTGATGCTGGGATATTAAGATCATTTTCACAAGAAAGAGCCGTCGTCACGGGAAAAAGACTGGTTCTTACCTGAGAAGAAACTGGTCTCTGGCTTCCGCAAGTTGTCGTTCTTAGTGGCTCCACTAGCATTTTGAGATGGAACCTTCAAATAGCCGTGATTATTATAATTGGATAAATTTTGAGCTCCCGTAACTGCAGAGGCAGGTTCAAGAGGCTGTGGATCATCGTTATTACTGTACGATCTTACTCTGTTAGATTGAGATGAGGTAGTATACGTACTGAATTCGTCATCAAACAGTACCCTGTTACCAGTTGCATTATTTGTCCTAACAAATGTATCATCTCTAATCATCTTCTCTTGCTCAGTTTCATTTGTGTCCATGACAGCCTGTTTCAATTCAAATAATTCAGCCTCCGACCCATTCTTCTTATCGCCACCGAAGTAACCACTATTACCATTGACAATCTTTGGAATAAAGGAAACACGGTCGTCCTTCATCTGTTGGTAGCGAACGTCTGGGTTCCTGTGCAACAATGCTAGTGTACATGTGATTATGGTGAATACTAGCAAGAACAAAGCAAATGCGGCATTTAACACAAACAATATCACAGCCATAACAGATGAGACAACTGCTGGTTGTTTGAACAGGTTACTGAAGAACAGGAAGAATAAAGCATTGATGAAGTTCACCAGGTGAATGGCGATATTGAAAACATTAGTTCTTTTATCCAAGTATGGGCGGTAGTAGCAAAGGGCAACGAAATAAAATAGCTCGATCAAAAATATGATCATAGCCTGAGCTTTACCGTGAGTTTGCAGAACAGCAACAAATAGGGATCTAAAAAATGCGTAGGTCAACAAAGGCAATAACCACCAGAAAGTATCTGCCTTGAACTGCACATATAAGAAACCGTAACGGTTTAAAAAGTTTGTATCACTGTACAGTAGATATGCAGGGTTCTTGTATAATCTCAGAGACTCTCTACCTTTGATAAACACCCTTGTGGTTCCATATATCAACAGACCTGTGACAATCAGGAACATAACTACCGCATCAACCACAGCTGCTGGAGAATCTCTTTGTGTGAATTCCCAGATCGTTAGCAGTGTAATTTGGGGGAATGCGATAATAGCAAGTCTAAACAAGGTACCCTTGATGATACTACCCCAGTTCTTTCTGTATTGGAAAAAGTTTGAAGTTTCAGGTAGGATCTTAGCTCTTGTCAAGAGTTCCAGCAGCGCTTTGAAGAAGATCAGACCTATGATCAAGCAGAAGACAAAGAACAAGAAGAACACGACACCCGTCAGGAAGAAATTTGACAACTCGATGTTGGCTTTGAATGCCACTCTTTGTATGCCTCTCAGGACCAGGATCTTGTTTGAGTAGTTTTCTGTGTTTCTTTCATTTGTGGTGTACAATTGGGAGTCGTCCAGGATAGAGTCGAAGTTTGAGTCGCTTGAGGAGGCGACGGAGATACCTCTCTTCAGCAGGTTCCATGCTCTCCGCTGGACACTGATGGACAGGATGTCCTTGTTGGAGACCACCACTGTTGAGACACCGTTGGTGGCCTGGATGTACCAGTCGAGCGCCTTCTGCATGAACTCGACGGAGATGATACCCATTGACCACTGGAAGTTCTGGGTCCAAGCGGCGGCCATGGGGGGTACACGGGAGACACCCATCATTGCTGTGATGGCGAGGTTTTGGAAGTATATGAAAAGGGAGATGGAGTTGGAGGCGATGTGCGCGGAGGTGGCGCTGTAGCCGATCACTGAGACGAAACCGGCGGTCAGCAGACCCAGGCCTGAGACCGCTGCGATGGGCCAGGAGGCGTACTTGGTCTGGACGGTCTTGTCGTTGCTCAGGATTGCCTGCACGCACGCGAGCGGGGTCTTGTAGTCCGTGTCGTCCTCCGAGTAAGCGACGACTCTGATCTGGGCGTCGAGGTCCGGAATGGTGTAAGCGATGCCGGGGATCTGGTCAGTGACGTCGCTGTCTATCTGGTAGGAGGAGGAGACGTCTATTCTCCCGCTCGCGAGCGGGCACAGGGAGACCTCGTTCAAGGAGCACAGGTTGAAGGTCTTGTCGAGCACTTTCAGCCCGTAAGCGATCAGCTCTGCCTTGACCACGATCTTACCGTTGATGATTGTAGATGCGTCGACTTTGAAGATAACGGTCTTGTTGTGCGGGTAGAACTTAACGTCGAAGAAAGACGCGGTGAACTGCGAGTTGTCCATGCATGTCAGCAACGAGGACGTCTTCAAGTGTTTCTGCGACGCCGTAGCGCTGCTTATCAAGAGCACCAACCACAGGTACAGTGTTCGAAGCAGCATTTGTGTGTGTGTGTGTATGTGTGTGTGTGAGTGGGTGGTATGCGTTAGTGGGTAAAAGTTGTATAGGGTCCAAGATGCTATTGCTTATATATTGTTCTAGTGAAGTTACTACTAAAAATAAACATTATCGCTGCCGGAGGCAGCGATAATGTATTAGAAGTTCAGAAGTTCAGAAGGTCAGAAGTTCGGAAGGTCAGTAGGTCTGTAGGTCAGAAGGTCAAAAGATTAGAAGAGTAGAAGGGATCGACAGTAAGAGGCTTATTACGCGTCCGAGCCCCAGGCCCACAGGGCTCATCAAGAAAATTCTGCTGCGTCGGTGGGCATAGAGACGCAAGAGCAGCGAGAGCAGCGAGAGCTGCGAGAGACACGGAGAGGCATTTGGAAATGACGTCAGTTTTGTTAATTAAAACCCGTTCTTGTGATATCATGTGATGCACGTACTACAAGATACACATATGTGTATTTGCTCACTGCTCTTTGCAACTGCTCTTTGCAACTGCTCTTTGCAACTGCTATTCGTACAATCGATGCCACTTTAGTTGTTTCAAGGATTAGATGTGCAATTGAAGTTTGATTTATGAATGGGGTGTATATGTAGAGTATAAAAGATAATTGAAATCGGGGAAAGATTATGATTAAATAACAATGTATCAAGAGGAAAGGAAAGGGGCCATGACGGTGTTAGGCAATGGAAATGGCAATGGCAATGGAATGAAAGTTTAAAAAAAAAAATAGTAATTAATGCTGTGTAATAATGCTTCTTTTTTCTATGTTTGAATGTAAGATATCTCTTAAAAACAAAGACAAAGGGTACCTGATTCTCAGTCCTGAGAGACAGTGGTGTCGGACCTTGAATCATCTACCCCTTGATTGTTCCAGAATCGTAATAATAAGTTGGCATATCTTTGCAACTTATCCACGGATATTAGTAGCTCGAAATCACATAGAACAAGGAATTGTAACTCTAAATGATTTAGTTCTGATAAGGAAATACCACCAACACGGGCATACCTGGAGTTGGAATAGAAAAAATCACTGAAAAATTTTGTACATACGGTGACACCGGCTATCACCAATCTGTGTATGTTATATGAATCCATGACGAACAATTGATCGGCTGGGGAAGTATCCGCGGATTCACTATCTGAGCTGTTGCATTTTTTCGAGATTCTATCAAAGTATACTAATAATGAGAGAAAGACGTCATTTGTGGTTGGACAGTACTTTTGAATTCTCTGAAAATACTGGTAGAGTGTAATTTGAGGAACATGCTTACCTTTAAAGCTGAGAATGCTCTTGAGATATTTTTCTTTATCTGTACCTTTGACGCTCATAAGTTTGCTATCTGTCAATGATTCATCGTCATCGTGGTCTTCGTCTTTGTCTTTATCTTTGTATGGTTCCATTTGATCATTAGATTTTATTATCTTGTTCAATAGTGCTGTCAGCATCTCAAGCAGCTTATCAGTAGGGAACTCAGCGATGTTTAGCTCTTCTTCGACTTCTTCAATTTCTTCTGTCTCCGACTTGGCATTTAGCTTGGTTCTATAGTGTGATCGAATAAACTTCAGTTGTTCTTCATGGTTGGTTAACATATCGGCGTCATCATTATCGTCATCATTATTAATAGTACATGTGTCATTATCATTTTCAGTAGCAGATTCATGGCCAGGATAGTGGTCTCTTCTTGTCAAGTTTTCATCGTGGGCAAACGACACTCGAGGTTCATCTCTCTCAGTGGTCCCCAATATAGTTTCATCGCGAGTGGTATGGTCATATGCTGGTCTGGCAATGCTCTCCCGCAGACTTGCCATCTCATCGGCTGGATTGGTAGGACTTTGTAAAACCTCGACAGTACTGGACACAGTGTCATTACTCGATATTAGATGGCTAGTGTTAGTGTTCGACGCTATCGAATTCGTTTGTAGCAGTGTATTGTCCCGAAACGGAGAATGCGAAGACTGCGAGCTCGCAAGCGTCTCCTCAGTAGTCACAGAAGTACCCATCGGAAGATAGCCACTGCCCGTAGTCGCCACACTCGGCGTCGTACGCGGATAGCTCGCTATTGTGCTCGATGACGCATTGTTATTCACCACAGTCCTCCCACTCCGCGGTATCGGAATGCTTATCGGCGTGCTAGATGTGTTGTCTCCACTGCTATATGACATCCCTAGTCTTGGATCAGCTGAAGACATTTAATTTCTACCTGATTAGTTTTATTTTATTTATTTATTTTTTTCTTGACTTGTATTATAACCCTGTTTGCAATCTCTTATTATGTTGTAATTCGTTTATCCTCGGCGTGTGTTAAAGTCTAGTCTCTAAAAGATACAGATATTTGTAAATGGTTATTTGATATGTATAGGTTCAGCAAATGTTAAGAATGGCAGGTTTGTGTTTTGATAGCCATGGGTAGGATAGCAGTTTTATTATTCTCGTTAGTCCTTTTTTTTTTCCTTTAAAGAGAGCAAAGTCGCGATCCGTCAGTGAAGAGATCAATGATAAGCATGAGATGAGTTATTGTGTGTGAATAGAGTACGACGGGAGTGATCAATGGAGGAAATGTACAAAGAACGCACGTATTGGTCCTTTACCTTTATTTGCAAGATCCCCACTACGCACTGTTAAATTTGGTGACTTACAAGAGATAGGGACTTCTAACAGGTGTGTTATCTGTGTATTGTAAGTGTATGTTAAGGTGTTTTACCAGGTAGGTACCTCATCGAGACGGTGTCAAAGCTACAAATTGTTGTTATCTCTCGATGCTGGTGGTTGTTGTTTTTTGACCTCTTTGAGTGGAGCAACTCTCCAATTTCATAGTAACCTATTTGGCTTATAACTACAGTGGAGATACAATTCCATTTGCCCCCAACAACTAGCACTTCCCAGAAGTGACCTTGATTCTTATTTTTACAAAACTCTTCTTGCATCAATTGTTGACTTCCATAGCAATATATATAGCTGTGTAAGATAGATCGGTGCCAGCAGTGTCTTGCTTGCAATCTGCTTTTCTTGTGCTGCTCTTCATATCATATATATAGGGAAAACCTGAAAAATTGTGAAAAAAAAAAGGATTTGTATAAGAAGTCCTCTTAATTCGATACTTTAGTGGTTGCCTCTTTTTTTTAGTTTTGGAGTGGGGAAATATATAATTTATTAGAAATACAGTTTAATGTTTGGACTAAAAGCAAGAAGTTTAATCATGACTAGACAATTGTCCAAGTTGACCCCAGTTATCAGTGCCAATGCACCACCAGCTGCTGCTTCATACTCTCACGCCATGAAGGTGAACAACTTGATCTATGTCTCTGGTCAAATTCCATACACCAAGGACAACAAGCCAGTTGAAGGCTCTATCAGTGACAAAGCTGAGCAAGTCATCCAGAATGTGCAAAACATCTTGAAGGACAGCAACTCCGACTTGAACAGAATTGTCAAAGTCAACATCTTCTTGGCGGACATGAACAACTTCGCCGAGTTCAACAAGGTCTACGCCAAGTACTTCAACGTGCACAAGCCAGCTAGATCATGTGTCGCTGTCGCTGCTTTGCCACTCGGTGTTGATCTAGAGATGGAAGTCATCGCCACTGAGGTTGAATAAATCCACGCTCGTCTATAGAAGTAGAAATGAAGATTATATAATCCATACGGTAGGGAAAAGAACAATATAGGCTATCGATTTTTATATTACATAGAGATTTTTGAAAATATAGAAAATGAGCTTGCTCAATTGATGCTTAAGGACAATATGACGTTTTATACTCTCCTTATATCGACTAGATGAGTGCATGTTGTATGTAAAGCTTGTATTTACTTGATGACTATTACTGTGGCTGACCTTCACAACTCTGCACATCTCTGTATACGGTAGCATAAAGTGTGATCTCCACTAGCAGTACCTCAGGAAACGTTATAGATGATATTACGTATGATTTGGTTATTCCGTATGTAGTGTTAGTTATTTTGTGACTACACAGATACCAGAACACCCAGACATACACCCAGACATACTTTTGCTGCTAAGTGTTTGTATTTTTTCTGGAATTGTGTTCAGCTGTGAAGCGGGACTAATGGAGGGGGGATTCGGTAGGAGAGATGGTTTGGGAGGCTATTGAGGGTACCGGGGAGTGCTGGAGTTCAGGCAACTGTTCAGGCATCTCTTCCGGTCTAGCATGACGGCACTTTCCTGTGCGATGGGAAGATGATGTATGGGAAGCAACGCTAGCTCGAGCTGGCTAGCACACCGCAAGCCTGCTCTATCACGTACTGGCACTGAGTTAGAGTGTATCTCAACCACCGTCACACTGCCCGTTAGTGCAGCAGCACAAGCACCAAATGGCCGGGTTGGTGTTGCACCCAGCAGGGGACTTCCCTTTCACGTTCACACCCTTACACTAGCCACCATTGCCCTTGGGCCTAGTAGCATTAGGCTAGGCAGGGATGGGTCCTCTCCCCCCCCCCAGCTGTAACACCCTCCTTCTAGCAACATCCTAGCGTCGCTGCGTTGCTCCCTACTCTGAGACTTGCCCACTGCAACAACAAACAGCAGGAGTTCAGAGTCTCACTCTTTCCCATCGTGTCGGAGGTACACATCGTTCTCTGTGGGAAAACTGGAAAATTTCATCGAACAGCTTCTCTGGCAAAATATTCCAACCAGAGTAATACCAAAGTGCAAAAAAAAAAGTTGGAATAGCATTTGATATAACCATATTAAAGGGCTATTATATTTATTAGTCGCCGAATTTTCATATACTGAATCGCTTCAAGACCCTAAAGACAACCAAAGATGGCTCAACGTGTTACCTTCAGAAGAAGAAATCCATGTATGTTATAGAAATATTGAAAGATTTACCAGATATTACACAGATGTTCATTACAATCCATTCCCAAGATAGTATACCTGCCAGATAGGACAAAAGCGTGAGAGTGGTATACCCAAACAGCGTGGAGTGAAAATATAGACTACACTGAAACAATTCTGCGGAGGTTTAAGATATGTGGTTTTATCAATGCGCAATGTATTAGGACATAATTATGCTAATGTTTCCCATATTATGACACAGCGATAAACTATTCAAGAACAGTTGAAATGAACTAGGTGTGAAATATGTGCATCACAAATCTGTATTAAAGATATGAATTACTAACATTCAATTTTGTAAAAAAACTTTCACTATGGTATTTTATAAATGTGAGACTCTATTACTTTTATTGTGGTTATTTGTTAAAGCTATAAATCTCTCAGTTGTTAAGTTGGTACAGTAATTGCCCTGTGGAGGATGATCAAAACTGTTGACTGACCAAAATTGCATTACCGATTGAATAAATTTTGTGTTGAAATGTTTATGAAATGACTTATATTACTAATTGCGTGATGAAGAGAATTCCATATGGTTAAAACTATTGATTGTAATAGCAATGAGAGTAAAGATTGGGAATCACATTTATATAAAGCCAACGAAGAGCTTGCAAACTAGTTTATACAGACAACACTCGTTCCAACAAGATCAAGGTTGTTAAGACCCCAGGTGGTATCTTGCGTGCTCAACACGTCAAGAAGTTGGCTACCAGACCAAAGTGTGGTGACTGTGGTATTGCTTTGCCAGGTATCGCTACTTTGAGACCAAGACAATACGCTTCTATCTCCAAGACCCACAAGACCGTCTCTAGAGTCTACGGTGGTTCCAGATGTGCCAACTGTGTCAAGGAAAGAATCGTCAGAGCTTTCTTGATCGAAGAACAAAAGATTGTTAAGAAGGTCGTTAAGGAACAAACCGAAGCCGCCAAGAAGGCTGAGAAGAAGGACTCCAAGAAGAAGTCTACCAAGAGACAATAAGCCAACAATCATATATTAATTTAATAATATAAATCTCATACAACCCATTTTTTTGTATTTCATATAAAGAATAAAAAATACGTGGAAAGTTTTCATAAATTCACATATCTGTGCCAATTACCTTAATTTTATAATTTATTAGAAGCTGCATTATATGGCATACGTTTTATTACTAAACACAAGGCGAACCCTACACCAAGACTTGTTCTAATGAGGTGGATGCCTTTGTTCACCCGCTATCGAATGATCTCCTTATATCTGTGTATAGTAAAGTAAAATTGGATAGTGAAATTGTTTAATTGGTCATTATTAGGTTATATTATTAATTCATATACATATAAAACTAAAGAGGGGCATGGGCACGAGGAAAACTACTATCCTCTTTCTATCAAGCTCATGTCTCTAATTCTATAAAAGACAATTGATATTGGTTATTCATACAATTTATTTTTTTTGAGGGGGGAATCAGAAATCACAATCTAGGATTCTGTAATTACCACTTCAACAAGTCATCCTTGGCGTACAAGTAGTCATCGAAGATGAATTCGACTTCATCGGTTTCTGGGTTGTAACCGCCAACTCTGATGGATTCGTGGTTCTTGACGATGATGTCACAACCCTTTTCCTTTAGGAAGTCGACGTCGAAGGTAGTGGCGATACCGATGATCTTACAACCGGCAGCTTGACCAGCAGCGATACCAGCTGGGGCGTCTTCGAAGACAACAACCTTGGACTTAGATGGGTCTTCCTTGTTGATTGGGTAACCTAGACCTTCTCTACCCTTGATGTATGGTTCTGGGAATGGCTTACCTTGCTTGACATCGTTAGCGGTGATGAAGTATTCTGGTCTGTCGATGTTCAAGAACTTGAACCACTTTTGGGCCATGTCTCTGGTACCGGAGGTGGCAACAGCCCACTTCTCCTTTGGCAACTTGTTTAGGTCAGTACATAGCTTGACGGCACCTGGGACCTCGATGGAGTGTTCACCGTACTTTTCTGGGATTTCACCTTCTAGCTTGTTGACGTATTCTTCATCGGCGTAGTCTGGAGCGAACTTAGCGATGGCATCGTAAGTTCTCCAACCGTGAGAGATGTGGATAACGTGTTCGGCGTCGAAGTATGGCTTGTCCTTACCGAAATCTCTCCAGAAAGCAGCGATAGCTGGTTGAGAGATGATGATAGTACCATCGACATCGAATAGAGCGGCGTTAACCTTCAAAGAAACTGGCTTAGCTAGAGACATTGTTAATAAATTTGTTTGTGTGTGTGTGTGTTTTGGTTTTGATTCTCTATAAGAGTAAGAATGAAAGGAAATTAGCTAATCTACTAATCAATACAAGCTTATTATATATGTTTTTTTTTTTTGTATATTGATCATCATCTAGAATAGATTGCAAAAAAAAAAGTAATTCTAAGATAGTCCCAGTTTTAAAAAAAAATTTTCTTTTTATCGATCATCTGCAAATTGATAAATAAAAATATAATACTGGAGTATGAGTCTATTATCCAATATACTCGAGACATGACGCTATGTCAAAGGAAAAAAGAAAGAGATGCAAGATTTCCAAGTTATTCCGATTGTACGTCAGTTTTAGTGAAGGAGTTTTTCCTGCCTTTCTTTCTTTTTTTAATCCATATCTGTGAGAAGTCCCATTGTCCTGGATAGTCCCTAGCCATCACAGATCACAGGAGTGTATCACAGGAGTATTACAGAGGAGTATTACAGAGGATACGGGATCCAGACGCAACGGAACTCAGGTGCAGCACCACGTCAGTGCACAGGTGAAGGGACTTATCTCAAAAGACGTCACATGGCCAAAAAGTTTCTGGTATTTTTGACCCTCAGAGCCCCTTCACCCAATGCACTTCCTGGGAGGGAAGGGAAGAAGAATGACATCATGTGGGAGAAAGGAAAGTCCCCAGTTCTCTTTCCCACCATCGCTGCTGTTGCACGGCGAAAAATATCAACACAAGTACTACTGTGGAAGAAGAGGGTGGGTAGCCTTGCCAAACCCCATGGAGGTGTTGGCAGGTAGTATAGTACGTACATCGTTACGTTGAATGTCGTCCATGATAACAACGACTAGTGGATTCCCGAGACATGTATGTGGTGCAAGGGTTTTTTAGATGTTCAGCTACTGGAGAGAAAGAGATATCACTTTTCGCACAGAGTGATGTTATTGGCTGGGTTCGTGGAGAGGCACTTTATCCGACTCTTCCAGAATTGTTCTCTTTTACCCTGCCAAGTCTCTCAAAAAATGAAGTTCCCTTTGACGAGAAATTCCGATTTTTTCTGTGAAATGGAGTGAGCAGTTCTTTCTAAGCCTCTCTTCCTACAACTCTTCTGTACTAGGAGGAAGGGAATCACTGCGGGGGGGGAAGCTCTGCGTATGTGTTCTAGTGACTAGCGCATCAGTCCGTTGTAGTGCAGTGCAAGTGCAGTACAAACGTGGACTCGTTGCGGTCTGTGCGGTCTGCAATCTGCAACTTGTGATCTGTGTGATCTGTGCGTACTGCTCTGTGCAAAAGAAGAAAACAAAGGCAAAGGGAATTGATGGTGGGGGTCTCTCTCTCTGGGTATTCTTATCCCCCACCCCCCATCTTCAAAGTCACTACGGGCGATTGTTAGGAATGTATAAGGTCCTGAATATATCCCAGAGAATCAGAAATTCCTTCCCACCAGGAAAAATTAGATTACTTTCCTGGAACCCTTTCAGGACTTTTTTATATTGATGGGGACCCTTAATTCTTAAATTCCTATTGCTAATTTGGCATTGGGCATTGGCATTGGCTTCTATAGTTCTTAATTCTTTTGAAATGTGATAAGGAGTCTGAGAGAGAGAGAGAGGTCCCTTAAAATATAACTTAGAAGACCAGAAGAAGAAAAGTAATAAGGAATCTTTCACAAAAACAAAAATAGCCGGAAGTGTATTTGGCTTCTTTTATAAATTGTACAAACAAACTGAATACTCCGTTCCCACCCCTCCAAAATCTTTCATGTATAGCAATATATATTAGACTGGATATACAAAAAAATACAAGCGTACTATATATAGAAAAGCAAGGCAAATGGTATTGCATGTGAGGATAGATAACTTACCGCCGGATAAGTCATGGAGTCAGGTGAGGCAGCTGGTCGGGTCCATAGTGCCTCCCTCGCTGGTGCTGCAAGTGAAGATGCTGCCACCGATGTCCTCTATGGTGCCACCTTTCCAGCTGATAAAGAGCTGTGTGGTGACTCTGAAGGGAAACATCGACCAGATGACGCTGCAGAACTTGCTGATGGGCATAAACAGTTACCAATGGGACTACTTTGATCTCTACGGGTACGTCATACCTTACCCGATGGACATGAACGTGGACTATAGCAATAGCAACCCACTGTCGACGTCCCCAAGTGTAGATACCAGCAACGAGGATTACATGTTTATGGGCTCGCCTACAAACCAGTCGCTCTACTACATGCCGCAGTCCCCACCTGGGTCCGGGCTGGTGTCCCCGCCCGCTGGCACGACAATGACTATGCCACCCCCAGGTGCTCCTCCGCCAGTAGCGTTCGAATACATGATGCCACCGGCCAGCAGGTATATCTACCAGGAGAGGCCGCACGCAAACTTCTCGGCTGGGCCGGCGTTCCACTACGGCGGGTACCACCGGTACAACAGGCATAGCAACGACAGAAACGGAAATTACTCTAGCGATAGCACAGACGGATACACAAAAGATATACTGCCCTTGCTCAACAGAGACAGGCCCACGGATCTCAACATGATATCGAAGGACATGCTCAGGACGAAGAACCCCGACGCCAACAGCACCAGACTGAAACAGATATTCAACGAAATAAGCTTCAGAAAGCAGATGACTAACAGAGGCATGTGGCAACTGAAGCTGGAGAACTTCCCGCCTTTCATCCAACTAGATTCCTTGGAACCTCTAAGCCCTCAGGAACCGAAGGTTGACGTGGACATTGTGCTGGAATCAAACAAGATAGAGAAGTTTGGACGGTTAAGGTGGAGTATACTGAAGGATTACATCAAGCTGAAGTGTCCAAAACTGTTATCACTGTGTGAGTCTTCAACAGTGGATACCGGAAATGGTGTGTTGGTGTCAAACGTGAACAACACACGCGAGTTCTACGTAGGGGTATATGAGGACCATGAGGAGCAAAAGGTTATTGACGTGATAAACCCAGAGACGGACAAAAACTATGTAGGTAACATCAGCATTGAGCCCGGCAGGTACAGGGCCAAAGTAGTTCGTTATAGTGCGGTGGTAGGGTTTCATGACAAGGAGATATGTGATCTTTGCCTAACCGCACTTCAGGGCCAAGAATATCTTCTAGGATATAAATTGCAGGCAAGTGAGCTACCACCATTTGAGGAAGAGGAAAAGGCAAGTTAACGGAAAGTCTTTATATTTTTATGCATTACCAAGGCAGCATTTTCATTGTTTCTTTTTTTTTTAAATTTTAATTTTTTATTTGATTACCTTCGTGGTCGCATAATCGCCGTTCATTTTTGATCATATATTCTGCACATGATTAATATTCATTATATTTAGACTCTATTTAGCAATTCATAGTAGATAATTTATAATTTCATTTAATCTTCAATTCTCGTTACCCCTGATCGGCAGACTACACCGTTAGCTACAGCCAAGAGAATTTGTAAAGAATGTTCGTCAGATTAATAAGGCTTTATTTTTAAGTACTGTAACATGCAAATCTATTTTTTTTTTATGGAGTTTTGTTATATATAACGTCTATATAGTTAACAGTTAATGAGTAACGTATATCAAAAAGTATTGATACAATGCAAGTGGTATTCGTTATGGAATAAAAAGGTATCATAATGAAACCGATGAAGCTGGGATGCAGGAAGTAAAATTTGAGAAAAGGGGTTCTTAGCGACCTTGTGATAGGTTTTTATGCAAGAAATGAAGAAACTTAATGAAACTTAAATTTAAAGCAAAGGTTGGTATACTGGTTGAGGCAACGTGTTGTTTGGGAACCTCTCACGAGAAGAGTTGTTAGAGTAATTTGAAGGCGTTATAATGGTTGGTGGAGGAGGTGGTACCATCTGCTCGTTCTGAGAAGGTAATCCGTTCTTACCCATTCTTCCTATGATGTCATCTAGTGCTTTCACACTATTTGGTCTTGTTGGAATTGGGATAGATGGTACAATGCTGCCCGTTGTGATTCCAGTATCACTCAGTTTTGGAACTGCTTGATCTGTTTGTCTTATCTCCAAGTGGATTTCATTATTAGAGAGATCGTTGAACAACCTGGATAGAATGTCATCATTGATAATGCTTCCATTGAAGAACAGGCCCAATGAGAAATCTGAGTTGACAATATTGAAGAGGCTCTTGCAATTTTCCATTATCTCTATGATCGTTGGAGTTCCGTTGCTTAGTTGGTGGAATGTGAAAACATGCTCGTTATCACGGTATTTGATGTACACCTTCTTGTTGATGTCCTGGTTTGCACTCTCGGGTTTCATTGGTAATGTGGACAGCAGAGTGGCTCTCTGGGATGCGGAGGTCGGTATAGGGTTCACGAGGTGGCTCGACTCGCTGCTGTTATCGCTCATGGCTTGGCCGTTGTTGTTGTTGTTGTTGTTGTTGTTGGTAACTAGAGGGTACTGTGTCATGATGAGGTGGTGAATAGCCTCACTCAGCGGGTATAGGCACGGATCGAAGCCGAAGTCCTTCACTATACCGCCTACTAGTAAGTAAAGGGTCTTTATCTGTACTTCATGCATTGGCATGTTAGCCAGGTTTATTCTCACAGCGGGTGACATCAGCTTCAAAGCCAGGTTGGCCAAGTTTTCGTCGGAGGAAGACTTTCTGGAGATGTACTCCATGGACATGGACAGCATGTTCGAGAAGAATCTTTCGACTAGGAATGCTATCGAGGTCCGTATTGCCATTTCACCGAGTGTCTCCAGGTTAGCGTAGAGTTCCATGGACCCCTGGCTCGTTGCGATTTCCAGGCACGTCTTTGACTTTTGGATCTGCAGGAGCAGTTTCTCTCTGAGGAAGTAAGGCAGGCCGCCATGCGCTGGTTCCTGGTCTATGGACGGAGGGTGCTCGCTCTTGACCGGGTTGTTCGGGTCGAACGTGGAGAGCTTCAGCGCTAGGCCGTTGTTGTCCCTGTTGGCCTGCTCAGCGAGCGGTACTATGTTGTGCACCAGGTCAGCGACTATGTTCTTGATGATGTCGTCGTACTTCTGAGCAGCGGGCGCGGACGAGCTCTGGGCCATGGGTGGAAGCACGCGCTGTGGGTTCGACATCGGGCGGGGCGGTCTCGACGACGAGAGCGGGCTCAGCAACCGCTGGAACTTGTGGTCTGGCAATGGAGTCGTTGACCTCACGAACCGCATAGGGTCGTTCTGTTGTTGTTGTGGTTGTTGTTGTGGTGCTGGCTGTTGCTGTTGTTGTAGGGAGATAGGCACTGGTACGTGCATTGGCATTGGCATTGGCATGGGCATTGGCATGGACATGGACATGGGTGCTTGCACTTGCACGGGCACTGGCACCGGCATGTGCACGGGCAGGGGAGCCCTGCGTCATGGCGGACCCCGTGGACATGTTGGACAGCGGCGACACGCTCGCTGCTGGCTGGGAGTGGGACTGGGAGAGCGTGCCCACAGGGGACGTGATGCGGGACGTGGCGCGGGACTCCGGCTCCTCCTCGCTGGTCGAGTAGCTCATGTTCTTGGCGCCGTGCAGCATGTAGCTCTTCTTTTTCGAGCGCTTCCTGTTCCTCCTGACGGACTGGATTGCCGCGGTCACCAGCTTCTCGAACTCCATCGAGCACGTCACGGGGTACCCGAACTCCGTCCGCAGGATATTGGCTATCTGCTTGATGTTCAGGTCTTGCTCGCTCGCTTTGAACTGCGACAGCTGGAACTTGTCGATGAGCTCCAGCCGTCTGCTGCTGAACCGCTTCCACTTCTTCTCATCCGTGAACCCGAGCTGCTCCCTGATCTTGTGGGTAGTCCCGTTCTTGGAGTGCTTGTTCGGGGCCATCACTATTGTTTGTTTATCTCTCTAACTCTAAACTCTAAACTCTCCCTGCCTATATGAAAAATGTGTCTTTTATGGGTTTACACACTATATTATATGATGAAGCAAGCGATGAGCATTGAAAAATTTCAATAGAATCTTTCCTTTCTTTTTTCCACCTTCCCCTTGTAACAGACAACGACAAGGAGGCGTTTCGTCTCTCTCTGTGTCTCTCTCTGTCTCTGTCTGTGTAAAGAAATCCCGCTACACACACATCCTGCAGCACGATCTACGTCTCTGACTCACCCAAAAAACCGGATTTTCACATGCCCTTGCAGTTGTGCTTCCACTGTTGTGCTTCCACTGCTGTGCTTCTACTGCTGTGCTTCCACTTCTACTGGTGGTGGGGGGCAAAAAAAATAACGACACCAGCAGGATTTGAACCAGCGCGGGCAGAGCCCAACAGATTTCAAGTCTGTCGCCTTAACCACTCGGCCATAGTGCCACAACACAGTTGTAACCGTGTGAGCGGGCTATCGCATTGTGTATAACCTAAATGTTACAGCCTTACACCCCTTAACCCCATCCCCCCCATCCCTCATCTCCATACCCCATACCCCATACCCCATATGCGATCCGGGTGCGGGGTTCTGGGGTTCAAAGGTATAAATACCTTCCACATCCAATTGAGTTTCTGATTTGATACAATCTACAACCTATAATCTCCAATCTACAATCTACAATCTATAATCTACAACCACAACTTGCCATGGCTAAGAAAGAGAAAAAGGCTAAGGTCGCTACCATCACCACGAAGAGCGGGGAGTCCCTGAAAGTGTTCGAGGAGCTCAACGACTTCGAGACGTTCTTGCGCGGGGAGGTCGAGGACAACGAGTTCGACCACGTCCATTGCAAAGCCAAGTACTACCCGCCATTTGTGCTGCACGAGTCCCACGACGACCCCGAGAAGATCAAGGACACCAACAACTCCCACAACAAGAAGTTCGTGAGACACTTGCACCAGCACGTCGAGAAACACTTGCTCAAGGACATCCGCGAGATGTTCCAGAACCCAGACCTAAAGTTCAAGAACAAGTCCAAAGAGGAGACCTTCGAGAAGATCACCTGGCATTACGCCGACGAGTCAGAGCTCAACGCTAAGAAGTTCAGAATCCAACTTGACGTAACGTGTACCCACGACGGGGCCATGGTCGACGTCGACTACCGGACCGAGCCCATCGCCGCGCAGGAGCCCGTCATATAGCTTATACGTAGCCCCTATCGCTCTCTAAGCTCTCTAAGCTCTCTAAGCTCTCTACACGCGCGCCCCTATAAGCGTGCGCCACCTTTCTTTTTATAATGTGTCTATGATTACTTATGATTTTATGAATACTAAATATGCTATGCTAATTACACTTTTCTTTCACAACAAATTTTGAGCCGAATTTGTAAAATACATAATGAAAATAAAAGCAGCGAGTGCGATGAGCTTGGGATCACAAAGAACCACAAGCAGGAAACAAGACATGTCGCTGTTCAAAGCTAGGCCTAGCTTGCCATTCAAGAGACAGAACCAAAGGGTTGCGAGGGACGCCAGGATAGAACCCTTGTCGCAGGTCTCCCCCGAGATACTCACAGCGAACTACCTGATGCAGTTCCCCAGGGAGACTGCGACGCTGAGACACTTGGAGCGCATGGACGCTGTGGCTAAGAGGGTGCGGGATAACCAGCGCGAAGTGGAGCAGCAGTTGCTGCAGTGGGACCCGCTGAGCGATAACCACATGAGGGACACGGACCCTTACAAGACGGTGTTCGTGGGCCGCCTGCCCTACGACACGGATGAAGTGCAGTTACAGAAGGTGTTTGCCAAGTACGGAGAGATAGTGCGAGTACGGGTGGTGCGAGACAAGCAGAACAAGTCGCGGGGCTACGCATTTGTGTTGTTCAAAGAAACAGACTCAGCAAGAGTCTGCACCAGGGACATAGGTGTCCACCGCGGTATCCAGATCAACGGAAGAAGGTGTATAGTGGACATAGAGCGTGGCAGGACGATCAAATTCTTCAAGCCAAGGAGACTCGGTGGAGGGCTGGGCGGTCGAGGGTACCAGTCACTGCATTCGGAGCACACACAGCCTCATGTAAACCCACCAGCACAACACGTACCGCAAAGATACGGCGAGCGAAGACCAGAGTACCAGCCTAGAGGCAGATATCAAGGAGCACGCCAAGGAGCACGCCAAGGAGCATATCAACCTCAGCAGACACTACCGGCTTCAAATCCACAGGCACCTGCAGAACCCGAGCCCAGGACGAGTTACAGGTCAAGGACAGCCAGGCAACGGGAAGAAATAGACTATTGATCCTTTTAAATCCTTGCATACAGTACAGCCATTCGCATATATACCATAGTTTAGCTCGACTACTACCAGTCTTTCATATAGTTCTCTATATCGATCACATGTTATATCACATTATACAACGTGTGTTTTCAGCATTCCTCGCTGCCGTCCCAAATCTCCCTTTGCTGGAAGCCATAGGGGCTCTCGACGAGGGCTAATAGTCTGGCGAAACGTAGTCATAGCATTTAATTTGCTAGTACAATTGGGAGTCTGGTAAGAGTACCCTGTGTTTCAGGAGAGCAAGGTTTCTGTTGGAGGCAAAGGAAATAGAGAAGAGTACAAGTATGGCTGATTGGAGAAGGATAGATATTGATGCGTTTGATCCCGAGAGCGGGAGGTTGAAGCCTGAGGACCTAGTGCCTCCATATGACACGCCAGCGGTTGGTGTCCAGGAGATACAAGGCCGTGTTGGTCAGCTTCGCAGCATGGCAAGCAGTGGCGATATAGCAGGTGCAGTACAGTTGATTACCAGCGATCCTCCATACAACAGCGATGAAGCCACGAAGAAGACGTACCTATTGGCGGTGCTGGAGGCCTTGGGTCAGGTCAAGACCATGGATATTGCTAACATCGTGGGACAATTGAACGACAGCCAGGTGGATGTCCTCGTCAAGTACCTGTACAAAGGTATGTCTGTGCCAGAAGGCCAGAAACAAGGCGGTATCCTGCTGGCATGGCTCGAGAAGATCACTCAGACCAACGGGGTGAAGCCAATTGTGCATTTCATTTCTGATAGAAGAACTGTATAAGAAAGGTATTCCAGCCAAGACGGCACATTACCGAATCAAGATTAAATATACATTGTTCTGCAAATTGTGTCAGAATGGTGGGATGTGTAGTGGTCGGGTCTTTCTTGAAGGCTTAAATGTATAATAATGATTACGTACTCTTGAATAAATAAACCATTAGAGCATATATGTATGACCTCTGGTACTATATTGCACTGGTGTTTCTTTCCTGCAAATATCTGATAGCTCATATTGACATAACCCAATTTGACGCAGCTTCGGGCTTTTCAGTGCGAATTGGAACTTTCAGTATGAAAAATTATATGAAAACAATTAAATTAATATTGGAAGTCTATTTATTGTACGTTCCACTGGTGGATACTAGTCGCACCTCTACTGCTAACACCTTGCAACAGCGTTAGTTCCTGATTAATTGGATAAGTAATAAAATGGCCGACGAAGAATTGAAGAGGAAGCGTGACGACAGCCCTGATGTCGCTGATTCTAAGAAGGTAAAAGTTAATGAGACTGTGAAGGACAACTCCAGTGAACTAGATACTAAAAGTAATGAGCATAGTACCGTTAGTGAATCTGAAGAAAGCAAGCAGCAGAGTAAGGATACAATTTCTGAGAGTAGTTCTGAGGTCAAGGATGAAGTGAAGGAAGATGAACCAAAGAAGGATAAAGTTGATGAGTCCAAGGAATCGGTTAGTGATGAAAGCAAGGATGAGAAACCAAAGTTTGTATTCGGATCATCATCAGCTTTTACAGGTGGTTTTGGCGTAGCGAAGGGTAAAGAGGACAAAAAGGATACTGAAAATCAAACAGAAACGCCTAAGGCTGCGTTTAGTTTTGGTTCTGGCTTGTCCTTTGGATCTGGTTTTAATGTTCTTAAGACTAAAGATATTGCAGCCAATAAAGAAGAGAAAGATTCAAAGTCGAAGCCTGAGGACTCAGATGATAAACTAATACCTAACTCTGAGTTGAAGAAAGAAGATAGCAAAGTGACTTCCAGTAATAATGCTGCCCCAACCCCAATCAAACTACAAAAGGAAGAGGTTAAGTCAGGTGAAGAGTCTGAAGAATGTCTATTTCAAGTGAATGCTAAGCTTTTCCAACTGGTAGATATGAAAACAGGTTGGAAGGAAAGAGGTGTAGGTGCTGTGAAGGTTAATAGAGACAAAGAAACTTCCAAGACTCGTGTTGTTATGAGATCGAGAGGTATCTTGAAGGTCATACTAAATCTTCCCCTTGTTAAAGGATTCAAAGTTGAAAAAGGATTTCCTGGTTCATTACAAAGTCAGAAGTACGTTCGAATAGTGGCATTGAATGAAAATAATGAGCCAACTCAATACGCATTGAGGACTGGCAAAGAGGAGACTGCTGATGATCTCTACGAAAATATAAAGGGCAATATCCCTAACTAGACTCTAACGTAATTTGATACATATATATCTCATTTCCTTGTTTAAGAAATTTCAAAATGTTATAGATTGCAAGAAAAGGTCTTTGTAATGTTATTATTATACAATTGTCATATATTATTGTAATTCCTAGAACTAGCGTTTAACAAAGGCTACTGTACAAATGGTAGTACCTTTTACACCACCAAATTCGAATACGGGATAATTGACACATTCCCACATCTTTAAACTATCGGTTTCAATAATCTTTATCAGTTCCTCCTGAGTGAAATTACATGATGTAATTAAAAATACGCTGCCCGGCTCCATCAATCTCTCCACACACTTGCTATATACATCAACAATGGTCTTATCATCATCAAATTTCAAACCGCTCAATGCAATGGCATCTAGTGTGCCTTTATCCAATACAACGTTGAATTTTCCAGGGTTCCAATTGTTGTCGAATATATCAGCTTGTGCAAATCGCAGATGCTCACCTAATTCTTTATTTGCCACAATCTCGTTGGCAAATTTTACACTTTGCTCTGAATAATCTACACCCAACATTTGGCCATGGAATCCTTCTTCAGTTAACGCAAATAACAAGTGTCCATTGCCTGTGCCCAGATCAATCATGGTACATTCTTGGGAGATGTTGTGCATACCACAGGCATCCATCAAAAACTCAACCATCTTCTCCTCAGCATCATTGTCATTGAACCAGCATTCACCTGTGTCCTCAGGGTTCTTCTCAAAGTTTTGTCTTTCTAATGCATAGAAATCATCCCAGTATTCCTTTGTGCCTAGCTTTGAAGTGTTTAGCTTGGTAGTGTCCTCCATATTTGCCAACTGTTGTCAAATCTCGATACAATCCTAAGTACCTAACCACCTCTACTATATATAATGTAGTTTTCATACTCAGATAACGCACTCGACAACAATATGACTTATTTCCTCGATGAGCTCATCTCATCGCTGAATTTCCAATTTTTCAGTTTTCAAGGAATTTTTGTGCGGATTAAGTGCAATAATAGAGTGGATCAGACCAGTGTCTTATGTTAAATGGTATCGCCTATCAGCTCTAATTAACTACCTATTCAATATCGGATTCCTGTTTTTAAGAGTCAGTATCTACATATAATCTCAAAATAAATTTACAAGGTTTAAGGACATTCAATTACTAGAAAGATGAGCAAGATCAATTTTCTACCAACATTACAAGATGCCTATGAGCCACTAATGGCAGCACAGATAGACATATTGCGTGAGCAAGTAGTCGCTGAAGGGGGTGATAAGGCGTCTGTTCAATCTAGATTCAACTATGCCTGGGGTTTAATTAAAAGTGAATCTGTCGATGATCAGAGACTAGGGGTGAAAATTCTAACAGATATTTATAAAGAATCATACCAGCGCAGACGTGAGTGTTTGTACTACTTGACAGTGGGTTGTTATAAATTGAAGGAGTATTCTATGGCTAAGAGATACGTTGATACCCTGCATGAGGCTGAACCTAATAACAAGCAAGTGATCGCGTTAAAAGAAATGGTGGAGGATAAGATTCAGACAGAAACTATCAAGGGCCTGGCCATGGTAACTGGTGCAATTGTAGGTATAGCATCAATTGCTGGGTACTACATGAGAAGAAGGAAGTAACTCAGAGCTTGCATGAGCTCGTTAGCTCCATTTTTCTTCTTTTCGTTTGTTTGATTTTATTATAATATTTGTTTTGCTATTATTCTATTAAACCAAGTCAGCTCCTTAATTGGATGTGAATATTCGAATCAAAACCAGTAGTTGGACTGGCAACAACTAGTTTATTGTGAGCAGTATAAGCCACTATCAAATATGGCATTATTTGCTCATTTTCCACTAAAACCCCAGAGGAATTTTGCGAGACTTTCGATGTTTTTGGCAAAAGTTATATATGATATTGATCCACAGTTAGTTGGCATGGTGTTTGTAAATTAGGTTGTTATTTTACACTTCATGATTGTATGGCATGAAATTTTGTGGGTATAAACTCTAAACTCATTGTCCAATACCAGGGTAGCTATAGCAGTGTTGTTCTCCTTTTTTTCTGGTGAGGTCTTGAAGTTAGCGATGAGCTCTGGAGATGAGGAAGTACTCTATGAAAATGGAGATATTGATATAGAACTGAATGACCTTTCAAGGGAAGGAGAGAGTGGAGAAGGAAGTGAGAGTGATAGGAGAAGAAAAGAGCAATGGTTGATGCTACAGAATTCCAACCCAGTTTCTCGGGTGTTCAAGAAGATATGGTTTGGTCCAGAAGAACCTCGCGATGACCCACCAAGTTTCCCTAGGAAATGGAAAGTTTTACAAATTTTGGACGACTTCCCAGAATTGTATAAAGTTTACTTCAGCAATGTCTATTTAAGGATGTTTATCCTAGGTTTCTACTGTTTAATCTGGTTTACAATACTGCATCAGTTGCTGTACCCATACTTGATTAAACCTCCATATTATTATACCAACGATGGTCAGCATAAGATACCGATAATTTCTTTAAGTTGTAACTCATACCTCAATTGGGAAGGAACCAATAATGCATGTGGACTGAATGCCAAGGATTGTGGACCATTTGAAAATAAGGAGTACATTATTAGATGTCCAGCTCTATGTGACAGAGGTGGCTGGACCTATAGTGCAATTGCCGTTGGGGACAAGAGAGTCAAATATACAGGCTATGAAATTGGAGGTGGCAGAAGAGAAGACAAAGGAAACAAAGATGATATCTCGTATCCTTACAGAAGTGATTCCTTCCCATGTGGATCTGCTGTGCATGCAGGTATAGTATCTCCATTTCACGGTGGCTGTGCAAGACTCTCGATGACAGGACCTCAAACTTCCTTCCCATCAAGAAAGGGTGCCTATAGAACCGGATTTTCTATAGCTATGAATTCTTTCTTTCCTGGATCATATACTTTCAAGGATATTAAAGATGGTATTACCTCAGGCTGCTATGATCCTCGGACTGCAGTTGTGGTGGTAAACATTATAATGGGATACCCAGTTTGGTACATGTATGATAGTATTATTGGTTACTGGATAATCAATATGATCGGTTTTTGGACTCTAACACTAGCTCTGGATCCTCCTTTACTTACTGATCCGCATGACCCAGCGTCTGTATATGAATTGTTCAGCGTTGGATTTCAAAGATTGCTACCTCTATCCTTTATACTATATGTTTTGTGGAAGGCTGCCGTAAAGCGAACTTTAGAATTTGGGTCTCCTCTTGCTAAGGTTCTTCTGTGGTATCCAACATTCTGGTTGGGGGTTATGAATAATGTCACCTTTGACAGATTGCCTGTCGACAGGTTAACTGCGAAGGACCTTAAGGAGCAGGCAGGCGCAATGACTGCGGTGGGCTCCATCGCTGCCACTATCCTCACATGTGCCATAATCCAAGCATATTCACTTTGGAAATCCGGAAGGTTCCAAAAATACTTTAAGATCTATATCAGTTTTATTGGTGGTTTGGTTTTTCTAGGATCGCTCACTGGTCTAAACCTGCGCATTCACCATTACATATTAGGCATGATCCTAGTGCCTGGATGCGCCACTCGTGGTAGTTCTGCCTACTTATTCCAAGGTATATTAATTGGACTAGTTCTATCAGGTGTAGCCCGTTGGGATTTCGCCAGTATAGTGGAGACAAACGTCGCACTCCTGAGGGGTGAAGCCGGAGGACGTCTCTCACCTCCTATGTTTGAGTACAATGCGGACACACCACACATAGTGAGATGGAATATGCCATTAAACAACACGGAGGTTGATATCACTGGCAAGATCGATGGCTACTCGTTGCTGCTGAACGACATAGAAGTATACGTTGGTAAACACAAGACCGTTGACCTTGACATACTGATACACAAGAACGATATGTTGAAGAAACTGGTGAGTATGTCGCTGAAGGAAAGGGACCCAATACCGCTTTACCTCCGCGTGGCTAGAGTCTCCACTCAGGATACAAAGAACAGAGGCGACTACACGAACGCAGCACTGCTAGAGTGGCCTTCGGGCCTGTGGAAAGACCCACTCCCAGGTATAACATAGCGTGATCATATATATCTGTACATATACGAATATTCCAACCAAGATCTTATGTTCAAAAGAGCACAGAGTACTTGAAGATGCATTAATACAAATTGGACTATACAATTGAGCATTATTATCTTGTAGTCCACCATATCACCAAAAACGACTATCAACGGGATGGGTCAGACTGATAACGAAACGTGGGTTAGTTGCAGGGGAGTTTGGATCCCTTCTTGAGCAAGACGTCAGCTTTTGAGGATCATATAAAGAGTAGTGAAACTTCGGTTTCGTTCTTTGTCGAATCCCAGGTATACAATATTTGGTATCGAGGATCACGGTAAAGTTTTTTTAGGAGTAGGTTAAAGAAAGACATGTCATCGGCACCATTATTACAGAAGACGCCTGGGAAGAAGATAGCGTTGCCCACCAGGGTTGAGCCCAAGGTGTTCTTTGCCAATGAGCGTACGTTTCTGTCGTGGTTGAATTTCACTGTGATGCTTGGTGGTCTTGGTGTTGGGTTGTTGAATTTCGGTGATAAAGTGGGTAAGATCAGTGCTGCGTTGTTCACTCTGATTGCGATGGGGAGTATGATATATGCATTGGTGACATACCATTGGAGAGCCGCTGCGATAAGGCGCAGAGGGTCGGGACCATACGACGACAGATTGGGACCCACATTGCTGTGTTTCTTCCTGCTGTTTGCAGTGGTGACTAACTTCATACTAAGAACCAAGTATGAAAACACAGCTCTGTAAAATTAAAGATTATGTTAAAACAAAGATTAAAAAAAATAAAATTAGCACATTAAGCCATTCAGCATGTGGGGGGATAAAGGCATTGCAAATAAAATCATATAAGCAAGATTGCAGAGCAATTATTACATGTTAGAAACACTTATATTCCTTTCATTCATAGGTTTGTATATTAATTAGTAAAATTCTATGATATTTTTCCACTGTTTATATTTAAGACTTAGAGCGTGATGCTTAAATTGAGCACGTAGAGCAAAATTAGCAATGGCTTTAATAGGTTAACCAGAGACTATTACTTTGAAATTGAATATGGCGGAGGCATGATCATGTATAGGTCACATGACCATGTCTTGGCCATGAAAATTTCGCAGAAAGCCGGAATGGCGATGAAATCAAGCGAAGCCCATAGCAAAGATAGTGCCTTCGAATAAAAGTAGTTGAAAGTTGCAATGTAATTATTAACTTGGTAATTCATTTGCATCCTAGAATCAGAACCAGGAATTGCTGAATAAACTAAGAAGCTACAATTGTTACAATGTTTACCAGAACAGCAGGCCTATGTTTGAGAAGAACTGCTTTGATGCTTTCCAGAAGTGGTAAAGCCAATGGTTCCATGGTTGCCAGAACCGTGTTGACCAAGCCTATGAACCATGCTCTAATTGCTAACTCCTTGTTGAGAGCTTTCCATGCTGGTGTGACAATTCACAACCAGGAATCCAAGCAAGTTAGAGACATTCTAAACAGTGAACTCAATCTTGAGCTTGAGTCCTTGAAGGATGAGGAAGCACCACCACTGGATGAGACTTTCCAGGAGTATTTAGATAAATCAGGCTTTAGCATTGTTGAGAGACCAGGTAAGAATGAAGCTGAATTGAAGAAAACCACTGCCGATGGTGAAACTGTTCGTGTTTTGTTTGATGTTGCCCAAGTAAGCAACTTGCCTTACGATGCTTCTTTGGCCGAAGCTGCTGCCAATGAGCAAGCAATCAATGAAGATGATTACGACGCCCTTTCTGATAATTTCGCCAATGTTACAGTTGTCGTTTCCAAGGAAGGCAGATCAACTTTGGGTTTCGAACTTCTAATGAACATTCAAGAAGGTAGCTTCTATGTCGACAGCGTTACTCCATATCAAGGTGACAACGTGGCTTTGTCAGAATCTGCTGAGGCAGATGCCCAAAGGGACGCTGTTTATCACGGTCCACCATTCTCTAACCTAGACGAACAACTACAGGAATCCTTGGAAGTATTCCTAGAGAGCAGAGGTATTAATGAGGACCTTGCTTCTTTCATCGGCACTTACTCTGAATTCAAAGAAAATAACGAGTATGTCGATTGGTTGAAGAAGATGAAGGAATTCTTCGAGTGAATTTCCAAATTCCATCTTGACAAATACTGATCATATTGGAATTTTTAATTATTCTGTCCTTGTAAATAACAATAGTTTCCGGTTCCCCTTCAATGAAATATAATAAATTTTGCTGCAAATAGGTACTCTTATAAATATCCAAAGTTTATATGTTTTATGTTGTATTGATTTTGCCCATATCTCTTCTCCATATTTTGTATTTATATTAGATCATCGCAATTTCTTCAATAAGGCTGCGAGAACAAAACGAGTAAATATACACAGAAAAGGTTTAGTGCTGGTTTGATATAGAAGGCTTTATGACTTTTTGGCTATTGGGATTGAGAAAATAAGTCATATCTAGTGCAGAGTATTGCAATGTTATCGCAATTACGCCAATACCACCCAGTAATTGAGCTGGAGACGGTGGCTCATCTTTTGAAATCAGAGTATGGAGATGAACAGGAGAGAGCTCAATTGGGTCAATTGGGACTGCAGATAGTGAATAGATACGATGGATATGAGTGTCCTTATAAGGCTTTATTTGAAGCAGCAGTAAGCGATTCTAAAGCAACAATTTCGCACGCAGCAGGCCTCCATTATTCATCCGCCAATGATGAGAGTCATACCAATGATACAGATAACGAACACAGAGACGACAATGTGATGAAGCATTTGCTTAGCGGAAAATATCTTGAAGCCTTAGCATTGCTGGATGCCAATAGCAAGATGGACAAGTCCCCATTCAAACATATGGAACAATTTGCTAAGATAATGATATTCAGTAGAAACTATGAGAATGTGCAAGAATTAGAGTTAAGATTACAATACAGCCTATCAGATGATAGAATTGATCAAATTTCAAAAGATCAACAACCATCTCAAAATTTGAGTGACGAAAAGGAGAGTATATGCAGGATAAAACTGTATATCTGTACGTCTTACTTCATTGAAGGAAGGTATTTTGAGTGCTCCTCCAAATTTTACAAGTTTTACATTGAAGACCCAAAAACGATGATGAAGATACTGACAAGTAAAGTTGATGGTGATGCTTTACTTTTACTTCCTGAGCTCAAAACAATGATAGCAGCTTCAACATTAGTTTCAATACCTATGAACAGTTATGATGAGTTAATTTCCATCGATGAACTTACAGAGCTTTTTGACACCGTTGATATTCTATCCAGGTCATTGAAATTGCTGATTAATACGAGCTTTAAGTGCTTTTTAGCTCTATGGAATAATGAATTTCAGAAAACATTATCCCGATGTTATTTATTAAACAAAAGCTGGGAAACAGCCGAGAGACTCATGAAAATGAAGATATACTGCTTTTATCTCAAATTGTCAAAAACTCTAACGATAAGTTACTTATCAGAAAAGTTGGGTATAGAGTATGATGAAGTTAAAGAAAGTGTTGAAAGGCTGATTTGTAGTGCAAATTTGTATTTCCATTTAGACGGAGATGTGATATCTTATTCAAAAAGAAGTATTGTGGACTCGACAGTACGAACATTGGATGAAAATTGCAGACATATTAATGAACTTTTGGATAAACAGAGAGTTAGGAATGATAAATTGAAAGAGATGATTAGTGGAAATCTATTAGAAGAAGAACAAACAATAAGAAAATCTGATACAGCAAAGACGAGCAATAATCAAGAAATTATGGACATTGATGATGTGCAATTTCTAAGTGACGATTTGGAACAAGTTGATAGTTGCATTTCTGACTAGTTTTTTTCACTAGGAATGAGAATTCCAGGATACTACACATTATTTGCTACTAAACTAAAACTAAAGAACTATCACCACATACTTCTAAGTGTTTTCTTTGATATACTTATTTTCCTGTATTTTTTAGGTTTTGGAGTATCCTTTAATTCCTGATAAAACTCCTGAGTATCAATTGGCATTGAGTCAGCTATGTCTGAGTTCTTTCTTTTATGTGGTTCTTGTGCCTGTACGTTATAAGTAGTTTCTTTATGTTCCTTAAGAGATAGCTGGCCCATCTCTAAAGTATCGGAAATGTACCTATTTAATTGAGTTCTCCGCTCTTTAACCTCCTCTATCCATAATAAAACCTGTGTTTTTGACTGAGGTATAATGTCTCGGTGACAAGAGGGGATTGCTTTAATTTGGAAGTACTTTATGTGATACAATTGGTTTTTGGTCAATTTTCCATTTACTGGGCACCATATATTGTCATAGTCGACCAATACCTGCTGTTCGTTTGTTTTATGCTGACTTGTTTGACCTTGTATACCATTGTTAGCGTTAATTACAAGAATACCGTCAAACAATAGCGCTGAAATACAGAATTGGAATCGTTCTGTTGACTCAGAATCATCTCTTTTATTGGATGTCACATTATTGAACAAGTCAGAAAGCGCCGAGGGTAACAAGCCTTTCTGTCTATTGATCTGCCTATAAACTTTTCTTAACAGCATCAGATCTTTAAAGTAAGTATTTGAATAGTTAAATTCGGGACCACACAGGCATTCAATACATTGATCAATCTTTTGTGTACCAACATTACCATAGCAGATGCCATGTACGACTTTTGCACATTTTCGGCAGGTTTTGAATGCAGTACAGCTTTTACTGAGTGTCTCCCTGCATTCGCATGCTCCTGTAGTTAAACTTTGATGATTTACTACAGCTTGAGTTGGTTGAAGAGAACATTGGGTGGATTCTAAAAGATGGCCTAAGATGCTCGTTGTCTGGCTTACTTCATGGTGGCTTACTTCATGGTGTTCTGTCTTCTCGACCTTGGTAAACTTTTTTGTTACTAGATCAAATGGGTTTAGCTCAATAGTCTGCTCCCCTTCCTTTAAATCACAAGCAGAGAGAATGTTCAAGCTTAGCTTATGTGTTTTTGTATCCAGAGTTCCAATCTCTGTAATTTCCTTTTCCATCGTCGTAGGTATTTTTATTGTAGCTTGTTTCTCAAAAGTAGCATCTCTAAAAAAAGGAGGTTGGTATTCTGGATCAGTATTCTCATTAAACATAAGTCTCATTGTCAAGAACTTTCTTTGGGGTAAAGGTTCGAGGGACTGCGTAATGATTATAAATCTTCGCATGAGTTGCTGTGCCATGCGTCGAGAATCTAATAAGGAAATAGAATCATCTCGGTTGCCAGTGGTATTTTTGTTTGTAACATTCATCTTAACTTCATCGTTGTCATATTCGAATGAAAAAATATAATTCTCAATCATCTCTTGAGGGTTATTCTCATCCAAAAATATTCCCAAACTTAAGGCTTTCAAGAATTTTAGCCTGATAGACTTGAAAACGGCCTTCTCTAGCCAATCTAACAAAACGTCAACCTCAGAATTTCTACCACGAGCTAATGTTTTAATCTTAATTGAATTATTCTGAGCACAGTTGTTTCTGTCATAGTTTTTATCAACTTTATCAGGGACAAATCTTTGGTCGACAAAGCTATCATCAGGAAATAACCCTCTGAGAAAGGCTAGGCACCCGAAAGACATAGTCAGCATAGTCTGTACAAGCTTTTGACTTTGATCGACCGAGATGGCAGTCCTAGTATCGACTTTTTGTCTAGTCAGTTGCGTAGTTGCCATGTTACAATAAATAGAACAAGAAAGATAATGATTTGGAAGAGCTATCTATCTTGTTTTCTCATACAAGAATCCAAAGATATCGTAACGTAAGGAGAAGACTACACAGCTAGAGGTAATAATTTGAAAAAAAAAATATATGACTACTGAACAAGGACTTCTTTAATCGCTAAAAGGGTAGATACCGGCGGCTATTTATACTTTTTCGATTTGAGATAGCGGCAACAGATGTCTCGTATTAAAGTACATAGTCTGATGTATAACATTAGCGGCTAAATTCTGTTCTCAGTCTTTCTATACAATGTGTGGAATAATGATACAAAGAACATACTTTTTAATAAATACTGTCACCATCGCAGGTGCTGCACTAATCATTTGTAGGAGATCTGCAAGAGGAAGCCAAAATAGCTCAGTACATCATTCCAATAAAATGGTTGACCAACATAGACGGATGTACAACATAGAGGTTATAATTACAAGATAGTCTGAAGTGTATGGCCTTATTTTAACCTTTTAACTAATTTCAGAATTTCAAGATTGATACGATATATAACATTTGTTATTTCCCAGATTTACTCACAACATGAAGCTGGCGTGTGTAAAAAGTTTAACTCTGCCTTAAGTCGTTTATGTTCCCTAACGTGAAATGCTGAGATTATGTCTAATGTACCTATTATCGCTACAAAAAATCTAGCGTTTTTAAAAGATAAAAGATACTTTCAACGTATTAATTGGATTATGGAGCTTTGTGTGGAGACATACGGCCTACTGATTGAAACAGTGAGCAAATAGATTCTTCGGCATAATTGTAATAAAGGTATCCTACTAATTTTGCTACGAGAAAATAAATTGGTCCTGTCATAATTCTATGCTTACTATTGTGGCCTTGAAATAACGGAGTTAGTAAGATCATGTAATCTTCTTATCATTGATTTCAGGGACCCGCCACGAATATAATCGCTAAATGGGAGGAAACCAAAATGCTTTGACGATTTAGTTTGTTAAAGCATTGATGAGATCATAGGCTCTAAGAATTTAAATCGTGCTGATGAGATCATCTTTGTTAGACCGGACGAACAGCAATATCACGTACCGTGCACTTGTGCTGGTTTTGTCCCCTTATTTCCTTCCGCAGCTGTTGCTGTGCAAAAAAACTGCACTATGACTATCTGTTATATTTCGAAAAATGCACAATTGTTTGACATTCGATAATGACGTATAATGATTAAGATCCCTTCACTTTATTATAGCCGTACCATTATGTCCTATGTCCTTTCAAACAACATTACAATCATGGTGCGATGTGATGCAGCAATGTCTCAGTTAATGAATAATTGCTGATTGTTCCTTTTTCCAGCTAGATACCAGTTAGTTTGGTTTATTATGGGTAGCTTGCACAGGTTTGGTACTGGTCTTTGAGACGTTGTAATTATTACAGCAGTTTGCTATATGTCAGGCCAAGTCTCTGCAATGTTTGACAATAAATTGGACAACCTTAAAAATAGTTCCCTGTTGTTCCGATACAAAATGTTTGTGACTTCGGTATGGTATAGAAGAAAAAGAAAATATAAGCCAATATGGGCCCAAATAGGTAGGGAGTTGCTTTGGCCAGCATAAGCTGAAATATCCATTATCAAGAAAATGGTGACACGATTTTGAGTGCATCTATTTAACTAACAAGGTATTTAATAGAAGTAATGATCAAATCGTCTTCTCAGAATATGAAACTACTTTACTCGTGATATATTAAAAACAATATTGGTTGGTAGGTGTTTGGTAACTAGTGAAGTCAGTTTTAATAGAATACACCAATGAGTACACTTAGCGAATCAATTAGCGGGGTCCCCGTTGATTCGCCTGACGTCGCCTCTGCGATATCCATATATGGGGTTCCTTCTTCAACCAGATTTAATTTGGATAATGAAGACCTTGATGAACAGCGGTGTTTATTCGATGTTAGTTATAGTACTGATAATCTGTCCACAGTGGCAATGTATGAGTTAGATCCGGGAACATTGGATGACCATGTACATAGTAAAGTATACATAGACAAGGACTCACTTGTCTCTCGTTCTCCTTCCAGAAATTCTACAACTTCAGTCGTTGCTACTAAAGATGGTATTGAAGGACGCCATATCAAGAGGAACAAGAAAATTGAAAAGAAAATGTCTAATGGAAACAATATGATGATGACTCCATATTCATTAAATTTGCTGTCAACATTTGATAAGAAAGATAGATTAAAAGTGACCTCTGATACTTCATCAGTTACTTCCTCGTTGCGTAACAATTTTATTGATAGTGGTTATTCTCCGAGATGTCATAGCCCTTTATCTCAGGTTGATTCTACTATGTTATATCCAGATTCACCTAATTATCCTCCATTAACACTCAAGGAAAAGATGCATTTATTAAGTCATGATTATATTGCCTCTGCAGGTCAGAGGGATAGACTGAAAGTTATAGAAAAGAACAAGAATCATTCTACGGGTTCATTCACATCAGATGAATCAGGGTTAGACTCAAACTCTAATATTCATATGGATTTTCATAGCTTAGGGCCAGGACGTAAAAATTCAGTTAAACAGGAGCCGAGTCTACGCTATAACTTCAGAGATGATATAAACAGTTGTGGAAGCACTGTAGATGATAAGTCAACTTATGATGATAATTTCGCTGGACTACCAAAAGCTGAAAATTTTGATTAATGACTTTAACCTTTGCTAAAGAAAGCATTACTGTTTAAGTGAATTTCCATTTTCAATTTAATGTTCTATCATATGTTTATTAGGATGTGATTTTTATTTTATGGATATGTTTAATTTTATCTGTTCAGTTTGTTGCATTAGAATTCTATTTACTAGCGGGAAATATCAACCCCCAGCAAAGTTATATCTTTAAGTATATCTATATCCTAATCAGATAGTTACTGTTCTTCCTAATTAAAATGCTAAAAAAAGTGAATTTAATGTTCACTAAATTTAAAAATCACATCTGTTTGACCTGGTAACCCTAAACAACTAATTTATAATTATATACATTATAACGTTTAGGTAACTAAAGTTACCTTTAGCAAAGATAAAGTTATTTAAGGCTTATCAAACACATTTCGTACAATTAGACATAACCAGCTTTTGATAGAGCTCACAAGTGAGATAATTAAGCGCCAAGAATCTTTAGGATCTCTAAATACAACATACTACAACATTGGCAGATAAGTAATTATTTTCTAATATTATTTTAGTCTTTTCTGCTGTACACCTAAGTTGATCGTTTATAGTAAGCTCAAGAAAAGAAGTCACTATATCACTGTATACCGAGTTACAAAACTTAGGCAACGCCATTTGGGTTCTTCAATTTTAGTAAGGAAATAATTAGTTACCGCTATGCCTGCCACTCAAGCCATAACTGAGTTCTGTAAAGCTTCTGTTCAAATTTCGAGTTTGATTAGTCCGTTAAACACCCTCAATGAAAGTGGTGTTCAAAACGTGAACGACCGAATCAATACACTTGTTGCCCTTTGCGAAAAATTTGATGACTCAAATAATAGTGTGATTAAGGATGAATTTGACAGTAAATTACTATCTAAACTTGAAAATACAGTAATTAGCTTCTGGAATACTTTAACTATTGCTTGGAAGACCATCGAGAATAATAAATGTGTTACGAAAGAGCATGAGGATATTATATTAAGAAACTCAAAGTTAGTACTTACGCTCAATTGCAAATATCTGGTATGTCAACTGTTAAAGATACATGAACTTTATTCAAAGAGTCTAGAAAATTACCTCAGATCACTAAATTGCCAATTGAAGGCGTTTAAATTATGGAGTGAGAATTGTTTACTTACGGAGGCAAACAGTATTGGAACTAAAATCGAACTTATGATACAAAAACAATTCGATCATATAACAAAAGTTGATATTAATACTATCTACAATATAGATAGTAGCTCCAGTAACAAAATGTTGTTTGATAAATACTACACTGAATATTATATTTGCTGCTTTCAAATGGCTCTTAAAAAGGAGGACATTGAACAAGCGCATAATTTTGAGGAAAAGGCAAAACTGGAGAAAACCTTATGTGCATTGGATCCTGATTTAGGTATCGAAATTTGCAGACAGTTTTTCAATACATGCTTAGAGGTATTTGAACGCGAGGTCGACAATGTTTTGCTAATGAATGACTTATTACTATTTATACAAAGATTGAAAAAGTATCTCAGTATTCCAGATGCTATGATACAAAATCATCTGGAATACTCTAATTTGAAGTTCTCTACAGATTACCTTCTAATTAAAATAACTATTGATATTAGCAAAAAAAAAACATACCTAGAAAGTGAGACACTAACATATTTAGAACAATTTAAAGGTCAATTTCCAGAGCGAATTGAACCTTATGCAGCAATAATTACATATTGTAAGGATTTCGATACAGAAATGGGTTTTGAAAAAGTAGAGTCAACTATCATGGAAATGATTATGACAGTAGATGTGAAAACCAATTTCGACATGATCATTAGTTCTATCGGCGAGTTTTCAAGGAAAAATACCGTATCATCCATGCTATGTCTCGATTATTTAATATTTAATAAAATAAATGCTAAAGAGGATAGGAATTATTTTGAAAAGGCCATTATTGCTAGATTTTATCTCACTACCCAATCCAATATCATTAGCAGTGAAGTAAAAGCAACTGGTTTGTATAATTTCCTCAATGAAGTCGAGAAAGTGATAATTCATGAATTTTCCAACAAGACTGTAGCAACAATTATTGCGTTATTGTGGAATGAAGCCAAGAAATTAGAGAAGAACGATTGTCTACAAGACTCAATTTTGTACTATAAGTTAGTTACAAAAGATATGCTCTGTCAAAACTACACTGATTCAATTAAATTATTCAGGGCATTAGCCAACCTATATTTGAGGTTAGATGACATAACGGCCGCCGAAAAGCTACTGGCTAAATTTTCAGACGAGAATAAAAGAGATTCCCTAACACAATTAATTTATTTTAGAATATTCAGTAAACAAAGGAAAATAGATGAAGCTACCAAAATACTTGAAACGATAAGTAAACTTGAAGATGACAAAGTGCCTAGTATACTAATGATGGCCGTTACTGAATGTAAAGATATACCGAGCTTATCATTATCTGCAATTCTTCTTTTGTACCAAAATATTAAACTTGACACAACGGAAAATAATAAAGACAAAATAGATACCTTGGTAGTACCTACCCTAGGCTTTACCAGATATACTATTCAATCAATTTTGAAAATAAACGAATCCAATTTTCCTCAAAGCATTCTTTCCTACATTAATACAATTGTACAAATGGTACAAAAGTGCAAGCAGTTCCTGGAAAAGACCAGAATTGCTAAATTGCTAAATGTTTCCAACGAGGAACATAGTGATACTATTTTGATAGACGAAATTGAGTGGTTATGTGCCACATGCTATAATATAACTAGTAAATTATTCGAAAAGAAATGCGTCACAACTGAGTCGTTGTCTTTATTGACAGAAGGACTTGAAATTTTCCAATATATCCCGAGTGATGACTTAACATTTCCAAAGAGATTATATTATTTGACATGGAAATTTAGATGCCAGATACTTCTATTATTAATATTGAAGGCCGATCCTAAGCTTAACACACAAAAACTTGATTTAGGTTCTCAGAGCAAGCTAATTTTAGATAATATATTGGCTCTACTGGGTACCAATGACTACCAAGATTGTAAAAAAGAAAGCTTTGACGTACAGTTACAAGAGTGCATTGTGTTAGTCTTGCAGCTCTATTTCCAGGAAACATTGAATTTAGGTGGTAAGGATGAACTGCTATCTTTAGCTGCAAAACTGGATAGCTCACTTAGCACCTCTGTTGACCAAATTTTGGTAGAGGCGGTTATTAAAACAAGAAATATACCTCCTAGGACTTTTACCACTATTCTCACTATGATTATAGATAGAAACATAAACAACTCAAAGTTAAGAGACGTACACATTTGCTATTGGATTAGAAGTTTGTTTGAATACCAAATGAGCCTAAATGAAAGTATATCCTTTAGTTTCATCAATAGTTTACTAACTAGAATTGAATCGAACAAACAACACAAATATGAAACTAGTGAAATCATGCTGCAAGATCTCGAAGCCATTACAACATGCTGTTGGAATTATGGAATAAACCAACTGCTGAACAAAAATTATACAGATGGAGAAAAGTGGTGCCAGGTAGCAATCAGAGTTTCAAGTTTGGTTAATCAAAACTTAGTGTTACAATTACGTCAATTATGGGAACAACTGTTAAGCTGCAGCAAGATGAAGTAAATGTGTACTTCTCATACACCAATGTTTAGTACCATTATTTGCATTTTAGTTACTTGAGTCATTATAGACTTCTAAGACAAATCACCAGGTAAATTAATAGGATGTGGATATTTGTGTGGCTACGAAGTCTGTATAACTGATACACACAGTTTAATTACAAAAATTGATTAACATTTAACGAGAAAGACTCCACTTACTGCTGGTAAGGTGTCTCAGTTTTTTATTGCGAAAAAATTGCGGGCAATTTCCAACGCCTACGTGTGCACAAAATGGAAAAAAATATCCAAATTGACTTCTTGTGCACTAAGCAAAGGTGTATAAATCTCAAATATCACGTGGAACATTATCAGAATATATGAATAATCTTCTGCTGATAATTTAAAAAAAAAGTGTGACGCTCGAAAATTCAACAGCGAACGGCACTGGCACAATGCGCGAGATGACTGATTATTTTTCGAGGATGCTAATAAAAAAAAATGATGAGCTGAATTGTATCCTTGACTCTGGTTATAAATCAATTATTAACATATATATAGAAGAGTGAAAATCTTAAATTCGTTTGCCTCAATTGATAATTTCTCAATACATCGATAGATTTTATTCTTATTTTTTGGCTTGCTATAGAAACCACCCGAAGCTTTTCTAACTATAATACTAAACAAAATGGATATTAACCCTCTTCAAGATTCTTTCCAAAGAGCAATGAACCTGTCAAGATCACCAGGTGCTGTTTCCACTTCACCTACTCAATCATTCATGAACACTCTACCCCGTCGTTTGAGTGTCTCAAAGCAACAGAAAGCCCTTAAACCATTCTCTACAGGTGATATGAGAATCCTTCTACTGGAAAATGTCAACCAAACTGCTGTTGACATTTTCAAGGACCAAGGTTATCAAGTCGAGTTTTACAAATCCTCTCTACCGGAAGAAGAGTTAATTGAAAAGATTAAGGATGTACATGCTATTGGTATTAGATCGAAAACGAAGCTAACTGCCAATATCTTGAAGCACGCTAAGAACCTAGTCGTTATTGGTTGTTTCTGCATCGGTACAAATCAAGTTGACCTTGATTATGCTGCAAGCATCGGTGTTGCCGTGTTCAACTCTCCTTTCTCAAACTCTAGATCCGTCGCTGAACTAGTCATTGCTGAAATCATCTCCCTTGCTAGACAATTGGGTGACAGATCCATCGAATTACACACCGGAACATGGAATAAGGTTTCTCAGAAATGTTGGGAAGTCAGAGGCAAGACACTTGGTGTTGTTGGTTATGGTCATATTGGTTCCCAGTTATCTGTTCTTGCCGAATCTATGGGTATGCATGTATTATACTACGATATTGTCACCATTATGGCTTTAGGTACCGCTAAGCAGGTTTCTACGCTAGATGAGCTTTTGAACAAGTCTGATTTCGTTACTTTACATGTTCCAGAAACTCCAGAAACCAAAAACTTATTGTCGGCCCCACAATTTGCTGCTATGAAGGATGGTGCTTACGTCATCAATGCATCCAGAGGTACTGTTGTTGACATCCCATCTCTAATCCAAGCTATGAAGGCAGGTAAGATTGCTGGTGCAGCTTTGGATGTTTATCCAAATGAACCAGCAAAGAATGGTGCCGATGCATTCTCCGATAAATTGAACAACTGGACCTCAGAATTAGTTTCACTGCCAAATGTCATCCTTACCCCACACATCGGTGGTTCCACTGAAGAAGCACAAAGTGCTATCGGTATCGAAGTTGCACATGCTTTGAGTAAATACATAAATGAAGGTATTTCCGTTGGATCAGTAAACTTCCCAGAAGTCTCCTTGAGATCGCTAGACTTGGACCAAGAAAACACTGTGCGTGTTCTATACATCCACAAGAATGTTCCGGGTGTGTTGAAGACGGTCAACAACATTTTATCAAACCACAATATCGAAAAGCAATTTTCCGATTCCTGTGGTGAGATTGCCTACCTGATGGCTGACATTTCAGATGTGAACCAAAGTGATATCAAACAAATCTACGATGAATTGGATAAGACTTCATCAAAGATTTCCATCAGACTTCTATATTAGAGTATCAATTGTTAGCAATTCAACCATGACCAAAAATTGATAGATTTTAACTTTAGATATCTTTATCGTTATATAAAAGATCTAAACCACTTAATATAAGAGAAAAAGGTTACAATATCCGTGAGATAATTATGCTTTAATGAAATGGATGGGCTCAGATATGGGCGATTGTCCTCATACCGTCATCATATATATTTGTATAAAAATTTCTGCATCATACCAACTATTTAATAAAGTATCATGAGAAATATCTTGAAATACCTTGAAAAATCTGAAATAGCAAGGTTAAATAACATATGCAGACCCTGAACCCTGGTTTCCACAATAACAATAGGCAATATTCAACTAATAACAGAAAGGCCCAACACTGCTTTATATTATAGTATTCAAACAGATTACCCGGCCCACTATACCACACTCCACTTCTTTATGGTGGCAAACCTTTCTTACGGGCTCGGGTCCAAAAATCCAACTGGCCCAGGGAGACTGGGAACCTATACTCTCAAGTAACATCAAAGGAAGGATTAATTAGTAGTGTTACTGAAAGTATGATAATACTAATGATCAAAGCTGTCACCGGTACTATCTAATTGTGTTCTAAACAGTTGACAAATAAATACTCGCTGCTGACAAACCAGTACTTGGACCGGATTGAAAGTTATAACAATTGAGAAGAGATCTCCCCTCAATTCTATCACAGTAATTCGAAACACTCGCAGTTATTGTATAACAGGTGTCGAATATTATTCTAGTATTGAATAGAGTTTCTCAGGCAAGGATTTGGAAATATATTAAAACTGTTTCAGCGAGAACAAATTTTTGAAAGAGATTACGATCAAAAAATGTCATTAACAACTGCTGCTCCATTGCTAGCGTTATTAAAAGAAAAGGATGCGGAAGTTAAAGCTTATGCATTACAGAGCATCAATGAAGGTGTAGACCAATTTTGGTCAGAGGTTTCCAACGATCTTCCTGAAATTGAAGCTCTTTATGATGACAATGGTTTCCAAGATAGAAAGATGGCTGCACTGATTGCATCAAAAGTTTACTACAATTTAGGTGAATATGAATCGGCAGTTAAGTATGCATTGGCTGCTGAGGAGAAGTTCGATATTGATGAAAAGACACAATATGTCGAAACCATTGTCTCCAAGAGCATTGAGATGTATATCAAACTCGCCACAGAAATTTACAACAAGAGTGGTGAGCAAGTCAATTTGGACCCAAAATTAACTATTGTGTTTGAGAAGATGATGACTAAGTGTACTCAAGCGAATGAATACAAGCTGGCTTTAGGTATAGCTCTTGAGGCCTTTCGCTTAGATGTCGTTAAAAGTATATTACAGGAGAGATTAGGTGAAGATCAAGAAGGTGGCTCAATGAAATTGATGAGCTATGTTCTGACAGCAGCTACAACTACTGTTTTTAACTCGAAATTCAAAGATGAAATCCTCAGATTACTATTTGATCTATTGATGCCATTAAAGAATGCTGACTACTTCATAACATCCAAAGTAGTCGTAAACCTAAATGACCCTGAGTTGGCTACACAACTTTTTGAAAAATTACATGATGAGGAACAAATTGAAGTATCATATCAAATTGCCTTTGACCTTGTGTCTTCCGCATCCCAACATCTTTTGGAGAAACTACATCATAATTTGAGCGAAAGAAGTTATGATTCTGGCCTTCTAGAAATTCTGACTGGTATACCGACTTGTGATTACTACAATACTTTCTTATTAAATAAGAAAAATATTGATATCAGTTTGTTGAATAAATCCAAATCATCCCTTGACGGTAAATTCTCATTATTCCACACTGCTGTCAGCGTTTCTAATGGTTACATGCATGCTGGTACAACTGACAACTCTTTCATAAAAGCAAACTTATCTTGGTTGGGAAAAGCACAGAACTGGGCTAAGTTTTCAGCCACTGCTTCACTCGGTGTTATTCACAAAGGTAACTTAATTGATGGTAAGAAGGTTATGGCTCCATATTTGCCAGGTAGTCGTTCATCTTCCAGATTTATCAAGGGTGGATCTCTGTATGGTCTAGGCCTAATTTACGCTGGTTTTGGTAGAGATATCGTCGACTACCTGAAAACTCATCTTATTGAGAATAGTGGTACCACTGGAGATGAAGATGTTGATGTTCTACTTCATGGTGCTTCGTTAGGTGTCGGTCTGGCTGCTATGGGAACAGCTAATAATGAAGTTTACGAGGCTCTAAAAGACGTGCTATATAACGATGTTGCAACATCTGGTGAAGCTGCCGCATTTGGTATTGGTTTAACCTTGTTGGGAACTGGTGATGAAACTGCCATCAATGATCTATTCACTTATGCACAAGAGACTTCTCATGGTAACATTACTAGAGGTTTATCCATGGCTCTTGCTTTGATAAACTATGGCCGTCAAGAACAAGCGGATGAACTCATTGATAAGATGCTTGCTAGTGAAAACAGCTTAATTAGATATGGTGGTGCGTTCTCGATTGCACTTGCATATGTCGGAACTGGTAACAATAAGGTAGTGAAGAAACTGTTACATCTTGCAGTTTCTGATTCTAACGATGATGTCAGAAGAGCTGCAGTCACTGCATTAGGCTTTGTCTTACTGCGTGATTATACAACTGTTCCAAGAATCGTGCAACTTTTAGCCGAATCACATAATGCTCATGACAGATGCGGTGCAGCTTTTGCATTGGGTATTGCATGTGCAGGAAAAGGTCTACAGGCGGCAATCGATGTCTTAGAACCAATGACAAAGGATCCAGCTGATTTTGTGCGTCAAGCGGCCATGATATCTCTATCATTGGTTATGATACAACAGACTGAAAAGATGAATCCTAAAGTTGCTTCCATAAACTCTCACTTTTTGAGTGTGATAACCAACAAGCACCAAGAAGGTCTAGCTAAGTTTGGTGCTTGCGTCGCTCTTGGTATCATGAATGCAGGTGGACGTAACGTTACAATTCAACTCGAGAATGCTGAAACTGGTACTCTCGATACTAAGTCAGTCGTTGGTCTTGCCATGTTTACTCAATTCTGGTATTGGTTCCCAATGGCGCACTTCTTATCTCTCTCCTTTACTCCAACAACAATAGTTGGTGTGCGTGGGTCAGACTTAAATATTCCTAAATTCGACATGAATTGTTACGCTAGAGAGGATGTCTTCTCCTATCCAAAGATGTTTGAGGAATCTGCCGATAAAGAAGTCGAGAAAGTTGCCACTGCCATTCTATCTACAACAGCAAGGGCCAAGGCGAGAGCCAAGAAGACTAAAAAAGAGAAGGATACCAATGAAGATGACAAGAAAAAGAAGGAAAAAGATTTGAAGAAGGAAGAAACCAAGAAGGATGATGCTAAGAAGGAATCAGAAGCAGAAGAAGACTTCAACAAGAATAGATACTCCTCAAAGCCTTACAAGATCGAAAACATGTCTAGGGTACTACCACAGCAGCTGAAATACGTGCAATTCATCAAGGAAGAGAGATTTACACCTGTACGCAAATTTAAAGGTACCAACGGAGTTGTGGTTTTAAAGGACAACAAACCATCCGAACCCGCAAGCATAATAGAAACAGTAAGGCAAAGCAAAGACGTAAATGCTCCTTTACCAACCCCATTTAAGGTCACGGAAGAATTAGACTTCGAGAAGATATAGTTTTGCTTTACCGTCCCTGCCTCTCACGGACAGTGAAAAGTCCATATCATTACCGGTAGTTTGGGAGCAACTCCTCAGTTCCATATCATATATATAGCTGAAAAAAAAAAGAATTATACCACATTCTGTCACATATAAACTGTATAATTAGGATGTAATACATTTATCATCATCAAAGCATCCTTTCATCCTTGGCCATGGACTACAAAGGGAACAATGTGAGTGAGTCCCAGTATTGACCAGAAAGCAATTGATGATTAACCCACTTCTGCAAACATAGAACGCACGGAAGTCACCGAATAATAGCCATTATTGAGTCTTCCCATTGAAAATTTTTTTTTCAATGGTGCTTTCTTTTTTTTGCAAGAATTTTTTGCCAATTTGCTTAGAAGGATACGTAGGTAACCTAAATATTAATTAGCTCAGCTCATCGCAAGTGAAAACCCTGATTCACTATAGTATTATCAAAAAAGTATATAAGTAGTTAATACAGGCTGCAGGTCTATCAACATTGTAATTGCACCTTTTAACCATCGCACTCCCTCACTCCTATTGCTTGAGTTGGTAAATTAATCTTTTAGTTGATCGCAAAAGACAAATAACTGACTGGATAAAGCCTGAAGCATTTGATACCATTGTCAAATACGAAATAATTTATTCATCATACATTTATCGCTAAAGCCTATTATGATGCACAGAGTTGGTTTTAACGTTATCGGTAGAAGATCCTTTTTCACCGTTAATGCCAGACGTCAGGTGTTGAAATCCAGTTTCATGGGTTTAAAGCCCTTGCAACTAACGGCCCTTCTGCTTGCCGGTAGTGCCGGTTACTTGTACTTCATGAATGCTAGATCAGCTATTCATGAGTATGTCGTTTGTCCAGTGGTTAGATTGATTACTCCTGACCCAGAAAACGGTCACAAGTTGGGTATATGGTGTTTCAAATGGGGTCTTTCTCCAAAGTTGTACTTTGATAAGGATCCTGAATCCCTACACGTTAATGTTTTCGGTACCACCATGACTAACCCAATTGGCTGTGCAGCTGGTTTAGATAAGGATGCTGAAGCCATCGATGGTATTATGCCAACTGGTTTCGGCTACATGGAAGTCGGCTCTGTCACCCCAGTTGCTCAACCAGGTAACCCAAGACCAAGATTTTTTAGATTGCCTGCAGATGATGCTGTTATCAACAGATATGGTTTTAACTCAAGTGGTCACGACGTTGTTTACAACAACTTGATGAAGCGTGTTAACAAGTTCTTAAACTCATACTTTGGCGACAAATCTATTGACAAACTATCTCTATACAAAGACAAATTGCTTGCTGTGAACCTTGGTAAAAACAAGAATGGTGACGAAGTGAAGGACTACTTGAAAGGTGTCGAAAAGTTCCAATCATTAGCCGATGTTCTTGTCATTAACGTCTCTTCCCCAAACACCCCAGGTTTGAGAGACCTTCAAAACGAAGCCAAACTAACTAACCTTCTATCTGAAATCATCACCAAAAGAGACTCTCAAAGCAATAAGCCAAATGCGTTGGGTAAACAAAACCACAAGCCTCCTGTTTTGGTCAAAATTGCACCAGATTTAACTGAACCAGAACTACAATCCATTGTTGAAGCTGCTAAGAAGTCTAAGGTTGATGGTATTATTGTCTCCAACACCACTATTCAAAGACCAAACACTTTGAAGACTCAGGATGAGACTTTGAGAAACCAAGTCGGTGGGTTGTCTGGTAAGCCATTGAAGCCATTTGCCTTGAAGGCCATGAAAGCCGTATCCAAATACGCCAAAGATTCTGACTTAGTCTTGGTTGGTTGTGGTGGTATTTCTTCTGGTAAGGATGCCATTGAATTCGCTAAAGCAGGTGCTACTTTTGTTCAACTTTACACTTCATATGCTTATGTTGGCCCAGCTTTGATTGCTAGAATCAAGGACGAAGTCGCTGAAGAATTGAAGAAGGAAGGTAAAACTTGGATGGAAATAATTGGTGAAGACAACAAATAATTTTAACTTATTGCCTTCATTTTGTCATGAACCAATAATATTCCGATTCGAAACATTTCCGCCGTCTAGAACAAAGGCAGCGGATAATATATTTGCATGTATGCAGTAAGTTCAACATTTATTCATATTTATTAATTTGTATACTAAAATTGTACGCTAACAACATAAGCGTAGTCATTATAATGAATAAAAGAAACAAATTTACTGGATGATATTCTAATACAAGAAGTGCATTAAATTTATCTAACATTATGACAGATTAACTTTTTGCAAAAGTTTTTCAAGGTTTTCTATCTATAGATCCTAAATCAATGGATAGTATTCCAAACCTATCTCCATATATCTTCTAATTCTTATATTTAACCACTATTTCATCAAATTTCGATGTCAGTTCTTCGTGGCTTTTGTTGAAACCATGGTTTGGAACGAATTGCTTTAGTTCAGATCTCAATTCCTCAGCCTTAGATTTCTCACCTTCCATAATGGCTAATGTAATTTTGTTTGCCAGGAAATTACCTTTATACAGCTGGACAGCTTCTAGGTTCTTACTATAATATTCAGATTCTAATAGATCGACAATTGATTGGGCTTCAGTAGTATTACCTTGTTGCAACTGCAAGTTCAACAATCCCAATTGAGATTTCCAAGTTGGGAAAGTTTGTGCTAACTCTTCGAAATGATAAAAGTTGGAACTAGAAGTGTCTACATTTGTGGCGAACTTAATATAAGATTCGGCTAGATTTATTATCAATTCATCTTCGCTCGACAAACTGTCAGCATTCGTACTGGTATAGTTTTCGAACATTGTAGATGCAGTAGATGCCTTATTGTTCAAGAGAGCCACTTCAATGGCCAGAAGCAATAGGTCTGGAACACCAACTTCGTTGCCTGAGTCAATACCTTCAACACATGTCTTTAGACTCTCTTCAACATCACCTTTAATAGCTTGTGCACTGGCCAACAAGTTCAAGTGGTACAAACAATTCTTACCTTTCACATGGGACTCCAACTTGCTTAGATCATGCTTCGAATCCTTCAAGAAGGTTTCATATAGAGCAAAAGCCTGCGACAAAGAATCGTCACCACCAGCCTTCAATTGACCCAAGGCCAGCTCGCTTCTCAATTGGTAGTACTTGATTGTGACATCCTCTACTTTGCCCAGCTTGGAAGCTTCTTCCAGTACTTTCTCATATAAGCCATTGTAAAAGCTCTGCTTAACCGTAAAATAATCCATTCTCGCCTGTTCAAATTTGCCACAGCTCCACCAACAATCTAGATATTGACTATAAAATGCAGTAAAACTTCAATATACTATCTTTAGGCCGCTCAAAACCACTCAGCAAACACCAAAACCACTTGAAGTTGTACTCTATTTCAACTTCAAGAAGGGACTGTACGGGATCGCCAAGCTCGAAGGACTGATTGCTTAACTACGGCGTTCATAGTGATATGAGTTTTTCAAGTTATATAGCTGATTCATGCATCTTAGTATAGGTACAGATGTTTTAGCAAGCCAATTGTACATCCTACGCGACCTATTTTGACTGATCTTGAGCTATGATAATATGCGCAGAGCATTTATGGAGCTAGTATTTGTTTCTAGAGTCGTTTTGAGCTCTTACTTGGGCATTCTTACACTGTCTTCTTCAAGGTTTAGTACTCTATATAGGGTTAAGGAAGGCCAAGAGTTTCAGCAACCATTTATGTAGTCCTATAGAGTTTACAATGCGCTGTGTATTGCACTAGGTTTCCCCTCCATTGAGACCAAAACGTTCTCACAGGTAACGTGAGCTCGACACTCTCCTATAAATGAAAGTATTCATTGATTCATACTGTAAGTGATGGATAGCTATACATCATACAAGCGAAATGCTTGAGTTGAACTTGTGGCGAATATGTCAAACCAGTTTACTGTAGACCTCTGCCTCTTTGACCTCGATGGAACCATTGTCAGCACCACCAGAGCTGTCGAGATGACCTGGAAGAAGCTTTGCGCAGAGCATGACGTTGATCCAGAAGAGCTATTCCGTTTCTCCCACGGTACTAGAACTGGTGAAGTATTTGCTAAATTCTTCCCAGACATTGACAACACTGGTAACAGGGCAGCTGTGGCATTCGAGTTGTCAATAGCCGATGATCTAAGTCTTATCTCGTTGATTCCAGGTGCCCAAGAACTACTGTTGAAATTAGACAAGAACACGACAGATGGCTCTGCAGTTGGTGAGCGCAAATGGGCAATAGTCACATCAGGATCACCAGAATTGACACTGTCGTGGTTTGATAATGTCTTAAAGGAAGTCGGAAGACCACCCGTGTTCATTTCTGGTGCCGATGTAGCAAAGGGCAAGCCCGATCCAGAAGGATACTACACTGGACGGAATCTACTATGTCAGAAACTAGGTCTTGACGCTTCTCATGCGAGGACAGTGGTATTTGAGGATGCTCCCGTAGGTATCATGGCTGGTAAAGCTATTGGTGCCATTACAGTGGGAATCGCAGGTACATATGACAAGGACTTATTGTATTCAGCAGGTGCTGACTATGTAGTTTCAGACCTTAACCAGGTGAAAGTAATTGAAAACACAAAAGGTGGCCCCATCAAACTGGAAATTGTAGAACCACTAGGTAAGATATAGACGAGCTTATAGTTGCCCATTAATATAGGAAATAAGAATAAATGCCTCATCCACGGAATATGAATTCATTCATACCCATTCCGTGGACATAAGTAAAATATACCTGGAGAGCCACGGAAACAGGGTTTCATGGGATACCAGCAGATATATCAACTATGACTAGTGTGATACTGTATTCTCAGGCTGTATCAGTTTGTGCTTCCTTTATTTTATCATTAATCAAGGTGTCCAAAACGAGGATAGTACAAGTGGTGGGATTCTAAGTGGTCTAAAAGCACTAAGCAAACTAGGATAATCGCTGGTAATTAGTGATGCAGGATGCTGCTCTGAATTGATCTAAGGTTTGTAGTCAAACAGTTTAGTCTAATAAAGGTAGCACGGCCCATAGCAATAATTAAGGGCATCGAATGCTTTCGTTAAGAAGCTGAACCCTTATAAATCTAACCACCAATCTTACTATAAAAAGCTATATAAGACATGGTGTTTGCTCATATATACCGGTTTTAAGATGTTCAGGCAGATAATAAAACTCAGACAACATAAGTTACAATATGTCAGACAGCAGGGAAATAAAAAAACCATGGTGGTTCAAAAAGGCCAAGGAATGGGCTGATGAGTTCTATACAAGGGATCAGAAACTAGAAGACTCTGATCGCCGTGATCTATCCAAAAAATACGCTACTATCAGTAAAGCTAGCGTAGTTGGCGCAGCAACAGGTCTATCAGCTGGTCTGGGAGGTCCCTACGCATACAGGTACTATACCACTGGTGCGCTGAAAGGTGTTAAACTGCCTAGGACAATCTTACTGGGTGTAGTCTCTATGGTTATTATGAGAAATGTTGCGGCAAAGATAGCCTGGGACAAAGAGTTAAAGAAACTGGATCCTAGCGGTGAATTGAAGCAAAACTACAAAAGTGCTCATAAGACAGTTGATGACGTCTCCTTGTCAGACAACAGCACTTCTGTTCAAAAGAAATATGGTATGATGAAATTCTTGAAATACAGGACGGCACCAAGGTGGGCTATGTATTTTGAAGGTACTTATCAACACCCCGACAGAAAGTTTCCAAACCCAGACCAGATGGTGCAGGATCTCAAAGGTAGCCGCAGAGCATTTCCACCGTTTTTCTCAAAGGCTGATAAATTTTGGCACCAAATAGACCGTAAGGATAATGATCATACATAGAGTGACCATACTACACATTATGTGATACAAGTCTGAATGAACAAAAGGTAGTTCAGATATAAATATTATATAGTACTATTCTTAATAATGGATGAGACAGTTACCAAAATATCTGACTATTAATTTTTGACCTAATATATACTGCAAGTTTAGTTGTAAATATAAATACTCATGACAGTATCCTTGCGACCAATAGATTCGGTAAGTCATGGAGCTTATGCTCTTCAACTCTTGTAATCACACATTACGTTATTAGGGTAGTTCAGCAATAATAAGACTTGAGCAGTGCCCCCATATATAAGTTCATTTGTTATCGAAACTATAATCAATTAACAATACAACGTGAAGAGTCCATACTAAAAACTTACTTTAAAGATTACATTGGTAGTTTCCCGACAATACTAGTTTTTAGGTGCTATTTGGATAATAAGGAACACTCTCAGAAAAGAAGAAGAATGGCAGACAATAAAGGTGATGTCAAGGCACCACCTTCCTGGCTAAACTCTCCAGCATTTCAGGAATCCTATCAGAAAGCCATAGAGTTTTACGAGAAAGACGAAGTCTTAGATGCTCGAGATCGGTTAGAGTTATCAAAGAAATATACCTCAATTGCTAGAGCGCAATTTATAGGTGGATGGGCTGGTTTCAGTGCAGTATTTATCACCCCATTTGCATACCGTTATTACAAGACAGGTGCTATCAGAGGAGTTAAAGTTCCTAGAAATTTTGTATTTGGCCTAGTTGCCATGGTTGTAAGTACCCAGCTTTCTGGAAGCATGATGTACAAAAAAAAATTACAGGAATTGGATCCTACAGGCGAGCTTGCCGCCAAATACGAGTCAAAAATTAACAAAAATAAACAAAGAAATCAATATGGAGATTTTGAAGCGGATGTACCTACTTTAATAGATGAGAACCAGAACCAAAATCCACCTTCGAGGTACCAGAAGGAATTCGATATGATGAACTTATTGAAAAATGGGTCTGCTCCCAAATGGGCTATGTATTTCTACACAACTTACCAAAACCCTAGAAGACGCTTCCCTAATCCTGTAGAGATGATGGATGAGCTAAAGAAAGCACAAAGACAACCATTGGCACCATTTTTACATCAGCGCGATCCATTTGGATTATTTAAGGACCAGAATGAGAAAAACGATGAAAAAAACGATGCCTATCCTAACCCGACAAAAAATGCGAAACCTGCTGATAATAACCAACTACCACTAGAACCACCAAAACCAGAACTATCATGGAATAAAGTTCGCCAACAAAATTCCGGTAAAGCTACCACTGCATGGGACAGAATAAGAAATGGGGAACACTTAAATGACAATAATGATGGATTTGATGATGATCTGGATCCGTTTGAGGAGTCAAAAAGCAATGTAGGGCCGACAATCAATAAACCGACCAAAGAGGAATTCAAGAATCTTGTTGAGCAAGAAAGAAATGGGGGTTCGGGCCTATTTTAAAGTGGTGACACTTGATACTTTATCTTAAAAAGACTATCATTATATTATTTTTGGGGATGATAAACTGTTAACTATTTTGATGAGTATACGCAATTATAATGAAAAATTTCATATTCTTTTATCAGCTATTCTATATCTTTTTTTGTATATAATTATTTACTTTCACATTATAATTCAACATGAAAATTATGGGCAGATTCTTAATTTATAAAATACTTAATACATATCAACGTTTAAATAGTGTAACTTGAAAACATTATCACATTTAGGCTAGGATGTTGTCCAATCTCTTCTCAGCCTTCAATTTTTGTAGTTGTTCCAAGACAATATCGACATTAACAGTAGCGTTCTTACCTTGTTGCTCCATAACATCTCTGTTTCTGATGTTGACGGAGTTTTCGTTCATTTCCGTTTCACCAACAATGAAGATGAAGTTGTACTTCATCAATTGACCGGTTCTAACCTTCTTTTGCAAAGTGTTACCAGTCAAGTCAACGTCAGCGTAGAAACCGGCATTGTGCATCTTGTCACGTACTTGTTGAGCGTACTCTTGGTACTTAACACCAACTGGAACAACCAAGATTTGACGAGGGGATAACCAGAAAGGCCATTTACCAGCGAAGTGCTCAGTCAAAATGGCAGTCATTCTTTCAACTGAACCCAAGATAGCACGGTGAATCATAACTGGTCTTTCATAGTTCTCGCTCTCTTCGGTATCCTTTGCCTTAAATTCTAGTTCAAATCTTTGTGGTAGTTGGAAATCCAATTGAATGGTGGCACATTGATGCCATCTTCTTAGGGCATCAGAAATCATGATATCGATCTTTGGACCGTAGAAGGCACCATCACCTGGGTTTAGTTCCCAAGCACCACCCCATTTGTTCAAAGCGTTTTCTAACTTCTTTTCAGCGGCATCCCATGTTTCAAGTTCACCAACATACTTTTCTGGTCTAGTAGACAATTCCATCTTGAATTCAAAACCGAATACACCGTACATAAACTTCAAGAAGTCGAAAATGTTTTCAATTTCTTGTTCGATTTGATCTTGAGTACAGAAGATGTGGGCGTCATCTTGCTGGAATCTTCTAACACGAGTCAAACCAGATAGAGCACCAGAGAACTCATTTCTGTGGATAACACCGAAGTCAGCAACTCTCCATGGCAACTCTCTGTAAGAACGTTCTCTAGCTTTGAACATCAGACAGTGACCAGGACAGTTCATTGGCTTTAGACCGAAGGTTTCCTTTTCAACTTCAAATGTGAACATGTTTTCCTTGTAGTTAGCCCAGTGACCAGAAGTTTCCCATAGCTTGGAGTTGTACATGTTTGGAGTAATAACTTCTTCGTAACCTCTCTTACGGTATTCGGATCTTAGAAGATCAACCAAGGTGTTATATATTCTGGTACCGTGAGGCAACCAAAAGCAAGAACCTGGAGACATTTCATTGAATAAAAATAGTTCTTGTTCCTTACCAATCTTTCTGTGATCTCTCATAGAGGCTTCAGCCAAGAATTTCAAGTGAGCGTCCATTAGCTTCTTGTCTGGGAAAGAGATACCGTAAACTCTTTGGAGAGACTCGTTGTTGGCATCACCCAAGAAGTAGGAAGAGGAGTTCTTCAATAGCTTGAAAGCCTTGATACGACCGGTGTGAGGAATATGTGGACCAACACACAAATCAATCAACTTACCACACTTGTAAACGGTAGTGGAACCACCATCTGGGATCTTGGTTTGAACCAAGTAAGTCTTAAACTTAGAGTAATGGAACATCTTTAGCAAGTCTTCCTTAGACATGACCAATCTTTCGAACTTTTGCTTTTCCTTGATAACATTCTTGGCAACACCTTCTAGATTTGGGAAATCAGCTTGGGAAATTGTTCTCTCTTCAGCATCCTTGTCTTCTTTCAAAGTGTCTTTCAAAGCCATTTCATAAAAGAAACCATCATCAGTTGGAGGACCTAGACAAATATGAGCACCTAGGTTACATTCGCAGGCTTCACCCAGAACGTGAGCAGAAGAGTGCCAGAAAACTCTTCTACCTTCGTCAGACTCAAAATCAAACAGTTCTAGCTTGATCTCTTCATTTTCCTTACCTTCAAATGGTCTTTCCAAATCCCAAAGATCACCATTCACCTTAGCAATACATAGTCTGTCAGCCAAGGACTTGGAGATTCCTCTAGCAATGTCCATTGGTGTGGTTTCCCAAGCAGTGGCTTCCTTCTTAGCACCATCCTTTAGAACTATGGTAATTGGAACACGAGGCATGGAAGCAACCTTTTCTTGGTATTCCTTCTGCAACTTTTCGAACAAAGCATTTCTTTCAGCAATGAAAGCTGGCTCTGGGTCCAAGTACAAAGAGGCCTTCTTATTGTTACCTTTCTTCTTCTTGTCGGAAACAGACAGGTCATTGACCTTCTGTGCAACAGCGTCAGCTCCAGCACTCATTATAGTCTTTTATAACTGTGTGTCTTTTTTTTTTTTCGACCTCTTTCCAGAAGCTTTAATTAAATCTGGTAAACGTGAGCAAAAACTGCACTTGAAGTGTCACTTAAAATCATCCAAATTGAATACTAACCGCCTCAATTCCGAAACTCCCAAAGAATTCTGGTTTCGTGGTACCAATTGCTAACTCTTTGACAGAATTTTTTGCAAAATTGCCTCGAACTCACCTGAGATGCTGGATGATCTTCACGCTAAATCAAAAATTTTTCACTTTTTCGTTGTTGGCGACCTCATCGCTACTCAGTCATACTTAGAGCAACCAAGAAGTTCTTTGCGCAGTAATTTCTACAATGTAGCACTGAATAACTGAGATAAGCAAACGTTCTATGAACTTTCCAGGATATATTGGTAGTCTTATTCTCTTACCGGGTCTCGATCACTCACGAACAATAGGGAAGCTTTATAAGAGGATATATTAGTCACGAGTCGACAATGATTGTGGGTCTGGCAATATTTGGCTTTATCTTCAACTTTCTTTGTAGATTCTTAATACTTGCTCGGACACTTCATCTACAGTAGTTATTTCTCCATTTATTGTTCGCAGTAGATTTTCCTGTGCTCGTTCGGGCAAGTTTTTAATCATGTCGGTCTCTGGAATAAGACCTGGCGCTATGTCATGACAATTGATGGATAGTCTTTCGACTTCCTTTCCGTATACTCTTGTGAATTGACTGAGTGCAGCCTTAGTGGCGCTGTATATGGATGTGCCTTGAATCATGAAGTTTCGTTTGTCTGCGAACCCGCCCAATATTGAGCTAACATTTATGATATCTAACCGCTTTCTTGACTTTTGTTTCATTTGTAATCTAGCTGCATAATTGGATAAATAAACAGCACTTGCAAAGTTGACGTTTATCATATTGCTTATCACATTAGGACTCATTCTAATTCCAACTGATGCCTGGGTTATTCCTGCACAGTTGACTAGAACCCGAAGGGTGTATCTGTTTGAATCGTTGTTGTCAAATGCCAATGCATTACTCAGAACCAATTCTTTATTACTGGTACTAATATTACCTTCAGCGATATAACCCTCAATTGTAGCAGCAGAATGGTTGAACTCACCATCCCATCGCGCGAGATCTAACGCTACAGCTCTGTTTCTATGATGGGCCCCCGTAAACAATAAATCATCCCCAAATCGTAGCTTCTTCGTTATACTGTCAGTACTAGACCCAATTGCAATACAGTTCACTCCTTCCCTCGTCAATTTTCTTACTATGGCTTTACCAACCCCTCCAGTGGCCCCAGTGACTATCGCATAAGGTATCTCTATCATATTAAGAGTAAAGCCAAACAGTTCTGAATTATCTGTGTTTCGAAAGAACAATCAATTACAAAGACTCTCTATCAAAAAAAGTGTACAGCTTTTATTCAACTGAGTAGAATTCTTGCGATTCCTGTTAAGCTATATTAGTTACATTAAGATCAGTTCTCCTTAAGTGAACAAAAACAAAATGATGAGATGACTTTTCACTCTCTTCAGTATATAATTGACTATTAACAAAGGCAAACAATAATAAAAGACTATCATTGAAATTAACAACTATGTACTTGAAAAGAAAGATATTATCTGGATCATGACTATGCAATTTTTTATATATGAAAGATTTAAAATGACTAATTAGATTGGTAATCCCCCCAAGAACCAATAACCACAAAAGAAATAAAGGGAATAACAAAAATAACAGTCTTTTTTAGCTTCCAATTCCAAAAAAAAGACAATTTCTCCAAGCAAATATGATAGTAGCGCTAATAATCCCAAAAATACATTCATGGAGAATATATTGCAGAAATGAAAAAGATTACGAGTCCTAGAAACATTTCTTAACCTGAATGATAAATGGAACATAATAGGCCTTTTGCTTTAATACGAATCATTACAACATTATGAGAAAGTCCATAATAATGGCTAACCTGTTTCTAAACCTGCTCAATAGAAACCGTTAGTGGACTTAGTGTTGTAATCATAACCTGAGTAACCGTATTGCTGAGCATTAGGCTGCTGCTGTTGCTGTGGAGCTTGTTGCTGTTGCTGCTGCTGTTGCTGCTGTTGCTGCTGTTGGTATTGATAATACTGCTGCAATTGAATTTGTTGTGGAGTCAATTGTTGCTGAGCTGAGTCAGAAGTCTGCTGCTCGGAATGGGAATCATTACGTTGCACCCCCTTAGCTTGAGCATCTTGCTGAGCTTGTTGACCATACTCACCGCCATACAAGTTTTGGCCACTAGACTTAGTAGTTTGGTATGGATATTGGTTAGCAGCAACACCGTATTGTGGTTGGCCATATGGGTACTGTTGGTAGAAGTGGGCGTAATATGGCATGAATGAACCAGCACCGTATGGTTGTTGTTGACTTTGTTGTTGAGTGTGTGGAGCCACAGGTGATTGAGCAGTGTTTGGTGCAGCAGTGGCAGTGTTCAAATCAACACCAGCGGAGACAGGTGTACCAGCATTCATGTAACCTTGTTGCATGGAGAATTGAGCATTGACCATGGCTGGGTGACCACCCATTGGTGTTGGTTGTTGGTACTGTTGGCCGTAAGCATAACCTTGCATGTCGTACATACCCGGGTAAGAATAGCCTGGGAATTGGTTCTGGTACATGTAGTATTGTTGTGCTTGAGCTTGGGCCTGTGCTTGAGCTTGTGCTTGAGCTTGTAGTTGTGCATCAGTCAACTGTTGGGCAGGTTGTTGTTGCTGAGCAGTTTGTTGTGGAGCAGTTTGTTGTTGTTGTTGTTGTTGTTGTTGTTGAGCAGCCTCAGAGACACTGCCTTGCTTAGAAGCTGGCGCAGCTTCAGCTGGAGCAGCGGCTTCTTGAGCCAATTGTTGCTCTTGTTGCTCTTGTTGTGGTTGTTGTGGTTGTTGTTGTTCTTGTTGTTGTTGCTCATTGGCAGCTTGTTCTTGTGCTTGTTCTTGTGGTTGTTCTTGTTCTTGTGGTTGTGGTTGTGGTTCTTGTTCTTTTTCTACGGTTTCCTTCTCAGTTTCTTGAGCAGGCTCTTCTTTCTTTTCTTGTTCTTTTTCAATGTTGTCAACTTCATTCTTCAAGTCTTCTACATTTTCCAAAGCGCTTTCTTTGGAAGATTCAGAAGCCTTAGTGTCCTCTTGGGATTCTTGTGCTGGCTCTTCTTCTTTCTTCTTTTGAACAGGCTTTGGCTTTGGCTTAGGAGTGGCAATGGCCGCCCAGGACATCTTCTTCCTTTCCTCTTGGGTATGTGTAGAATTTAGTCTTTGAGCAATCTTCTCTTCCTTGGTACCGGCAGGAACACCGGTCTTCTTCACAGCTGCCTGAGCAGCAGCAGTAGCGTTCTTTCCACTGGAAGCACTCTGAGCTGCCCCGTGAGAGGAGGCGCTAGTGCTAGTGCCTGAGCTAGTGCTAGTGCTGCTACCAGTAGCAGTATTGCTTACACCACTGTTGCCAGCAAACCTGCCAGACTTCTTATATCTAGGAGCAGCAGCACCGCCACTGGCCGCACTATGACTATGTGTACTCGAGCTATACGTGCGCACGGAGCTAGCCTCCGGCGCATGTCTCTCCCGCTTGGGCTTCTTCACCTCATCCCACTTCGTAACTTTACCGGTCGTAATCTTCTCAACTATAATCTCCAGCTCAGTGTCCTTCTCCTCCTGGACCAACTCCAACAGATCCTCCCTCTTCCAGTCCGGAAACAACTCTACCAGCGTCTCCACCTTATTCTGTACCGACGACATCTAGTTTCTTAGTCTATATATATCTCGTCTCGCTTTCTCACCGTCGTTATCTGCCTCCAGGTACCAACAAACCGCCCCACTTGTAAATAACTTATGTTCAGTTCTTGTTCTTGGAAAACAGCATTTTTCGAATTTTTTTTTTTTTCAAATTTTTTTCATTAAGGATACATGTCGCTATATACGTATATATCAACTGTAATAAGCATATCCATAGCGATGGGCATCAGCCTGTCGTAGCTATATTTGCCCTGTACTAGTACAGGTACGGTGTATTTTGGATTATAAGGTGTATCCAGGGTAGACTTGTTACCTGACCAACCAAGAGAAGAAAACTGCAAGAAAATACCTCGACTCGACGCAAAGTAATTCAAAAGTTATATTGAAAAATTTATAGATAGACTTATAAACTACAGCTCGTACAGTTTTGGGGGATATAACATTTTGTAGTCTGCGATAAGGATAAGAACACACTGTGAGTAATCTATTTGTAATGTAGAGTACAAATGTTGACTTCTTTGCCTTGGAATATGGTGTCTCAATGTCTCGATGTCTCGATGTCTCAATGTCTCGATGTCTCGGATTTTATATCTTTCTTTATTTACAGGAGTGATTTGTTGTATGATGCTACGCCGTCGAGTTTGGACAATATTATATCTTGTCGTCGTCTGCTCCGGCGAGTTTCCCGCCTTGCTCGAAAGGTGCCTCCTTGCGTGCCTCGTCCAGCGCGGGCTTGATGCCTTGCTTCACCAGCGCAGCGTTCACACACTCGGTGTACGCATACCACTGCTTCGTGCACTCGTTCTCGATAGACTTACCCTTCAGAAACTTCTCCATGTACCACTCATTGAAACAGTTGTCGTACTCCTTCTTCAACTCAGTGCACTCAGGTGCAAAACTCTGCGACATCACGTTACCCATCCACTCTATCTAGTGCCCTTGTACAACTTCTGCTAAAGTTTCAGAGCTGCTTACCCATCACACTAAAACTTCCTCCTTCCGCCGCCTCTGAACCTCCACATTAATAACCAAATAAACATCTAAGAAGCAAAGTTTAGAATAGAAGATAACCGGGACTTCGATCCCGCAAAAAAGGATCACTTTAGTTGATGGTGATGCCACTCATGATCACTTCGTCGAGAAATGGATCACGGTCCCAGGTAATGGCACTTGCTCTTTCACTGGCGAGCTGCCCAGGCTCTGCTGCGGCACCCGCTTATCTGGAGACGGCATCACGCTCGAACTCGACCCGTACCGCTCCTGGATCAGCAGCGACACTTTCCTCTTCTTCTGCCTCTGCACACTGTCGTCCTCTCCTTGCTCCCGAGTGTCATCCTCGCGGTACTTTCCCATGGTGCTATCAGATACTTCCGACTGCACTGTGCTGTTGTGCTCTTCCCCACCGGCCACATCGCCGTAACTGCGCTCTGCGTTGGCTTCACCATGGGCGTCACCATGGGCATTACCGTGGGTATCGCCATGTGCATTACCGTGCGCATCGCTATCGCGAACCGGCGTCCTCTCGAGCAGCACGTCTCGCTTTAAGTCCACAACACCACTGCTCTTGCACAGCGTCCCGAGCCACTCACAGCTGTCGCTGATAGCATCGCAAACCTGGCCATACGCCACTACCCGTGGTATAACCTGCTTAGTGATCACGTCAAAGCAGTGCGACAGATTCCCGTCGATCTTCTGCAGCTCAAGTGTAATCTCCTGGTCTAACCGCTCCAATTCCCTGTCCATTCTTGCAATAGTGCCACCCGACTAACTGAAAGCTTTCTGTGCATTATAGCAGTTTAAGCAACTGTATAAATCTATGTAAACAACTAAACTTAAAACTAAAAGGAAATCGAAAAAACAGTACTGATTTACGTCCCCGATGAGTTTATGAATGGACTTTTACTCATATCCCTTACTTCTCCGAAAGCTAATATATTATAAAAACCAAACATATACACAGGCTCTCACTTACGGATCTTTCCCCCAAACCAACAACACACACCCCGAAACATCGAACTTTCACTATAATGTTCAAAAGACCCGGGAACTATTTCTTCATAGTGCCATGGATAGCGTTCATTCCATGGTATGGTATGCTAATTGCGATGCTTATTTGCTGGGCTGCTCAAGGGCACCCCATCTACTGGTTCATGCACACTGAGCAGTTCCCAGTGTACATATCTGACATAGGTGCCACCAACCTGAGACCGCTGTTCATCGCCTGTGCCGGATGGCAAGGTCTCGGCTATGTCATCACCATCGCCTGCGAGTACTTCCAGAGAGCCGGCAGATGGCCCTTCCGGATGCCCAACTCGAAGTCTCCGCATGTGGAGGCTGAGTACGACAACGTCTCCTCATACACCGAGCGTCTGTTGCACTCACGCTTGCTGATGCCTCCTTACTACACAAAGCATGAGAGGAACCTGATCTTTGCGAGCTTTGTGCTGGGGTGCATAGGTGAAATCGCCCTGCTGATGTGTAGTATCTTCTCAACTGCAAAGTACCACCATGTGCACATCTCAATGGTGGCCATTTTCTGCATCTTCATGCTCTTGTCCATCGTCTGCTTGACCGCGGAATATTTCTCCATGGGAAGACACTACGCCTCCATCCACCCGCTCGCCGCCACCAAGGCTGACTTCGACCCCAGCAACCCCACAAACATCGATTCCCTACCTTGGAACAAGTGGACAGGCCACATCTGGAACAAGTTCACCATAAGTGCCACCTTGAAGACCATATGGTGTATTGCCGCTATAGTGTGGGCCATCTGTTTCGGTGCCATCCACGACAACTCCAAGAGTGCTTGCTTCGAGTGGCTCTTGGCTTTCTGGTTTGGTATCATATTCATGATAATATCAGCAGACTTCTACCTGGGAAGCTTGTATAAGAGGTCCAAGTACTTCCACCAGATAGAGACATTCGCTGGCTACTACAAATATGACAAGTTTGCTGGCGTACGCGACTATGAATCTAACGACAGCTCTGGCAAATATGAAGACAGCGACAGAACTGAGACCATGGTTCAAGAAGATTCACCAGTAGAGGCATGAGGAACATAAGCACGGCAATAACCTCAAACACTTGTTTTGGGTTATTTGCTCCATCTAATCATATATTCGTTACCATCACAAACATCCTAATATTCATACCAAGTGGTTAACAATGGCATAGAATAGGAATACACTTAGCATCATTTTAATAATACCCGTGGAAGCTCCACAACGGTTACCAAGTCATCATTATCGTTACAATTTGTAATATCACCTATTCCCCCCATACCTACCCATTTATAATTTTTAATACATATTTACTTAATTCAACTTTCTGTTTAATATAAAAATAAAATAAGACTTAAATAATATTAAAATGAAATTAAAATAAAAACTAACTGAAACTAAAATATCCATTAAATTACACAAAATATTTGGCCTTAACGACCATTTTTAACCATTATATGTTTACAAATACAAGAGGGAGTACCTCCCCCCCTGTTATATATAAAAGAACCCATTATTTTACAACATCTAAAACATTTCTTCAAAAAAGCTTTCTCTTGCGCGAGGTTGAGTTAGAGTAGGGTTCGCATATCCTTCACTGATCGTATTAATACCTTTATCCAAAATCGGAATGCCTCTAGAAAGATTTCCATGCATTACTTTAGCATCAGTCAACGAAATTAGCCTCATTGGTGCACCCCCAGACACCTCTTCCATCTCTATTGGCACAATCGGCTCAGAGATTTCAGGTTTGTCACAGGAGTTCCTCAGGTTTGTTAATGTATTAGAAGCTTTTCTCTTTACTATTGACAACTGTTTTTTACGATATTTTAGAGCTGCATTTTTACCTATGAGAAGTCTGTCAATGAAGCTGGATTTATTAGGGCGGTTATCTGAGATAGATGTAACAACAGCTGGTTTCGATCCACTTAAGCCGCTTTCGGTAATTGCACCCATTCTTAATGGGTCATTAATGCCATTTACTGAACGTATCATCAAATGTTTTTCTGCATCTGCAAGAGGTTTAGTTGCAAACGCTGAATTTGTAGCGCTGAAGTCTTTCCTAATTTTCTCTAGCAAAAATTTCTGCTCTTCCAATTGGCAGGCCAGGGTATTTTTTGATTCTGCGTATTCTTCCTCTTTCAAGCTGTACGCTGTCAATTGATCTTCGAGATCATGTATTAGTTTCTTCCTCCGAAATAAATCACTTTTGAGCAAAGCATATTCATCTTTATGAAAATTATCTAACGTATCATTGGGACTTTCATTAATGTGGGATAAATGATTTGTGTATTGTGCACATTTCTTTTCTAAATAATCTACCATGTTCCTATGCGATGCTAGCTCACTTGCAATCAGTGACTTAGCATTATCATTGGCTTTAGTATTTTCTTCAAGAATTCGCAGTCGGTTTTCTTTTACAGTTAGTATATTGTTGAGCTCCTCTGTTTTACTTGCTAAATTCGACACAAGCTGTCTAATGTCATTTTTCCGACTCATATCATATTCCTTCAATGCAACGATTTTCTTCTCACCCAAAATATCGTCTGAATGAGGATCATTGATCAAAAATTCGAGATCATGCTCATGCGATGTGCTCCATCTTTGAATAAAATCGCCCTGAGATGTCAGAAGTGCCCTTGATGTGTCTATTTTACTTTTATGTTCACTAATCAATTCTTGCTTTTCGACCTCTATCTTATTTAATATTAGCTCCAAAGAATATCTATTTGCAAACTGAATTTTATCGTCCACAATTGCCTTATTATTATCAACATTCCTATCATAAATGAAGGTGTCACGATTATGCTGTTTACTAACTATGCTATTCTTAGCAAATGAAGATGTACCTTCCCTTTCCTTTTGTGAAATACCATTCTGATCATTTTTATCTAGTTTCGATTTTTTAATTTCAAGACATTCAGAGCTGAGAAGTTTATTTGGATGAATATTTTGCCTTAGAGTTCTTGGTAAATGGATTACTTCATGTCTATGAACATCTGTGGCTATAATATTATCTGTGTATTGCACTTTCTTCTCCTGAAATTTCTTTTGGCCATTATCAGTATCTGTATAGGATATATTGTCACTGAATTTAATAACTGCAACATCTTTAAAAACTGGACCTCCTTCCAGATTTTGAAAATTCCTTTCCTGTGTATGAAACGGGGTCAGCTTATCTTGAAGAATACTTGCATTTATAAGTTTATCTGTTGCATTTTTGGGGGTTTCATGAATTATCTCGTATTCCGAATACCCCGAAGATATTCTCTTATGGGAAAGATAACCTGTTGACACTCTAGATACTTCACTACCACTCGATGATCTATCAACTTTTCTTAAGTTTGGCACATGATCATTACTGTATCTACGTAAAGCAGTTTTAGCAGCCGCTATTTCTAAGCTCTTGTCTGATGCCACAGAGTTTCTATTCTTCCAATTCTTTGAGTGTGGGTTTGATATAGAATTTTTATACCCCCTTCTGTAATCATCATGAACAGCAATTTTTCTCGCATAGCTCATTGCTACCTATTTTAGTTTCAAAAGCTTAGGAGTGAAATATTGTTCAGCTGAAGTTATATATGTAATCAAGCTAATCACAGAGAATAATAAAAAACCTCTGATAAGAAACATATCTTATTCTCCAAATCATGATTAACTTATACTAACACACACTCATGTCTAATGCGAAATCAATTAGTCACTTGAAGAAAATCACTTGAAACAGCTCAGATCGAGTTTTTCTATTTAAGCCGTAATTATTACCGACTACTAAATATTATTCGATCCGGATTTAGAATTACCGTAGCAACGACTACATCAGTCCATAAATCAATCATCCAAAACAAATTTAGCCAGGTGTCAAGATTATTTGCCGTTTAATTTGTAACGTTCAGATGAACTGTCCTCTTATTCTCCTAGCTAATTGCATGTCCTTCTTCATAATCGTGATACGTTTAGCATGCAATGCCAACAAATTTGTATGCTCTAGTAATCCTACCAAGTAAGCTTCACTTGCTTCCTGAAGAGCGAGGATGGCCATTGATTGCCAACGAAGATCTTGCGATTCACCGGCAAATTCTTCTGTGACTTCCTTGACAAGTTTAGCAAATGGGATCTTTTGTATCAGTAATGCTGTTGATCTTTGATATTTTTCAATCTCATACATGGCAAGCTTACTAGGAGCAAAGTTTCGTTTCTCTTTAGGCTTCGCCACTATGTGCCTATGATCTCTTTGCTTTCTGCTACGTTTAACGTATTTGTCCAAAGAGTATTTCTCAGGAAGTCTCTTATTTTCTTCTTCTGATTCAACATGTGAGTTATTGATCGGCTCAAAATCGTCGTTACCAGCATCATATGAGCTTGGTAGTTGATTGCGATGGTAATAATCTGATTCAATTGCTTTTGCCTTAACCCCTCCCAAATAACGGCGACGATCCTCTCGACGATTTAGTAAATTCCTGCGATGCCTAGTCTTCTCTAATAATCGCATTGCTTTAGAGTTAATCTCTGAATCACCTTCAAATACAGTGTTAACACCAGCCAACCCTCGTGCTGATCTGGGCCATCTATCTTCATCCACATCTCTTTCAAACACCGCTTGCCTAGTAGACATCTCACTTCTTTTGTTTAAGCACTCTGTGTAAAGTTATATGCTAGAAAATACAATTAGCCACTTAATAGCAATACTTCTCCAGTTTACATCAAAAAATTTACCAATATCTAACTACTTGTTGGGTTTGTTATTATCGTCCACATCGCGTCTGTTACAGATTCGGACAGTTTCGTGTGTAACATAGTAATATACGATAGTGTATAACTAATATGTATAAAATGGAATTGTGACTCAACTATTAAATATTACACTACTAGAACAGATAAAGTTATGAATTAGATTGCTTTTGAATGAAATTTCATATTATGCATATAGGATTGTCTAATAAAACAAACTGGTCTTGCTATTTCTTGGTTTAAGTTTGCGATACAGTTATTAGACCTCAGCTGAATCTGATTCTAAATACGAGTTTATGTTTCTAACTGTATCGTTGGATATTGAACTATTGAACGGCTTATCCATATATTGTTTGAAGTCGACTATTTCCTTAGAAGATCTCATTCTATTTGTACTCTTTTTCTTTGTAGGTGTTTCTTGCAATGGCTCTTTTTTCTCTGGAGAATCCTTAATTCGAATTAATGCCTTGATAGGTGTCGGTATTTTTATAGGCGATGGAGATGCAGTGGAAGGTAACTGTACATGCTTTTCAGGCGATTTCATCTTTTCTGTATATAATGGATCCCCGGCCTCATAAGTATCCAGAAAATCGGTTATCGGGACAGGTTCCTCAAAAGATGAACTAGATTCAGATCGGGTTTCTATTGACATTTGACCCGATGGCGCGTTCATGACTTCTACATTGTTATATGAATACTGTGGCTTATCATTACTCCGAAGCGTTGGTTCCTTAGTCCCCTTCTTCTTAAATATCTTCTTCCACATTTTCGAGAATCCAGATTTCTTTTTAGTTTTGGATACCATATATTTTTGTAGCACTTTTTCTATTTCAAATATATCTATTCTTGTCTTCGGATCTTTAGCAAGGAGCCTATCTATCACAAATTTATTGAGAGGACAGACATCGTAATAATCCTCTAACGATTTTTCAGTTATTTGATTATAGGTATCAAACTCGTTCTCTCCAAAAAATGGCAATTCATTATTCAACAGACAGAATATTGTCACTCCTAATGACCAAACATCCAGCTTGAAACCATCCACAATAGTATTTGAGGTTGTGTTGGTATTTTCATTTATTTGTTTAAAATTACAAAGTTCAGGAGCGGTAAACGCTGGCGTTCCAACAATTTTGTTTAGTTCTGAATTGAAGAGTCTCTCAACACTACGATCGCTAGAGTCATCTATAAAACTCATGTGCTTTGGATCAATAATACAGCATCCAAAATCTGAGATCTTAAAACGTCCACTTACACTGTCCAGCAATATATTGGAAGGTTTTAAGTCTCTATGTATACAACCATTAATCTTCATAAATTTCAATCCATCTGTCAGCTCTCTCAGAGCTCTCAATGAAAACTCTTCGACCGAAATGTTTTTATCAATATTCAGCCATTGTGCATGTACCTCATTCAAATTATCTCTTCTCCATTTTAGTTCCCCCAAATTGCACCAATCTCCTATTAAATAAATGGAGGATGATTTTGCTGAGTCCAGTACTTCAAACATCTTTATTAAATTTTGGTGTCCTTTACCTTCCATCTTTGATAGTTTAGATAGTATGAATATTTCCCTTCGGCATTTTTGCAAATTCATCATCATTATAGTCTCATCAGCCGTTATATCCAAACTGGGAGAAATCATGTCTCCAGAAGAGTTGTCGCTTTCTGATTTAATATCGGTTTTAGGTTTCGATTCAGGTAAAAAGCCCTTCAGTCTCCATGTTTGTATTTGCCTTAGCACCTGATTCATCGAGTACTGTTGAGAATTCAGAGGCTTCTTTGGTATCATTTTAATCGAGTACATTCTATTATGCTTCCGGGCTCTATAAACATAGCTGAATTGGCCTTTACCGGCAGGTTTTGAGCCCATTACATAGCCATTGACTCCATCATCATTTGAAGCATCAATTTCTGTGGTGGTAGTTTTCAACTCATCGACCATGTCAAACAAATGATCCTCCATTAGACTGTAGTAGCTATTTGGCTGAAACTTCTGCTTATGGGTACCTGCCCCATTAATTTGACCGTAGAATCGCAGGTACTTCGGAGACCATTCCGGTAACACTGTAGGGTATTCATTGTCAGACATACTATTTCTTCAATTCTTTGCAGTATACTTAATTTCTTTTCAAGTAATGTTCTCTTACAGCAGTTAATGATTGGGATCTTTTTAAAGGCAATTTAATTAATTAAGATCTGGAAACTATTTTTAGAATAAAATCCTACTAGATATACGAACTCACCACCATGACACATTGCACTACAGTATGCGATGCCCGGACCTCGATGCTTTATTATTGTCATTTCATTTTTAATTGTAAACATTTGTCTATAATACCATCGTACAATAGTATATATATGGAAGTGAATTAATGCAGAGAGGGTCAATTAGTTTATTGTGCAGCAAGAATTCATTACAGAAGAAAAGTTAATTAATTAAAATTAAAGTTAATTGCTAACATAAATCTATGAGTAATACTTTATTCTCTTTCGGGGGCATCTAATAATTTTCCGTTTCAATCTTCATTTGATGAATTTTATTATAATAAATTAAATATGAATTAAATTATTAAAATATTAATTGTAATAATAATTACGGTGATGTTCTCTATCTTATGTTAAAATGTGGTATATATGGATGAGTTCAGGGATAAAAAGAAATGTAATCGTTATTTTTGAATGTCGGAAGTATTGTCACTTAGTAAAATATTTGTACAAGGAGCAGCATAAACCAGCATGCGAAACCTCACGTACTTTCAATCTTGGAATAATTAATGGTAGTAAAGAAAAAAAAAGGTTATAGTAATTTTGTTTTTGTCCCCTAAAAGAATATATGGCAGGCCCTATTATAGAAAATATAAGGCGTTCATACCCCCAATTCTAATTAATATGCCTCGATATAACATTGATTTGATATGGATGCAACCAAAATGTATCTAGCAAAAATAGAAAAGGTAGTTGAAAAAAGAAAATAATAAAATGAATCGTAGCAGAAAATAAAATAAAGAATGGCTCGAGACTTTAATTAAAAGTCTCCGTGTCTTTTATGTGTTTTCAAATGCTGAGATAAGTTATCGCTTCTGCTGAACTTCTTCTCACAGAACATGCAGGGGAATGGTCTTTCTGTTGAGTGAACAGAACGAACATGCCTCTTCAAATGTTCACTTCTTCTGAAAGCTTTGTCACAATCGGCACATTGGAATGGTTTTGCTCCGTCTGGTAGCTCCACAGAAACTGACTTATTTCTTCTTGAAAGACTTTGAGAGCTTCTAGAGCTCATAGGAGTTACAGCAGACCTTCTTCGCCTTCTAATTGACGTAGTAGAATTTGAGGCAATAGAAGGTGCTAATGACCCTACGCTTGTGCGAGAGGACATTGGAGTAGCAAACTCTTTAACGGGCGTTGTACTAGATTTGCTTGAGCTCAATTCGATATTTTTGGCATCGAGAATTGAAAGTGATTTTGGGTTAAATACAGGAGACACGTTCAAACTTGGTTCGACAACCTCTAGGGCAGCATCCTCATTGCCGTTCAAGAAAAGACCTGAACTGGCAGGAGATGCAATGAACATATTTCTGCGGTCTTCGCCTTCGTTCAAGTCGTCATCATCGGACAGGACAGCATCTTCCCAAAGCAACATGCTATTCAACGCACCGGCGTTGTTAGTTAATCTGTACTGGTTGTTGGCATTACTCAATGCCTGTAGAGTTCTAGTTGGCGAAGTCAGTGGGCTCTCTAATGAAGGTTTGCGTTTTGTCACGCCTGAACCCACTGGCCCATGAACTGATTGTCTTCTATTTCTGTATTTTGTAAGCTTGGATGCCGAGTGAAAATCCAAGCTGTATTCGTTCAATGTCTTTGAGATATCAGAAGCGTTTGCATCTATTTCTTCATGTGCGTTAGCATGTTTTGTCTGTGGGTTCGACGAGGCCAATTCCACGGTTTGAGTGAGGGATGCGCGTCTATCGGTCTGTAGAGAAGTAGGGCTGAGCAATTTGCTGACTCTTCTGCTGCCAGAAAGGATTGCTGAGTCATCGAAATTATCCTGGTCCTGGTCGTAGTCCTGGTCGTGGTCGTGGTCTTGCTCGTCATCTGCGTCGTCATCGTTTAGGATCAAGGAGTCTCTCTCGCCGAACACATCGAAGAAGTCCACGACTTCGTTGTCGTAATCATTGCCCAGACTAGAGTCCATGAACAAGTTGTTATGTGCCTTCTGCAGGTTAGAGTTATTGCTAGGCAGCACCACCTCTGTTCCGTCCGCCTCGCTGTCATGCTGGGCGGATGTGGTTGGGGAGAGGCTGCTTGGCAGCTTAGGCAGCGTAGCCGAGGACAGCAATACGGGATTAATGAACTCTGGCTTGGTCATGACTTCTTCCTCGTTCATAGAACTGGACGAGAGCGAGTGTTGCAAGTTCACAGGCCTGGTGCAGCGCGATTGTTCCAGGTTCTCTAGTATCGAGTGCAGCGCGTCCTGGTTGAGTTGGTTCCCGATGTCAGCGTTGTAGAACCCTTTCAAGTTAGTAATGCTGCTGTTCTCCGTGGGGATAGTCTGCGAAGGGGAGTTGATGAAGGAAGTGTCAGGACTTTCAGTTTTTCTATCAGCGTCAGATAAGTAAGAAGCCAGCTCTTCCTGTATCATAGCATCGGTCATATTGGCAAGTCTTGTTTATTTTTTACTTTCAACTTTTATTGTGTATGTTTCCTTTCTAATATATATCATGCAAGGGCACTTATGTCGCTTGGAACAGGAATGGACACTAATATATATAATTGTTGAGTTCCTTGTCTTGGTCCATGTTCTTGGTTCTTGGTTCTTGGTTCTTGGTCTTGTACTGCATCGAGTCCTAGCACTATTGAAAGTCCAGGCCCGGCGAACCCGCACGTCATACAGCCACTATGAGCGTCAGAGAAACAACAATGGGGGACAGGCAAGGGTTCTGTGCTCTTTAGGAGTTTTCAGTTGTGGGCTGCCTTCTATAGTATCGCAAGAAACTGGCCTAGTGCATTTTCTGTGCTTTGGCCATTTGCAAAAGTATTAGAACTTGAATTTAGAATTAGACTTAGAATTAAGGGTCCATATTCTATTTTCTTTTCTTTTTTCTTTTCTTTTGGAAGGCAGAGAGAGAGTTCGCACGGCGTGAGAGGAGTTTCTTTCTTTTCAGTATTCCATGCACACCAATAGAGTTTTTTCTGTGCTGGGGTTTGACAGTCTGGAATAGGTTGGGCATGGAACATGTTCTCTGCATTTGGGGGGGCACTGGTTTCTCTGGTACGACAAGCAGGAGACCAGTTGCACTTAACTTTCTGTGATCTGTGGGTGCTTCTTTTTCTTCTTTTCCAGTGAGAATACTCAGGAGAGAGAATGCCCTGCCCATGAGTCACTGGTCGTCATTCCTGCAGTGCTGTCATGCTAGCTTTGGCACATTTATTGTACAGAGGAGGGCACGCAGAAGTACTTGACAAGAGACGGCGGGGGGGGGGGCAAAGGGAAAAGAGGCAACAAGCTCCCAATTGGGAAACCTAATAAAACAAAAAGATTAAATTGCAATTTATTGCCAGTTGGGAAATAATTAGGCGAAAAAAAGAGAGGGCCCTGCACACAATACACAGGGTTCAGGGTATGGGTATGAAACAAAGAAAAGTTCTAGAACAATAGTAACGTATGCGCTGGAGTTCTGAGCTAAGAACACTGTGCAGTGCAGAACAGGCTCATACTTCCAAGAAAAGCCCACTCGAGAGGTATTTATCCCGCGGAGTTAGTACTACCCGGCATTAGTCGTCGAGAAATACACCTGGAGACTCGTATAATCCTCCGGGAAGCTGCAGCTGGAGGGAGGGGGCGACCATTAGTGGGACAAGACCACACAGGCCAGACAGCTGACGGACCCAAGGAGACGGACGCAAGGAGACGGACCCGGAACACAATTATTCGAGTCACCCAGTGCGGGGCTCCGATGTCTTTGATGACCAGCGCTGAGATGCCGAGAAGGGAGTTCTTGCTGGACATGGGTAGACGGGGTGCCAGATACCCTTACCCACGAGAAACCTACCGGAACAACCCACCGGGACAACCCACCGGGACAACCCACCGCAACCCTCGGCCTCTACGGCTCATACACACCCCCACCATCGAATACCTCGAACAACTGCATATTCGCTCCTACAATAAATTAATCAGAATCTCAGCATTGAATTTGTGCTACTTTTCTTCATTATAGCATGTGTAAATGACAATACATGCATAGCCAAAACTTAGACTATATTCCCCCCGCGGGTATCTTGTAAATACACTTTGTCTGACAAGCTATTTTTAGCAATGCGGGTTCCCCAGAGAAGAAAAGTGCCAAACTGTCAATCCATAGACAACCGATATCTCACTATGGTACAAAACCCTCTCCACGAGGAGAGACTTCCAGGCTATACACACTGACATACACTCTGACATACACACACAACCCGCTATGCTATCCGCACAAAATCAATTCGACTATCCTCTGCAGCATGTAACCGCTATAGATATATCAAGTAGACACACACACACACACACAGAGACACACAGAGACACACTCACCACGAACAAGCAGTTCCCTATGTATTCACACTATATGTCGTGAAAAGAGATGTATATAACAAGCTCTTGCTGGGAGCCTATAGTATAAGTCACACCTTGCAAAGATAGTTATAGTCATATAGACGTGCACATGTGCATTCCAATTTTATGTGAGCAGTTTAAAGATACAGCATTGTGTCAGATACTACGCCAAGCACCTAGGGTCTCATTGCCCCCCCACCAGCAAATATTCAAATGCTTAGTGAGCCAGGAAGTTTATCTTTTGCTGCTTGAGTAGCTATTGATTATAAACATTGAAATCTTTACTAATATTCCACCAAACTACATCTCTTTTAAACATCTCAAAGATGGCCTTACAACTCCCTTCTCTTCTCTCTTTGTCACTAAGCTATTTGTCACTTTTTTATTGCGATTGTCACACGTAAGCTGAATTAAGCAACTACAATAGAACTCTTCACTACTTCTCAAGATGGTTTTTGCATGTCTTGGGACCTATAACCACAAAGTAAAACTCGCACATAGCGCATAGCAGATAACAGACAATGCAAGGAGGTGTTAGAAGGAAGAAGGACCTGTTGCCAAGGTATGGTAACAAGCTGCATCCACGCAACAATGGGTCGCGTAACCCGTTCAACTACATGACGACTCCGATGAAGAAGATCCTGGGTTACATCCTGCTGTTGTTGATCACTTTTGCATTTATCAAGACTGTGTACAGCGACTTACAACACGAGCCCAGCTTTGAACTGGATCACGAGTCCCTGGCATCAAGCATGGAAAAGAGTGGTAAGCTGAACATTGATCCAAAGGAATTTGTAGGTGTAAATAACGAACAGAGAGCCAAGGATAAGATCCAGGATACTGAGAAACTGATGAGAGATGAGAAGGAAAGAGTTGCTGTCGCTGGAGGTGGAAGCGGTAGTGGTAATGCCATCGGTGCTGGAGCCAACAATGCAGCCAAGAAAGGCACTAAAAAGCAGCAACAACAAGCAGCTGCGGCAGCTGCCGTAGGTGCCGCTGTGCCAAACGGTCAAGAGCCAGATGACTTGACTAAGGAGCAAAAGGAGAAGCAGGAAGAGATCAAACAACAACAGCAACAACAAGCCCCAGCTGATAAGAACAACCTCAAGGCTAAAGGTGGGAACAACGTTGCCGACAACTCAAACAAAGATAAGATGAAAGATATAAAAAATGATATGATCAAGGACTCAAAGAAAGATGTCAATGATGTGAAGAAAAACGTAAAGCAAGATTTGAAGGACTCTAAGAAAGATCTAAAGAATGCTCAAGCGAATGTGTAGACCTAACCACTCCCCCTCTCCCTCTTTCTGGCACAGACATATTATATAATATCAAACCCAAGCGCTGCAACGGTTTATGCGGGATTATTAACATGTAATTCTTCCGCCCTTTTAATTTTGATTCATTGGTATTCTAGATGAATAGTATGTTTGCATTGATATCTTAAGTTAGACTGTACGCCTATATAAATTAGATAAAGCGACAATAATGGATAGTCAAGATAGACATTTCTAAGGTCTATAAAAATCAGAATATATTTATTACTGGTTAAAGTAGTGTATGTTTAGAAATCAAATCTCTTCTTGGTATAAACATAAGCACCATATGCCAGGCAAAACATGAACGCAACAATGCTCATGAACCAATTCAATGATTCATTAAATTGACCAGGTACAATAACATTCATACCCCACAAACCTGTTATAACGTTCATTGGTAATACAATTGTACCTAGAATGGTAATTTTTCCCAAAACGTCATTCATATCGTTGTTGACTCTAGTCATATCGATATTAATTTGAGCAAGATAGTTTGAATGTGACCTACTTAGTAGCTTTTCATAGTGGTTTAATGATGCAACCATAGTAACTATATGATCCTGGATATCGCCAAGATATATCCCAATTTCACTTTGGGGTCCAAAATCCCATTGCTCATTGTATCTCTTAGCGAATCCCTTGATCACATCAGCCTTCCACCCTAGTAATCGCAGGATACTCATAACACGCTTACGGCACTCACCAATTCTTCTCAGCATATCACCTTTCTTCTTCCATCCAATAATGTTTGGGTTTATACTTGATAGGCTGCTATCGCTACTTCTGCTACTGCTACTGCTGCTTCGAGTTCTGGATGAGAATGTATTGTATGACCTAGATGAACGAGTTTCAAATGATCTTCTGCCAATTGATCCACGTATGGAACCTGCCTTCTTGGATCTCTTATCGAAAAGTAGTCTTGTGTTTTCACCACCACTAGACTTATTAGCTCCTCTAACACTGAATGTTGATTCATTATCATCGCCATAGTCGCTGTCTGAGTCACTATCGCTGGAGTCACTGTCACTATCATCATATGTATGATGCATTTTTAAAATTGCATCCTCAATGTCATATACTTCATCCTCAATCAATTCAATCATTGGCCCGAAAGCATCCGTAATATCATCGATTAAGGCGTATGCAATCCAATCGGAAGTAACATTTAAATAATCTTTTAGTAGTCTAGCTCTCCTTCTCACATTAATAGGATGAGGGGTAGGAGCAAAATGAAAAGTTAAAACACCTGTTCTAAAAACAATAATGTAGACGTTGAGCGGTTGCAACTCACCCTCTCTTGGTTTATGTCTATCACCAGATTTGCGTTTCCTATTTCTCTCTTCTATCATTTTCAGCCGTTGTTTGTCTGCCTTGTGATGAAGACTAGAAGAGTAGAGAGACTGTTCTGCTCCACCCCTCTTAATATCATTTGAGGACCGTCTTCTCTTCCTAAAGAAGGATGATAGCCAACCTCTCCTGTTACTACGGTGAGAAACACTGTCTCTGTCGGCATTTGTACCCGTATCCTCGTTATATTTATTCCTTTTCTGCCTTAATACATGTTTTTCAGCAATAATATCAAAACTTCTGAAACAAATAAAATAATAATCCTTGAATAGCTCTACCTTTTCACGTGTCTCGCCTAAAAATATATCCTCAGTAGTTAAGGGATGGATACCAAAAGCTTTACTCAATATTTTCATTTCTTCTTCAGTTGGATTAACTACGTCCAACCAAAAAGGAGCTACTTCATCTAAGTCTACTTCCAAATCTGCCGCGTTAGAACCCAAATGAGTCCCAGAGGCACTGTTGGACATGTTTGAGGGGTTCTTGATTAGATGTGAATTCGAGTGAGATGGAGTGTTGGCTTTAGTATTTAATGGAGTATTAGCTCCTGAAAAGTTGCTCGACCCTCTCTGATCGGCATATATAGAGGCCACGAATAGATCTTGGTATTTTTGGCCTGGTTGTAGTAGCCCAGATATTGTCGGAGAATGAACTGTTGCATCTAAATCAATTCTGAAATAAGTAAATCTAAAATGTTCAGGATTACTAGATATTATGTGTGATGGGTATTGAATATTTCTACCCACTAAGAAGTTGTCTCGTAACTCACTATTGCCGGGGATAGCTGGATTAACTGGAGACATTCCAGGAGCAGATTGAAAACCCTGGTGCTTATTCTGTGTTAGATGCCATGGTGCTAGCCTCCTCGGTCTTAATCTTCCTGTATTGAGTTGTTCTGCTTCATTTACTCTTTTGTTTCCCAATTCAGGAACGTCTATATTAGTAACAATCGGCTTGGAGAAGAATATTCCTGAACTGGATTCCGCTTTAGTATATCTATCATTAGCGTCTGGGAATGACTGATCATCAAAATCATTGTTAACATAAGGTTCTTCATCTTCATCATATTGGAAGTGAAAAGCTTCTGCATCTCTAATTGCCTGTCTTCTTAGTTTTTCTGTTTCTTCTTTGGAAAATTCCTCCAATACAGCTACATCAGGCCACATTTTATCTAAATTTTCATCCTCATCTTCGAGGACAAGGCACACATCATCTAAAGATGAATTATTGGAAGATCTCCTTGATGACGGCCTTGAGTTATATTCATCTTCATCTTCATCTTCCATGTCACTTTGGAAAACATCAGTACTTCTAGTAGATGTGGAGTATGAAGCAGAACTTGATGGATAGCTCCGACGACTATGTCTGTCATCCTGATGACCTTTCTTTTTATGTGTACCTTTGTGTTTGACATGACGCATAAGTTCATCAACATCGATGACCACATCATTTCCATTAGGTATTAAAGTATCCCTTCTATGCAAAGGTGACTTACGAAATCCATTGATTACAGGTGGGGTACCCGTACTGGACAAATATGGGTCATAGTTTCTTGTATTATACGAAGCCGCTAACCGGGCCTTCAAATCTTCTGGATAATCCGCTCCAGGGTCAATACGGCCGCCTGTTCTACTCAATCTGGGTTTCAGAACATCCGCGTTCATACTAAATGCGCGTTGCTTCTTTTTTTGTTCAGATTTGTCATTTTTCTCTGTCTTTTTAGGTCTATTCTTTTTAGCAAATGTTAGAGGTCTAGTTTCTAATATACTATTTTTTCTGTGATCGAGATAAGAACCTCTGCCCCCTCTCCCATTTGTCACAGATATATTGTGTTGAGCGCTGTTAACTTTAGTTTTCCATTCAGTTTCGGCATTGACTGCATGCTCCAAAGCATCAGTATTATCCGTGTTGTCAATATTTTCCTCTCTTTCAGCAGCACCATGATTTTCGTCCTCTTCTTCTTCCTCTGTTTGTCTTATACCTACTTCATATTGAGTTTCCGCCTCATGAAGTATTCCTAAGGAGTCAGTATTATCAAAATCATTGGAGAAGGATGAACCCATTGGCATACTTGAGTCAGATATTCTGTGCTTCATGGGTTTGGGTCTTCTAGGAATAGGCTGACTATCAGAATTACTAGCGTCTACCGAATTGGTTTCCTGGTTTTGTAGTAGCTGCGGGATACTAGTCAAAGGACTAGGTGACGATGATTCGTTATTCATCTTTTCTTACTATTTCGATTGTACTCTCGTAGACAGGGGTCTAGCTTTGCACCATAAGCTGTTTGTATTTCCTAGAGATCAGCAGTCTCTCTCCTAATATACACTATTTTCTGACCAAGCTATCGTTCTTAGTATAATTTTGAAGAGATCAATTATTCGGAGTCAAGTACTGTTTATTTCTAAAAAGGGCTATTTGGAATTAACTGTTCTGAGCAGGTGAATTGTAGAAAGCGGTAAAGATCAGATGACAGCCCGCAAACGTCTATGCTAAATACATGTACCAGCCAGTACTACTTTAAAGACAAGAGACAATGAAAAGACGCCAATAGAGCTGCTACATGATGACTTAAATTTGACCCTCATCGCAACACTCGTGTGAGTCCCAGTAATTGCTAATATCTGAGAAAGAGTTTATGTTCGTTAGCAGTGCTATATATAAGAGATGTCCTAACCTAATTGCAAGAACCATAAGGCATACAAATGAGCAATGAATATGCTGTATTATTATAAGCGTATGCTAATTGCTTACTAGTCTCTACCATATGTGTCAATCTCGCTGTATAAGCGTTTCACATGAGAAGTATAGCATAAAGACTATTTTGATGTTCGTGTATTCTGTTGCGGATGTTGTACTTCTCATGAAATGGTAATTACAATGGTAATTGGTATTGTCATGAGCCTATTTGATTCCAATGACTTCGAGATTTTAGATAGCATGAAGTAGATGCGTCATGCAGTTGGATATATTTCAACAATGACGTTTGGTTTATCACTGGGGCTGCCCTTTCACGTGTGGCTGAACGGAACGGAAGACGTTTCAAGGGTTTGGACTTCACAATCTGATCTCTTCCCTTCCACTCCCTATGCGATCGAGCAAAGAAGGTCGACTTTGCCTTTGTTTCTAAAAGTAACCTCATCACATTTTAAAGGGTTTTCCGTTCGTTTCGAGTACTTTGATTGCAGAAATTTTAATATAATTTTATAAGTTTGGTAAGGGATGGGACCTTCTTATTTTTTTAGTTTCTTGAACGTTATATATCTTGTGATTGTATTTTGTATTTCTGTTTCAATTATTCAGAGTCTGTATAGCATATTAAGAACACAAGAACAAACGATATTACCCAAAGCATGAGTATCTATTTTTCTACATTATTTGTCATACTGACAGTCGAGATGGCGATCCTGTTTGTGCTAGTGTTGCCACTGCCTCACAGGATCAGAAAGATGTTGTACAAGACTTACTTCCAGCTGACCTCAAATGCGCAGTTCAAGACTGTTCTATATATCTTTGCCGGTATCATTGGGCTATTATTCATTGACTCCTGGAAAAGAGCTAACATTCCAGTTACGTTGTACCACCACGCCAAGAGTGACGATGCTGAGTTGAATACATCCACACAAGTACTTGCAACAAGGGCTTTTAACCAGAGAAACGTTTACATATCAGGATTCATCCTATATTTCTTAATTGGCATTCCTACTGTGCTAAGTATCGTTAGAAGATTGGTCAAATACCAGGACCACTTAAATGACAAGGCTAAAGAGGAAGGTAAGAAAGGTGAAACAAAAACTGTTAAGGACGTTAAGAAGGGTAAGAGCGACAAAGTGGAACCATCCATTAGAGAATTGGAAGAGACTTTGCATGAAAAGACCGTTTCTTTAGAAGGTTTGCAAACTCAAGTGGAAAACTTGGAAAAGTATTACGATGAGATGAACAAGCCATTACCAAGCAAAGAAGTACCAGAGTCGGAGAAGAAAGTACAGTAAATAATAACAATATGCATTAAATACACGAAATCTTGTATTTATCAAATTTATTATTACTTTACTGCTCTCTTAAGTAATTTAACTGAATTTATCTCGTAATTGATTAATGTATCAATAACTTGATATACATTGGAATTATTGTAATTCTTATTTTTTTTTCTTTAGTTTCTATTTTATATATTTTGGTAATATAGGCCTATCATGAACACGCGGAAATATAGAAAATCTTTGAAGTTACGAATATTATTTTGTTTTTATATTGGGAAAGATAAATAAAATTACACTTTTAGCATAGTTATATTGTGCTCAATGGCAGAAATAACACTAATGGTACCAGACTATATATTTCTATGCTTCTTGTAGATTTTTCTGATACCACTGTTTTCTTCATTGTTGTAATGTGCAACAACCGCGGCGCCTGCACCCAAAGCTCCTACAACAAGAAATGGAATGGATAGCCATGGATTGCCATTATTGTTTCTTGCTGTTGAAGCATAGCGTCTTCCCATAGTAGCAGCTCTAGTCACAGTTCTGGCGTACATTATTTGATGTTTTGTTTTTTATCTAATAATCTAAATATTTTATTTTAATTTATCCTATGAGGAGGTAAGAGAATATAAGATAAACAATAAGCAATACATGAAAGAACCGATAAAAAAAATAACTGAAAATCAACTGGATGTAGATGGAGATTTTATGGGTATTTATACATTTTTTTTTTCTGTGAAGAGGCAATAAATATATTGTTAGTTCACATAAACCTCTCACAGTAATGACAAGTAAAATTACCAGCAAATAAGATAGAAGATACAGCCTGTGGTTTACTTAAACAAGTATAAGATACAGAAGCTGAACATCTCACCAAAATTTGTCCTTGTCTTATAGGATAACTACGATTATTGCTTAGTACACTTTTCTAATTTTAGGGATATACGCTTTAAGCAATCGCTACATCCTGGTTTGCCATTCATGTGCGAGTGCCTAATAGATATATGCCCTTTATTTAAAGCTGAGAGGGTACGAAGGACCACTTCTATCATAGAACATAAGACAATCAGGGATATATTCATGCTACACACTTAATGTACAACATGGCAGCATTAGCTTCCATTGTAGTATTCCTGCTTATCCATCAGGATTCATCGGTTTTAGACAAAGGATCAAGAATTAAAAATTATTGGATGAATAAGTTTTCAAAAGAAATTAATGCAGGAGAAGTGGTTAGAACAATGAGGAACGTTGAGGGGGTTACTTAACGCGAGCATCTATTGTCAAGGACAGACACAGACAATGTTGGTAGTCTAGAACAGAAGCCTCCCCAGAAACTAACTGTCATTATGAGTTTTACACTTTCTTTCCATTGTCTTATCAAAAAAATCCTCAATGAGCTTCACTCCCTTTGTTATTTGATACAGTAAATAGTATATTCCTACAATATACGGATCGAGTGTGGGGCAGGCAGAGCATGGTGTAAATAAAGAATGTACAGAGCGAAGACACTCCTTAACAGTGTAAGTGCAACATTACACTTTTAGGAATGAGTGAAACAAAATAAGGGTTGCTCTGTTGAACAACGAAGGATAAATGGTGCATCCTACGATTTTGCTGGTTATTGCAGTCAACAACACTGATACCAATTGGAGACAGCCCTACCATCATAGAACCATTAGCTGGCAGCCCAAAAGGATTTGCAAGAGAGCAGATTAGGGACATTTCTTCTTTTATCATTCGTCTTTTGTCTCTCTGCCAATCTTCCATCGCTCGCCCTTTATTTTCTTATGTCAGTAACATTGTCAACATTTGTCTAAATGTTCTTTTCATCATTTTGGTAAATTATGATTGGCTCAAGACTTGCTATTATACTGATTCGAAGACCATGTCTTGTTAATGGTAATATTATTCCCGTCTGTTCATAATTTATTTTCAGCATTTATCAGTGCCAGACGATAACAGGGATTGATTAGTTGTGATGAGCTATATTTTTAAATGTATCTTGTAGCAGCTTGAACGCTATGCCGAAAAAGTGTAACTTGGACATAGATAAATATGACATCGACTTAAGGGTTTAGCATATATTGCTTATAGTATATAGTATCTTTTACCCTATAACAGAATCCACGTCAATAGAGGATGTATCGAGACTTGTGATAATGTGGTTGGCTGTTTTTTTTGTAAATGCAATGCTTGAACTAGATGCCACTTGCTCTACTTTATATGTTTATGTATAAAATATGAAGTTGGGAAATAAAAAATGAATATTATCGATTCTTATAGTCTGTATTGAAGTTTTGAAGATTCATCTTGTAATATTCCGATCTCTGCTATATACTTTTCATTGAAGGAACTATGTACAGTTTTTAATGAAGGCTCACATGTATGTGTGTCTGCAACTTTATCAAACAATTCCAAGAATAATCAGACCAACCATAAATGTAGAGAATAATATAAATGAAAATTAAATCAGGAAAAAACTGATTTGTGTCCATTTATTTAATTTACTCGTAGATCCAGGCTAAGTTAGATGGCTTCCATTCAACAAGTTCTTCCTTCTTGAACCAGATACCAATTTCACGGTTAGCACTTTCGACAGAGTCACTACCGTGGCAGACGTTTCTACCTAGGTCAATACCGAAGTCACCTCTGATAGTACCTGGAGCAGACTGGGTTGGGTTGGTGGCACCCAACATAGCTCTACCTTGTTTGACAGCATCTTTACCTTCCCAGACAGTGGCTAAGATTGGACCAGAGCTCATGAAAGCGGTCATTGGACCAAAGAATGGCTTACCGATGTGTTCGGCATAGTGTTGTTCCAACAACTTTTGATCAGCTTGAATAAGCTTGATACCAACCAACTTGTAACCTCTGGTTTCGAATCTACCTAGAATCTTACCAATTAGACCTCTTTGGACACCATCTGGCTTGATAGCAATGAAAGTTCTCTCGTTGTTGGACATTTTCTCTATAATTTCTTGAAATTTGTTTGAATAGCTACTTCGGTTGTACAGTAAGTATATAAGACTAAAAAATTACTTATACAACTTACAAGATATCAAGAAAAAATTCAATTGGGCAATATTTGGATGAGCTATATATACATGTTGATAAATCAGGAGACGGGAACACAAGGATTCCTCGATGAGATTTTTGTTGTGCTTACCATAGCTATTGAGGACAAGGGATGTCCTCCCCGGACATCGGGATTCTGAAGGGTGTCACTGTTAATTCAATGAAAGATAGAACGTTAGACAGTAGAAATACGCAATTGAACATGTCTTGCCCGAGGGAAGTGAGCTCTAATTGGTCCGTGCGAGCTATTCTTGCCAATTCAGGCTCACCAAAGAAATGTCAGGAACAGCTGTCTATTGACACGAAGTTTAGGGTTCTTTAGTTATACAGTTCTACAACTCTGCGACATGCATCTTGTGGGTAGAAGATTATTCCGTGCATTGGCGCACAAAATGTAGTCTTTGAGTGCAATAGATATCCTCCTACTCCTATGCTACAAACAAATATGTACAATATAATAATTTTATTCACTCACTACTTAATGTATTCAATACTACAGTAATAACCCCACCACCATTAACATATAACCCTTTGCTCGTATCATACGATATTTTATTATTATAGTTAAGGCAGGAAATTTCAATCAGGGCTGACAGTACTTACCATTTGCCTCCTTAGCTTAGTGGTAGAGCGTTGCACTTGTAATGCAAAGGTCGCTAGTTCAATTCTGGCAGGTGGCAAATTTTTTCTCGTGCTGGCGATTCTTTTTTTTCAAAATTTGTCATTCTCCATGAATGGTATATCTCTGTAGGCTGAACTATGAAGGAAAAAGGAGTGAAAGAATCTCGACAAAAGTTACATCAATTCGGGAGAATAAGGAGGATCAATAGCCTAATCTCTATCATTCCTTCATCGCAGGGTACGTTATTATTATTGAAATTCTAGGGACGGAGTGAGAGTAAGAGGGAACGCAAGTGCCTTTTAGCAGACTCGTTTTCGTGTTCGTCGACTCCCAATTTCTGTAACTTTTTCTCCCTTCATCGTTAAAGTTCAATACTTGGTGAACCTGTAAAATAAACATTTTTAGGCTATACTAATAGTCCATAGATTTGAATTGTGATATTTTGATTGCCTACATTCAGAGGAGGAAAACGATACACAGATTTGAAGTTTCTATTTTTTTTCATAAACTACAATTGGACGCAACTGAATTGATTGCTCTTGCTTATTTGTGCTTTTATTGAAGTGGTCTAATAGTTTTACGAGTTTCGGAATCACACTCCCAGCAAATATAACAATAATATAATATGATTTTGAACATACTTTCAGTAATAGGTACTGTATTCGGGTTCTGTTTCCTCACGCTGTCCATTGCGTCAGGGTTATATTACATCAGTGAGCTAGTGGAAGAGCATAGCGAGCCCACCAAAAGATTCCTATACAAAGCCATCTACGTTATCATCGGCATACTCGCCACGTGTTGGTTGCTAGATGGACTATCCTTCAAGTTGACCCTGTTATCCATTGTATCACATCTGGTTTACAGGGAGAATTTGAAGAGATTCCCAGTGATATCTTTAACAAGTGTGTCATTCATCGCGTCATGTGTGCTAGTGGTGTTGAACCACTTTCTGTGGTTCAGATATTTCAGCAAGGTGGAGATACCCCCTCAATTCAAGTTCGACCCCACATACATCCCACAACGTCGTGCTACTTTCGCTGAAGTGGCCTCGTTCTTCTGTTTCTGCGTGTGGTTTGTCCCATTCTCCTTGTTTGTCTCGTTGTCAGCTGGCGATTATTTACTTGCACAATCATCTAGTGACGCAGCGGTGCTAAAACTGCGCGGTGTTAGTGGAGAAGGTACACACAGCACGCACAGCACCCGCAACCGGAACGTCGGCCTCGTCCGCGTGGTGATCAACTCTATCCGTGGCCACATAAACACATGGCTGCAAGTTTTCGGGTACAGACGCCCCACTGAACCCCTTCTATAGCAATAAGCAGAGAATATAGAAAATATAGATTACACAATCTGGGTTTGTACATAATAGATAAACTTCGCATTGACATATTTCGCTCACATGGTTCTTGATAAGGGGGCTTTTTAGTGAGTACCTTTAATAAAGGCAAACCGATAAGAGTTTGAGGAAAACAGATTTACCTTTTTTATCTTATTTTACTTAGAAGAGGTAAAGTATAACACCGCTTATCCTATTCCTTACCATTCAAAAGGAAACGAGGAGCCTTTTCTTAAGAGTGTGACCAAGAATGCAAGATCTAGAGCTACATTCAATTGAATTGAACATGCTTCAATTAAAGGCACAGCAACACCGACCCGCTTAGACAGAAGTGTTTGTAGGGAATGGAATATAATGCCGAATGTAACACCGACAACGCTTTTAACACCGTCGTAGAAAACACTGCAGAAAATTTAAGAGCTTCACGCAATAATATCGGTGCGTGAACGGATCCTACCGCACTTGGGATTGTAAATTACATAAGGGCACCGATACACTCAGCAGCACACGCACAACACACTGCACAACACTCAGCAGCACACGCACAACACACTGCACAACACACTGCACAACAAACGCATATCACGTATAACCCCTTCCATAACACCGACTACGCGTAGCAACACAGAAACAACTGCACCTTGCTATTTCATTTTCTCTCTATCTTATCTCAACCGTAAAGGATTTACACATAGTTCCCCTCACTCTGCCTCCCCACCCCCCTTCCCCCTGGACGCCCCTATACTATACACATTGCCACCGAGGAAGCGTACCTTAACTACTCCTATACTTGCGAGTCTGGCTTCCCAGCTTCCCCATTCTACTCCTCCTCCACCCCCTTCCTTTTCCCCTTTCCCCTTTTCAAATCACAGCCTACGTCATACACTTTAAGGTACCCTTCACGGTACTACCCTTTTCTGACTTGCCACCCCCCCCTTTTCATCTGGCACAGAGTAACTCGCACAAGACCCACGATAAGCACACTGTGAACTCTGTGAAGATATCTCTCCCCTGCAGCACAGTCTACACATCTAAGCAATACCTCTATCACACCGACCAACGGTGTTATGATATCGTACCGTGTGTGTGGGACCAAGCTATCCTCTCTACAAAGACTTCTGTGAGCAACTAGGAAAGCCAGTTTTCCCTTTTGCGTGTCTACAAAGCTTCTAGCAAGTGCAACAAGTGCAACAAGTGCAAGAAGTGCAAGTCCAACACCGTTAACACTTCTCGTCTACACTACATTCAGACTCCCCTTGCAACTACTAATCTTACATACGATCGCCCCCTTTCAAAATTGGTGTCTTTTCTGGCTTTCAATAGGGGATTTTCCTCATAGCTCCTAAACACTCGATGACAAAAAAAAACTACACCAATTGGCACAAGGAAAACGAAAAAAAATTAATATAAATAGGGATGGGTTGAACAAACTTCCTTCCCAAAAATTTGTAAACTCTTGTAGATAACACACCACCAATTGAGTATTGAAAATTGTTCCCTTGTCTTTTCTAACCTAAGGAAGAAAATAAATAAAAAAGGGTTTTTCTCTACAAACTTTCACTTACAAAAAAAAACAACAACAACAACTATCGATAAAAAAAAATGTCTGCTGATTTCGGTTTGATTGGTTTGGCCGTTATGGGTCAAAACTTGATCCTAAACATTGCTGACCACGGTTACACTGTTGTTGCTTACAACAGATCCGTTGACAAGGTCCACCAATTCTTGGACAACGAAGCCAAGGGTAAGTCCATCATCGGTGCTGAGTCCATCGAGGACTTGGTCGCCAAGTTGAAGAGACCTAGAAAGATCATGATGTTGGTCAAGGCCGGTGCCCCAGTCGACGGTTTGATCGCTCAATTGGTTCCACACTTGGAAAAGGGTGACATCATCATTGACGGTGGTAACTCCCACTTCCCAGACTCTAACAGACGTTACGAGGAGTTGAAGGCCAAGGGTATCTTGTTCGTCGGCTCTGGTGTCTCTGGTGGTGAAGACGGTGCCCGTTACGGTCCATCTTTGATGCCAGGTGGTGCCGAAGAAGCTTGGCCACACATCAAGGAGATCTTCCAATCCATCTCCGCCAAGTCCGACGGTGAGCCATGTTGTGACTGGGTTGGCCCAGCTGGTTCTGGTCACTACGTCAAGATGGTCCACAACGGTATCGAATACGGTGACATGCAGTTGATCTGTGAAGCCTACGACATCATGAAGAGAATCGGTGGTTTCACCGACAAGGAAATCTCCGAAGTCTTCGGCAAGTGGGACACTGGTGTTCTAGACTCTTTCTTGGTCGAAATTACCACCAACATCCTAAAGAAGGACGACGTTGACGGTAAGCCATTGGTTGAAAAGATCATGGACTCTGCTGGTCAAAAGGGTACCGGTAAGTGGACCGCCATCAACGCCTTGGACCTAGGTATGCCAGTCTCTTTGATTGGTGAAGCCGTCTTCGCTAGATGTTTGTCTGCTCTAAAGTGTGAAAGAGTTAAGGCCTCCAAGACTTTGCCAGGCCCAGAAATTCCAAAGGACTTGATCAAGGACAGACAACAATTCATTGACGACTTGGAACAAGCCCTATACGCTTCTAAGATCATCTCCTACGCTCAAGGTTTCATGTTGATCAGAGAAGCCGCTAAGACTTACGGCTGGAAGCTAAACAACCCAGCTATTGCTCTAATGTGGAGAGGTGGTTGTATCATCAGATCCGTCTTCTTGGGTGAAATCACCAAGGCTTACAGAGAAAACCCAGACTTGGAAAACTTGCTATTCCACAAGTTCTTCAAGGACGCCGTCACCAAGGCTCAAGGTGGCTGGAGAAGATCTTTGGCTTTGGCTGCCACTTACGGTATCCCATCCCCAGCCTTCGCCACCGCTTTGTCCTTCTACGATGGTTACAGATCTGAAAGATTGCCAGCTAACTTGTTGCAAGCTCAACGTGACTACTTCGGTGCTCACACTTTCAGAGTCTTGCCAGAATGTGCTTCCGACTCCCTACCAAAGGACAAGGACATCCACATCAACTGGACCGGTCACGGTGGTAACGTCTCTTCTACCACTTACGATGCTTAAACATTTTTAAGATTAAGATAAATCAAAATTATATCGTTTTATTTTTTATATCCAATTAATGTTTTTGAATTTTAACGCTCGGTTAGTTAGGTTTTGATGTTTAATTTTGTCTTAAAAGTGGATCAGACTGCACAGATACCAGTACGAGTCCCTACTTTTGGGCAAAAGAAGAAAATGCAACAGCGGAAACTGCCCCATCCACTCAAGTAGATGAGTAGGCTCTGCTCTCTTTTTTTTCTCAAGCTTCTTTTATATTATTTACTATAGTTTCTTATGTAAGAGAGCTTTGTCAATATAACAATATATTATAAAGTACAAATTATATTTGCCATGACTTTTTTTGTGTCGCTATGGGGACGAAAATTGCCGCTCTACGACAATAACCGTACGTTATCAAAAATATAACCAATGACATTAAGAGTCGCTACGCAGAAGGATAGTATTTGTAACTAATAATTCCATGCCTCTGAACCGTCAACAAATATTAAGTTAGTCTGCTTATAGTGTGCATTATGAATATATACACAGCCCCGGAGGCTATCAATATTGTGAATCATCATCCCCAACAGTCAGTAGAGCCTCCCGATGATAATATTTACAAACACAATCAACCACAGTACGCAAAGAAACCCGCTAAGAGAAGTTATCTATATGAGAAATTAAAATCCATTTTTATTGCTCAAAGAAATAGTCCGACCGAACATCAGTCGGATGGGAACCCTTTTTATAAGTCGTGGCTAAGCTTCAAAAAAGGTTTACCATCCAATGAGGACAAAAGTGGCGAGTACGATCAATTCTTAACTAATTTCCAAGATGTGACTATACCTATTGGAATCAGAACACCCTCAATTCGCGTGAATGTTCGCGAGGATCAAAACATTGTACCCACTGATCAGCTAAAACTTAGAGATCTGGAACCAAGTGAGGCTTCTAATCCTGCGCTTGGCACTAATAACATGAATTGGTCTAAACCAGAAATTAATGACCAACAAGACATGACAAAAATAGGCTCTAATGGTGACATAACTAATGAATGGAGAGTTAATAGTATTGGCGATTTATCTTTCAATGCCAACAGAAGTACAAACGGAGATGATGAGGAAAAACCTAAATCTGCGCCAGGTTCCTATGATCCATATCCCAAACAGTTTGACCCTAATACTATAGATATGTCGTCGATGGCAATTGTACAGAACCCAATTTATAGAAGAAATGTCTACCTACAAGCCATAAAAAAAAGGCTAAGAGCTATCTCTTCAAAGAGAAGTGAGTTGTGGAAAGCTGAGAGGAAATTACTAAAGGATTTAAGTACCTGGGAAAAGAACCCATATCTAATTGGAACTGTAACACCATCTTTGGTGGATGATATAATAAGTTTGTTTAACAAGGATGTCGAATATGAACAAAGAGTTAGTCAAGCGCTGAAACTATTGGTTGATAGTTTAGGATTTGTATCAAAAAGGGAAACAGAATTGATAAATGCAAAAAAAGAGCTCAACGCTGTTCTTACAAAATATAATAAATCAAAAGAAAAAAAACCAGAAACTAACGAAGAATTACAAATACTGAAAGAGCGAGTGATTACAGTACAACAGTCGCTTGAAGTAATTCAATTCCACTATGACCAGTCCATATCGGTATTTGCCAGAAAACAATTCACCAATTTCGGCATCGAGTTATTTGAATCTTGTTCAGGTCTGAAGAATAATGCAGGAAATTTTATCAAAAATTCATTCACTGAATTAGAGAAAGCAAACGCAGATTGCTTCACAGAAGATTTAGAAAATCTTAGGAGACGCCGGGCACAACAATACTGGTCTACACTACCACCAGAAGATAGAAGAAACCCAATAAAATGGGAAAATCTTAAATCAGGTTTATATGAACACGAAGATTCATTATTGAAAATTGTGTACAGCTCTCTCCCAACTGTTTACTCACCAAATTCGATCTCTAAATACCCATTAAACTTTGATGAGATGCCCCACAATTTTGGAATCTCGGAAGAGTCATATATATTTAAATCATGGCAAGAACTCGATCAAGAGGCCAAAAACCAACCAACCGATAATGCTGATCAAACTCAGAATTGGAAATATGAATCACATGAAAACAAACATACCACTAACATTTTCGATGAAAATTATAGAGATACTAGCTCCCAAACAATCACTAAAATGCCTGTAAACACAATAGAGGGACGAACGATTAATAGAGATGTCAGAGTTTCAGAAAACAGGAATTCTAACCAGGAGTCCACTAATGACAGTGTATTAAAATTGAATGAAGCCATTAAACAAGCTGAGGGAACTCTTGAAGAAAATGGCTGGGCGGCCAATTCAAGCTCTATACCAGGAAATAAGGAAAACAAAAATGAAAGTTAAAAAATTAATATTAAATCGATGTAAATCAGTTTTTATTCAATTTAACCACACTATTGTCATAGTATTTGTAATTAAATTATAGGATCTTGCCTTATATCTGTGTGATGATGAGCGGCCAAAAACTGGAATTGCGAATGTATTTTCAACTCTAGCTCTAATAAATATTGTTTACTAGCAATAGCTTAAAATTTAAGTAGAGTATTTATTCAGAAGATAAGGTTGAAGAATCAAAGGAGTCATGATGCTTTGCTTTCTGTTCAGATAAGTATGCCTTCCTAACTAGAGAGTCAATCTTTCTACTTTGTAAGTAGATAATATCTTGATAATCTCCAAATGAGAACGAATCATTGCTAAAATACTCCGAATCCTGGAAATCAAACTCATTTTCTTCCCAATGAATTGACATATTACTTTCAGAATCAATGTACTTGTATTTTATAAAACCTGACATTTCTAACCAATTCTCTACTTTATCTTTTGTTGGCATATTCTTCTCTTCTCTGGGGTTGAATTTAATATGACTGTCATAATATGATGAACATTGATTTGTATTTGAGCTACTGTGATAAAATTCACCATATGGACATACCTGATTTTGTACTGACTGACTAGGATTGTCTCTTATAAAGTTTAATGAAGCTCGGTCGTTTCTTTGACAATTAGTATCGTTGTTAGAAATTTTCTTTGACTTTTGAAATTGAGGTAAATATTCCATTAAGTTTTCATCAATGAACCATTCATTTTTGCCAATACTATTTATTTTTTTATACAGTTCATGCTTGATTGAAATATCCTTATCTATAATTTTGTTTTCATCCCGGTTACTGTTCTCGGGAATAGTATAATTTACATTAATCGTTTGTTCTCTTGGCCATAATGTCACAAAATCACCATCAAATTTAGGAGAATATCTTTCACTGGTTTGAATGAAATTATGCAACATTGCCATTTTATTTTCCAGCATATCCTGCTGATCGGACATACCTTACTAATTTACTTATTGCTTTACCATTAACAAAATCGAAAGCAATAAAGACTAAATCAACCCAAAACAGCAGAAAAATAGTTTTCTGGTAATATTTTAGTATGCATTGGAAACATTAAGGTACCTATTGTAATTGTCGTTAATTCTTCAAAATTTCGATGCTACCACAAAAACAGGAACAAAGACTTGAAAAGTATTAAATCTTTATAAAAAACAATATGCATAAAATAATGCTGTAGATAATGGTGATTAATAAATAAATATAAAGTATTTTGTGTATGTGTACATTCACTTAAAGAATGGTAGGTAAATATTATCTCTTTTCTCTTCACATGAATATATATTAACAAAAGAATCATGTGAGTTTGCGGCCGCCAACATCATACGATGAGGATGGAACGCTAACTGAGACAAAAATGCAGAAGTGGACGACGTATTGGACAGAGTATTACGAATACCTGTTGCAGCAAATGTACTTGCAGCACCAATACCTCCAATTGGTTTGGAATTTCTGAAAGACGAAAGGATATCACCAGAAGTTGTCCATAACTTGATGCTTTTTGTACCAGTAGCAAAAATAGGTGCATGCTCATGTACCTGTACACTAACCATTGTAGTGGAATCACGCTTTCCATCCTTCTTATTTTCATCAACATATGTAGCCACTGGTTGGTCATGACGGATATCCCATAACTCAACTACACCATTAGTAGAACCACTAACCAATTCTCTATAGCCACCCCTTTGCATATGAACATTATTAATCCATGCTCCCGGTTTACCACCACCACCTCTCCATCTCCTCACCATTGCCAACCTTGGATCTGTTCTTCTATCGTAGACTCTAATTGTACCATCAGAAAAACCAGCTACAAATATATTCCCAGCAACTTGATCAGATGTTAAGGACGTAAACAAAGAAGATGTTTTCGCAGGTATATCGACCTCCAAGCTCTCCGACAGTGCATCCCAAACTCTAATTATTTTAACATCACCAGTAACTAAAAGGGACCCTCTACTTTGTTGCCACTCTGATAGAAGACCGTTGGAACGGGGAGTCAATAACATGTCTGATAATCCCCTCCAGGCAGTTACTAATTGCAAATCGTTAACTGAATGAAGGTTTTTGTATATTTTTATTAAACCATCAGATGAACCTACCATTAATAGAGGGATATCGTCCTCATTCATGAGTTTTATATCTGTTACCTTGGTCCCAAATGGATTTCCATTAGAAAATCTAGCGAGTGTCTTATTTTCATCCCAGTCATACACTGTAATTGCATCTCTGTCATCTGAAGATACCAAGTAATTCTCAAACTGAGCAAATTTCAGGAGTTTGACCTGAGATTTTGTATCGTAACTACGAATTCTATTACTCCAATCTCCATACAACGAAAGCTTCTTCTGTTTTTGAGTCTCCTCAATAATACCTTCGTTTCTTTTTTGACGCCAAAGCTTTGCAATATATGCTTCACTTCCAGCTTCCTCTGCTTCAGGCTTTCGCATTTGCGGCTCTTGGAAGTACTCTCTAGAATATTCAAGAAACGTGCTTTCCACTGGAAACTTAGTGGAATTACCAACATGTGAACGTGGTGCTCTAGCAGTAGGCAGACTAACTTTTGGTGTATTTATGTAAGACATGCCCGATAATATATTGCCTTTGTTTTCATCTTCTTCACCAGTTTCATCTTTTCTTTGACGGAAATTAGTCAATAAACTAAAAAGCCCACCATTAGTCTCTTTTGAGATGCCTGACACTTTGGTACTTTTTATAGTTTCATTTGGTATTGTGGCTTTACCATTCATTGGTCCTATCGGCTTTTTAACTATTTGGATTTGAGAGTTACCAAAATTCAGCTTTCCACTCTGATTTAGACTGGAACTTCTTGCCGAAAGATATGCTTCGATTTTTGAAAATGCTTCTCCAAGATCCTTATGAACGCTTAATTCCAGCAATATATAATCTATTACCTTTTCTGCTATTTTGCTGATTTCTGTGAATGGATCAGCAGACAAAATCAACAAACCCTTCCATATTATACTGAACACAGATCCTTTAGTAAATGAATTTTTCCCTCTAAATTCCTCACTGTCAAACGTCGCACCCTTACTCTGTGCTATTTCATCCAATAATTCTTGAAATACAACAACAATAAAAAAATTGCAATAACGATATACAATCTGAGAAAACATAATTGCCAGTTCTTTCCTAACTAGTGGAGATCCATCATTCCTCAAAGGCAAACAAGCTATCAAATTAACAATCTCTTGCTGCTTGATCTTTTTCAGGTCAACATTCTCAAGCTGAGACTGACGTATCTGACAATGATGCATCTGTTGTTCGAGTTTAGATTGTTGTTGTTCAAGTTGCTGATGCTGCTGAGGAGTCTGTGATTGCTGGGAATGAATGTTATTATGAATATATTGTAGTTGTGTATGAAGTTGCTGATATTGTTGTTCTAGACCCTGTTGCAGACCGATAATAATTTCTGCATCATCAAAGCCGGAAATAAAATATTTCAGTGCCAAGACTGTCGCTGTTCTTACTTCTGGAACTGGGTCCTTTATGGCTTTCACAAGTGTGTCCATTACACCTGTGGTCATACATATGCTTTTATGCAACGGATTCTCATTATACAATAACCCAATTAGTAGAATTGACCATTGTCTCAACAAAGGAACATCAGAGTTCAAAATATAGTAGGATAATTTGTTCAATAGCTCTACACTGAAGCAATGCATCTGTCCAGATTTAAAATCCTGAATAAAGGATGCCAAAACAAAAGCAGCCATTGCTTTTTGCTCATCTGTTGTTGAGGATGTATGAAGCTGTGATTGGTAAACCTGACTTCTTGTATTTTGTTGATCATATAATTGAGTTCTAGAACCATTCATGACAGGCATAGTACTCATGGATATACCCCCGTTACTGAAAGAAGGGCCTGCAGTTATTGAAGGTGAAACTCTCCAATCTGGTGCAAGAATTGACACGAAATACATGTACCCCTTCTCCTTGATCAGGTCTGCTTGTGTATTTTTATAATCAATTGACATTATTCTAGCCCAAATAAAAACTAAAATTGGTTTCAACTCTTGCGCAGGACTTTGAAGCAGTTTTAGCACATATGGAAATATACCTATCGATAATGATAAATACACAGCCCAAGGCCCCAAATCTAAAAAACGTGATAAGAGTACTAATGCCCTAATTCTATGCACTTGCGACAACAATACTTGTAGCACAATTGGTAACTGTTCTGGGGGGTTTCTAACGTTCGAGGAATATTTTAACCATAGTTCAAAAGCAGTTAAATTTTGTTCAAAAAAGCCTGTGTATTGCTGCTGGTTTGCTGGCCTAGTCAAATTAAGAGCTGCTGCTTGTGTTTTCCTTGTAATTGTATTCAATGCAGGATGATTTGCTAATGACATAGTACTTAAATTTCCTGTTGTAAATCGTGACTCCGTTCTGATACTCTCTGGTCTGTGATCGTTAGAGTTAGATTGTGGATTTTTTTGAGTTTGATTAGCAAGGGACTCCTGTTGCTGCAAAATTAACTGAGATTCTAAATTCTGACTGGATTCGTTATGTTTTAAATCTTCAACTAGCTTCCCCAAAACTTCATCCATTGCTAAGTCCCATACATCCCACATTGGATGCGTAGCCACTGAGTCTGGTAGTTCCGGATCAGAAATTGGATGACAATTATACCAAGGCATTATTCTTTTTGCCAGCAAAAAGTTACGGAACAATGCGGCTATCATTAAATCATGGCGGAACAATTTCTTGAATAGAGGTCTCGGTAGTGATGTCCATGCTATTGTATCTGTAATTGCGGTAAAAATCCAATTCAATTCACCAAGTGGAGTTCTCCTATCTGACAAGATACCTGGAATATTAACTGCAGGGATATTTGACCTGAAAGAACTTTTCTTTGAGGTTTGTTTTGCTCCTGATCCATAAGTTGGAGTCTCAAAAAAAATTCTATACTTTGTATCTTTTAATTCAGATTGCATTAAGAATACCTTTACACTTATTTCAATTGGACAAGTAAGACAGCATGTAAACAAATCTGCTGGTAATTCAGGACTCATCAATAGTAATTCATCAGCACGACACGATGCTAACTGGAAACATTGCTTGTAAGCTGACGAAGGAGAAGGTGCTGCATTATCTGGATTACCAGCTTCTTCATCTCGTATTCTCTTCTCCACGAATTTTTGAAAATTAGCGACTATATTACCGGCACTGCTACAATCATAAACAAAAACACAAGGTGCACCCAGCCAAGTTTGCAGATCATATAAGGATACCGGGATGTATTGTGTGTATCCTCTATTAAATACCCAGATCTCTCCAGATGGTGTAGGCTGTGGGACACCATGACCATTATAATGAAACAGAATTCTGTCATCCTTGGATTGTCTTCTCAGTGAATTACAAAACCGCTTAACGTCCTCCACACATGGATCTAGGCTTTGTTTATACCTGGTTCTTAAAGATAATGTCTCATATTGTGCTTGAAGGTTCTTACCTATTTGTTCTATAGCCTTTTTAGAGTCCTGAAAACTAAGTGGATCTACCCATGCTTCCACCCTTGCCGACGGATGTGTCTTAATAACATCTGGTGGATCAACCCCTAAATTCAGACACAAGAGCAATGCTGCACTGACAGTCTTTTGTCTATCTTTAATAATCTTCCAGTCCTGAATTGGCTGATAATAATGCTCGGCATCTTCACTCTTTACTTCTTCCGGTGTTGGGTTTCCAGATGTCCTATGACGCTTGTCATCAAAGTAAAACAAAAAATCATCAGCCATGGATTCTAACAATTGCTCACTCAGATACTGCTCTTCAAATCCATGCCTCATCGTAACATTCAAGGGCCTCAATGGCTCTGGCCCATAGTAGTCTGGCATATCCTCTCTTTCTGATCAGAGACTATACGTACTTTTCAAAACAGCTCGAAAAAAAACAAAGAAATATCTTTACAGCTCCAAAATATAACAACCTAGTAATCCTTGCATTAACAAATAGCTTATATCCTCTTTTGCAATTACAAATACTGCTAAAATTACTTGGTTTTAACCGCCGAATTGGATCTATAATTCTAATAAGCTGCCCACCCCATCACTTTTTTGCACTGTTTTTGTCAGAAAGACTCTCGACTATTGGGAATCCCTAGTTAAAAAACTATTACCCGGCTAGGGTTTACATTGACTATGAAGATGCAACCCTAGCACCGCTTTAGGACTTCAGTAATCGAACTTTCTGAAAAAAAAAATTCGATGCGATGAGCTTCTCAGGTCAAGCTCATCGCAGAGCTATTCTAGAGATAGTGATTAATAATCACAATCTCTATTCGATCTGTATATATCTGCAGCTTGTTTATTGTATGACTTGATAAGATTTCTTATAGGCTTTGAGTTATACCTAACATCGACCAGTATTTTATCCCTTGACAAATATAAAGTTTTAAAGGGTGTGCTGTTTGAATAATCAAAGTAACGTGTACTGCTACGGATATGGCTAGTTCTACACATAACCCCAGTGTACTGTTAAAGCGGATATTATCGTTAACAGAACCAGCACCGCTGCTTTTGGTCAGCGATACTCTAGCTCAGAGCTCATATTTCTTGGTGCAAGAGGTCATACACAATGTGCAAGAATACCAAAAGAGCAAGAATAGCGGTGTCATAGTGTTTGTCGCATTCGAAACAGTGAATAAGCCAAGATACACAGATATATTCATCGACGCTAGCAAAGTTGGGTTTACCAAGCTTCCTGAGGCTATAAGCTCATTCTTACCGACTCCACAAACACCAGTGAACACAAGTTGCAGAAATGTGATAGTCATAGATTCTTTGAACCATGTGCCTAGAGCTCAATTAACAAAGTTCATTGGATCTATAGCTACTCCACATGCTACCATATTGGCTACCTTACACAGAGATATGCATGACTCACCTTATGAGCATGGCCTTGACAATTACCCATCAGCAATAGAGTTGCTTCATTTTATGGCTACTACTAGTCTTGATGTCACTCCTGCTAGCACTATAAGCGACGACGACGAACTAAATCAACAACTATCGAAGTTACAAATTCCACGCGGGCTTAACAATACGACTTTCAAAGTATCATTGACATATAAGAGAAAGTCTGGTCGGGAGCTTACTTATGACTTCAAAGTGGATTATAATACACATCAATACTATCAAATCATGGATAAGAAAGATGTGGACGAAAATGCTCTGGAAACACCAGAAATGTTGCAAGGTTTAACAACTTTCAACTTATCAACATCCGCCAAACAAAAGGCAGCAAAGGATCAAGTTGAATTACCATTCTTGGAAGCTCAATCATTAACAGCTGGTGGTGCCATTGTCTATGAGTATGAGAAGGATGACGACTACGACGAGGAAGATCCTTATGAGGATCCATTTTAGGTAACTTTCCGTGTACCATTTTAATTACTCTCATCTATTCATAATGCATAATATCTTTTAAAACTAACTATATAAAAGGAAGGTTATAAAATGTTAAAAGTAACAATTTGGTATCGAGTTTCAAATAGTTACGGTCACCAAAAAGATTGTTATCTAATATACTCTATACCCATGATCATATTACAACCAATTATCCTACTCCTTCTTTCTATTACCATTAATTTTTTTTAATAGTGCCATTTTAAATTGCTTTAGTCTGTATTTTATAGATCTTTTTTCCATTATTCTATCAGCTTCTTCCAGTGTTACCATCCGCTTTACCATCATGTTATATAGCATACCAAAAATCAGTCCAATAACAGTAGACGTGATAATAATCACATTGTAAGGCATACTAAAGTCTGGCGTGGATAGGTATAATAATAGTGTACTGGTTCTTAGTTGGTAATGAATAGGTTCAGTTACTGTTATAACTGCAGCCTCCACCTCAAAACCATGATTGGCGTCTGGTGGGTACTCTTCGAATTGTAAAATTGCCTTGTCAAATTGGTAAGATAATGCAAATGTTGTGTTAGCTGGAACAGTAATCTCAAATTCCACGTGTGTTGGTCTCAGTCTATCTTTTGCTGGCTCATAATGCGTTGACTTGATAACATCTGAAAGATGAAGCGAATTACTGCTTTCTAATTTTAAGGAAGACAGATACACCCTCATATACCATGGTAAAGATTCAAAATAGACTAACTTCACGTCATGATTGTATGGATTCTTGAATACAGTACGCAAACCACCATGGTCCTGGCCATAACCTGTGAGGGACCTACTAACAAATATAGGGGAATCACCATTATCAATCACATCCGTGCTATTTTTGGTTTCGAAATACAAATCGTGATCAACTTGTTCATGTAGTTCAAAACAATTATTCTCTGTCGCGTACAAATCTTCACCAACACTCACAAATGACTTCCAACTGCCAGTTATGATGGCACAAAGTTTAGATGGATAATGAGACAATTGATTTGTTCCAATTATTTTTTTACCAAAAATCTGTGAAATATCGAAAGAGTAATCTGTTTTTTCTGGTAATGGGAAACACATAAAGTCATCATGGGGTTTACTTAAGTCACATCTCAATTCCGATGCAGACAGAGGCCTTGGAATTGGATTTGTTCCTCTTCTCAACGATTGCGGAGTATTCATCACCATGTCAACAATGGCCTCCATTTCAAATTTACATATACCATTAACTTCATCACAGGTAGTATCGATATCTATGGACATGCTATGCCAAATAGAATCAAAAACTTTGTGACCATCTAATAGTGAGGAAATTCCCGACTTTCCTTTTGTAGGCAATAATTTGATTAAAGGTGTCAAATTTTCAGTACATATCGGTTCATTAGCAAGTGATGCATGCAATAAATATAATTCATTAGTGGTGTTAAAAATTGGTATAGCTTTATGATCATGCTCTGATTTAACAGAAAACTGGGAAGGTGAAACAGGAAAAACTGTTCTTGATTTATCAATGAAATTTATAGACGCACAAAACATACCGCTTAATGAGTTTGCTAACGATTTCCACTGGTTGTAAGCTGCTTCTCTGTTCTCTGCTTCAATAACTGCCCAAAGTTCAACACCTGAACCGCCTGATTTAAACCCATCATACGGTAGCTTTCCCCATGTCTCAGAGTCCCAAAGTCCTCTAGTAAATCTTAAATGCATTTGCCTAGTACCTGTACGTTTTAAGAGAGGATCAATGCTCTTTGGGAAAACTGTATAATGGCTATATTCCTCAAAATCATTTGCCGATTTTGTGGGATCGAAAGCCTCTGATTCAATATCGAAATGAAAAGATGACCTCAAATGGTTTCTTGGTAAAGGTTGTAGATCCAATTCTTCTTTGTAAGGATACGACACAACACCCCCATTGGCCTTTACAGGATGAATATACTTCTCATTATATGCCGCTGCAGCATCGTGGTCCTTGCGTGCTTCACTTTTATTGTATGATTGTATCTTAGAACTTTCAATTTCTGTACCGTTGATTCGGTCAGCAGATAGTTCCTCAGCATTTACCAAACATTGCGTCAGGAGTAGTGGTAATGCTAATAAAGCATTCGAGACTTTCATGGTACCTTTACGAAAACCGCTGCTCAAAAAGTGTTGGTGTTATCAAATCAATGGACAAAGGATAAGTTATTGGCAGCGATTTCCCTCTCTTGAATCTCAATATACTCACGATCAAATATTACTATTAAATAGGTCTCATTCGCAATTTCGAGATTTCGAGTTCTATAATTTTTGGATTTTTTGGCAAAGCTAAACAAGGCCCGATCGATGAGCTGAAAATTAAAAAGCTTTGAACTATTATACTGGATAGTCAACTGTAGTCGACTGTAAAACGATTTTACTTTCGAAGAGGTAACCATCTTGTTCTAGCTTTATTACATCAGGAATACTTTAAACAGCCACATCTTTGAAAGGCTATTCAAGGAACGAAGTTCTGAACAAAGGTCATTAAATTTTATTTGCAAATATTATTCCATATATGTACATAAGGATATGAGCTATAGTATACCGCAGAAACTTAAGGATGAGTTACAGAATGAGCTAATTAATGATGATCAAGAACTTGATGTGCTTCAAAAGAAGATAAAAACTAGAACATTAACAAATGATAGTAAAAATAAGGAGAATAGGAAGAGGGCAAAGATTGATGTTGGTTATGAAATGCCCACTATGAGTGGACAAACACTGGATAATAAGGAGAAAGATATATTGCTCACCAAAGTGAATGGCGTTGACAATCTTCTTTTCTTTAGTGACTCAGATGCCAAGCACTTCTCATGTCTTCTTGACAACCAACCAGATACCGATGTAACTAAGGATGAAAGATTAAAACGACAGCTAATGCGACTAGTGTTAAAGGTAAAGAACTGCATACCTGGAATTAGGAAACAAGCTATGCGAACTTTGAAAGATAAGTACAAGGATTTTGGTGCTTCAATAGTATTTGAAAATCTGTTGCCAATTTTACTTGATAGTTCACTTAATGATCAGGAAAGACATTTGATGATAAAATTAATGGATCGAGCAATTTTAACACTTTCTGATGACGTATCTAAACATGTATCGCAATTGTTAAACGCTATTGGCCCACTTCTGCTAGAAAATGAATCAATGGTCAAAACCACCGGAATGGATATCATTATAAACTTAACAACTGTTGTAGGCTATGGTACCATTATAAAATCACTAAAAGATGACATTGCAGCTGAAGATGATTTCATTCGTAATTGTGCTGCTAATATACTAGCGGTTGTTACCAAAACTGTTGGATTAGAAGTAATGCTTCCATTTTTTAATGCTTTGGCGAATACCAAAAAAACGTGGCGTATACGACACACAGGAGTAAGAATAATTCATCAATCAGTTTTATTGATAGGCTCTGGTGTTCTCGCTTATTTGTCTCCCATTCTAAAATGTTTGTCATTGTTATTGAATGATGAACAGCCAGGAACTAAAATTCTCTGTGCAAATACAATATCATTATTAGCACAATACTGTTTTCCACATGGTATGAAAGCTTTTGAGATTGTGTTGGAAACGACCTGGAAGACAGTAAAGACATCACGAGGGAAATTACTAAGCAGTCATTTACGGGCTATGGCATCAATCATTCCTCTCATGAGCTTGGAATATGCTGGTTTTTATTCTAAAGAGCTTATGCGTATACTTAAAAGGGAATTCAACAGCCCTGATGAAAATATGAAAAAAACTGTATTGCTGGTGCTTCAAAAATGCTGCAAGTGTGAAAGTGTAACATCAAAAATGATTAGGGAAGATATATCGGAGGAATTCTTTAAGAAATTTTGGATTCGTAGAACTGCTTTGGATATACAGCAGAATAAACTAGTAACGTTCACCACTTCTGTAATTGCAGAGAAGGTTGGAGGTGCTTATTGTTTGGAGCATCTATTGGGTCCTCTCCGAGATGAATCCGAACCGCTGAGAATTATGGCTATCCATTCTGTAAACAAGATAGTATCAATTCAAGGTGCCTTGGATATAAATGATAGATTAGAATCTTTGCTTGTCGACTCTCTATTAATAGCATTCCAAGAGCAAAACAGTAATGATCCTATAATATGCCAATGCCTGGCAACTTTAGCTGTTGCCTTGGATATTCGAATGAAGCCTTATCTGGCTCCAATAATTTCTACAATTTTGAACCTTTTACGTCATAAATCCCCTCAAATTAGGCAAAATGCAGCTGATTTATGTGCAGCCTTGATACCCGTAATCTCAAATTGTGATGAAGTAGTAATTCTCAACAAGCTTTCGATCATTCTCTATGAATCGTTAGGGGAGGTTTATCCAGAAGTGTTGGGTGCGATTTTAGCAGCATTGGAACGCATAGTCCACATACTCAATATCGATACTATACAACCTCCTATTAATCAAATATTACCCTCATTGACACCTATTTTTAGTAACGCCAACAGAAAAGTTCAAATGAATACTATTCGTCTGGTCGGAATTATTGCACTAAAAGGACCATCATATGCTCCACCAAAAGAATGGATGAGAATATGTTTCAAATTACTGGATCTTCTTAAAAGTACAAGCAAAAGTATTAGACGAGAAACTACAGCAACATTTGGTTACATTGCAAAGGCCATTGGTCCTAAAGACATAATCGTGGCATTACTGGATAATCTAAAAGCACAGGAGCGTCAACTTCGTGTATCTACTTCAGTTGCTATAGCCATTGTAGCAAAAGTGTGTGGACCATATACTGTGATTCCAGCACTTCTCAATGAGTATAGAACTCCTGAAACCAATGTCCAAAATGGTATCCTAAAGGCCATGACCTTCATGTTTGAAGATATTGGTGAATTGGCAAAGGATTATATCTATTTTCTACTTCCTCTTCTGGAAGATGCACTAATGGATCGTGATCTTATTCACAGACAAACGGCAGCTACAATAGTAAGACATCTAGCTCTCCATTGCAGTGGAACTGGTTTTGATGACGCATTTATTCATCTACTAAATTTACTAATACCAAATATATTTGAAACCTCTCCGCATGTAATAGAAAGAATATTAGAGGGTTTGGAAGCACTAGTTTACGCAATTGGACCTTCCATCTTTCTAAATTATATATGGGCTGGCTTATTCCACCCAGCAAAAAAGGTCAGAGATGCATATTGGAAGTTGTTTAGCAGAATATACGCCCAACAAGCTGACTCTATAGTACCTGCATATCCATCCTCCATACGAAGCAAATTGGACCTCCCTGATCTAGATTTAGTACTCTAAGTACCCTTCCTAATGATAAATAACTTCTGTAATAATAGATTTAAATATCGTTGCTTCCGTTGCAAAGGTTGAATATTAACTCAAGATAATCAATCAGCTCGGCATGTGATTCAAAGTGATCTTCTAAAAATCAATATATTAGATTTATTTTAAGATAATCGTCATGCAGTGCATCATATCTGATGGAGTAATACAGCACCTAATCATATTATGAGTCATGGATTCCAATTTGCTAATTGATGATGGACATAGAGCAAAATTAATAGATAAAATACCATGGTTGGCAGACGTCTCTCAGAATAGCAACTATTCCAATGTGGAGTTACTATCAACTATGAAATATGATCCCAGCTTGATAAGGATGACGCGTAAAGGGGAATATGAATGGGCTTTTCCAATTACCAAGCTATCAACATTTAAATATCTCGACGAGAATAAATTCCAAACTCAGGTGTATTCCTGGCTTGAGGACACTCAACAAGTAACCACGACAACCTATCATGACGACATTAAAAAGGCGATTGAAGAACTTGTAACTAGTGGCAAGACTATTGAAATTAATGATGATGACAACTCATTATATTACTTGTACTATTTTCGGTTTCTATTGCTAGGGGAACAGTTTGTAAGGTTAAAGTTGGCAGCGAGTATATTTAGGCGCAATTTTCGTCTTACACTGAGGGAGTTTATTAATAATCTGGTCAATGCAATTTATCTGGATATTTATAGTAATGAGCAGATACCTAACGATCCCATTGATAAGTTGAAGCGACTTCTGGATGACACTAGAACATACAAAATGAGGGTTTTACTTAAAGGCGATAATTCTCTGGAATTTCAAGCACATCATCTTGGTGTAAGTGATAATGGGCCCACTGCAGAGAAACTACTATTTGGTGAAATATTAACATTTAATACAGCAGCGGGTTCAGATGATTTATGGGACGTTATCGTCGATTCAGAGCCTACACCCTGTAGTATTTTAACATCGCTGAAAACTACAAGTAGAGATCATTATGCATCCGCAAGAAGGAGAATGGAGCATGCTAGGACTTGGCTAGATATAAGTGGTAAAACTGAGGTTTTAATATGGAATGATAAAGAAGAAATAATGGAGGGTTCAATTACAAATATCGCCATATTAAATAAAGATGGGGAATTAGTGACACCGCCATTATCAAGTGGATGTTTATGTGGAACTATGAGATACTATTTGATGAGGAAGAAATTAATTAAAGCAGAAACAATAGAAAAAAACTTTTTGTATGAAAACCAACCCATTCTGATTTTCAACGATGTCATGGGAGTTATCAAAGGGCGAATAAGGTTCATGCCAAAAGTTTAACACTAATCTGTATATACTACAGATACGAGAATAGTAAATTGTACTTGCGCAAAGTTATTGTTTAAAATTAATATTGTACATAAAACAATCACTATAAATTTTTACAAAATATGTCATCAATGAAATAATATGACCATTCAATGGTTTCAATGCTTATGAGTTTTTCTCTTCTTGACTACTGTCGGCGTTTTACCGCTTGCACCAATTGTTATATTAACTTTTGGAGGAACTGGGAAACCATATGATTTGGCTACCTTTGCAAGGTCTAGTTTATCAATTTGGTATACGGTTTTTAGAGAGTGGGATGCGTATGCCTGTAGATAAGATCTATAACCATCCTTAGCAGTTTGATGCAAATAATAGTTTGATTTTATAAGTTTCTCCAGTTGAGATTGAACGTTGGCAATCTTGTTCGTTGGAAATTCATATTCATTTAAAGGAACCTTAGCAGCCTTCAAGTATCTTAGGAAGCCCAATTCATTTGGAATCAAAAACATAAGTGATTTACCTTTACCATTTGTACCTCTAGCGGTTCTACCAACTCTGTGAATGTAATCTCTTGGATCATCAGGAGGATCAAATTGAATAATCCAGTCAACGGCTGGAATATCCAACCCTCTAGCAGCCACATCTGTACAAATTAGTATACCTCTCTCTGCGTTACAGAATTCAAAGAATGTGTTTGTTCTCTTTTGTTGTTTTTGCTTACCGTGAAGTTCAAGGACAGGCAAATCAATATAATTTAGCAATTCAGCATAGTATTTGACTGAGTTACAAGATGATAGAAAGACAATGATCTTCTTCTTTTGGTTCCTTTTCAAAAATGAGAACAACAGTAGGAATCTCTTGTCACTTTCACATACAACGTAACCTTGCTCAAGACCGTCGGCGGTAGAGGAATCGTGCTCCGAAACCACGTTGATAAACAATGGACCTGGTCTCAGAGATATTCTACTCAAATCTTCAACCTTGGTGGTTTGTGTAGCAGAGAATAACATACTCTGTCTATCCTCGTTTGGCAAAATCTTGATAATTTGTCTCATTTCATCCTCGAAACCAATTTCTAGAATTCTATCAGCTTCATCAATAACCAAAGCTTTCAAGTTTTTGAAAATAAAACCTTTGGTGTTTTGTAAATGATCCAATAATCTACCCGGAGTTGCGACCAACAAGTTCACACCTTTCATCAACTTTTCCGCTTCTTGTCTTCTGTTAGCACCACCAATTACAATACCAAAAGTTTGGGAATGGAATTCCATTAGTTCTCTAACAACACCAAAGATTTGCAAAGCTAGTTCTCTAGTTGGGGTGATAATGATAACACCAGTACCATTTCTTGGCTTGAATTTCAAAGAGTGCAAAAGCTCGATAGTTGGAAGCAAGAACGCTAGTGTCTTACCAGAACCAGTCTTGGCAGCACCCAAAACATCTCTACCAGCCATCAATGGTGGAATAGTTCTGGCCTGAACCGGCGTCATCTTGCTGAACCCCATCTTTTCAATAGCACGCATGGTAGGCTGAGATAAGTTCAAGGACTTGAAACTATGATCAACATCGGAACTCTCAACATCGGCCTTAACAACCACTTCTTCCTTCTCGGACTCGTCCCTAGACCTCTTAGTTTGAGCCATGGTTATCTATTTGGAGATATTTCTATGTTAAGCAACAGTAACCAAGTTTTATGTTGACATTCAATGGTTTTCTTATCAATATTGTTGTAACATTTGATACTTTTTACTCTTGGTACACACACCGCTTAGTGTGAATGAGATGCGATGAGCTCAGCTCATCGCAAATTTTCTTACTTGCAAAAAGTGATAAAAATTTTTTTTTCAAACATTACCCGGAAGTCTAATTCCCAATTTTCTTATAATCGCAAGGGTGGGCTATAACCATCAACGAAAATCACATGATTTGATTAGCAAGGCCAATTTAGCAGCGCTGATAGAACTACATAGGGATAGAGGTCATTGGTCTCAGTATAGTGTTGTTAAGGTTATTTAGACACACGGAACATTGGAGATTTGCTTTTGTCAGTGGTTATCACTTCAGCACCTCAAGGCATATCGACCTTTGTATACGCTCGGCGACCTCGTCTGTCGTTCATTCCAAGAACACGAGGAACCTAAATTATGTATTGCTTTAGGTTATCAAATGAAATTTATTGCCTCACACACAATGTATCATCCCCAGAGTTAATGACTCTCTTTCTCCTTGCTCCTTGCTCCTTGCTCCTTGCTTCTCGCTTTCTACCCCTGCCTTCTTCTATCTACCCTCCTCTAGTTCTATCTACCGCTAGTGCCAGAACAGTGCAAATGGCTCCATTGTCTCTCTGTTCTCAAAGGTGTTCTCTGGGGTCCACGGAAAATAACTCTGCAGATGAGGGATGACCAGAGTGGACTGCGCAAAAGAAAAGGTAATTGCGTGGGAAGGAAAAATTAACCAAGTAGTTTTTCCGTCTGTTAGATTTGCTACGGCAATGTCTGTGTAGGAATATATTTTTGTCTATCCCTGTAGGAGGTCCCCCCCCGCGTTTTTCAGTTTTTAGCACTTGCCTCTCTGAGGAATTGCGTACAATGAAGAAAAAGCATAGTTTTTCCGAGATGTACTTTATTCCTCTTTGTTCGTTGCGTTATAATTTTAATTCCCTCGTGCGTGCGTTTTAATACCCCACCAACAATTAGTAAGTCCTAGTGTTATTCCAGTCTTTGCCCGTAAATAATAGTGGGGGGGGGGAGTGGGAGTAGGAAGCCTGGGAAATAGCATTGGCTGAAATAGGAATACAAGATAGTATTACTACTTGTGAGTGTTAGCAAAACATGGTCCTTGTTAAATAGCAGGCTCGCAAAAATCCGCTTTTACTTTTAGTTGTAACGGAAGGAGTTCTTTAACGTTGCCAAAAATTGATAACTCTCACCCTTCTCAGTTCTTCATATTCCAACTTATTGGCTTTTGCTGTGGGACTAAGAAGGAAAAAAAATGGGAAAAAAAGAAAGTGATAGCAATGAGTCTTGTATATAGGAAAGTTTTAGCTGCTATGTGTTCTTGAAAACAGAAATTTATATATAACTAAATTCAAAAAAAAAGGTTTAACTCCTAGTCCTCGATATCTGATACCAGACTTTACTTTATTTGACTACAAGATACACATAAAGGCACCGGGTTTATAGATTAGGATAGTGAACATACTATGATCATGGATAATGACGTTGTGCTCGAAGACGCCATGGGGGGATATTCCTCAGACTATGGTTCTTTCTTGAAGAACTCGAAGATGAGGTCAGATTCTGACAGCGAACAAGAGAAGGCACTACAGTGTAAGTATGTGATACGTAAAGATGACGACCCACTGGGCGATGGCCACTTCAGTGTAGTCAAGGAGTGTATGAACATGCACACCAAGGACCTGTATGCGATGAAGCTAATCGACAAGTCCATCGTTCAGGACAAACTAAAGTTAATCCAACGTGAGTTTGAGTTACTAAAGTATATAAGCGAGACTATTCGTACACTAGAGTTATCTTCGACATCGTCCCTAATGAACGCACAAAATGGGAGCAACTGCTCCCATTTCGATGGCCATCACCACATTTTACAACTGTTTGATTTCTTCGAAACTTCAAAGAATATCGTTCTAATTACACAACTATGCCAAAAGGATGATCTCTATGATACTATTATTAAAAACCAGAAATTGGACTTAGAAACACAGGTTAAACCATACACAGCGTGCTTAATCAGTGCACTAGAATTTTTGCACTCAAACGGTATTGTTCATAGAGACATTAAGGCGGAAAATGTATTGTTTAGATTAAAACATCAGATTAACCCTAACGAGACCGCAGAAAACGCAACTTATGACTTGGCAGCTCATGATTTAATCCTAGCAGATTTTGGCTTAGCTACAAGAGTAAATGTTGAGAGTACTACCACATTAAGAGAATACGTGGGCACTGTATCTTATATCTCACCGGAAATTGTGGCATGTAAAGGTGTAAGCTCAATAGACAATACCAAGGAAATTGAAAAGATCCCTAAGTATGGAACTCCAGTTGACATATGGGCATTGGGTGTTCTAACTTACTTTATGGCCTTGGGTTACACACCATTTGATTGTGAAACAGATGAAGAGACTATAGATTGTATCTCCAAGGTGGATTATTATATCGATGAGGATGATGAGAAAAATCCAAAATATTCAACATTCTGGGATTTTCTACAGCAATGCTTTGAGAAGGATCAGAATAGCAGACCTACCGCTAAAGACTTAAAGACACATCCTTTCATAAAAGATTACTTCAAGACAACTACACCATCTGCATCTTATAGTTTTCTGGACAGGAGAAAGGCTTTGAAAAGAAATCATTCAACAAATTCATTCCATAATTTGAGAACCCCTCTAAGGAAGAATTCATCAGCAGCCTCTTCTATATCATCATCCTCTGCTGTAATTCCTTCGCCACATATGTCGCTTTTGAGCGGATCCATGGCGACATCTAAGTCTTCTCGGACTGATCTTAGAACCTTGAAAAGAAGTGGTCATTCCAGTCACTCAAATTTGCAACAACTGTCAGGATCATCAAGAGAAAAGAGTCTGAAAAACATTAAGGATACTTTACAGAGAACATTATCAATGACATCCTTAAAGCCTAATAGTTCTACGAATCTTCTAGCTGCGACAACCTCTCCTTCGAAGCAGAAATCAATAATAAAGAAGAATTCAACATTTGTTCTAGATCCAAGACCACCGTTGGGGTCACTGATGAATGGTTGTTTTAGTACTACACCCGAATCCAAATCAAATTTTAGCACACCTCAGGTGCTATCAAGACAAAATTCTGCATCTAGTCTAAATAACCAAACAAAAAGGGTAACAAGAGTGACTAGTGCTGGCAGTAGCTCAACTCATACCAACGAAAGTGGTATTATTATGAACGTTAAGCCCTCTATTCTTCATTCGACTAGTACACCTGATGTTAGACCAGAAGAAAAGAAGCTAATGAATGTTGATGACGATGATGATGACGATAATGATGATGATATGGGTATTGTTATATGATTGATAAACCTTTTTTTTTTCTTTATATATGCTTAGACATTATAGAAACGCAATAATTTTGCACTTCTATTATTTGACTATCCTTTAAATATATTTATACATCTAATAAAAAGTTTATAATATTCCAAAACTTCGCTGTAAACGGATCAATACAAGCAGTATATAACTTCATTATGTATATACGTATTCAGAATCCACTCAATATGCCTATATTAAAGATGTTTTGTTTTGGCAATCGGTTCGCGTCGTTGACTCCGCAGTACTAAATCCCAAAATGAAAAAAATTACAACATCTACTACAAAACCACAGGTTTGATGAAGACTAACTTGAAGTATAATAATTAGCATTTCAACTTGCTCTTTCATTTATCAATTGAGTTGAATACACAATATAATCATAAGCTGATACTAATAGTTAAATTATGTGGTTATCGGAATCGCAAAGTATGTTACAATAATTCACTGAAGAGGCGCAATAATATGAAATGATCGAGAGTTACTAACAGTTGTTCAACATTACAGCTTTGCAGCTGTAACTGCTTGTATGATCTTATTAGAGTTTGGTGTAGCATTCACCTTTGGTGGGGTTTTATTCTTCATATTTGGTATATTTACTTTTTTTGACAGGGCTTTGTTGGCATTGGGTAACATATTATTTTTAATTGGTGTTGTATTGATCATTGGTTCTCAAAAGACTTTGATCTTTTTCTCTAGACCAACAAAGAGACGGGGTTCCATCCTATTTTTACTAGGAATATTTTTGATTTTGATAAAATGGACCTTCATTGGCTTTTTGGTAGAATCCCTTGGTATAGTTGGACTTTTCGGTGACTTTTTTGGTATAATAGTGCAATTCTTAAGATCACTACCGATAATAGGTCCAATACTCTCTCACCCAGCAGTTGCTCCAATTGTTGACAAAATTGCTGGTGTCAGAGTCTTGCCAGTGTAATATTAAAATTTGTATTTTATATGTTAAACTAACTTTCAATATAATCGTCATTTTCTTATTTAATTTCAAGATGTCACAACTAAAGGTGCTGATACGTCACTATCATATATGAGCAGAGTTTCAATCTATGTGCAGCTAAACGCCTCGAATTCCTTTACCGCATATAGAGGTCCTTCATTGCAGCTACTTTAACAGACAGAATTTTTGAGAAGGTATGTGTGATATTAACAATAATTTTAGATTGAATCTTGTTTTGGAAATGTAAAGTATCTATATGCTGACTATACAAGTACTGTAATGATTTATAAAGTTTACTTACAAGAATTAGTATCAAGTACATTGGCGCCACTAACATCCATTTTATATATATTTCATTGGATCATTTCAGCAAAGTCCAACACCATTTCATCAAAGCCATATTGACCAACTAATTGCACACCAATTGGTTGACCTGGAATTATTGGAATAGAAAGTGTTGGTAGACCCGCTAGAGACATTGGCATCGTGAATACATCATTAATATATTCCTTTGTCGGTGTATCTAAATCGCTTACGCTAAAATCTTCTAACTTTTTAGGTAAACTTGGAGTAGTCAAGCTAATTAAAAAGTCAACATTTGTTTCAGACTTCGTAGTTTCTTTGTTATTCAGTAACACATTTGGATATCTGAATACAGAATCCATTTCATCAATAAGCTGTACCCGTAATTTCTGTGCTCTAATGTAATTATTTTTAAATGATTCTGAACATAAGTTGTAATTTCCTAGTAATATTCTATTTTTAACTTCTCTACCGAATTGCTTCCTTGTTGGCGCAAACATCACGTTATCACTCATATCTGATTCTTGATCTCTGTAACCGTAACGAATACCGTCAAAACGTGACAGGTTTGATACAGCTTCTGCAGGTGAAAGAGTATAGTAAATAGGCAAGGCATTCTTGATCGATGGAATAGAAATTGGAACGACATCATGCCCTAAATCTAAGAGTTTCTTAACGAATGCTAATAGGGCCTCCATAATTGTCTCCGGTATGCTATCTTGGCTGAACTCTTTTGCTATGCCAATGCGATATTTCTTTCTCTCTTTAATAGTATTTCTCTCATGAATTCCAAGTATCTGATCTCGGTATGAGTTTTCTAGTGATGTCGGGTCCTTATCATCGTACTTATCAAGTACATGATAAACCTTTCTTAGCGTGCTTATATTTTTAGTCAAAATACCAACAGTATCCAGAGACTGTGCATAAGCAATAACACCATACCTTGAAATTCTTCCATATGATGGTTTGAATCCATATATCGAACCATAAGTAGCCGGGAGCCTTACCGAACCCCCGGTATCAGTCCCTAGACTGAAATCAACTGCTTCAGAAACAACAGCTGCTGCAGAACCTGATGATGATCCTCCCATTATAACCTTATCAGCAGCTGGATATAATGGATTGAAGGTGGGTCCAAAACAGGAGTGAATTCCTCGAGAACCCATACCAAATTCATCTAAGTTTGTCTTCCCTAAAACAATTGAACCTTCCTGCTTTAATAGCTTTACAACTGTTGCATCGTATGGTGATTGATATCCACGTAGTATCTCCGAGCCACATGTAGTAGGCATATCTTTAGTAACAATGTTGTCCTTTATACCACATAGTAGCCCGCTAAGAATGCCATCCTTCAGACTTTTGTAACTGTTCTTGACCCCTTCAACATCTATATGGGTGAATATATTATACTGCTTCTGGAGCTCCGGGAGAGCACGAAGACGAGATATTGACATTAATCGATTAGTACTATGATCTCGTGAAATTAGGACCTATTTTGTTACTCCTCAGATTAACCATGAATTGATTCAATCGATCGGTATGCTTATTATGCGGGAAAGTTTAAAATCCTTTTTCAATGGCAGTGATGAGACCTGGGTTGACACAATTAAAGAACAAAACATTCTGTTTGGCATAGACTCCAACTTGGTGGCATTTCCAGATCATAGATGGCAACTCAACCCAATTGCATAGTTTAAAGTATGGTGGTGATTGATATAAGCACGGAGGATGATATAAAAAGACTGCGATGGGAACCCCGCGAAGAGCCCACAGTGTTTGAGTCATCGATCAACCAGAAGTACTTAAGTGAAGATATCAATGAGTTAGAAGAAATTCCACTATCAACAATTGAGCATAATGAATCTGTCAGTGCGGATGTGCATCACTTCCATGTACCGCCGATATTGGAAGCCAGAAAGTTACTTTCGACACAGCTTGAGAGAGAGCACGATTATAAAGACGCCAAGAAAGACGAATTAGAAGAGATAAGAGACAGGTTAGATGGTTTAAAATTTAAGAAGGAATATACTAAAGGAGGATATGACAATGAACTAGGTAAAGTTCTCCAGGTTCTGAAAGTACTGGATGTGGAGAGGATAGACAACAGAGACAAGTTTTTAAAGCATATCGTTGATACTAAATCTGATATAGAGAAGGAAGATATGAGTATTAATATTTCATTGAATTCTGTCAAAATGAACAACTTCATCGAATTGGAGAACAGACTTGATAGACTGGAAAAAATAGTTGGGAATCGAGGAATCGATTCTTCTGTATCCTCTTTGGCTCATGAAATCAACAGCATATACAAGAAGATTCTGTTAATAGATGATCAGAATTGTATGAGTGACTTCTCTGAGAAGTTTAGCAAGTTAAAAAAGGAATATGAAGACAGTTTAATTGGGAAGCAATCTAAACAGGATCAAGAAGTACACGAAGAATTAAAAGCGAAATTTGTAGGTGATGATACTAGATTAACCTATTTGATGAAGATGTACAGATTACTAGATGAATATACGGAGCATTTCCCAACCTTAGTGAAAAGATTGGAGAGTTATAACGACATTGACAATAAAGTACGGCACAGCTATAACATATGTTTAGAATTAAAGACCAGGGTGTCAAAGTTAACCGAGCAACAAAACAATTGGATGGTAATGCTGGACAAGTTGGAGCAGAAAATGGAAGAGCAAGACAATCTTATTATGGATAAGTTGAATGAGATTGAGCGAAGATTATAAATTCCTTTGGTTTTGCTTGAACTAATCGATAAAGTAATACAAATGAAATAATTTCGTTTATATAATAAACTAAATGGATAAAGAAAAATAAAGTGATCTACCTGTTATATATAAAATTGTAAAGTATCTGAAAGTAATGTACCTGCATAGACTTTAGTAATTTGAGAGAAAAACGTTATGATTGGGTTTATAAGAAGTGAATAATAAAATAAATTGTAAATGAGTTGGATGGGAGAAAAAACAAATTTGTTCGGTATAAGGAATAAAGTTCGTAATATTAGCAAAAACAGCCAAATGGCTATCATAGTTCAGTATTTTTTTTCACCCTTTAATCCTTAGACTTCTTCTTTCTACCGAACAAACCTCTCTTCTTCTTCTTCTTTTCACCAACTTCATGGACTGGAGGTTGGTAGACAGCTTGTTCGTTGTAGGCCTGGGAAGCGGAAGCGTTATTAGCGTATGGGTTTAGCAATGGGAAGTCTGGTCTTGGCCTGAAACCGTAAGTAGCGGTCTCTAGCTGTTGGGCCCAAGATGGGTCACCAGAGACAGCATATTCGAAGCTTCTAATGGTATCAAGTGGTCTCTCGTCTCTAGCTCTGGTAGGGTTGGAGATATCAGGAGTGGTGATAGGCTGTCCAAAAACATCACGCAGCACATTACCACCGTCGGTAGAGAAATAGGACTGTCTGTTCATGTTGTCATGGAAAGTATCAGCAGCTTGCTCAAAAGGTTGAGCTTCGTTGACAGCATCCAAGATAGGATCGTTCACTGAGGCAGTACGGATCTTCAGACGTGCAGCATCCTCCTTAGACACCTTGACATCCGAGAGCCTGTGCTCGTCCTCGCCGCCATTACTCAAATTAGACTTCTTCCTGAAATGCATCGCCACCATCTTTGCTGTATTCTTGCTCGATGATGTTATCTTATCCTATTACAAAAGATGATATAGCGCAAAACTATTATAGCTTCTTAATATATATTGGTAGTTAGCTGATCGAGGAATTGTCTAACAAATTCAAGGACAGAAAATTTTTGATCCATGAAAAGTCACTAATAAACAAGGACATCACACGAGAAGTGATATTTAGACACTGGCCTCTGCAAACACTGGTTCGTGTTGTTTTTGGTATCAGAAATCTTCAAAGCCTTGATCATAGCCAACGTTCCTTGCACATACCATCTTACATTTAAATTATTGAATAAACTTATAATTTCTACATTATATTTTCAATTTTTAAATTTTGTATTAGTTTTGAAAATATATAAGGAAGTATAGATAAGTTGTTAAGATAAACTGAATCGTTGCGTATTGTATTTGATTTTATAGAACACTCTACTTGGTATTCCCCGTTTAATAGTTCTGTTATAATCCTTCTGTATGGTCCTTCGGTTATTGTGACACATTTGGGCAGTGATAATTTATGTGACATGGCAGTGATAAAGTCCATTGTTCTCTTATCCTTTTGAGTCAAATTTATTGAAATTTAAAGGGTTATCTCGTCTGTAATATAAGTGATTATAAATTGAGTACTTATATATTGGTATATCTGCCTGTCTTTACTTTTTTTTTGGTTCCATCAATACCAAATAAAAAACTACAAAATGAAATTAGCTTACTTAGCCGGTGTTGCGGCTGTCTTGTCCCAAGTGGATGCTTTCTCCCTATCGGGAGCTCAGGACTATTTTTACAACAAGTCCCCAGTTCAGAACACTTTGAAGAACATCTTCCCAGCTCATCTGGATGATATCAGCTTCGGTACCAGAAGAAGAAGTGGTATCAAGAAGAAGAAGAACTGGGATGCTGTCGTGAAGATGGAAGGCCTTGAAGGCCATCAGTTGAGAGTTAATAAAATTGTTAACCCTAAGAAGCTGGGTGTCGACCCTCACGTCAAGCAATTAACTGGTTATTTGGACAACGAACTAGAGGACAAGCACTTCTTCTTCTGGTTCTTTGAGTCCCGTAACGACCCTAAAAATGACCCTGTCATCCTATGGTTGAACGGTGGCCCAGGTTGCTCTTCTCTAACTGGTCTATTCTTTGAATTGGGCCCTTCCTCTATCGACGGACAAAAATTGAAGCCCGTCAAGAACCCATTCTCCTGGAACTCTAACGCCTCGGTCATCTTCCTGGACCAGCCTGTCAACGTCGGTTTCTCATACGCTGGTAGCAACTCCAACGGGGGTGTCTCTAACACTGTCGCCGCCGGTAAGGATGTCTACGCCTTCTTGCAATTGTTCTTCAAACAATTCCCACAATACGCTGATGGTCAAGATTTCCACATCGCAGGTGAATCTTATGCTGGTCATTATATCCCTGTGTTTGCCTCTGAAATCTTGGCTCACCCACAAAAGGAAAGACACTTCAACTTGACTTCCGTGCTAATCGGTAATGGTTTGACTGACCCATTGACCCAATACAGATACTACAAGCCAATGGCCTGCGGTGAAGGAAGTGGTGCTGACCCAGTCTTGTCTCCAGAAGAGTGTTCTGCTATGGAGGACTCCCTAGATCGCTGCTTGTCGCTAATTGATGCTTGCTACCAATCTGAATCCGTTTGGGCCTGTGTGCCAGCCTCTATATACTGTAACAACGCCCAATTGGCTCCATACCAGAGAACCGGCAGAAATGTCTACGACGTCAGAAAAGACTGTGAAGGCGGTTCTTTGTGTTACCCAGAGCTACAAAACATCGATGACTACTTGAACATGGACTACGTGAGAGAAGCAGTGGGCGCTGAAGTTGACCACTACGAATCTTGTAACTTCGACATCAACCGTAACTTCTTGTTCAACGGTGACTGGATGAAGCCATACCACAAGCAAGTTATTGAAATCCTAGAAAAGGGTCTACCAGTCTTGATTTATGCTGGTGACAAGGACTTCATCTGTAACTGGATGGGTAACAGAGCTTGGACCGATGAATTGCAATGGAAGTACTCCTCCGGCTTTGCCCAAGAACCAGTCCGTAACTGGACTGCTTCCATCACTGGTGAAGTGGCCGGTGAAGTCAAGAGTTATGAAAACTTGACCTTCTTGAGACTATTCGATGGTGGACACATGGTCCCATATGACCAACCTGAAAGCTCATTGAGTATGTTGAACGAGTGGATCCACAAATTCCACTTGTAAGTCTATACAAATGGCTTGTATGCTTTAATTTTTTACCCTTTTGTACTGAATTATAAAATATTATCGATATGACATATATCCAAAAATAAAATAAACAATAACAGTATTATAGCAATATGGGACACTTTTGTCTGTTTCTTTTTTTACAAGTACTAAAATCAATTAGCCCTTATGATTTCCAAAGTGAAGACATATATAACACACAGTATCTTGGAATCATATATATGTAGCATGTCTCAAAGCCATTCAGAAGTTCTATTATCTTCATGAATTTCGCCTTTAAATTCGGACGATATTTTTTTCTTGTTTGGCGAAATAACGAAAATTCTATGTTGCTGCAAATAGTGCAGCCTGAACTTGAGCCTTATAAAACAAGAAGACACATATTTATACAACTCTTCCCCTTACCTAGTTGTACTACTCGGTCATACAATTGATAACGCGTACTTTTGACTAGGCATTTTACATTTTACTCACACCACTCGCACAAGAGCAACACAGTACTATTTAAAACAAACACCATGTCCACTCCTTATACACCAGCTCCACAGATCTTCAACCTATTCAAAGTTCTAGCTGTTTCTTTGGCTCTGATAGCTGCTGTTGAGTACTTTAAATATGGTACAAGAATTAATTACGAATGGTTTCATTGTACACCTGTAATGGAGAGAGTGGGTGGTCCCGACAGCTCTGTTTTAAAGATTTGGGCTAGAGGTGGTCCAAGTTGTGACAAGAGAGGGGAATACAAGACTATCTTGAAGAGAATTTCAAGAGATTACGAACCTAACGATGAGCATCTATCATTCTGCATAAAGGAAAATATGTCCGTGGATCCGGTTCATTACCCAATACACGAAGACAAAGGTGAGCCAGGCTACATCGCCTATGTTGGCTACGACTCAGACAAGAGAACCGTGGATGAATTGTGTGAAGGTACCACCGTGTTCCACTTCTAAGCGTCCAATTTTGCTCAAAGAAAAATACTAGACTCAACTGAATGCCTAGAGAGAGCCCCTCGTTGACTGGTCTCCTAAGTCGAAGTTAGACAATGGCATTGAAAATTATCAGATGCCCAGAAAAATGCATTGAGTTTGGCATTGTGAGAAGATTCAACTAGAATAATGGAGTGTAGAAACAAAATGGAACGATTATAAGCACAGACATAACACCGCATATATTATATATAGAATACGAATTTTAAAGTGTAAAAAATATAATACGAATTTTTCTAATTTATCATGATTATGAAGTATAAATTCAACTGATGGAAAGGTTAGATACTGATTGATCTATAAATTATCATATATTCTGCTTAGCATATGCCTCTTTTTTGCTTGCTTGCTTTAATATGATGGCCGCCTCTTCTAGTTCTTTATTCATATCAAAATGAGGTAACTCACCGATTGGTGGTAAGTGGGGTTCATCTTTTGGTTTTGAATAGGGTATCACCTTCTCAAAGGTAGGCATAAAATCCGGTTTTAATACTTCCTCTGGCTGAAATTCTTCATCAATTGTCTTGATCAAATCCTCTGAATCGGAGTTAAAAGGAATAAAAACTTGTGAGGTTTCGGACATTTCTGTAAACTGATTTAGAGATTTATATTTATCATTTCTGTTGTGTAAACATAATTTAACAAATATTTCGAAGAGCGGCAGTTGATTTCTTTTTTTATCCACATATATCAAAGAACCATTCCTATAAAACAAGACTGACCGTAAACTTTGTTGTAAATATTCAAAATGAAACGATTCCCATAGTATATCATTTTTTTGTAGTTCGAACATATAGTCAGAGTTCATACACCATACAGAGATATTTTCATTTTTCAAATCGTAACCTTTCGATTCAAGACTCTCAAATTGCTTTGACAAAAATCGTAACCAAGTTCCCTGGTGTAATTCAGTCCAGTCAAGCAGAAATGTCCACTTTATTTCTGATTTATCATTTGATATTAGTGGTTCAATAGACTCAATGGGTGTTTCATCAAACGTGGTTATTAGTGCATATGCATCAATCCTATGGTTTACTGCTATGGATTCATTCAATTCTTCTTTATATTCTGATGGTATGTCATAATATGTATAGCCTAAATTTATTATTGGTTTACTAAAAGTACAATGAGGTTTGAGACATTGCTTCTCAAAATCAAGAATCGTATCTGTACTAATGGAGCATATAACAGCAGTTGTCGTCCTTATTTCACCTATTTTAAGAGCATATTTTTCTTCCAATGCTCTTCTCAACATGCTATGGACATTGTATTAATAATAATACGTATCTTACTTTTCTCTAGTTAAAAATAGCACATTAGTAGACTTTTGATATTGGTTAAATAGTAAGTCTACTTTATGCACCTTTCTGATTTTTTCATTTTGAGATGGAGTAGAAGTGATATTATGGATTTTAAGAATTTAAAATATTTGATTGTTCTTTCAATGCTATATATCTTCTATTAAGTTTTTTAATTGTGGCATTTATTTTTCTATAGTATCTTTACATGGATAAAAATTTTAATATTACTGTGCCTTCTCAACATTTTGTTAGACATCAATTAAAAAAAAATGCAACAGAGAGTGAACTTCTTAGCCAACAACACTTATTCTTATTTTTGAATAACAGTTTTAATGCCAATTATGGTCATTTATGATGAGTAGTCAGCACAGTTGTAGAGTCCAACATCACTTTCAGGCTTTACATCGGCCTTACATTCTGCATTTTCCGCTCTAACACGTTCCAACTCAATCAAATAACCATCTTCTACACCAGTAACATAGTTACCTGTGAACACACCAACCTCAAAGTTTTGGATTTGTTCCGTTCTGCAGCATTCAATTAAATCCTCCAATGATTGATAAATGACTTTATCACAACCAATTGCTTCAGCGACTTCTTCCTCTGATTTATTAAATGCAATTAGATTCTTTGTGTCAGTCAAATCAATTCCATAAATGTGGTTGTATCTGATGGCAGGAGCAGCTGAGGCAAAATACACCTTCTTGGCACCAGACTCTTTGGCCATGTTAACTATTTCTCTAGATGTTGTTCCTCTGACAATGGAATCATCAACAATTAAAACATTCTTGTCTCTGAATTCAGAGTCCATTGGATTCAATTTCCTTCTAACTGATGAGACTCTTTCTTTTTGATTTGGCATAATGAATGTTCTGCCAACGTATCTATTCTTTATAAATCCATCTCTGTACGGTCTATTAAGTGCATTCGCACATTGCAGAGCAGTTGTTCTAGCGGTATCTGGGACTGGAATGACGACATCGATATCCTCAACACCAACCTGCTTCTTAATGTTTTCAGCTAGTTTAACACCCATTTCTAGTCTTGTATGATACACAGAAATACCATCAAGAATGCTATCCGGTCTTGCGAAGTAAACATATTCAAATAAGTCCGGTCTGTATGAGTTCATAGGGACAACCTGCCTAAACTCTGGAAGGCCACCTTCCTTTGGATCCTTTGGAATGATGACTGCCTGACCAGGTTTCACATCCACAAACTTGGTGAATCCATGGGCGTTTAATACAACACTCTCAGATGCAAGCATGTAATCCTTATCCCCATTCTCGTTGACACGCTCACCAAACAATAGTGGTCTAATACCATTAGGGTCTCTGAAACCAAACAAAGCAAAACCAGCTAACAGTCCCACACAAGCATAACCACCACGACATAGTCTGTATACACCTTCTAGAGCATGAAACACATCTTCATTGTTGACTCTGTACTTGTTATGCTTCTCAAGTTCAGAGGCAAATATGTTCAATAGTAGTTCTGAGTCACTGTCGGTGTTGATATGTCTGTGTACATCTTCATCCATATATCTCTTCAAAGAAACAGTGTTGACCAAGTTACCATTGTGGGCAAGGTTAATACCATATGGACTATTCACATAAAAAGGTTGGGCTTCGGAGTTTGCAGAAGAGCCAGCAGTTGGATACCTTAGGTGTGCAATACCCATAGACCCAACCAAGCCCGAAACACGTTGCTGAGTGAAAACATCTCTGGCCATACCATTCCCTTTGCACTGGTAGATTCTACCACGGGAACCACAGGTGGCGATACCAGCTGCGTCTTGGCCTCTATGCTGCAAAAAAATGCAACCATCGCATAGTTCTGGTGCCACAGAGGCGTTCTGATCAGCTAATGCTATACCAAGAATACCACACATTTCACTTTATGGATATAAAATTCTTTGTATTCCTGTTGGGACTTTGAAAAGAACTTCAGTCAGTAAAATCCTATTCCTTTTTTTATTCTGTATTGAAATCTAATACACAGCTATCAACAACGCTTTCGCTATAGTTAAAAGTGAACTTGATATCTGATCTACACTGACTACATTTACTGTTTGTTAGATATTAGTTGAGACTTTGTAAAGAGACAAGAAAAAAAGGAAAGTTGAGCAACAAGCTTATTTAAATATGTTATTGTATGCATCCTCATCAAAAAAAAGTCATTTCTTCACAGTTTTTATATCATTTAAGATTCTCAATATTAAATTGAAATTTTAATTATTACATGAAATCACAAAGGTGACTCCATCGCAATTTTGAGTTTCTCACCTCGAGCTATTTTTTGTCTTGGGTGATATCTTACGCAACATTTCCTATCGATCCTTAGCACTCCAGAGCAGACAAAAGTCATCACATAAGAAGTCATTATTAAGTTACTTATCAATTATAAATTCAATGGCCATGAGAATTCTTAATTGGTGCAATTTTGCTAGCATGCTTTGAAACTTTTGTATTTTGCTTATGTGCTGGTATTATGTAGCCGTGGTAAAGACATTGTTGTCCTTCATTAAATATAATAAAATGCCTCTGGTCTGTTGGTAGGCAATTACGGGATAAGACAGAAAGTGAACAAAAAAAGAAAGGAGGGAATTAAATGATGGGAATTTGAGATTTTTAGATAGACTTGTTTAGCTTTTCTAGTGTTTCCTTTTCATGATTGATTTCATCTTCCAGGAGATCTAGGTCTTCTTGGATACGCCAGAGCTCTTTGTATAGAGAGTTTTCTCTGGCAAGCAGTTCTTGGTGGGTACCTTCTTCACGTACTGTGCCTTCTTCTAGCACAATAATCTTATCAGCATCAGCGATGGTCCGTAGTCTATGTGCTATATAAACACTAGTCTTCTCGCCACTGTTGAAGTTTCTTCTGATAGTTCTTAATAATGATTGTTCTGTGTGAGTATCTAGTGCACTTGTTGCCTCATCGAAAAACATTATATCAGCATCCTTCAATAATACACGAGCAATCGCAAGTCTTTGCTTCTCCCCACCGCTGATCATTAAACCACGCTCACCGACAATGGTGCTTGAGCCCTGTGGTAATTTCGCAATTAGATCAGATAGTTGAGCCTTATCTATAACCCTGGTAATCTCTTCATCGGAAGCTTCAATACGGCCAAATTTAACATTCTCCCAGATGGTATCATTGAACAAAGGTGTATCTTGGGGAACCACACCAATGGCTTTTCTCAGTTGATCTATATCATATTCTCTGACATCAACACCGTTGACCAAAACACGCCCTTCCTCGGGGTCGTAGAACCTAAATACCAATTTTAAGACGGTCGATTTACCGCTACCAGATGGGCCAGCAATGGCAGTCTTCATACCAGCTGGTATTGTGAAAGAGGCATTCTTTAAAATTTTTCTTTGACCATCGTAGCCAAAAGTCACATTTTCAAATTTAATCTCAAAAGGGCCATCACTCTTGCTTATACTTTTTGGTTGAGAGCAGTTCTGAATTTTAACTTGATTCTTCCTCAACTTAAATAGGGATTCCATATCTATCAATGATTGTTTCAACTCTCTGTATACACTACCCAAGAAGTTCAGAGGTACAGATAATTGGAAAACTAATTGATTAATCAGGACTAAATCACCAACGGTTAAGTCACCTCCTATGACACCTGTACAACCCATATACATCATTCCGGTTAGGGCTGTTGTGAAAATTAAGCTTTGTCCTGAATTTAAAAATGCTAGTGATTGTGCAACTTTAACCTGTGAGTCTCTGTACTTTATCAAAGAGTTGTGATACTTGTTTGCCAAATAACTTTCGTTGTTAAAGTATTTTACAGCTTCAAAATTGATTAAGGAATCAAGAGCTACACTAGCACCTTTGTTATCAGCTTTATTAGCCTCTTTTCTAAATCTCGTCCTCCAGGCCGTGGTTCTGATAGTGAAAATTGAATACAATAACATAGTCGTAAAGGTGATTCCTGCAAATGAAGCACCGAATTGATAGGTCAGAATACCACATACAACTGATATTTCAAAGGTAATTGGAATGATGTGGAAAACCATAGCACTCAGAACATAAGAAATACCTTTAGTACCTCTATCCATGGCACGAGTTAAACCACCCGTTTGCCTACTCAAATGCCAGCCTAAGTCAAGTTTCATCAAATGTTCAAAAGTTTGTAAAGATACATTCCTTATAGCATTCTGTGCCACTCTAGCAAAGATTGCATTACGCAACTCACCGAAAAGAACTGCTCCAAATCTTGCCAAACCATAGCACATAATTGTAAGTCCTAGAGCCGCTGGTAAAGCAACAGTTGCATCTGACCAATCCACGTTCATTCCATCTATAATCTGTTTGAAGAAAAATGGTACCTGTACATTCAATACTTTAGCTCCAATTAGCAAAGCCAACGCCAATAGCACACGCACTTTCACCTTAGTGTTGCCTCTTGGCCATATATATTTGAACAAGTCCTTCAATATCTTCAATTCAGAAATGTTCACAGCTTTAGTGTCAGTCTTTTTACTATTCTTTTCAGAAGCATTATGAGCAGTATCCTCGTTTGGTAACTTCGATTTGCTTACAGTAGAAGATAATCGTTTCACATTTATATTATGAGCTAATAATCCCTTTTCTCTACCAAATGTCTTGCTTTTAAATGTGGGAGGTATACTGGTGCTAGAGAAATGGCTCCTACCCAGGTTCGTCCAGTTGTTGTAAGGACATCTAAGTTCAACTTTACTTCCGACTCGTAGGGCACTTCTAGTCCTTAAAAGACCCAGTATATTGGATGTTCTGAGCTGATACAAACGATTTTGTGCACCACCTATAAGCATTGTTTGTTTTAAGTTATAGTAATCACTGTTATAGCGCAATAGCTCTGCGTGACTCAAATGACCGAGCTATTTTGTGTAGATAAATTAGTATATATGTAGGTTGTCATGAATAAGATGTCCTTGCATGTACAAACCTGTTATAACTAATTGATCTGTTTTCGAAATTATCCTTAAACCGCAATATCTGTCGGGAAATATGCTTTAGTTAAATATCTCAAATATACCAATTAAGTAGCCAAAGGTCATCGCAACATTTGCCAATTAGTAACATTTTGTTTGTCACAGTGGGATCATGCAGGTTCACACACCTTTTTTCACAAATTCTCTTGAAAATTTCATCGTGATTGAGCCACAGGGAACACTTTCTTTGCTTATTAATTGGTGAGTACTGAGTAGATTTATATGAGATCCGAAAACTAAAACCATGTTGCTTGATTACCTTCTGCGAACGTACTCAGTTTAAAATACATCCTATTTGCTTAAGGTTCTAGCACTAGTGTGGGTTTGGACTGTCCCACTATTCGCAACTATCTGATTTGTTTAAAGGATACTTGTTTTGAAAAATATAATTTTAGTTCATAAATAGATAAATAGGTATTATTAAAAATTAAAGAATATTATCTTGTGATCGCAAATTGCTCTTCGGTGCTAAGAAGTTCATTTTCTTCGATTATTGGACTCTTGAGACAATTTCTTGATTTCATCTTCACAATGGTTGATAACATCACTACTTGTGGTAATCTTTTTAGACAGGTAATCTAATCTGCTCTTGAATAGCTTTTGGTCATTAATCTTACCAAGAGCACGAAGTTCTTCCTCCCATTTCTTGATTCTTCCTGTTTCGAAGTTAATCACTTTCAAGTGGTACCTTGTCATTAGCACCGTCTTCAGATCTTCATCATCGATTAAATACTGGAAGGCAGCCCTGTATAACGGCTTGAAAGGTCTGATCTCTTTGAGGACACCTCTATCTCTGGATACAGTGATTAAGCCATTGTTCTCTAGTTCTAGTATACCAATTTCTGGAGCTGCTTTGAATAATGGCCTGAACACAATATCATGGAAATATACCTTACCGTTCTTGCTTAGTAAATCAATCAATTCCCATGCCTGAGCGCTCTTCAGTGGATCGATCTTATCACTCAAGAAAATTTGTGTAATTTGCTCCGATGCTTGCTCAATCATCTTATCTAACGCTTCCTTAGGGAGTTCTCCGAACTTTACTCTGCGCACAAATGCTTGAAGGTCTAGCATTCTCCCACCTAATGGCTCCAAACTGTCATCAATATCTTGAATTAGCTCCTCAGACAGGTATCTTCTAGGGTCATTTTCATCATACTGGGAATGTTCAGGAGATGCTTTCTCTGTAGGCTCATCCTCTTCGGCCTTCTTTGCCCGTTTCAAACTCTTGTGATAATGTTCAACCAATTCAGATAGCACATAGTTTCTTGAGTTTGCCTTGGATGCATCAGACAGAATCATTGTCTTAAAGACTTGATTAGGCAACGATTCTGAAAGTCTTTGATTTGCTGCAACAGTTTCTGTTAAGAAAATTACATGAGCAATGTTCATTTGAACTAGCATAGCAGCCCAATCTGCCAATTCTTTATAGACAAAACTATTAATATCCGCTTTCCCTTCAAAACGATCGATCACAATAACTGGCTTTGCTTCAGGGTGTTGCTGTAGATAATCTTCCTCCTTGATATTCACATCATCTCCAGCATCATTGATTGTTGATTGATAGTCTTTTAATGCAATTCTTCTAACAGCCATTAATGACGTGGTTAGCATATTTCTGAATTGCGATTCTTTTGTCTCTGAGAGACCACTTTTCTGTCCAGTCAACCCTTGAACCATCAAATCTAGAACATTAGTTACTGAGTCAATCCACGGGAATATTGGAAAATAGCCTAATTGACCTGCAGCATTTCTTAAAAATTTGGCATCGGTTCTAGATTTAATTAACTTATCACAATCGATGTAGAGCACATTGTTTCTGTTGTGAAGCGTGTGTTGCATAACTAGCTCATGCTTACCGGAACCTCTTGGGCCTCTTATTAATACAAACGTATTGTTGTTTTCTTCGAGCCACATTTTCAAATCATCCATTTTCTCGATCCTTTCTTCCCACAGGTGTCTTTTAGAGATAATGGAACTGTCATAACCCCAGTAATTCTTAAAAGTAGAAACTGTTGAATTGGTTAAGTTCTTTAACTGTTTAAGGTATCTGTTATCCCAAGAAATCTGGTATTGGTGAGTAATCTTCTGCTCAATAAAAAACTCTCTGATAGGGTCAAATATCAAAACAGCCAGAATAGATAATAGTGCAAAAGTAACTGGAATTGCAATTCTTGTATGAGTAACATAAAAGTTTCTTATCAAATGGCCCTTGACTACATTTTCATATTGAAGATGCAAAACAGTATTATGAATTTCGATACCAGACACACAGTTCTTTGCACATATGGCTCCTCTATAGGATCTATATTTGACACGGAAATGTTTGTTGGTATCATTAGGAGGAAAGATGTCAATAATTGTTCCATATCTTCTGAATAAAGAGTATATTTCTTCTTCAGTTAGAGGTGGACCTTGACATTTAATGATGACAGTAGTGCTTGGGAGTCTCTTCAAGTCCTCAATCCAGGGTGACCCCTTGACTGGAAAAGCAGTTGCTCTAGTAAAGTAAGAAAACAGTGAATTCTTCGATTCATTCAGGGTATTCTGTTGAATCATAGTATTCACTTCTGCTTTTGTATAGTTAAAGGGTACCAAAAATGTGGCAAATACACCACCATCACGCTTGACAGGAATCGTCGACCTCAGTTGTAGCCCATGAATTGGATTATCTGGTGGACTTGCTAGATTTTTAATCTTTTCTCTAACACTTTCTCGAGATTGGTTCCGTAGTAATACGTTGTACCATAAAGCTGGATTCCACAGTGATGTGGCTCTAGCATATACATTATCAAAATATAGCAGAGTTTCTTGCTCTGTCTTATGAATGACACCTGTGTCGGTAGCCGTGTTAGATTCACCAGCTTGCCTGTCCTTCTGTTGGATTTCACTGGATACCCAGCGCACACCTCTCGGATAAACTCTTCTAAGGCCCAAGGGCAATACTTGTGACAATACACCAACATTTGGTGCGATTGTTCTCAATATAGTTGCGCCCATTCTGGGCGTAGTAATCGAATTCATAACATCAATTGTAATATAGTTTTATTTCGAAACCGCAGACTTTTGTATTAGTTCTTAGACAACCTTCCAAAATAACTGCAATATAGTCAAGTGATAGCCTTGAAGTAATAGAATTTGAGAATTTGAGATAACGTCCTATAAATCCTTATTACTTTTTAGACTAAAGCTAATGTATTGTCCATCCCTCGACGATGTGTACTAAGAAATATAAAAACAGACTTGAAAAAGTAATTAACCCTTAAAAATGAGTGCACAAGCAGGATTTTGTTTGATCTCATCGCAAGTAGCATCGAGCTCACTAGTCCCTTGATGAAATTAGCAAGGTGAAGAGGCAAATTTCATCCAATTATCACTCTGGATGACACCGATGATTCCTACGGGATGTTTGCCACTTCACTAACAATTCAAGTCTAAATAAAACCCAAAATTGAGTATGGACATATCACGATTCTTAAGATCTAAGCAAATCTAGTTATGGGCTTCTTTCTTCAATAATAGTGTCTCCTCGATCAGATGCATGTTGACCACTAAATATGTAACTTTGTGATTATCCTTGGCTCCTGGTGTGGCACCGTAAGTATCTCTAGCCCATCTGTGACTTGAGCTAATTGCTCAATCATGTAGGTATTTTGTTTGTTTGTAGCTAAATGTACATAACTATCTGCAAGAAGTATATCCCCATCGCAACAGACTAATGACGTACTATTCCCCCAGATATGCGGTATCATTCACTACGCATCCTTCCAATCACTCATCTCAACTTCTCTCTGGGTCATCCGCCCCTTATAAAGGCCTGGCAACACGGGCCCATAGCCCATGAATTGTAAATTGCAATAAACTTTCCATCTGCTCAGTAAGTTTGTATAACTCACAGGATATATTTTTTGGGGACAATTAAGAGAACTGGTGTGTGTTAAACTCTTTCCAACGGAGTTTTCAGCTTTAAAATACGGCAAATTAGCGTTGGTTTTATATCGGTAGTTGGCAAAGGACTAAAGTGGGACACTAGTGTCTAGAAATATCGCTATCATGGGAACAAATGTTGAAGAAGTGGGAGAGATAGTAGAAACAATTGATCTAGGGAAGAGCATTGATGAGGTTTTTCCAGAACTAGAGGAAGATCAGGAAGTATTGGTGGAAGGCTCGTTTACATGGAGAATAGATAAATGGTCCGAACTGAAAGAGCATAAATACATGTCTCCTAGGAGCCAAGTGGGAGAATATCAATGGGATGTATTGTTATTCCCACATGGTAATCATAACAAGGGATTGGCGATATACCTGGAGCCACATCCTGAAGAGGAGAAGGATGAAACTACGGGCGAGTTGAAGCCCGTTGATCCTGAATGGTACTGCTGTGCACAATTTGCCATTGCATTGTCAAGGCCTGATGATGACCAAGAGATAAATCTGGTGAATAAATCAAATCATAGGTTTAATTCTCTGGATACCGATTGGGGCTTCGCAAATTTTGTAGATCTAGGAAGCTTGAAATATCCATCAAAGGGGAGAAATAGAGGGTTTTTGAATGACGATAAATTGAATATAACTGTTTTTGTACGGATACTGAAAGATCCAACTGGTGTGTTGTGGCATAACTTCATAAATTATGACTCAAAGAAGATGACTGGTTATGTCGGTTTCAGAAACCAAGGTGCTACATGTTATCTCAACTCATTATTACAATCTTATTTTTTCACAAAATACTTCAGAAGATTGGTATATCAAATACCTACTGAGAATGAGAGCCCCAATAATAGTGTGCCGCTAGCTCTACAAAGGTCATTCTATCAATTACAAGTATCGAAATTTCCACTAGACACATTGGAACTAACCAGATCCTTTGGGTGGGACAGTGCAGAAGCATTCACACAGCATGATGTCCAGGAGCTGAATAGAATATTGATGGACAGATTGGAGAATAGAATGAAAGGCACATCGGTTGAAGGTATGCTGAATGAAATCTTTGTCGGGAAGATGAAGAGTTATATCAAGTGTATAGATGTTGATTATGAATCTTCTAGGGTGGAAGATTTCTGGGACCTTCAATTAAACGTGAAAAATATGAAGGGTTTGAAAGAGTCATTTGATAACTATATTGAAATTGAATTGTTAAATGGTGAGAATCAGTATCAAGCACAAGATTATGGCTTACAGGATGCAGAAAAAGGTGTCATATTTGAAAGTTTCCCACCGGTACTGCATTTGCAATTGAAGCGTTTTGAATATGACTTTAATTATGATCAAATGATAAAAGTTAATGACAGATATGAATTCCCGGAAACGATAGATTTGTCCCCTTATTTGGAAGATTCAAAAAAAGAAAAAGAAAATAATTGTGTATACAATTTGCACGGTGTGTTGGTTCATGCCGGAGACATTTCGACCGGCCACTACTACACATTAATCAAGCCTGGTTTGGAAGATCAATGGTATAGATTCGATGATGAAAGGGTTTGGAAAGTAACAAAGAATCAAGTCTTCGAAGAGAACTATGGTTTAGATGCTTTGCCAGATGATAAGCTTAGAACAATGACAAGAGAACAATATCAGGAATATGTCCTTGCTAGACATACAAGTGCTTATATGCTGGTATATATTAGAAGCGACAGGGAAGATCAACTATTGCAACCGGTTTTAGAGAGTGAAGTCCCAAAACATGTTATCGAGAGGGTTCAGGAAGAAATTAAGGAGAGAGAGGAAAAGGAAAGAGAGATTAGAGAAGCGCACTTGTACTTTCAAATTCATTGTTATACCACGGAAGACTTTATTGACTATCAAGGGTTTGACTTATGTGCTCATGAGAAATTTGGATTTTTCTCTCAAGATTTACAGAAACGGAATGGTAGTAGCGGGTTAAGTATGCGAGTGCTTAGGTCGACAAAAATTAAAGATCTATTTGGAAATATAAAAGAAAATCTAGATATTCCCCATGAAAGAGAGGTTAGGTATTGGAGAATGACTAATAGAAGGAACAACACTCTGAGACTTGAACATCCGATAAACTCGATAATGGATAACATTACACTTGATGAAGCTTTAAATTCAGAGGAAGAGGGCTTAGTATCTTCGATTGATATATTTGTTGAGGAACCCTATTTAGAGTTGCAGTATCTAGTCGAACAAAAGAAAAATGGCAACTTGGATACGGCGATTTTAACAAAAAATATGATTCAGAATCTAAGAATAAATCTCGATAAGTTAGTACCGGCTGAAAGTATTCCAACAGTCATAGATTATAATTCAGCCGGGCAAGAAACTCTATTTTTGAAGATATTTTCCAAGAAATCACAAAGTATGAGAGGATTTGGTGTATGCACATTAAGTCAAACTTCTAAGGTAAGTGAAATTTCTAATTTAATTAATATTGCGTTGGAAACCAAAGATGAGATTTCATTCATTGAAGAGATTCAACCGGGACATATTGAGAAAATTGAGGGCAACGATGAACTGTATATGGCTGAATTAGGAACGGGTGACATTTTATGTTTTAATGACCCCGTAAATGACAAGATCGACGAGGAAACTTCAAATTCCATATATCCACCATGTCAAGATAATGTGGAGTTTTACCACTATTTGAGGCACCGTGTTAAGATTAGGCTTTCAAGGACAAATGGTAATGATGGAAGTAATGAGCAAGACACAAATGGGGCCAAGGCTCCAGAGGCGATATCGCTTTGGGTTTCCGCTTATATTTCTTACCCTGATTTTGCAGAAGCAGTCGCAAGGCATGTCAAGGTGAACCCGGAATTTTTGAAGGTGTACGCACTGTATGCTAACGGCAGATTTGCACTGAAATCAAACTCTATCTTGAATGATTATTTACTAAAGGATTATAATTGCGATGAAATACCTCCTTTTGAATATGAGATACTTTCGATGCCATTGAAAGAGCTCGAACATTTGAGACCTATTAAATTTTACTGGTTAAAATCAAGTTATTTACATTTTCAATGTATGGAATTAGAGGTTCCCAATAACTGTACCATAGGTGAATTTCTAGACAAGGTCCAACAAAAGTTGCAGTTTACAGATGAGGATCGGAAAAATATATTATTGTGGACTAATCATAATTCTCAGTTTCAAAATGTCCTCGCTGAAGACAATACCTTTAAGAATCTAGGAAAAACATCTTTACTATTTGGAAGGGTTTTGAAAGAAGAGGTTGATCTGATCAAGGGACTAAATGATCCAGCCAACTCCATGGATTCCGGAATTGATAATGAAATTGATTTGGTATCTGACTCAAATCATCAGAGACCTGTAGTTAATGGGAAGTTAATCATTGTTGGCCAGTATTTCAAAGATCCACAAAATAAGCATGGTATTTCTTTCTTATTTAACCTGGTACCTGGAGAAAATTTTATACAGACAAGAGAGCGACTACATCAAAAATTTGGACTTGGTCAAAGAGAATTTGCGAAAGTTAAGATGGTCATTTCTTTGAATACCTCAGACGGTACCGTAACAAAATCTCTGCAGAACTACACTGACGAAGAGTTGTCAAGGATTTATTTATTTGACATTATGAACAATTTAGACTATATCTATTTTGATCATCCCGATAGATTAAAGTCCCATAATTCCAGTGATAGGCCGATGGTTATAAAAAGCTAAAATCGTTAGAAAGCTTTCAATTACATAAAATAAGTGATCTTCATATATCAAATTTTAGTTGAAATATAACAATTAGCATTCCTGTAGCAAAAAAAAAAACCTAAAGTTGATCTATTCACCGATATAACAATGTAATGAAAATCCATTTTCATATAAAGGGTAAGAAATATAATAACAAACTATAGAAAATATAACAAAAAATATAAGAATAGATAAAGATTATGAATGCATATTTTTAATGCTCATAACTTTGACTCAAGAAAAGTTGTTTAATAGATACCCCAGTACTTTTCACAGTTGTAAGGGCCATCAGCCTTCCAGTAATCGTTGAAGGCAGTGAAAAGAATGGTGTCATCACCACAGGCCTTTTCAATGGAGGCAATAGCTGCTTCCTGGTTTTGCTTGGAAGCAACAGCGACACCAAGAGTTTCACCTTGAGATGGCCAGCCGGATTCGGTAATCAAAACATCTTTCTTACCGTCACAAGCAGTCCAGACTCTTTGGATTTGTTGAACCAACCAGGTACCGGCATCTTCGGCAACAGTGTTTTGGTCAAAGTAAGCATGAGCATTAACAGCCATGTAGTCAGAGTATTGACACAAAGCAGGATTGTTGATAACAGCGATAAAAGTATCAACAGAAACGACGGGACCACTGTAGCCAGCTGCCTTCAAAGCAGATCTACCGGTAGCGACGTATTGGCCAACTTGGTCTGGGGTAGCTTGACCGCCGTTAACCAATTCATTACCAATAGAAACAGTGTAAACATCATCCCAAGAACCATAAGATTCAACAGCAGCCTTCATGGTATCGACACCTGCTTGAATTTGGTCAACAAAGAAGATACCCAAGAAAAGCTTTTGGCCAGCGGCCTTTGCCTTGAACACATTTTCGACTTGGTTACAGTCGACACCGTATAGTCTAATCATGGAGTAGGAAGACAACTTGGCAAGGTCGGAAGCGACATCAGAGGCAGATCTACAAGAACCGTCGGCGTTGTAAGGAGAGTAGGTGATACCCTTAGCAGAACCACTGAAACTGGAAGAAGATCCAGAAGATTTTGGTGCGCTGCTAGAAGCTGCAGCTTGGGAAGAAGAAGCTGGGGCTGGGGAAGCAGCTTCAGATTGTGGGGCAGCAGCTTGCTGAGCTGGTGCTTGAGAGCTGGCAACTGGAGCACTAGCCTCATTAGAAGAACCTAGGACAGCATCTTCCTTTAGCAAGCCGGTGTTGACGGCTGGTGGGGCGCCAGCGGTAACAGTGACTTGATTGTGAACAGTCTTAGTGACAACATCACGTTTGTTCTTATGTTCATGGTGAACATTAGCAGGAGCTGCAATAACTGCACCTGCAATGGATAGGGCAGTGATGATCTTGGAAAATTGCATTTGATAATTTTCTTTTTTCTAATTGCTTTCAAAACTTAAACTATTGGTTTGGAGATCAATGTGTAGAGTGGCTAACTAAAAAAGAGCTATAGTGTTTAAAGGAATGACTAAGTTGGAATGTACTCTTTTCAATCGTTTCACTCTGTTAATCTTGGATTGAAACAACGAATGTAATTCGGGTAGGTTCTTTGATAACAGTAAGAAATTTGACTTGTTGTATTAAATATCAATCCAAGAAACAAAATAAAATCAAAAAATATAACGCTAATTATAAATCAGCAAAAAAAAAAAGGAGATAATAGTATGAAAGAAATAGAATTGAGAGATTGTAAATCAAAAAAAGGCTTTTAGTGAGTTCTATTTATTTGAACCAAGATTTTGAAAAGTTGTCTCCTCATTTGTAAAATAAATAATCAAATACAGCCCAGTCACGAAATTATACCGTTTGAACAATAAGTATAGTGTTTGCGACAATGTTTCTTTTTTTTTTGATTAGTTCTCACAATTATCTCAATGCCAAGGCATTTATGATCCCAGACTAATCGTTTCTATGTTAGGTAGAAAATCTAATAGAAGAATAGCGCAGTCAAAGGTTTTCTCAATCCCAAGAGAAAGTAAAACCGTGAATCCTTTTTCTTCTCTTAGTAAACATCTCTTCTTGAAGAAGTTGAAACTTCTGCCTTTACGTGTCGTTTTGGAATTATAACACCAAACAGTTGCCGGAAACTTCTTTGACATGTCCCTCTCGCATGGGAGATAGAGAGAAACACTTATACGTCATGGGGAAGGATGCGTAGATGAAAGGGAAAATGCAAATCAAAACATGTTTGCCATTAGTGTCCTGCAAGGGGCAATTTTTGCTGCTTCGACCATTCTATGAGAATGGCTGCACAGATATCAGACAAAAAAACTAAGTAAATACCAGAGAAGCTTCGATTGTGATCTGTATTACCGCGGAAGAAGTACTTTACTTTCTAACGCGTGTCTACAGAGAAATCTAGGTGGGAAATGGATACATTTGAAAAAGTATCGGCAGTTACAGAAGTTGATTGCGATAGATGGGCCCCATGATAGTTAATGATGGCACAGCACAATTGCTTGCCAACGCCAATGAAACAGACATAGAACGCGAAAAATCACATTTAATAGCAAATATACTCGGCACAAAGAATGACAATTTTCGCGGGGAGAAGCAGAGATTGCTTACAACGAAAACAGACAGGTTTGAAATGAAACGCACTAAATCCGTACGCTAACTTAACAGTTGTACGCTGCCTTAACAGTTGTTTCAGTGAGATGCAGCAAAAAAAAGACATAAAACTTCAATTGAAATGGCGAGTCTTTTTCGCAATCTTCAAAGAAAGCGTCGTACAACGTTCAAGGAAAAATCGCGAAATTTTCACCTTTTTGTTTTCACTAGGGTAGTAGAACGTTTGTACATTGATTTCTGAGATGCTGGCCAGACCTCTACGCTACTCTGTTAGTACTAGAGTGGATAAGATCACCCAGATGCCCCCCCCCACCGCTCTCCGCCTCTCTCCGCCTCTCTCCGCCTCTCTCCGCCTCTCTCCGCCTCTCTCCGCCTTTACCTGAAAAGGGTTAAAAGGTTCGATGGGGAGGTAAGACAAAAAAAAGAGACGCGAAAAAATTTCCCTCACTGATCTGTAAATTTTGGTGGCTCTCTTCAATGACCTGAAACAAGATACCTGATGTTGTTGGAGCTTTTGGGCAACGATTGCAAACATATACAGGCTAATCTGTTTACGGATGGTACGCGAAAGCTTCTCTTAAATGCCTTTAGCGAAGCTGAGAATTTGTATTGTCTTAGAGCATACCTTTCCCATCGGTTACTGCTGCCGTAACAGCCCGAAAAAAATGATCCCCATGTGTTAGCCGAGATATGATTGCTTCCAAGTAAACAACGGATCGGATAATTGTTTTACCGTTTTGCACCATCAAATACCATACAACAGTTTTACCGATAAGAGAAGAATTTAGTAAAGATGGATACGGGTAACTGTGTAATAAAAAATACCCGGGAATACGTTCTCTTTCAGTGGCTCTCAAAAAAGAAAAAGGTACAAGCAATGCTAAACCCAATCCTTTGTTCCTATAGCGGGAGCTGGATCTCTCATACATAATTTTTTTCTTTTTTTCACTATTTGCCGCTGACTGTGTAGTATATAGATGTGCAGGTAGTCCCATTAAGCGCAAGCCTCAGAACCCTGTATTTTTGCATTCTTATGAGAGCGTATTGTTTGTCAGCCAGAAGAGAATAAAAGTGTCATCATTGCCCACTTCAGTAGTGCCTATCGTAGTGGGAGGGTTCCGAGATATACACCCAGCGCTCATGGAGCTGTAGAATAATATGAAACTGAGAATAACAGTGGGTAGTTCTCCACCAATATTATTCTATACCATGTAAATTGACACCAAACCGCAACTTCGCGGTGCCGTTTCTTCTCTAGTCTTGAGTTGAGAGTATCGGCGGTCGGCGGCTAAACATCCTCTTTTGGGTAAAAACGGGGCTGAGGGGTGTTGAACGGAGCTCCGCGGCTTTGACCTCAAAATTTTGGATTTCGTTTGGAGCCTCAGAGATCTCGCACGTTTTGCCTCTTTCTTATATTCATTCTACAGTGTCTTCTTCGGATACATCCCACTTTCCCTACTTTATTCTTTTCACCGGCTTAATCAGCATCACTTCACTTCACTCTGTGGGGGGTGGGAGTATAAAAGGGGGACATTAAGTTCTCCCTAAGCTGGTTTATTTTTCTTACTTCTGAAGTACATTGCCTATTGGCGGCTATTTTGTTTCATAGTGTTGTTATATTTTTTTTTCTTTCAAAAAGTCTGCGATAAGTGGAGTTTCTATTTTGTATTCTGTGTTAACTCTAATAACCTTGGAACTAGGATAAACAACTAAAATAGTTTAGATATTCGTGAGACCAGTGAGGCCGCAGATTTAATTATATTGGAATTAGGCTAATGCATATTGATGGTAGTGAAAAGGAGCCCCTTCAAGATGAGGAGGGAGATATGAAGTCCAATGAAGACGACATAGTAGATGTTTCTTTGGATTCAACTACTGACGGGATCATGAAAGAAAGAGCGGATGGAAATTTCTATAATGATAGTGATGTTAGATATATTCAGAAAGCGTATAGCCAAAAGGAAATCGAAACTCTTTTGGGAATAGATTATCCTTCTTGGTCGTTGGAATCAGAGTTACCATTGACTTCAGATGAAATCTTAGAAATATTTGACTCACTAACTCATAAATTTGGATTTCAAGAAAGTTCGAAAATTAATATATATCATTTGTTCATGTCTCAATTGGACTCTAGGGCGTCCCGTACCACTCCACTTAGTGCACTTATATCTTTACACGTTTCATACATTGGTGGTGAGCATGCCAACTACAGAAAATGGTATTTTGCCGCTCAGCTGGATCTTGATGAAGAAATCGGTTTCCAAAACATGAAATTGCATGGGAGAGCACGTAAACGTAACTCAAAATTGGCAAAAAAGAGAGGAGTATCAATAAAAGAACAAATTTCTCAATGGCGCCAAAGAGAACAAGAATTTGTTAATTCTTACCCAAAAATTACTTTTGATCATAGTCAATTGAAAGACGCCACTAACCTTACAGCAGCAAATTATCGATGGAAATTGAAAATGAAAGACCTAACCCCAAAACAAATGGTTAGGCAGGTTGCATTATATTTGTTATGTTGGGGTGAAGCAAATCAGTTACGATTTGCACCTGAATGTCTCTGTTACATCTTCAAATGTGCAATGGATTACGATACTTCTGAAACTATCGGAAGCGAAGAAAATACTAGATTTATACCATGCTATTTAGACGACGTCATCTCACCACTTTATTATTTTATTCGTGATCAGCTGTTTGAAAAGAAGCAAGAATCCTTAAAATGGATCAGGAAATCGCTAGATCACAACGATATTATCGGTTATGATGACATCAATCAGCTTTTTTGGTATCCTGAAGGAATTGAAAGAATAGTATTGAAAGATGGGCAGAGATTAGTCGACATCCCAATGCAAAAACGATATCTTTTTTTAAAAGACGTTGTTTGGTCAAAGGCTTTTTATAAGACGTACATTGAAAAGAGAAGCTGGATGCATTGTATCACGAATTTTAATAGATTTTGGATCATTCATCTTGCTCCCTTTTGGTTTTTTACATCTTTTAATTCTCCAACACTGTATACTAAAAATTACATTCAACTACTTGATAACCAGCCAACGATGCAAGCACGATTATCGGTCATGGCATTTGGTGGGAGTATCACATGCTTGATTCAAATCTTTGCTACAATTTTTGAATGGCAATTTGTACCGAGAACATGGCCTGGAGCCCAGCACTTAACAAAAAGATTTATTGGTTTGATATTATGTTTGTTAATTAATTTCGGACCATCAATTTACATATTCGGATTTTTTGACCTCAATGTTCACTCGAAATCTGCATGTATTCTTTCGATTTGCCAATTGATAATAGCAGTTTTTACTACTTTTTTTTTTGCCATTCGACCTCTAGGCGGATTATTTGGAACATATTTTAATAAATCAAAAAACAAAAGAAGATACATCTCTTCTCAGACATTTACAGCATCATTTCCTAAATTAAGTGGAAGAAGCAGATTATTCTCATGTGGTCTATGGATATTCGTATTCATTGCAAAATATGTTGAATCTTACTTTTTTTTAACGTTATCGTTGAAGGATCCCATTAGAGCTTTATCAATATTAGATCTGTCTAGATGCAGGGGTGACTTCCTATTGGGGAGGAGCTTGTGTCGTTGGCAATCGAAAATTACATTACTGCTAATACTGTTGTCGGATCTGACACTATTCTTTTTGGATACGTACCTGTGGTATATTATTTGTAACTGCGTATTCTCTATCGTCCTATCATTTTCTCTTGGTGTTTCAACATTAACCCCATGGAAGAATATATATTCCAGACTACCAAAAAGAATTTATTCAAAAATATTAGCAACATCCGAGATGGACATAAAATATAAGCCAAAAATTTTAATATCACAAATATGGAATGCTATTATCATCTCTATGTATCGAGAACATTTATTATCAGTGGAGCATGTCCAAAAGCTGATATTTCAGCAAGTAGACTCAATGATGCTTGATATTAGAACTTTGAGGTCGCCTACCTTTTTCATAGCACAAGATGATTCGACCTTCAAATCGCTTGATTTCTTTCCATCAAACTCTGAGGCAAAAAGGAGAATATCTTTTTTTGCTCAATCACTGTCGACCCCATTATTGGATCCTGTCCCTGTTGAATGCATGCCAACTTTTACTGTACTCATACCACATTACACAGAAAAAATTCTACTAGGCTTACGTGAAATAATTAGGGAAGAATCACAAAGCAGTAAAATCACAGTATTGGAATATCTAAAATACCTTCATCCCGAAGAATGGGATTGCTTTGTTAAAGATACAAAAATTCTTAGCGCTGAGAAAAAAGCAGACCAGTATCATACGGTGGATGAAAGCAGCAATACGATATTAAACAAAAAAGAACAGCAGAATCAGATGTTTTCGTCATTTGAATCCGTAGGTAGTATATCAACGGAAAGGGACCTATTGAATGAGCAGATGAAAGATATGCCTTATCGTTGCTTTGGATTTTGTTCCTCAGAAAATATATATACAATACGAACCAGAATATGGGCATCATTGAGATCACAAACTCTTTACAGGACAATAACAGGATTTATGAACTATTCAAAAGCAATCAAATTGCTCTATCGAATTGAGAATCCATCAATGGTAGCATTATATGGTGATAACGTTCCATTATTGGAAAATGATATAGAGAGTATGTCAAACAGAAAATTCAAAATGATAGTAGCAATGCAAAGATATTTAAACTTCGATGAAAACGAAAGAGAGGGTGTTGAGTTGTTATTGAAAGCATTTCCTTATTTATGTATATCTTTCCTAGAAGCACATAAAGAGGGTGATGACAAAGATTTGACATATTACTCCTGCTTGACAAATGGAAATGCACCAATTGATCCCAAAACAAATTTTCGAACACCTATTTACCGAATTAAGTTGTCTGGCAATCCAATTTTAGGGGATGGAAAGTCTGACAATCAAAATCACTCTATCATTTTTTATCGTGGTGAATACATTCAGGTTATCGACGCAAATCAAGACAATTACCTAGAGGAGTGTTTAAAGATAAGGTCCATACTGAGAGAATTTGAAGAGTATTCCATAAATACCGTTATTCCCTATATTCCAGGTATTGATTATGCAGAGGAACCTGCTCCTGTGGCTATTGTAGGGGCTCGTGAGTACATATTTTCTGAGAATATCGGTGTTCTTGGTGATATAGCCGCTGGAAAAGAGCAAACATTTGGTACGTTATTTGCAAGGACATTGGCTGAAATAGGTGGTAAATTGCATTATGGCCATCCCGACTTCATAAATGCAATTTTCATGACTACTAGAGGAGGGCTTTCAAAGGCCCAAAAGGGGCTTCACCTTAACGAGGACATATATGCAGGTATGATCGCTATTTGTCGAGGAGGAAAAATAAAACATAGTGATTATGTTCAATGCGGAAAAGGTAGAGACCTAGGTTTTAATTCAATACTAAATTTTACTACTAAAATAGGAGCTGGTATGGGAGAGCAATTGCTTTCTAGAGAGTATTATTATTTGGGTACACAACTTCCTATGGATAGATTTCTGTCCTTCTTTTATGCTCACCCAGGATTTCATTTGAATAATCTTTTCATTTCATTGTCGCTGCATCTTTTTTTCATGTTACTCATCAATCTGGGATCTTTGAATCATGAAACGATATTATGTCATTATGATAGAAACAAATCTATCACAAGCCTGCAAATCCCAATTGGATGTTATAACTTAACTCCGGCACTGCACTGGATCTCAATTTTTGTATTTTCCATATTTATTGTATTCTTTATTGCATTTGCTCCATTATTTGTGCAGGAATTATTGGAGAAAGGGATTTGGAAATCGATATTGAGGATATTACATCACTTACTGTCGATGGCACCGTTGTTTGAGGTGTTTGTATGTCAGATTTATTCTAACTCAATATTATCAAATTTGACATTTGGTGGTGCCAAATACATCTCTACTGGGAGAGGACTGGCGATAACTCGAATAAGTTTCCCAACATTGTATTCGCGTTTCGCAATAATTTCGATTTATTCAGGAATACAAATATTTCTTATGTTGGTCTTCGCATCTGCATCAATGTGGCAACCTGCATTACTATGGTTTTGGATATCTGTTGTTTCTTTATGTTTTGCACCTGTGTTATTCAATCCTCATCAATTTTCCTTCATGGAATTCTTCATTGATTATCGAAACTTTTATATATGGTTAGCAACTGGGAATTCGAAGTATGTGAAAGAATCATGGGCAACATTTACAAAGAGTTCACGATCACGGTTCACTGGATTTAAGCGGAAAACAATAAATGATATATCGGAAGGTGAGATGGTATATTCGACAAAAACAAGAGTTTTGAATGTTTTCTTTTCGGAGTTGTTTTGTATTTTGTTTGTCCTGGTATTTGATTTTACAGCTTATACCTTTATGAACGCTCAGACTGGAGTTAAAAGAGTAAGGCCTTCTAATTCGGTGATGAGATTAGTTGTCGTTACTATATTACCAATCCTGTTGAATATGGTAATATTATTCGGGCAAGGTATTTTATCTGTTTTTATTTTCCCTGTGATATCTTGTTGTTCGGCAGCAATAGGTAATCAAGTATCGTTTGTGACACACCTAATTTCTGTTATCATATACGCCGTTGACTTTGAGCTGATGTGGTTTTTGGAAGGTTGGAACTTTCCTCGAACACTCATTTTGTTAATTACAGCCATAAACCTACACATTTTTTTATTTCGTTTGGTCACCATTATATTGGTCACAAAGGAACATAAAGCGAATAAAACAAATATAGCCTGGTGGACTGGAAAATGGTATAATACCGGTTTTGGATGGTCAATTATAACTCAGCCCTTTCGGGAATATATTATCAAGGTGATGGAAATGAGCTATTTTGCCGGTGACTTTGTATTAGGACATTTTATACTGTTCTTACAAGCTCCGATAATATTAATTCCCTTCATTGACTATTGGCATTCAATGACATTGTTCTGGTTACGACCTACAAACTTAATTAGAGGGAGGAGGATATTTGGAAGAAAGCAATCTCGACGTAGAAGGAATACTGTTATAAGATATTTTTTCTTTTACTTTCTCACATTAGCGATTTTTATTGGTATCTTACTAACTCCATATTTTGCTCATAAATTTGATATCCAAGCAGATGATTTGTTGATAGGAACTATTCTTGACGGTATAATTCAGCCAAATAATCAAAACAATAATGACACTGGAGCAAGAGCACCACCAAACATTATGAGGAGTACGCCTAAAGCGAAACCTGTTAAAACTGTTTCCTAATAATGAGTGATGGATCCGTTTAAAGTTGAAGAATTGAAATCACCGAAACTCAATAAAAATTTTGTTTCCGGACATCCAATAATGATAACTTCGAATAATAACTTTGAATGTTATAGAGTGGCCGCTATTATGTGAAATGCATACGTGCGATAACAGATAAATTTATTGATTGTCTCTAGTCACCCGTGCACAATTGAGCTTTGTAATAGGCTGTGAAAATTAGAGTAGATAAGCAAGTCTGCTTCATGGCAATCCGTTTCTACGTGGATCAACTATTTCAGAATCCTTTATTTCCCGCAACAATTACTCGAAAATCACCTACGGTTAAATAACGGTAACTTATTTGAAACCCTGACCTTGTTTATTTTTCGTGGGACAAATCCCCTAGAGGGAAAAAATTTTCACTTTTCGCTCGCACTGTATTTGTTTACATATCCAATTTTTATTCTCCTTTTAATCTTTACCATTAGTATTTAAGTAATCAGCAAAATTGATATTTACTTGATAGAGATCTTTTGCTTTCCTGGAGGCGGCGTAAATCACCAGAATTGAAGTGTAATTAACTAATAAGACTGCTAATTTGCAATATGTTTTTCAAAAACACTTTAGCAGCATTAACTGCTGCCAGTGCTTTATTTAGTACTGTAAAGGCTGATGATCTACCACCTATTGAAATTGTTGGTAACAAGTTTTTTTTCTCTAACAATGGTTCTCAGTTTTACATGAGAGGTATTGCCTACCAAGCTGATACTGCAAATGCTACTTCAGGTGCCACTATTAATGATCCTTTAGCAGACTTTTCATCATGTTCAAGAGATATTCCATATTTGCAACAGCTTGCCACAAATGTTATTCGTGTCTACGCTGTCAATACATCTTTAGACCATGATGAGTGTATGAAGGCCTTAAATGATGCTGGTATCTATGTCATTGCTGACCTTTCTGCACCAAAGACATCAGTTAACAGAGACAGTCCATCATGGGATCTTGAACTATATGAACGTTACACTTCTGTTGTCGATATGTTTGCCAACTACTCAAATGTTTTGGGTTTCTTTGCAGGTAACGAGGTTACTAATAACTCTACCAACACAGATGCTTCTGCATTTGTTAAGGCAGCTGTTAGAGACACCAAGCAATATATTAAATCGAAAGGTTACAGAAAGATCCCTGTTGGTTATTCTTCTAACGATGATGCTGATACTAGAGTTTCAATTGCTGACTACTTTGCATGTGGTGACGAAGACCAAAGGGCTGATTTTTACGGTATTAATATGTATGAATGGTGTGGTAACTCCAACTTACAAAAATCTGGTTATGCTGACAGAACTAAGGAATTTTCAAATCTGTCAATTCCACTTTTCTTCTCTGAATATGGTTGTAATGAAGTCACTCCAAGACTTTTCACTGAAGTTCAAGCTCTATTTGGAGATCAAATGACTGATGTGTGGTCCGGTGGTATTGTATACCTTTACTTTGAAGAAGAGAACCATTACGGTTTGGTCAGTATTGATGGCAATGATGTGAAGACATTGGATGACTTCAACAACTACTCTAAACAAATTCATAGCATAAGTCCATCTTCCGCTAACACTGCATCTTACTCAGCCTCTTCTACTTCATTGTCCTGCCCAACTTCTAACAGCTACTGGAAGGCTTCTAGTAATCTTCCTCCAACACCAGATAAGGATTTGTGTCTATGTATGGATGATGCTAACAGCTGCATTGTTGCTGACAAGGTTGATGAAGATGACTATAAGGACCTATACGGTTATGTTTGTGGTGAAATTGACTGTAGTGGTATTACCGGTAATGGTACGACTGGTAAGTATGGTTCTTACTCCTTCTGTTCTCCTAAGGAAAAGCTGAACTTCGTCTTGAATTTGTACTATCAATCTAAGGGTGGTTCAAAGTCTGACTGTGACTTCAGCGGTTCTGCTTCTGTCAGATCCGCCACTACCCATGCTGGTTGTGCTTCCGCCTTGAAGGAAATTGGTAGTGTCGGTACGAACTCTGCTACTGACTCTGCCACATACTCAGGATCTGGTACTGGATCCATGTCTACTTCAAAGGCTTCTGCCAGTGGCTCATCCAAGGGCTCCTCCTCTGCCAAGTCTGGTTCTGCAAGTGGTTCTTCGTCTTCCTCTTCTCGTTCTGCCACTTCCTCTTCCAAAAGCAACAAGAAGAATGCCGGTGTCAACTTGAAGACTGACTTATTCCAAGTTATTGCTACATCTGTCATTTCAATTTCCATGCTTGCTGGTCTTGGATTTGTTCTTGCTTAATTTCGGTTATAGAATGAACAGTTATTTTTATGTATGATTAAATTTTTTTCTATAATGGGATCTTGATTATCCTTAATTTTTTATATGTTCTTATGTATATGCCTTTGTTTATTTTTTAGATTATTACATTTTTATCGAGTTTTTGAACTACATATTTAGAAACACCACGTTACCATATTCCGCCAACCAAACAGAAATGTGACCAGTTAAAAATTATATGCCAATTCAGTATACATTTATAAATTACTGAAGAAAATTTTATGGACTATGTACACATTATGATCTTATATATCATATTCTCGATTCTTCATTTTAAGTGGTCATATTCTTAAGAGAACCATGTTTTGATAGTCTCCATATATGGAGCTGGGTAGTTCTGCAAAAGAGCCATTGCTTCTGAATGATTCATAGTGGAAAGAAGTTTCTTAACTGAATTTACCGCTTCAGCTGCAGCCTTATCTTTCAGAGAATTGTGGAATAGCGCTTGAACTACGTGATCAACCACAGTCGGTATGGCATCTGCTGAGCATACTGCCGGATAGTTGCCTTCAATCAAATGACTTAGAAATTTGTAGTTAAAACTTGATGCTTCCTCGTCTTCTAGTGTTGGTAAAGTTTTTAGCCAGCCATTAATATGTGAGTCAAAATTTGGTATATTAGTATTATAAGAGAAAAGAATCTTTGCAATCGCAGAACTAGCATTTTCCGTTGCAGTCCTATTCTCATCTGATATGGCATCGGGGATATTAACTACTTGCGATAGTGTTTCCAAGGATGGTATACATATGCTGTGATATGTTGTTGGGGCATATTCAGCACATGTGCCAAGCACAAATGCAGCAGCTTGACGAACACTAGCGTCTGGCGATACTAGGTATTCAACAATTTTAGGGGCAATTGAATCTTTGAAATTTGCGGATTTTTCTCCTCCATATTGAACCATGTCTCCAACAACTACCAGAGCAAAAATAATATTCATTGATTCGGAATCATTCAAGAAAGTTATGATTAGTGGCCATAGTGTTTCAAAGTGTTGGAGATATGATCCTTGAGTGGCTTTCAAGACAGCAGCAATAGACTTATTGATTTCATCCAATAAATCTTCATCGGTAAAGCCATCATACTCATCTTCATATTCCTCATTATATTCATCACCTTCGTTATGTCTATTTTTTACTCGCTCAAAAACATCGGATAGATTTGAAGAAACACCTTTAGTAAATTGAACCAAAGACTCATCGCTTAGACTATTGGCACCCATGATTGTAATACAATCCACAAAGGCGGAGTGATATATTTGTGTGATTTCCGGCATTGGTTCTGTCGTTATACCATGTATTAGTTTAGTGGCTGCTAAGTTCCAAAGCTGTAAAACTTGTTCATTTTGTAACCCGACAGTGGAAATCAAAGCAGATAGTAAATTTGGAATCAATCCAGCACCAGTAGCTCTGACACCATCGTGTAGATAAAAATCTAGAGATGGTACAGCGATTTCAGTCATCACTTCCTTGACGTAGCTTGCAAAGTTATTTCTTAAGACAGTACAATAGACTTGAAGAAGTTCCATTGCAGTGACTTTATCATCTAAAATAGAAGTATGAATGGCAATATGTTTACCTTGAATTTGAACAATATCCCACTCAGAGTATTGTTGAAAATTAGCAGCATCCTCCTCCTCGATCAAGCTAACGTCCTGTGTAGCCTTAGCGGTTTCTAGCAATGGAGGAATCACCATTGGTAAAAGTGGTACAAATTCCTCTTTTAGTATTCTACAAACTCTACTCCAGCCATGTTCCAAGTATGACTTCAACGGATCATCATCTTGAATCGTAGAGCTTTGTAGTCCTGCTAGTAAAGTTATTAATTCTACTGAGTGTTCAGAAAACTTCTGCTTACCGACAGCAAGAGCGATTAGAGTTGCACACTCGATACACTTACCCTTTAGTACACTGTTGCTATCATCAGACTCTACTTTCAAAACGTTTAATAATAACGGCATCAAAGTATCATAGTATTTAATGAATTTCTTCTCTGCAGCTTCTGCTATAAATGCAATTGTTGTTAATGCCTGTTCCTGTACATATAATTTATTACTCTGTAGCAGATTTAGTAAGTTATTCAATAAATCATCCAAATAAGGCTCCATTATAGATTGAGTTGCATGCTCAGAGAAATTAACCAAGGCAGCAGCAGCATGAGTTTGTACTCTTTCTACAGAGTCATTGGTTAACCTCGATATTAACGCTGGAAGAATTCTATTATGGGCGGTTTTTTGTATCAAAGGTGCAAAATCGGTAGATACTTGACCTAAAACGTTACAGCACCCATATTGAACTCGTGGATGAGGGTCAGCTATTAGTGGAATAACCATGTCTATAATTTTTGGAATTTCACCAATCAGAACGTCTTGACAACCTTCTGCGGCAGATGATAAAGCCATAAGAGCAGCAAAACGTTCTCTCCATTCTGCAGATGATATCATTTGTTGTAAGTATTGGAATAGTGTAGGAGCCAGATACTTGCCGCCAAGCTTTAAAGATACACGGTCTAAAGCTTGACGTGCGTGATCGTAAGTAGCTTCTTCATCGTCATCGGTATCATCAGAGGATTTCCACTCTGATGCTGAATCATCGTCAATTGAAACTTCTGTCATCATTATCAAACTGTCCATTATGATAGATTGGGCGTAGTTTTGATTATTTTTGCACATATGTGGAGCATTTTCGCTAAATGCTGTTAACAATTCTAATGCTGTTGTTCTTGCAGAGGTTTCAAGGTCCTTATTCTTGATGACCATGTCACAGAATTGAATTATCTGATCAAACATATCTTTGAATAATTTTGGAGCTAATTCAACTAGCTCGATTAGAGATTCAAATACTGAAGCCAATGCGTCATCTTTACCGTCATCCAAAAATTTAGGAAGACTATTTAGCAAACTTGGTAGCAAAACACCCAACTTTGACCAATTGGATTTTGGCAACTGTTTAAAATATCCAACAAAGGCAGTTACTGCTGCAATCTTGACCGAATCAGATTCATCTGTGAAACCAGATTCAAAAATTTGCAATATGTGCATTACGTCTACGGAGTTTATTAGGTGAGGGACCGATGTTAGTATTCTAAAACTGGATTCCCTGAAATTTTGATCAGGACTTTTTAGAGATTCAACTATTGTATGCAACAATTCTGGCCACTCAGGTAAATCCTCCTGAGCGCACTCGGCAATTGCGTCTGATAATTTGTGCCTTATAGAAGATGGTCTCTCAGCCATGAAGCCCTTTATTAATGTAGCTCTAATTTGCAACAATGCATTTGTGCTAATGTGGGTAATATTTTTTGCAATTATCACAGTCTTGGAGGATGGTGGAGCTCTAAGAGCCAATTTTCTGAATAGAACTGCTGATAATGCTGATGCGGTTAAGTCTTGGGATAGAGATGCTTGCTCAGACAAAAATATCAATAAAACTTCCACATTTTCAGGTGTGATCCATTCTTGGTTCAAGGTTCTCTCAGCTTCTGATCTAACATTGTTGTCAGCGGATGCAAATCCTTGGATTAAACCTAGTAACGTATTGTTAACTTCTGGAGAAAGAGCGGACATTGATATAATGATTGTGATTTACGATTTGGTATTGAGTTCTTAGTTCCTTCAATTCAATTTTTCTATGCTTATGATCGACCTTTAATAAAGTTGGAGTTATACTATGTAAAGTAGATGCGTCTTTAGAAGTACCTTGGATTCTGTAACCGATGCACCTAATTTTTATCTGCTGTCGTTGAAATAACTAGACGAGCTTTGGTAGATATTAAAGTAATGAGAGTGATTTCGAATAAAGCTAAAGGTGACTGCAAAAATTGTAATTCTCCTCACTGCCTATCAAATATTAGAATTTTGTTTCCTAAAGTAGTTCTAGTTTCTTATGAAGTTGAGTCCAACGAGTACCAATCAGGTGTAGTAAAGCAAGGACCACAGGTAGCTTTATTATCAATCTTAAGCTGTAGGTTATGAATTGTCTGAAAAAAAGCTCTTTAAATTGAAAACTTTATAAAAAAGCAGGCACTGAATCTGTAGAATTATAATTCAAAACCCACAATAGTTGCCAAATCACTAGGTTATATTTTGGTTCATCTTGAGCCCATCTCGTACGTACAAAAATTTTTCAGTTTTTATCAATTTTTTTGCAGAATTTTTCACATTTACCCGGTTAGAGAGCGAATCCTTTGTATCCGACAAGTTAATATTGTTCGTTTTGATTTGATGTTAAGTATATCAATCCATTCGTATTACAGATCAGATACAATTTAGTTTAGTTTGCAAATTCGAGATGGTAATAATTAGACTATATGTACACAAATATATATGGTGAGAACATAAAAAAAGAGGGGGGTAGTTAGAGATATAAAAAGATTCTATGAAAATCTTGATGGAGAAGACAGTCATGAAAATTATAGTAGTAGAGATGATCTTTGTGAATTTTAAGAAAAACGATGAGATTCTAGTCGGCAAGCAGTTAAGAAATATAACATATATGAATTTGGAGGATTGATCTAAGAAATGACATAAAAAATTGTGGATGATTCTATCATGGCAAAAATATTTCAAAGATATATCCTTGATGGTTTCCAATACTCGTGTTATACTTCTCTACAGCGTGTAAAAAAATCTTTATCATATTTTTTCAGTCACAGAAAATATTTGTTTCTAATATTTCTGTTTCTATGCAAAAGAAGATTTTCGTAATGATTGTAATATATGTTTGGGTTGGAATAAAATTAAGAAAAAACGGCTTCATAGCAGTTAATATTGATAAACTGTTTGAATGTTGCTATGTTCTTCCCAATTCTTAACGATGATTGTGATGAGATGGGTTCAAACGCTCCCTGGTAGCTCTGATCTCCTTATTTAGCTTCACAGCTACTTCTTCCAGCTTGCTGACTTCGTCACCCTTCTCGATGACAATGTAGGTCTTATTATCATCAAGTTTGATGTTTAGTTCCAAATCAGCAATAACTTTTTCCATAGTTGTAACAATTTTATCTTCAGGCAGACTGAATAATTCGGAAAACTTCTTAATAGATATCTTCTCGTAGAATCTTCTGTATGTGAAAACGTAAGTCTTCATGGTTTCGATTTGGATTCTTTCCGTTAGATTGTCAAGAACTTCAACAGAGTTTGGAAGCAAATTCCAGGTTTTGACACTCTTTAAGTATTCAAGACAACCCTTCCAGTCACCTTTTTGCATGGACTTTGCAGCATATAAAACATGTTCCTTGATAGATTCTGGGGGACCGTGAAAGAATGACTTGTCGAAACTTTCTACTAAACGACGTACAGACTTTTGGTAAACAGGAACCTTCTTTGTCTTGATACCAGTCAAGTATGCAGTCATTTGAGGAATTTCGATCAATAAAGAGGAAGTCATGAAGACCAAGTCAACAAGGTCAAGGTTGATGTGCTGGTGATAAGGTAGACATTGCTTTTCACGGTCTTCAGAGGAGCTTGAACTGCTTGAATTGGAGGCAATTCTCTGCAGACTCTGTTGACCCAAGATTTCTCTCAAGTGCGAACTTGCTAGAAGTTCGTTCAGGATTTGGTGACATTCCTCAATCTTACATAGTTTGAATGCAGAAAGACCCAATTGAACAACAACTCTGTTGAATAAAATTTGTAGAGATGGGTCAGACTTGTTAATATTGCTTTGTACCTTTGTCTTTAGAAGTAATTCCTTAGCGACCTCGAATTCGCCATTCAATGCAGTGTAGTATATGTGACTCAAAGTGGCACGCTTTTGTAGGAAAACATTATCTTGATTGGCCAGACTTTTGGACAGACCTTCTACAAGCTGAGAACAATATTCTTCATCTGCATTACCACTGAATGGGATGTATTTAGATTTGTAGCTAGATGGGACAGCCTTCCAAGCACTGTTTTCAATAATACTGATGAGCTTGTTGGATTTGTAGTAGATGTGATCCAATCTTCTCACAAAAGCACGGGCAAGCAGTTGTTCTTGTCTCTCTTCTGGGATAGTGGCTTCCATGTACAATTGAGTTCTTAGAAGCAAGTTGTACATATTTTGTTCATCTCTCAAACGTTCTAGGTAGTCACTAGAATGTGGGTCGATGTTCAATAGGGATTTCTTAAATTCATCATCCAATCTTTCGGTGAATGATAGTAGAGAACCCAAGATTTCTCTGATACCATTAGCATTTGGCTCTGGTTCTGTTTCCAAGTCGTCATTTCTGGCGGCAAGTTCGGTAACTTGGTAAGAAGAGATGTTTTCATCTAAGATGTCAAACAACTTGTTCAGGTCGTCGTGAGTAGACTTCCATTGGTCTATTGGTTGATATGACAGGTTAGTAGACTCCTCCAATCTGGTTGGGATCAACGTCAAGTAAGCTAGAATTCTCTCATATGGGGTCTTTGCGATGTTTAATAGTTCTTCCAAAGTCTTTATCAGTTCTGCTTGATTGGAGTTCTTCTTACCTCTGCTGTCATTGACGATTTGCAAACTGGCCATGAAACTGAATTCAGAAGATGCACTAGCCAAAGAAGAAAGATTGACACCTTTACCAGTGAAGACCTTGTTTTCCTCATTCAGAGGTGGAAGTTCTGGTTCTACTGTGTCTTCTTTATCGAACGATTGAGGATCTTCTCTGAATTTAGCTAGTAGAGCTTCATTCTCTCTTGCAATCTTCTTAACTCTTTGCTTGGTGGTGTTGAAAGCCTTTGAAACAGCTTTGTTTTTGATTTCGGTTTGTTCTGAGTTAGAAACCAAATCTTCAACTTGTGCAACAACCTTGACAAAAATCTTAGGAATACCGAAGTTTTGTTGCTGAGCTCTAACCAACAACCTAGTAATGGAGTCAAATTCATTCAAAATGGTCATCCAGTCATCAGACATTTCAGCAGTTTCAATCTTGTCATAAACGGCTTGCATTTCGTCTAGCAACTTCTCTCTAGCAGACTTGACAACCTTCTTTCCATCTTCCTCATCTGATTCGTCAGAGTCAGAGTAGCTGGCACCTTTGAGGAATTTGTTGCCTCCCTTTCTGAATTCAGGCTTCTTGAACCAATCTGGACCGTATGGCTTTGCATCAGAATCATCTGAGTCAAAATCGGATTCAGATTCAGATTCATCGTTGAATAGAGAGTCGTCAGACAACTCACCTTCTTCAGAAGATGATAGCAACTCCTCAGAAGAACTCAACAAGTCTTCTTCAGATGAAGAGCTGGTCTCATCATAGTTATAGTTTGTGGCAAAAAAACGAGACATATTGTGATTACTTCGTTGATTCTTTCCTGGCACTTATTCCCTTAGCTGATTCAATAATCTTATATTACAAAGGAAAACTAATCTTTTATCCTATACTGTGGGTTCAGCCTTTATCTATTTGATAGCTTATGGAATACTTCTAAAGATAGCTTGTTTAACCAAGTTGTTCTATTTCTTTTTCTTGTATCCAGTGTGTATTATAGCAAAGAGTTATGGGTAAACGTCTTATGCTTCCACTTTTTCAAAAAGGCTCCTTCGTTCTTTTATTGATCGTAAGGATAATTGATAGACCTCTCGTCTTCTTTACAAGGAATATAGTCTAACAATTCTACAGTTAGTTGAATAAAGAGCTTGCCAACTACTATTACTTTATGAGTTGAAACCTTAGCGTTCTTGCGTTCTTCACACCATTTGCCAATTCGATGAGAAAGCAGTTGAAGTGAAAAAAAAATTTTTTTTCAGTAAAGAGGGATACTCTTGTACGTATAATTGTCATATGTAAGGTTTCGTATTCAGATATACGTATATGGTTTGATGATAATTAGCTGCTGTGATTCGACATTTTGATGTATAATGACTTTGGTACAGTATGTTATTATATTGTATTTAGATGCTAGATAGAAGGGTCATTGCTATGGTGCAACTGTCTGGAATGGTGATGTTACCTTGCGGCACCGAGCCTGGTAATTCGATCTGCCCGTCGAAGAACTGGTACGCATGCTCACTGCCTTCAAATTGATCCTTAGAGTTCTGGAAGCTCTTATTAATGTGATCCCATTTGCCCAGCACAAGCAGTAGTGCAGGTACATCCTCTGGCTTTTCTGGATTCTGGGGCCCCGACCGTATAATCTTAGACAGCCTTGGGATGTGTACTTCCACCTTATTGTGTTTCTTGGTACTCTCATCGTAGTAATAGTCTCCACTATTACACCACACAGTCTGGGTATAGCCACTTGGAAACGATGAGCCCATAAATAAGTCGGCAAAACTCTTCGCTATGCGAACATGGTACCCGTATGAAGCTTTTGGTCCCACATAATCACCATACGCCTCCTCAGGTGCTACCACTTTTTTGTCTATGATATCAACGGTTACTCGTACATTGATAGGGACCAGCTGTGATTTAAGTTCTAGAGCATCAGATTCACCTATGTTGATGTACTTCGTCTGCTTGAATTCTTTCTTGCTCTTGGGATCAGGCTTTGACATTCTAATTGCTAATCCTTCACGGTATCGGTTCTCCTCCATGTATCTCATGAAAGGTAACGCACTTAGTCTAGGTAGTTTTGAAGCTTCTTTGAAGTATGGAAGATATTCCTTCTTGAATACTGATTTGATCAAATATGGAGGTGTGACAAAATATTGTAGAAGGGAGGCAAGTAGCATCGCATCTGACATCCTCTTCTTTTCTTTCTTTGTATCATCCTTTTCAATGATTGAATTCTGTTTCTCTTGTTTCAGATCTAAAACAACTACTTCAGCTACGTTAAACAACGTAAGTGTACGCGCCAATTGGTACACCACGTAGGTCTTCTGACTCAAATTTTGACAGTTGTCTAGAACACTGGTCGGTATACAAACAGCATAGTTCAACGTCTTCTCACTAACTTTCAAAACTTTCTTAGCTGGCTTGGGCTTTACGACAACTGCCTTCTTGGCTTTCTTCTTATCATTAGAGCCACTACCATTTAGCTTCCTCTTTTCAACCATGTTTCTTCAAGTTGTCAGATGAGATCTTTTCACTGCTGTATATAACTATATGTAGAGTAATATATTAGAATTAAACAAACTGATAAAAACAACACATGCAGAGCACCAATGAATGTAATCAACGAATACTACAGTGTTGATGCAGTGACATTAGACGCATTTCCATCTGCTTGATGGTTACTGCTATTACTATCACTTCCACAACTTTGCGATGAGCATCGCAAAGCAAATTTTTACTTTACAGTGACGTCATATATGATGTGATATAAGAGAGTATAGCTCAATGTAGTAGTTATTACTATTTCAATCTAAGGTCAACATATATCAAGTATAATCAATATTTATCAGTAACAGGTTTTATATGTTAAAAGTTTGGGGGATCTCATTTATGTTATTGTAGTGCCATGTCACATTCAATTAAGAGTGTATTTTATCTGAATTACTAGTTTACTCTTTTAGAACTTTAGTTGCTAAGAGATATATAAAACAGTAAATGCCAAAATGTTAGGTATGATATATATGATTGCTACTTGATACTATTTTTTTGGTGTTTGAAATTCATTCGTCGTCTTCGTCATCATCTAAATCTTCAAGGGCTTGCTTATTCCTGAATACTTCTTTAACGTTATAGTGTTTCTTTCTCATCTCTTCAAAACGTCTGTGTTTCTCTTCTGGGGTCAGTTCTTCTGGTTCGGCATCGCTCTCATCATCCTCAGCATCTATGATGCCATTGTCAGCTGTCGCGCTGACTTTATATTCCGGTTCACCCAACGAAAAGTCGTCAAGATCATCAAGATGGCCTTGTTTCTTCTTTCCATCATCATCGTCATCTTCCTCATCGTCATCAACTTTATAGTATTCTCCTTCGGGATCCACGGCACCTTGGTACGGTGTCTTTGGTTCATCGACATGGATATCCTGGAATTGCTGCTTGGTGATCTCATTTTCGTCCAAGTTCTTCTGGTTCCATTGCAGTCTCTCCTCTTCTGTCATGTTCTTCATCTCTTCCTTCTGCTTCTCCAATGCATCATGCTCCCTTTTCATCAGCAAGGTGTCCTTGGGTGGGCCTCTTCTCCTAGAAGGAGAGAGTGTGACATCTTCCTCTTCACCATTCTCATTTAGATGAAGCGTGTCAATAGGAGTATCTCGTTTCCTGGAGGTAAGTTGCGCATTCAACTGCGTGTTCTTGTAAACTTGCTTACGGAAATCACTCAACGACTGTGCCTCCTGCGCACCATCACCCTCCTCCTTACGCACCGCATTCTTTAATATTCCTCCCATCTTCTGTTCTTGCTATATTGACCTTGTCTTATCAATTAACTGTATCTCTAACTATTTCAAACACCAAAACCCGTTCTTGAATATTAATCGTCTTTGATCCAATGCTTTATAGCTCATCTCTTGGCTTTTTGGAACATTATTGCCCCTTCAACCCTTCTCCCATTTCACCCTTAAAAAAAGAGTTGGCACAGGTAGTCATGTGTTTGTACCGTTATTTATTACTTGAAAATGTTCTGGGTGATGCTCATCGCAATTCCTGGTGTGGGTGTCTTTACTCATATTAATCAGCAAACGTCGTTCATATATAAGCAATCGGCTGATCACATAGTTATTCTCATGTATTATTTGTAGTCAGCCAGTTTTTTAAATTGTCTTAAAAGAGGACTGATTAGAGAAGTTCAGATGGTTCAAAGACAGGATTTGGTGTTGTTCAGTGACCATACGGTGGTCTCTGATAAGCTGTTTGATTCTCAGGAGAATGTGGTTATAAATGTAACATCTACACAGGCCACACAGGCCACATGGTTGAACACGGTGCTTATGGAATCATATCTGCTAGGGTCACCAGTCTCCTTGAACAGTGAGCAGAAAAGCAGTGTTGCACAGGTGCGTAACGGTAAATGGATCACAGTTGCATCACTTGTCCATAACACTGGTTTCTTTCAGGCTAATTTCAACAGATTACAAGTGGACTCGTCTCACTACAAGATAGTGGATCTGTTAACAGATTTCGTCCAATTGATCAGCGGTAAGCCAACAGAGAAGATACTGTTGACGTTACTAGATATGTTTCCTGAGAACCGTAACGGTATGATCATAATTGAACAGCCAGAGATATTGCTTTCTTTGATACCGAACCTCACGGCAGATATTCTTGGCAGCAAGTTCATAAATGCCCTACGAAAGAAATGCGGCCTTTTGGTGATAAACAGTGTTATTGATCCAGTCCAGGAAGATATAGAAACCTCTACAGCGGTAGAGTTTAAGAGATTTTTGCAGGCTAATATCTACAAATCGCAGGCTCTGATAGCATTAAATCCTCTGCCTACAGGCAGAGCCAAAGACGTTACTGGTACTCTAAGGATATCAAGAGGACCAAGCAGCATACAAGGTATCATCCCAGACTTACAAATCGCTGAAAATGAGTACCTCTACCTAACCGATAAGGATAATACAGAACTGTTCTATAGTTAAATTATGTACGCATATGCATGAACATGGTAGCCTTGCTCTATAAAAGCTCATGTAAGTCTGATTATATATATAGACTTATAAATCCTCTCAAAAAATGAAAGTATATTTCGTATTCCAAACATAATTATCAGTAAATATAAGGCAAGATCTATAAGCAAAGATTATTGATAGATTAAATAGTCGTAACACATTAAAACATGGTATATTTAGTTCCCTCGTCTCATTTTTATTATTTCATTTAATTTTAACTCCACAGCGCAACGAGTTTTTAACAAAGACAGGACCGGCCATGTACTCTGTTCACCACACTTTATCCAGTACGGAATATTGTCCAGTTGACCTTCAATGATCCTGGTAACAGATAGGCTTTTAATTTTAGGGACAATCGCAATCTCTGTAGCGGATCTTGGTGTTTTTTCATCAATAATTAACCTTTTGATAAATGGAAATAATAACCCAAGATTGTCCAACACTTCCATTCTATGTCTGAATTCCATAGTGGCAATGTTTTTTAATTTACGCTCCAAATGATATTTAAACTTAAAAGCTAGTGGTTCCATTTCTGTGAAATTCAATTGTGGAATATTAAGCTCAGGAAGGTCGATATCATCGGTTGTTTGCGGATAGTGTTTGTAATAATAATATTTTGAGGTTTTGATTTCATGTTTCAGGTCATTGCCTACAAGAGGTGCCAGGTAAGGCTTGGCTAGAGAAACTATAAAATTGTTCACATTGAACAATTCGGTTAATCTTGTGTAGGGACTTTCTACATCATCTAAGTTTGTCGCCTGTTCAGGAGCCAAGAATTGGTCTGCTCCAGCCTTACCAAATTCTAGAAATGGAACAGTATCATTATTCAGATTTTTACAGAGCAATTTTGTGTTGGAGCTTAACACGCCAGAGCCAAGACTGCACTCGATTGCTGATCTGATTAATACATTGGGTGTTGTAACATAGTTTAGTAAATTTGGGCAAGACTTATCAATGGGGTGAATAACAACATTAAACGCTTTTCCAGTCGCTTGATAAGCTTCTTCAAATGTCATGTCTTTTACAATGTATTTCAGAACAAATTGGATAAATAAGTACACGTCTTGGGAATACCCGTGGTGTATCAGGTTTTGAACTAGTTTACCTAAATTCACATGCTGCTCCATATTGCCGTACCCACAACTTCTTACAAGATCCATATCATTTCTTATCATGTCAAGTATGACATTTCCGGTGAGAAGTCTCGAAAGCTCTTCGTTTGACAAACATCCGAACACACTTGCAATGCATGCTCCCATTGAGCTACCACTGATAATATTTGGCATCAAGTTTTGAGATAGTAGCGCTTTAATAACGCCTAGGTGGAATAGCCCAAAAAATGAGCCACCTTGGAGTATTAGCGCGGTGGTTCCCAATGACAATTTACATCTCTGGAAAAATGAAGTAGGTGTCATTGACTTGTCTAAAACATCTAATCCGTCAATTGTCCTCTCTAAATGTTGCTCAATAAGGAGCTTAGTACCCATTAATGACTTGGTGAAGAGTTTCTTGTCAACAATACCTGCGAAGTTCCTCAACATGCAAGGTCCAGTGGTGGAAAATTTCTCCTTGATCTTCTCAATATCATTTTCATTCAGATTCTTGGTCAAAGATGCATATTGCTCTAAGACAGACCTGAAATCATACCTTCTCGAAAAGAAGTTTCGCCTCCATAAGTTGGCACCAGTAATCTCATCCACAATGGTAGCCCGTTCACACCAGTCGTCATAGCTCTCACTAGAGTCCAGCTCCTTAATTGCCTCATAGTACAACATCCTAGATCGTGGGCGTATGTAGTTCATAAACTTATACGTCCAGAACAGAAATATATCTGCGAAAACATGCAAAACATCCCAGACCATAGGCGGTATATGGTCCAGCACAGAGTAAACGACATTCAACAGCCATGCTCGCACCAGTGCAACCACAGACACCGAACTTTTCTTACTTCCCATCTGTAACCACTATCTATTCGAGGTGCTTACTGCTCTGCCCCACCTACAGCTAACTGAGCACTATTGACTGCTTTATCACCAGTACTTATAAGTGAGCGTTACAAGCATTGAAGGGATTCGTTTCTTATTCGTGTCCAGGAACACCTAGCTTCTGACGAAATGGGGGAGGAGTTCCCTTCGGGCTGTGGCAAAAGTTTGGCAGGGCGTGAAAGAAGGTATATTATGAAGTATACTAAATGCATACTGCTAGTTCCCAGTGTGTGTTCTTTGACTCAATTGTATATTGTGTACTAGGAAACTAGTAGTGGAGGTTTAACAGTAAGAAACTAAGCGATGTTCAGAAACAATTACGACGGTGATACGGTTACATTTTCTCCTACTGGTAGGTTATTCCAGGTCGAATATGCGCTGGAGGCCATCAAGCAAGGTAGTGTTACTGTTGGTCTGCGTTCCAAGGATTATGCGGTGCTGGTTGCGTTGAAACGTAATGCAGACGAGTTGTCGTCTTACCAGAAGAAGATTATCAAGTGTGATGAGCACATGGGTCTGTCGTTAGCTGGGCTGGCTCCAGACGCTAGAGTGCTGAGTAACTATTTGAGACAGCAATGTAATTATTCACAACTGGTGTACAATCGTAAGCTGAGTGTCGAGAAAGCCGGTCACATGCTTTGTGATAAAGCCCAAAAGAATACACAATCCTATGGTGGTAGACCATACGGTGTTGGTCTGTTGATCATAGGGTATGACAATAGTGGTCCACACCTGCTAGAATTCCAACCTTCTGGGAACACATTAGAAGTATACGGCTCTGCAATTGGTGCACGTTCTCAAGGTGCAAAGACATATTTGGAAAGAGTTCTTGATGATTACTTGGCGATTACAGATGCAACTGAGCTTATAAAATCTGGTGTTGAGGCCCTAAGACAATCGCTGAAGGATGAAACGCTGAACACAGACAACCTATCAATTGCTGTGGTGGGTAAAGACATTCCTTTCACAATCTACGATGGTGAATCTGTCTCTCAATACCTATGATCAAGAGTATTCTAAACTACATATAATTCATACACATATATATCATTATCATATATATGATCATTAGCAGAATTTGAATCGCAATTTTTAACGACAGTACTATACGCGCCGCTTGATTAGTTATCAGTGCTTGTAACATCTCCAGACGGGTATCACCAATTTGTGGAATAGAATACAATGACGTCTCCCGATGTCATCTTTTCGATCTTATCTATGAAGCGAAAAGGGTATACCCCTGCCAGGCGAATCTGGTTGTATTTTGGCCAGTACTGTACTTTATCTCCGGTGTATTGTATTATTATCATTATCTCCGCCAGTATAAACAGGCCCTGTATAACGTCCAGAAAAGCACCTAACAAACACTCAAAGGAGATTGAAACTCAATCGACCTTTCATTCTGCTTGTCAGCATCATCGAGTGACGTTATACTGGCATCTGGCATCCTCGCTGGTAAGAAACTTCAGTACAAACGCATAATGGGTAGGAGGGTCACTGATAAAAAAGCAATTTTTTGATGTAAACCAAAAAAATAAAGGTCGACCCCACCATATTTAGAGTGAGTTTAGAGTGAGGGGTCATTAGCAAAAAAAATTCCTGTAGTATTAGGGAGGGATCCTAGTAATAATTAAACTTTTGTCAGTAACTGTATTGCTTTCTCTGTAGTATATAAAAGGGACACAGTTTTTGGTTTAATCACTTGTATTAGTGACCTACATATCTCGGGATACTTTCTGACATTCATAACAGGTCAAGAAGCAAATCATAAGCTTATTATAGTGTTACTAGAAATAATAATAAACAAAATGGCTCCTTTAAACGTTGGTGTAATTGGTACAGGTATCTTTGCCACAGACAGGCATCTTCCATCTTACCAAGAGATGTCTGATGACTTCAAGGTTGTTGCAGCTTTCAACAGAACAAAGAGCAAAGCTCTGAAATTTGCTGAATTGGCTGGTCTTCCAGAGGAGAAAGTGTATGATGATTTGAAGGGTATTGTCAATGACCCAGAAGTACAAATGCTGGATATGTTGCTACCAGCTCAATTCAACTTAGACACTGTCAAGCATGCTATTGGTGCTGGTAAGCCAATTTTGTTGGAGAAGCCAATTGCTGCTACTATGGCCCAAGCTAGAGAAGTTGTGAAGCTCGCTGACTCGGTTGATATCCCAATTGGTATTGCTGAAAATTGGTTATACTTGCCTTGCATAGATGTTGCCAAGCCTTTGTTGGAAAAGATTGGTCCTATTGTCGCTTTCACTCACAATTCAACCGGTCCTTTCGTTACCCAAAATAAGTACCTGTCCACTTCTTGGAGACAGAACCCTGAGCACATCGGTGGTTTCTTATCTGATGGTGGTGTCCATCAACTGGCCTTGGTAACAGAACTAGTTGGTGAAATTGCCTGTGTTTCTGCTTTGACCAGACAGGTACGTAAGGAATCCGGTACTGTTGACATCGTGTTCAGTACAGTTGAGATGAAGGACTCTGACATTATTGGTACTTTTACCTATGGTTCCGCTTTTGGTGCAACAGATAAATCTGTCTTCTTGAAGATCTACGGTAGAAATGGTACAGTTGTCGTCGAGTTATCTGACAAGAAGAAGCCTGTCGTTAAGGTTAGATATGGTTCTTCTGCTGAAGAATGTTCAGCTGAGGAGGTACACGACGTACCATTAGATGACACCTTTGGTGTTAATGCTGAATTTCAAAATTTCCGCGAAGCTGTAACTAAAAAAGACAAGAAACTATTCAGATCAACTCCAAGAGTCGCTTTCCATCACTTGGCTTGTGTTGCTGCATTCTTAGAATCTTCTGATAAGAATGGTGACCATGTCAAGGTGGAAACTATCTGAGAGCATTTATTGAAATAAATCTAAGATGAAGACCTAAAGTAACGATATAGATATATTCTTTATAAAACAAACCAAACAATGTTACAATAATGCAGGATACTCGACTGTATTCTGGTTGGTTTCTTTTTACGACATAGTAATTATTTTTGTTTATTCTTGTGTTTAGGTCTCTCTTGCTTTTTGTGGAGTGATATTTATATGAGTTTGGGAATTCAACAATGATGCCCAAAACATTAAATGACTGTTAAGTAATTATAACTAAATCCATATGTGATTTTTATAAAACTGCACGTTGCTGAATTCAATAAAGAACAAATAACGAGTGGAATATTTATCATATCTCTTTTATTTTATAGTAATTTGTTATATTTATATAATTCAATTGAATAAACAAACAAAATCATGCGTTAGGGAATATACTGAAATCATTCTATGTGTTATAGTTTAGATTTGATATGCTGATGTAGTAGTTAGTTACCAAATTCCTTTTCGTAATCAACCAAAGTGAATCTGTATCTAACATCACCTTTATCCATTCTTTCGAAAGCTTCCTTAACACCGGCTTCACCAACAGGTAGTGTTTCAACCCAAATTTTGATATTGTTTTCTGAGACTAACTTTAGTAATTGTTTCATCTCAGCAATGGAGCCTAAAATAGAATTGGCGATGGAGACACCAATCAAACCAAATGGCTTCATCGTTAGGACTTCGTCTTGTTCTGGCACAGAAATAGAAACAATTCTACCACCAACTTTCATTGCCTTTGGCATGACATCAAAATCAACATCAGTCAATGAAGAGGCACAGACAACAATCAAATCGAAAGTGTCAAAGTACTTTGTACCCCAATCTGGTTCCTCTTTAGTGGCAATGTAATGATCAGCACCCAATTTTAGAGAGTCTTCTTTCTTAGCATTAGAACGAGAAATAGCGTATACTTCGGCACCCATTGCCTTAGCAAATAGAATACCCATGTGACCAATACCACCAATACCAAGAATACCGACTTTCTTACCTGGACCGCAACCGTTTCTTAATAGTGGAGAGTATACAGTCAAACCACCACATAGAAGTGGAGCAGCATATTCTGAAGGAATATTTTCTGGAATTGGAACCGCAAAATGCTCATGCACCCTAACATAGTTAGCGTAACCACCCTGAGAGACATAGCCGTCTTCGTATGGCTGAGAGTATGTGGTAACAAACCTAGCACAGTATGGCTCATTATCATTCTTACAACGCTCACATTCTAAACATGAAAACACTTGGGCACCGACACCAACACGGTCACCGATCTTCAAACCAGTTTTACATTTTGGACCAACTTTAACGACTTTACCGATGATTTCATGACCAACAACTAGTGGCGTTTGTTTTTGACCCCAGTTACCGGCAGCACAGTGGATATCACTACCACACACACCACACGCTTCAATCTTAATGTCAACATCATTGTCGTAGAATGGTTTGGCTGGAAATTCAACCTTCTTTGGGTTTTTCCAGTCCTTGTGGTCTACAACGGCAATACCTTTAAATGTGTCAGTAGTCATGTTTTTCTCGAATGCAATAGTTCTTGTGTGGATTTAACTAAAGAATAGTTTATTTTTGCTGAATAACAACTAGCAGAAGTCAATAAACCATAATTCAATTGGAAGATAGGTATCGAAAAAATCGCTACCCTTATATAGTTCAATTTTTTAATGTTGCAACATCTGAACAAGGATGTAGCTTGTAAAAACGAGCTCTTGCTGCCACCTTTACCATTACATAATAATCCTAACTATTTCTTATCTTCATAACAGCAGATATGTATCTTAGCATTATTGCATGTGCAGATACTATATTACTTTAGTAGTAATCATTAGTCGGTATTACATCGGTTGTTAAAGAAAGTTTCTTTTTTTTCTCTCTCGATGTGGTTGGGGTCTACGAGATTTTCTGTGTGAGGCCATCTAAATTTCTTTTTTTAACTTGAAAATGAAATTCTTGGAAGAGTAAAAAATAAAGGATTTTCACAATTCTGTTTTGAAAATCGAAGTTATATGATTTTTGCAACATGTACTCCAAGCAGCAGGATCCGGTTCGGAACATTTACATTGATGACGTATACTGATTATAATTAGAAAGTGGGGAAGAAATAATCTTTGACCTCTCTTTCTCTCTCACATTTTGCACAATTATCGCTTTGAACAGAGCAATGTGATTTTTTCCTTACCTAAGGAACATGTAGAATATGCAATTGTTGCAAAAGAGAGGCTTGCATTTTGCATAAACCATTAAATGAGAGATAAACAACATTCTCATGTATTTGAAAAAAAAAGATCATAAGAACAACAGTTTTGGAACTCAATTGTGCTGTTCTTTTGAGATTTCCCGACTTATTGACAAACTCTATTGCGTTGAAATCATTGAAATATTGTTGATTTCTTCTTGCGAGCTAAATCATTCAGAACATGTTACGAAAAGCTTTAAAAGATCTTGAGTTATATTCATCTAAAACATAAAGCAAATATTCTTTTTCCGAACAAAGCAATAGAAACGTTCGTTATCAATCTATGGAATTATGTTAAAGCACCAAAACACTTGATATACAGTGTTACACCTATGCTGAGGTATTTTTTTGTTCAGTCCCATATCGTCCGTTCCTTATATTCCACGGAAAGGGGTTCATTCAAGTCAACAAACCTTTTTTTAAGCCCTTTTATTGACATAGGAAACTGAGAAACTTCTATTCATGATAATAGACACAAGGCATCATCTTTAAGTCTGTATGGGAATACTTCTTGGTAAGTCCTTCAAAATTTATAATTCAGTAATGAACCGCGAAAAGGTATTTGATCATGTTCAACCTTTATTCGATATGATCACAGTTTTGTAATTTGCACCCCATTGCTGTATTTTCGTTCAATTAAACCTATTATCGTGCCAAGATTTACTATCATTAAGGCATGACAAATGAAAACATTAGTCACTGATTAAAATTGATGGAAATTATTTTACATTTCCAATTCGTTAGCGTTACCAACAAAAAGGATTAATAATTTAGTGGAACAATGTGCTAAGAACTATTATTTAACACCAACGTATACATGCTAAAACTAAGCCGAAACTGCTTGAGTCTGGTTTTCCACCCCTTTATAAAAATTTGGAATGGGTGTTACGCCTTATGGCAAAACAGCGTATATGACCTATTTTAACACAAATTTACCTGTATTGGGATGAGTACCACACATCATCGTTTGACTAATTGTTACTCATGAACGTCATGCTTGAAAATTAACCAGTAATCGCGGCATATTTCAAAAACTTGACGTAGGATTAACAATAACGATACTGAAACCTTCCTTTTCACACGTCCATCAATATTTGTGCCTTTAACGCTCCCGATTTTTAACACAAACTAGCTCATCGCTATAAGGGCTAGTTGTTGAACTTCAATTCCGAATTAGGGACATCATGCCAACGCCATTTGGTTGTTTCATACATAGTTTAAACGGAGATGGAAAGAGGTAGTCATCAGTTTTCAAATGAAACACAGTTTTAAAGGAGCTGAGTAGTTTTGTAAGTCTTGAATTACGTAGTTGATCTGCCATTAGATAACAGAAAACCAGTACAATAATATATAGTTAATTAAACGGTAAAAGGAGACTCTATGATACTAATCACTGCTTTTTCTATTTCATAACACCTTGGTGAGTAAGCTGAAATTACATCAAGACACGCCAAATATCTAATAACAAAAAAATCAAATGAAATGCTTAAAAGAAGATGCCGGCAAAAGTACACCTTAGCCAACAGTGTCCACATATGTAGGGTGCTCAATATAATGCTGATTTGGGCAACTATAATTGATAAAAGGTGGGGGCAGCCTGGTAGACTCCACGTTCTCACAACTTGGACTGCATAGCAACATAAACTATCTACGCGAATGTACCTAGAGTTTCACTCTTCCGTGATTACATACACCCCCACCTTAAGGTTCACATGTGCAAATTGAACACGCAGAATCTATGAAAAATCATCTAAGTCGTATGGGTGCTGGTGCATTTGCCCACTGCAGCTCTCTGAATAGCCCTCACTCATTACTTTAGTCCGTATAACTAACTTTCCTTCGTTCTGCTGATTTTCGCTTTTCTAATTTTCCTTTCTACGCATTTTTGGTTTATGCAAGATCTCCCGTGCATCTCTGCATTGTTCATTCACCTTTACTTTCACGTTGCTTTTTTCGCTCCTTTGAATTTGGTACTCGAAAACTACGATTCCTCTACTGCTTAGTCTTTAGTTGATGCGAAAGAAGCTGCCAATCTGATGTTCCTTCTTTTGGATTGATAATTAATAGACCTCTCGTAACTGGATTTCTACAGCTTTGTTTATATTTTTTTACATAGTTGGTTTTTTCGTTTGAATACCTGGTACCAATTCATATTCGTATATGAACCGCTCACCACAGAACTGCACAGACCTGATGGCGAATTCCCTGAGAGCATACTATCTCCTATTTAAAATTTTAGTTACCTGATATATCCTCCTCCAGGTTTCATAATTGTAGGGAACGTATAAGTAACTAACCCCCACAGGTTATTATCAGGGCCACAATTGGCATGAAGAACAGCTATTTAGTACAAGACAAGCTTTACGAAAATGAAACTATGTTTCAAAATGTAAATGCAGTACTAGCATTTATCTTACTCTCTCAATGTGAAACATAAATGAGGTCAGATATTCTCCGAAATAAAGACAGAAAACGTAAATGGCATTCGCCATTGTCCTTCCTATGCAACTATTGTAGAGAAACGTATAAACTATACGAAGCCAAACAATGAGATGATACTAAAAGAGTTCTTGATCAATATTGCTGCTTGTATGTCCATTTTTGGAAAGGCGAATTAAAGTATTGTATTGATACTGAGGAAAGTTTTCCTCTTCATTCAAGGTCATATTGAAGACCATCGCTTAAGTAGCATCAAAGATTAGAATGAAAAAAAAACAACGCAAATTAGCTGATATTTCCACTTTATCAACAATAGCGACTCAATGGCCTAAAATATTTGTACAGCGAAAGCTGCCGATCAATGCTCTTTGGTCGGAGTATGAAAGTCTTTGATTCGCCTCGTTTGACTAAGAGCAATCGATTCAAAGTTGTATAAATACAAGCCTAGTCATTGAATTTTTAATTCCAACTTGTTAGGCTTTTTAGACATTGTTATCTTACTACACAAAATCTATCCTTCTATCAACGAGCCGCTCAAAATAACACACGAGGAAAAAGTATTCATGAATAAAAATATGAATGCTTTCAAATCCTTATATTTTTTGACGTTTCTCTTTATGAGCAGTGTCTTAGCTGCCAATTTACCAAAGCTTACAAACATTTGTCAGATTCCAGATAATGTCAAGAAGACTAGTGGTTTCAAAGGTGAAATCAGAAGAATTGGGTTGTTCCCACCTGGGGGCGATTACACTTACTTATTAAAGTTCCCAAGCACTGGCTCTACTGCCTCTGACACTATATCTTTGACTACAAAACCCCAGCTATCTACTAGTGGATGGTTCCCATCATTGTTTGGGCACACTTACTTTATTAAAGCCGATTTGTTAGTTTATATGGTAGCATACTTTGTCCCAACTGAAACTGGTGAATATACATTCAAATTAGTAAACTCTGATGATGCCGCTGTTATGTATGTAGGTAATCCATCTGCTTTCCCTTGTGGTAGCATTGACACTTGGCCAGAACCTAGAAAAGAAGACATTAATGTTTGTGACAAGATTAGTGCAAGTACTAAACTTTACATGGAAAAAGGTCTAGCATATCCTGTTAGACTGGTATGGTACAACGGTGGTGGTGACGGCCAGTTTAATGCACAATTCATTGATCCATCTGGTACAACTCACACAGACTGGAATGGATATGTTTGGCAATATGATGCATGCACAGACTGTGACTATAAACCAATCCCAGATGCATCAACAACGACTAGTGCTGGTTACGTTTTGAGCACAACCACAACTAGAACATCAGAAAGCAGTTACACTGATGTTAATGGTTATGCCACCGCTGAAGATTTCTTTTGGGAAGAAATTCCAACATCTACTGAATCAATTAGTATTCCCGATCCTACCACATCTTCATTTACCAATTCTAAGGACTATGGAGAAGAGATCATCTCATTTTACAGCACTACGGCCTCTAATGGGAAACCAATTACTGGCACAACCACAACCACAGTAATCCACACATATGATCCATTAAGTATTCCTGATCCTATCACATCTTCGTTTACCAATTCACAAGATTACGGTGAGGAAATCATTTCATTCTATAGCACCCATGAAGCTAATGGTAGACCAATAGTTGGATCCACCACAACCACAGTAATCCACACATATGATCCATTAAGTATTCCTGATCCTATCACATCTTCGTTTACCAATTCACAAGATTACGGTGAGGAAATAATTTCATTCTATAGCACCAATGAAGCTAATGGTAGACCAATAGTTGGATCCACCACAACCACAGTAATCCACACATATGACCCATTGAGTATTCCTTCGCCCACAACATCATCCTTTACTCATTCTGATGAATATGGTGAAGAAATCATATCGTTCTATAAAACTAATGAAAAGAATGGCAAACCCATTATAGGCTCAAATACCACTACAGTTGTTCATCCAATTGTTCATTCAAGTTCTGTATCACCTCTTTCATCAAAAAATCAAGCCGCTTCTTCGAATAGAGCTTCCATGGTGAACTCAACTATTACCCATGCATCAACGACAGTTATGAGTGATTCCATTATTACCTCGACTAGTACTACATGGTATTCCTCTGATGATTGGAGGGTGGAAGAAATTGTATCCTGGTATGGAACTACTGATGCATACAACCACACTGTCCAAGGTGTTGGCACTGCGTACTTCAGAGATAGAGTCGATGCATTGCCTGTAATGGTTAATTCTTCTGAAACTGTTTCTACCTCAAGTCAATCGAGCTCAACAGCGTCTGAAACGTCATCATCTTCTATAAGCTCTTCAAATACTTTGAACATGCCAACTTATCGAAATGTATCTGATAATAATGTACCACCACTCTCACCAAGTCAGGTTTATACTACTGTTACAACTAAATCTACCTCATATAGCCGCATTACTATAACAAGTTGTGATGACATGGCTTGTAACGTTATCACCACAACTACCAGTGATGTGGTCACATTGACAACAACTTATTGCCCAGAAACTGCTATGAATGAAATGCATGCAAGCTCACCAGATTCTGCATCAGCCTCATCAGGTAATAACGATTTGACTAAACAAGTGTCACAATCGGCTATTACTACTGTAATAAATGGTATGACTGTGACAACTGTAACTGATTGTCCTGAATCATCAAGCGTGTCAAGTTCTGCAAGTGCTGTACAAAATGCCAATGTAAACACTGGTTACGACAACAAAATACCAACAATAGACGTCATTAAAACTTTTAAAACTACAGTTACAATCATTGAGACACCAGACCAGCCAAACACTCAAAACATACCTTCCAAGATCGATACCACCAGTACCAAAACAGAGACAGTAGTTGTAACAGAAAAAGATAATGGTAATGTAGCCTCGACGAAAATTGCCGGTGACCACGGCTCTATTGTTACCAGAAGTACAACTAAAGCATCTGGCGCTCAAATACATTCTGATACAACTTTATCACATGTAAGAGCAGAAACCACAACTGATAAAACTGGATTCCAATACTCAGCACCAAGTAACCATGTGGTTCAACAGACTGTTAATGGTGCTGATATGATTACTGCGAAGTCCGCAAACTTCTTTACGGCTGTGTTCATTTCATTGCTATGGTATTTTATCTGATTGAATGATTGATCACAATATTTGAGAAACAAAAACGCAATGTCCACAAGTTTTGTTTTCATATAACTCCATTTCATTTCTGATCTTTTCATGATAAGATTTATGCTTGATAGAGAATTTGTATTCCATTTCAAACGTAGAATCTTTTTGCTTTGTATTACTTCATGTTACTTCATGTTACTTCATGTTAATTCTATTGCATTGGTGAATTTTATATCTGTAAATACCAATGCCTCTGTATATTTGTCTTTTCTTATGTAGATACACATTATAAACGTTTAAATCTCCCTCCAAAGTTAAAAGCATTATATTTATGGTAGTTTATGAGAAACACCACTTGACGCCTGACAACAGCTATCAAATTCAGCAAAAATACTTATGGATAATGATATACTAAATCTACAAGCGGGGAAATATTGTACTTTCACATTTATTTACATGCAAGAACTTTGTGTAAAAGATACTACATTATGTATCATATTGTTCTTTCATTATGGCTCTAAACTAGCGCTGAATCACGTCCCAAAGAGTCATGAGCAAGTCACATGTGAAAACGTAAATTGTCATGTAAAAACGGATATGCGGCGGACTTACTGATCGTTGACATCCGGACATAAGTGGACTTGCACTTTGTCCTGTTTCACGTGATGCACCGTTGTTTATCCCTTTTGCTTCCAAACTGTGGTTTCCCTCACAAAGTTGTGCTCCAGCAATGTTTCATTTGACCAATTGAGAGCTGAGATAAATACTGCCTTCTCGAGTGCTGCCCTGGAATGAAAGACTGCTTCGTTGAAATTTTATTGGGATACACCGACAGGTGTTAGTGGTATGCGATATCCATGGATATGACACTCGGAAGAATTAGATCTCTCTTGTAGATCTACTTCCCATGTGTCAGCAGCGCATTTCAGTGTGGGAAATCAAATATTCTCAACCATTTCACTCCATGGTTTCATTAGACATGATAGGAGAGTGTTAGCTCTGACTCGTATTGATGGCAAATTAGGTATTTTTTTGATTTCAGGACAGCAATCATCCTTATGTAATAAACAAGTAGTGTAATTGCCATCTTAGTTTAACTCCACATAGCTAAAAAAAGTTCATGAAAACTACTCCGCCATATTTCCACGGAACTACTAAACAATGCTTATATTATAATACATTTCATAGTAGACAACGGAAATAAGGATTTGTTATTTTTGTGATAAGGTACTTATCTACAAGAAGATTTTGATGAATATTATAAAAGAAAACCATTTTTATGGGTTCCAATCGTTTATTCTTTTACCAAAAATCATTCACTATCTGAAATGCCAACGGTAGAAAACAATAAGTTTTACAGGTTATTGACACCCATACTAGAAAAATATGCGTTATCTTATCATATATGCTCACCCTGACCCAAAGTCTTTAAACAGCTCGCTTCTAAAAGAGACTGTGGGTCAATTGACCTCCCAAGGACACGAGGTGAAGGTCTCTGACCTTTACGCTCAAAAATGGAAAGCTGCGTTGGACAGTGACGATGCTCCTGTACAACAAGAACCAGGTCGTTCTCATTTCACATTCGATCTAGGCTTATCGTTCGAGAAAGGTAAACTGCCTGCCGATATTGTTGCTGAACAAGAAAAGGTCAAATGGGCAGACCACGTTATTTTCCAATTCCCTCTATGGTGGTATGCTATGCCAGCCATTATGAAAGGATGGCTTGACCGCGTATTTACATACGGATTTTCATTCGAAATGCTACCGGATGGAGGAATCGGAGGTTTACTAAAAGGTAAAAAAGCCTCAATCATTGTCACAGCAGGTGGGTCTGAAGAACAGTACACATCAAACGTCCCTATAGAGGATCTACTGCATCCGATCCTTCATACTTTGCTTAAGTATTGTGGAATTGAACCATTACCTACCTTAACATTTTACGATACTATTTCAAAGTCTAAAGAGGAGTATGAGAAGGAAAAATTGAGACTACATAAGCACTTACAGACTCTAACCGCTGTGGAGTAAACATATGTAGAGTCAAATGTATATTCTAACGTCAAACGATCTTCGGTTTGGATCGGAAATACATCATTTTATTAAATCAGTAAAGAAGGTTATATAGCTCCCCTAAGTTAAAAAATTGTTGATCGTATCGATCTTATGTTAGGTGTGGTACCAAAAATTGTTTTTAATAAGTTACATTTACAATTGATCACTCCAAAACAATATATTCATTGCATATATAGAAATAACAACTCTCAACGATGCCCCTTTAATGACATTATATGATTTGTGTAACATCCATTTACCATGTAGAAACATTTTAGGATACTTATATTATTTTTCACTAAATTTTTTTTAGAAAATATCATTAAGGCTACTTTTTGCAAGGGAATCAGATATATCTCGAAACTTTAATAAATCACGTATGACTTCTTCAGTTTTAAACTACAAGCTATGCAAATTAGAGTTTCTATTTAGCAATTTTCAATTCAATATTTTGAGTAATTGAGTAGATCCGTTGATTATCTACTCATTAATAGCTAAATCTTTGAGTTGATGACAGGTTTACTACGTTATACATATATTTAACAACGACGACGAATAACGATAAACACAGAGCAGCTATAAAAACGGTATCTTAAAATATCTGACTTCTATTGCTACAAATAATTATAATATCCTTTCAAATTAGATAATATGTTATGTATAATGCCTGGGAGATAACAATCTTTCTAAGTCATCATCGTGGTCATAAATACCAGAAATATATCTTGAAAATAATCTATTGTGTCATATGGTGAATGGTATTATCTTAGAAAATACACTCTCCTTTTAATTTTAATAATTGATGGCTTTCTATTCAAATCATTGGTTGATACCAAATTGGGTGGCATAGCATAACATAATTCTTATATCTAAAATCATTGATTGTTAGAATATCCATTCCCTATTATGCCGCCGTACCATTTCAAATTATTATCTAATCTACGATCATTATACAATATAGGTATTTTGCTTTTCGAAGAGTGCTATGAATTACTGTTTGACTAATAATGTTATATCTACTAAACATTTAATTTCATGAATTGATTTAAAAAAGTTAATCATAGTATACAATACATACTCTCTAGCAATGATAGATGAAAAAAAATCTACCTGTATATATAAATGTCTTTTTAGCAAATAAGAAAACAAAATGTAATTGAAATTCGCAACTTCAGTGCAAGTTGCTAAATAAATCATATTTCTGCAACTCCGTCCTTTGTGCTACCCTTTTCAGTTCCTTCCTCAACATATGCACGTGATATCTCACTATCCGACTCAGTTGGTTGCTCTTCTCTCATGACCTCATTAGCGGTTGGAATGAAGTACTCTTGTCTTTCAGCCTCTGTCAATCCACTATAAGGAACCATACCCTTTTTAATCGCGGTTTTTTCATCGAAGGCACCATAATAGTCTTTGTCATCCTGTAGAACGTTAATTTTGAAGGGGAATATAATACACAAAATCCAGTACAAGCAAAATGACATAACAAACGCGAAAAAGGAGTCACCATAATAAAAATTGACTATACCTCTATTGTTAAAAGCATTATGATTGACTTGCCATGCGATTCCCGGTAGACCTGGTGCCATAGGCACAATCATCGCAATAAACGCTCTCCAGTTGAAACCCTTTGTAAAATAATATTCACCTTTTAAAATAAAAGCCTGTGATGCTGAATAGTTTCGTTTCCTGATAATGAAGTTATCACAAATCATAACAGCTAGTATAGGCACCATGACAACACCGAAAGAACTCATTACTGTTAAAAAGGTTGAGGAGGAATTATAAAAGTTCCACGGTTGAACTGCAACCGATACAATAGCAGTAAAAAAAGCACCTCTCTTAATGTTGACGTATTTGGGTAATAAACCAGCCAAATCCATACCGCTTGCGAATCCAGCATTAGAGATGGTATAAGCAATTTGAGATAATGCGAAGAAAACACCGCAAAAAAACGAGGCTGCTCTAGCTGCAGGATGGTAGCCGTGATTTAACCAATAATTACAGATTTCTGTTGGCATCCACATGGACTCACCATACAATTCTTGTGTAGTAGAAGCACCAATAACACCATATGCTGGAACTAGGTTTGGGGGAATCATTAAACCAACAATAGTTCCAAGATAAATTCCTTTTAAAGATGAACCAAATCTGGAATAGTCACTTTGGTTTACAGCACCAGGTGAAACAGCGCCAAACCAATATGATATCATGTAAACCCATGCCCAAGCCCTATCAGAACCACTAACCGTTGTTTTTTGGGTGTGAAATAATGAACCAGCACCCCCATTTGCATGACACAGATATATGATTATCCCCAGCATTGAGAAACATGTCCCGGCACAAGCAATTATTAATATCCTATTAATTTGATATGGTTTCATTAGATAGCATAAAGCACAGACAATATGGAAAATAACGAAACCGATCAATTCTTTTGTGGTCATAGCAACATGCGGAGATAAAGTATTTTTTAATTCTAGATAGTGGTGTGACCATGAATTTAATATCAGGTTAATACATAACCCTCCTAACCACGCGTTTGAGCCATAGTTCACAATACTTAATAAAACTCTAATAATAACACCAAAAGCAGATCCATAGATACCGAAGGTAAATCTTTGAGAAAGCGTATAGCCAACTTTCCAGTCCCAACCTGGATAACAGTTGGCCAGTGAGTAAACAATTGTTAGAGCATTCCCCAGAATAAATGTTGCGATAGTCTCTGGATAACTTAGCCCAACTGTCAATGCTGCTGTAGCGCCCATCCATGTACCTACTGTAAAGGCAATTGTACCCCAGTAGGCAAAGTTAGACCAGAACCCCCATGTTTGGTGGCTTTTAGGGATTGGTACCAAGTCTGGATTTTTTAAGAAACTTAAAGTTTGTCTTTCTTCCACAGGGACTTCCAAATACTTGAGAAACTTAAATCCTCTCATTATCGGTACGTCTTTATTCAGTTGAGATTTATATTAAATCTAAACAGTCAAAATAAATTTATTTTGCATATAGAAGTAAATGAATTAAATTTAAATAAAAATTTAATTAAAAATAAAAAAAAAATAGAAAAAAAATTAAAAAATACTTAGGCGTCAAAAATAATTAAATAATAAATCTAAACACGACAGTACAAAAATTCCAGTAAATTTTCTATATAATATTGTCAACTAAATTTCAGAACTACTTGTAAAAACATCTGTTATTTATATATTTTTTTTTCCCTGGTTGATAAAAACTGCAAAGCCGTTGTAATGAAATTCATGGACGTCGAAACATTTTTTTCTGGTCATGTCATCTTGAATTAACTAGCTCAAATAGTATTTATAAAGCTTTTCTTCATCATATAAAGCCAACATCAAAGAAAAAAACTGAAAAACAATACACCACAGCTTCCTATATTTAATCAAAATTCCGTCGCTCTCCAAAAACTATGCATTTCCTTGATTTGATTATTCATGACACAGCAGTGAACAACAACTTAAAAGAGTCAAACAAATGAAGGCAGCAGATTCTTATCTAAACACTCAAATTGTTTGGCAATCTACCTTCCACCATCCTTTACAAGGTACAACACCAGAGAGCTGCCCTGTTTTATTTTGACACTAAGTGAGTCGCACAATATTTTATGTAGAACTGGCCCACCAAGCTAACTGAGAGGGAATCCGCACTCAAACTACAGCACAAATTGTTCCGGCCATGATAGCGGTCACATGAAATACTTTTCCGATAACGAACGACCAATCCTTGGAAGAAACCCTTTTGTACGTTTCCACCCCACCTTCTGTGTACACACAGTCACCCGTAGTAATGCTGATTGCTGCCATTCCCACCCCTCTTCGGTTTGTAGTCAAGTCCTTTGGATGTGAGAAAACTTGCTGCCCACGTTCTTTTGTCCGCACCTCACCTTCTAAGGTGATAATCCATTGCTTTTCGTACAGAAGGAAACTCGGTGTTACAATCGGCTTTATGCGAGAGTCAAGAGGAACTGCGATGGTCTCTTCGTCGTACATAGTGTCGAGATATTTACCAATGATACTTGGTAGCAAATTACTCAATATCAGTTTTATGGGTGCCCCTCTGAACGATAAGTCTACTGGGCGTTATAAAATTTCTCCAATTGGCTAAATTTGTAAAGACTGCACGATATAAAAGTTCATGCCTTTCGAATATTGTGTAGTCCAAATTTCTCTATCAATTTAGCGGCGCAATGGAAGGTAATCCTCTAAGAACAAAATAAGGCTAAAACTAAGATTACTACATAAACTTTAGCAATTATAGTATTCCACATCTTGATTGGCACTCTTACTAAAAAATATCCTTGTAAGGGCAGTTTTTTTAAGACTAGCCTATTTGTCATATTATATTAAAAATTGTATTAATAAATTTGTGGCAGTGAATTTTTTTTAAATAATTAGTAACTTTTATTTTGGCTTAGAAATGATTAAAACTAACATTATTTATCCATTCTAAGACTATAAGAGATATTAATGAAATACTGAAATTTCTAAACAAGTTACAATCATAGTAAAGAGAATTGATTTTTTATTTAATTCGCATGATGTACCCACTATCCAATAAACGAAAAACGTCCATTTTCTCAGAATTTTTTTTTTTGAAAATAACCGGACAAGGAAACTTCTAACTTGTAGTTAGGGAGAGAAATAAGTGATGAATGTGCTTAATGGTTTAACATAAAAATTCAATTAATACTATTTCAAAGTATAATAATGTGAGCATTCTAATTAACTATTCATGCATTTGACAAATATGATATTTTTTGTTCCATTGGATAACAATTTCCCGCTGCAACAAAAATAACGATAATACATGCTCCCTTTATAAATCTGTTTCCAGTATTTTAATTTCAAGTTTTTTGAAGTTGATTTCTTAATAATCATTTTTTGTATCGAAATGGTGAAGAATATTACTTAAAATATCAAAGAATATAATAACCAGTGAACGGCAATCTAATATAA